TCTGTACTGACGAAAGACTTTGGTCGTCATCTGGTGGCGCAGGGAAAGCTAAAGATGATACTAAGGGATCCACCCTCACGGAGGCCGAGCATTCCTCTACGCCTTTCGAGACATTGGCATGCCGAATGGTGCAGCCTCTCACCCCCAACAGGAAAAAGCGGACGGGGATCTGAAGTGCAGTTCCTATCTCGATCTAGGCGGCCCCCCGACGTCGGAATGTTCGCCTAACTCTCGGCCGGAAAGGTCAATTCGGCGACTCGCCGGCGCTTAACTTATTGCCCCGCATCCTTACGGGGGACCTTTCCAGGCGGCGGGAAACTCTGCTGGGTTTTTGATTGGTACCGGGAAAACAGATTAGCCCACATGCAGTCATTGAACCACCGGGCTTCCTCGGAGTTTTAGGTAGGCTGCACGCACGGAATCAGTCAACCCCCTCTAATACCCGTTTCCTCGCAATGAGTGCCTAGTGTAGTTGCCTCAAAAAAACCTTCTCAGGAACCCTGGAAGTACCATATATTGGACCCAACATCTTCGCCCCCGCCCAGGCAATCACGCTTATACAACCTCTTAGAAAGTGAATTACGTCAATGTTCGGTCAACCGGGTCCGGCGCTCCGGCCTGGGACGGCAACAGCGCTATATAAAGCAAAGTCGCGGAACAGATCTAGTTTGGGGCCATGATTGATTACAGTATTGGGTTGCTACCTAGATTCAAAGGAGGGCTTTTGGTCGAGGTGCAGTGAAGAGAAGCTCCATGTCAGCTCAAGTGATGCAGACGATATGTTCAGTACGGGCCGGAACTCAGGGGATCCGGTTCTTACACTCCTTTATGCGGGACTGACCCAAAGTAGTAGAATGGCGGGGTCCTTTGGGGAAGGGCAGTTCAGTGAAAGCTGATTCGACATTTTTATATAATATACGGACCGTAAGGTAGGCTCCAAGAGTAGTGCAGTTTCTAGTGCGTGAAGCCCCTCCTATAAGAGAACGCGGTTGCCTTGACGTCCCTAACCCCCTCTTTTACCATGTGTCATACCACGAGGCGCAGCCTGCGGCAAGTTCCGACTTCGAGAAGCCATGGAACCAGGATTTCAATAGATCCCTCGGTGCTTCAGTATAGCACTTTTCCAAGCTCTCAGCATTTGTTACCTCATATTTACAAACCAGGCTTTCTCGAAGCGATTAACTGCACTTGTCAAACTTGTTAACCGAGGAAGTCCAAAATAGCTTGCCGAGGGAAGCTCTAGACTTGGAACTGAGGGTTGTCCCAGAGACGCGCCGCCCATGTGTGCCCCCCCCTAGCTCTATCTTGCGCCCGCAAGAGATGATTTCTGATTAGAGTGAACACGACCGGTCAAGATCAACCCCCCCTCCAGCATGACTTCGGTGAGTGGTTACAGGGCTATCTTGACAATTAATTGGAGAGCTTCATGATCAGGATCTCGGCCACGCAAGGGAAAAGAAAACTGCAAGACAAGATTGTCACTGGGCGCGTAATGCAGACGTGAGGGGTTGTTGTTCACATTCTCATCGAGCATTGTGAATCCCCATTCCTGCCCACGTGCCGCCAAAAGCACAGGGTCTGGAAAAAGGGCAGGAGGGGCACGAGGGTTTTTGTATTCGTGCATCACTACGGGATCAGGGCCCGCAACTGATCTGCCGACTATGTGGAGCTTTAGGAATACGTGAGGAATTACTGGCTGGTGGTCACGAACGACAGCGTGTTAGCTGCCTGAAACCTGGTTGAATAGGAAAAACGTGAGACACTAATTAGGCAGGCTACCAACGGTTTGATGTGGTGTTGATTTCTGCATTTTCCCATTGGGTACTTTCATGCATGCATGCTGCACCTCGATCGGTTCCGACCTCCCCGGGTAACCCTCTTCCGGTCATTCGTCTCGTCGCTATTTGGTAAGTGATGGCGTGCTTCTTGCACGTGGGTGAAGATGGTTCCTTACGGACGAACCATGAAGTTACGGACAGGGTATCGAAGCATGGAACGAGGTGGGGACGGGGAGCAATCACTCGGGGCAGAATCAGGCTGCAAGTACCTTCTTTGCATAAGACATGAACCTGTCGCCAGGTCCAGAACTTGCATATGGAAATGTCAAACTTGGGGAGGGGGGGAGGGGGAACGCTGCGTCAACGTTTGCGGGCAACATTGCAATAGATAAGCTCTGCAGTTTGTCCAGCAAGGTTGAAAAGGCACAAACAACTTGCCCAGTTCATGGACACTTTAGTAAGACAGCACGGCATTTTTGTGGTGGGGAAATTCCAATATCAACTGCAGCAATCAGCAAGGCAATGAGCAGATCCAATTGCCTTTCGTTTAAACTGCTGGGATATAAGTCCGATTCGACCGATGCATCAGGGGGGCCCGTATAAGCCGGAGGACGATTTCCAGCCTGCGGCGCCAACCTCCCACTCTCATCTCACGGACAACCAATACGATACTGCTTGCTTGATCCTTCGTCATCTATTGGGCCGCAACGTTAATTTCACTTTGATATATAATCCCAACATCAACTTACTCAGATCTCAGGAAATGCATTTTGCCGTGTGAGCCGATTTAGATGCGTCGGGAACAGCAAGATAATGCAGACTGCTTATTACGAGCTCTGAGGGGTTAAGTGTATAAGCGTCCGCATATCAAAAACAAACAGTAACATCACAATGTAAATGATGCTTTCATCGGAAAGCCATATTCGGGGTGCTCAATTGTGACGACAACTCAGGAAACAAGTAGTATGTTTTTTCTCTGATACCAGGCCGCTGTGCCAGAAGACTCAGGTCCGGGGCAAAAGTCGCACAACATAGACTAAGGTACGTCCGGCCCGAGAGGCTTCCCGATAGCCTTGCTGCTGTATATCAATCACCGATGATTAGATATGATTGGAAGGAGGTCCAGTCATGAGACTATGCTCAGCTCGGCGGCAGTCTCCTTTCTTCTTCGAGCGTTGTGCATGATGACGTTGTCGTCAATACCCGAGCAGCTTTAGCAGGCAACTCGGTGTCATCACCAAACCATCATCCATCGCGTTGCGCACATTACAGGCTGCCACTTTGCCCGACCACGGCGCGGTGTCTCACTCTCCGTACTATGTAAACACGTCATGCTCCCCGACGCATTGGAATTTCAGAAGTGCGTGGTGGGTGTGGTTTAGCATGCTGTGACCAGGCCATTCGCATTCGCAACCTTCAACGATTGAGACTTCTTCCCTTTCGGGTCTAGTATCCTGCTACGGCCGTGATTGACGGTTTTGATGTCATCTAAGAGCCGTTGAGATCGGGCGAGGCATCCAGACTGCTGCAGCAAGTGTTCTATCGAGGCACACCGGTGCTACTAGCGTGGCAAAATACACATTTTGCGATTGATGGCTGGAATCTGCAACATGTTGAGCCGCGCTATGCTATGAGACATGAGCACCAAGTTCTCGAGATGTTCACCATAGCTATGAGGAGCGTTTCCGGTATCAACCTATGAAAACGCTCCTTTACGACATAGTTGAAGGACGAGGGGCAACAGAGAGCCAATTATGGGTCGAAGTGATGGAGTTGGAATTAGATGAGTCTCATCTTGAAAATTGGTGGCATTTGATCAACAACTTATGCCAGTGCTGCGGCATTCATAAACAGATATAAACGTCTAATACTTTACCAGTAGAGAAATGCCAGAGATTACATCACGTCCTGTCAGGTTTAAGTTTCTGGGCCCTTTGATAATACAATGGCCCACATATGATGGAATACCTTTCCTCAATAATTGAGTTGACAACTAATCTCTTCGAGAACTGTCCATCTATCTCTTAAAGAAGATTAAGGTATCGAGACACCGGCTGGGGGTTTTTTGGTGTATAGAGTTCTTTAACTACCTTACTATGGTTACATTTAGAGGGCAACTGGTTTGAAGATCAAGTGTATATCTTATGTTGCAATAAAACTTGAATCCATCGCCCAAGGCCATATATTTAAACATGGAAAAGCATGGAAAAGCCTCAACATATCGTCAAGCCTACGCATTGTTGATGGTATCACCCATGTTGGGTGGCCTGGTGTGGTATCAGGCCCTTAATAGAGGCAACAAAGTAGCAAAGACACAAATCGAGCCTTACAAAATGGTTTATTCACGAAATGGCTTGCAACATGCAACAGGCGCCTGAGTGGTCTACATGGTACTCCACATTCAGACCTACCAATATTCCACTCACTTAATCAATTGGCCTATCAACTCGACAAGGGTCCTGAAGTCAGTATTCATTGGTGACATTAGCTCTGACTATTTCAAGCGGTGATTGGATGTTTAATGTTTAGAGATTGCGACTGCTAGTGTAAGGCATTGATCGATGTGCATCCTTCATGGCCTACCTTGTGAATGCCATCTTGCGATTCAAGAGCGTCTCATTCTTGATGCGCAGTGCTTGTCTCAGTTTGAAAGCTGTAAATAATTCAATCCTCAGTCTTTCGAACCCCTGATCCAAGCTAAATCATTGCAATCCTTTCTTTCTGTTCCAGTTCTCACTGGTCAATGAAGGAACCTTCTTGATGTTCTTCGAAGTTGAATGTATCAGTGACACCCATCCATCTTTAGACATCAATTTTTACAAAAGGGCAGTCAAAGGAAGAGCTTTTGTCTCAAGGTGCCTCCTTTGGCATCGTGATGAGCCCGATAAAGGAGCAATGGAGCCTGAGGTACCGTATATCGCACGGCCGAGGTCAATCACCAGGCATCGATGAACCAATACCAGACGGAGGACTCTTGGGCCACAGCAGGTCAAATAGCAGGTAAAACGCCCTCCGTGCCCCCCAAAAAGATCGAATAGAAACATAAACACAAAACACGTGCCTTGAGCTTCTTTATTTTGGCTAGTTGCTTCTCATCATTCCGTCTCATCACAATCTCTCCCCTCAGCAGAACATCACCTCGATTCTTCATCACATCCCACGCAACCGATTACGACAACCGACGCAGTAAATCAACGAGCATCTCCCATACGAGCGGAGAAAATGGAGAACGACGGCGAGGAAGACGTAACCTCCATCGCGAATGTCGCGAAGGCTAGGGCAAGAGTCATTGCGGGGAAGTTTAAGTATCTTCAGGCCCCTCCCGACATGGATATCGAACTCTACAGGGCCGATAGAGCAAGGGAATTGTCTCAATTCCTGGTTCAATATGGCTACGACACCGTTTCTGCCGAGTGGTTCTCGTGGTCGGTAGACCTCAGAACATGGAACCAAGTCCAATACAAGTGTACTGCTGCACCACTCCTCGAATATCAAGTGTCCAGAGCTCTGCTAATGTTTTCTGAACTAGTGGGCAAAGCCGGGGATTTCGAAGTGTTCCCTTGGATAGATGTTGAACCAGTTTGCAAAACCACGACTCCCGAGGACGCCTCCACCTGGTTCAATGTCTTGAAGGACATCATCAAACAACAGGACGATCTCCCGGCGTTGGAGCGCTCGAGGTTGAAACTGCCACTGATGAAGGGGGAGCCTCTCATGGTACGAAACACCCCAGGCATCACTCCCGTGGAGCAACGTCAAAAGATCTGGGACGACATCTTTCCCGGCAAAAAATACCCCCACGGTCAACCCTTCGAGATTATCATTCCCTCTGCCGTTAGGATATCCTCGGACATCATTTACGACGTAGTTCAACAAGAGAAGAGTCTCCCAGCTGCGGTCACCGTCGTCCAAGTCCGACGAGTCCACCGGCGTGGACACTTCGTCTGGGCGTTTATTGTCAGCTACGCGCCTCAAGTCGCCGATAACCGGATGAACCGCATTACCATGGCCTTGGCCTACCAAGCCGTTCTAAACTGGGCCAGGACCATCATCGTCACCGGCAAAAGCCTAAAGCTCAGCAAAGCGTTCAAAGAGTTCGAGCTCAAGCTCGAAGATGAAGGTGACGCAGAGGATACTCGCATGCGAGGCATGGGAGACCAGATGGACTTCACGCCTGAGCAGCTCGATCTTTGCGCCGAGGAACTTTCCTTGATGCCATGGGTGTCAGTCGCCGACTATGCTGCGTTTCGCGTGGGGGAGTGGTTGAACAAGGAGGTCTGCCGTACGCCCGCTGAAGATCGCCACAGACTGCTCCGAGATTGGTGCCAGCTAGAGGTGGGCGTCATGGACCGCACCAATTTTGAGGGTATGACGCGAGAGGACCTGCAGAAGGCTTGTTATGAAGCATGGACGGCCAAGACTCAGGAATGGAAGGAGACGTTGGATGTCACGGCGTGGTCGTGGACCGAGGAGGTGCAGTGGGCGAAGAAGCTCATGGAGCCCTATGCCGTCTGAGCTACATGGATGCACAATTGATGGGAAACAATGACCACGCTCAAACCATTCCTCCCTAGCCAGCTGTGGCAGTTTTCTGGTATCTGGGCAGGAGGTGAACAGGGCAACGCGTGGGCTGAACTCTCTCAGCTCTGAGATCGTGAGGTCATCATGTATGTAGTATTGTATCAAGTCTATTAACAACAACCACGCTTTTGTCCATTGCACTCCGCCGCACCTCAGATGACGTTCTTCAATGCCTGACTAGCACGGAACCGCCTCAAGTTGTACGCGATCAACGCCTCGGCGCCCTGCGGCCGACCGCCAGCAGCGTGCGGCGAGACGACAACATTCGGCGCCTTCCACAGACGGCTCGACTCGGGCAGCGGCTCCGTCACGAACACGTCCAACGCCGCACCACCAACCTCGCCCGCCTCCAGCGCGTCCACCAGAGCGTCTTCGTCAATAGACGTACCGCGGCCGACGTTGATGACCCAGGCGTGCTTGGGCAGCTGCTTGAGGCGCGCGGCGTTGAGCGCGTTCTTGGTTGAGTCGGAGCCGGGCAGAATCATGACGAGCGCGTCCGTCTCGGGTAGCAGCTCGGCGAGCTTGTCCTCGCCGTACACCTCGACGCCGTCACGGATACCCGCGTTGCGAGCGACGCCCTTGACCTGCGCGCCGAGGCCGCGGAGGTGCGGGGTGAGGGACTTTGCAATGTTGCCAAAGCCCCAGATCAGGACGCGGGCGTCGCGGAGCGTCGTGAAGGCGCCGGCGGGGCGGTCTGGCTGGGGACCGCCTAGGTGGCCGGGCCACTTGGACTGGAGCTGGTAGTCGCGCATCTCGTAGAAGCGGCGGGCGGCGTTGAGGAGCAGGCCCAGGGCGTGCTCGGCGACGGTGTGGTCGTGGAGGCCGGAGCCGGTGGTGACTGTGACTTTGGAGGTGTCGAAGCCGGCGTTGAGGACGTCGTTGGGGCCGGCGGCGAGGGACTGGATCCACTTGATGTTCTTGAGGCGGGCGGCGGCGTCTTTGAGGTTGTCGGCCGAGTTTGTCCAAGTGACGAGGATCTCTGCGTCTGTGTGCTCCTCGGGGATCTTGGTGTTTACGTCATAGGGGACGAGGTCGACGGAGAAGCCCTGGAGGCTGTCGACGTCGAGCTTGAGGGACGTGGGGTAGAGGAGCTTCATGATTGTGATGTGGATATTCAAGATCTAGAGCGGTTTGTTAGTGAGCTTTGCCTCAATTGACAACCTCGTGTGGCACTGGGAAGCCTTACATTATGAGAGATATAATGGGAGGATGAGAGTGCCGACGAGATCAGAGAGAAGCATCAAAGAAAACAAGCTCCTAGTAGAAATGAGCGAGGGGTCACGTCTGGTTTTACCTAACCTCAGGGCAAGGTAAACCGATGACGGGGAGACCGCGATCCAATAGAACAATGCGCTCGACATCTTTCGCGTAGGCGGGGGGATGGACATCCATGAACGGTTGGATGGTGGGATGGTGGGGGAACACGACGGTCACCACCCAGTCGGCATCAAGTTCCGCACCAAATTCCACTCCACAGCATCCAAAGAGAAGCCATCCAGCTGTTGCTGGCGCCGTCAAGGTGGGGGAGGGGGCGGGGGAGGAGGAGGGGAAAGAACCCGAATCGCTGCTAACATGATCCCAGGAGCACTTTGCGTGATGGGAGCCCCCCAAATACCTCGATGGCCCAAACTAATTAAGTAGCGCATCGCATTATGACTCGTCTTAACCCGCAACTCACTGCGTAGCACACGTGTAGAAGCGGAGCGTGAGTTCGGAGAAATTTACTACTATTGGACGAAAGCGTGACCGAACTGGCGAGCTACAGTGTGCCGCGGGTTTCAACGGCTATTGAAGCGGCACAAACCCCGAGATTTAGTTGCGGCAACTCATCCAGATACTTTACCCGCTGCATTCCCGGCAAAACGCTCTTTGGGGGGTGCGGGGCAGTTGGGTGGTTGGCGTCTCTTTGAGATGAAATCGTCTGGTCGTGTGATTCGCGAGTGCTCCAAACTTAATCGAGGCTATCGAAAAGCCAACGCCAAATCCCAGGCGGCTTTTGATCGAATTTCTGATTGCCGTCAGTCTTTGTCTGACTTCTCCAACGAGTTTCGGGGAACTTTCGGGAGTATGCCATTGAACCTTTCACAAAGGCCTTGGTAAGGGCAATCGCTTCGGCTCTGCAAGCTTGAACATTATCAAGTCATCTTAAGCCCCGAAAGCTCACATTGATAGCCGAAACCCCACATGTCGGTGTCATCGATGCACTTCTTTCAGTCAGATCCAATGTGAAACCACGCGGGTGACAAAACACATAACCCCTTTCAGACTACCTCTTTAAAATTCACTAGATTAAACTAATGATTCTCAAATTAAATAGGATAACAATGAAGTCTTTTTTCGTAACTCAGCTTATTTTTTTTTTTTTTTTTTTTTTTTCCAATATTAAGGTCTGTTTAGGGGTGTTTTTGGGCGTGTTGCTGGGAGTGCGAGCAAGTACGGCGACGAGCTAGGTATTTTGTCACCAGCGTGCAGATTAAGCCACGCGGAACTAAGTGGGGTATTCGCGTGCATCGCTTCATTCGCCCGGATAAGGACCTGGAGCTTCTAACGTGGACGAGCAATCCCAATCCGAGAACTCCCAAGCCTGCAGGTGGTTTCAACCTACCCAGTTTCTCGGATTTCGGCTGAGCCCGAGACACTACAAGGCTTGAATTGAGTTGGTGCTAACTGCTATGGTAGTGAGCAGACTGAAATACTAGACTTCTGTTGGCCCGGATACAGTTGTTCCATTCACCACGGAATTATTCTGTCAAGATGTTGATTCAGCATTTGAGATGCGAGCCAAGCCTCGGTTAGTTGATCCGCTATCACTTAACGGACCGAGGAGCTCATATTCTTTTAGAATCATAGCACCACTTAAGCAGGTAATTAAATCCAGCCTTACAAGAATCTTCCTCGTGTCACAAAAATGGACATTTATGCAGGCCTTGTATTGGCAACTTGAGGTTAGAAGCCCAGTTGGCAAGTGTGCCGGTCGCTACTTTTATCCGTACACGCGAGCCAGCCCTTCATAATAATAGATTTGAGTTGGAAAGTTTTAAGATTAGGCTGCTAGACATCCAGACAATCTCTCGTCACGTTGGCATCAGCAGAGGAAGCAAGCATGCCATACTTTACATGGCCGTCAGTCATCAGCAGCCTTGTTTATTTTCCTTAATTATTTGCAAATTCATTTGGCTGAAGGCTCTTTCGGCTTGCCATATCCTTGAGGAGTTTCAGTCGCCATCTTCTATCCATAGCCCTGTAGCAACAGTAACTTGTTATAGTCATTGTGATTGGCTGAGTTACGGTCAATCACATTCTAATATCAACATCATTCCTAAAAATCAGCCGACGGCGTACGGATGATGAAAACACTTGAACTCACGATGGGAGTAAAGACCAAGCAGGTATGAAGCATGAAGCACAAATCTGGTGCTCAAATTCAATATGATTCCCATCTACCAAACCTTTTACAGGACCTTTCGCACCAACTTTCATATCCCTACATTGGCGTGGTTTGCCAAGGATGATTGTGAATGGCTAATCAGCGCGGTAGTCTTGCCCAACCAGTCTTCAAAGAGCCTTTGGGCGTGAACCTAGGCAGAGGATGCGCCTCTGTGTTGAAGACGACCTCGGTCAAGGGCATGTAGTCTGTCGGCGAGAAAAGCAAGTAGAAGTACTTCAGAGTTTCGGCCTATAATGAACAAGGTCAGCTTGAGCCCTACTCTGTGTAACACGGTTCATTCTTATGATAGGACTTACCAGCCAAAAGCTCTCCATGTTGTCCCTCGTTGCTGCGGGCACCGTCCGCACATCATTCAGGCTAGTGTACCCCTCCCCATCGAGCACCAAGGTGTGTTCCTGGAACGACTGGAAAATCTTCCAGCCCCATTCCCGGTACATGGCGTTGCCGGTAATACGGTACATCATGAACAGGCTCTCTACTGTCTCGGGTCTTTGCAGGTTATGAGCGTCGAGAGGCTTAATGATGAAATCCTTTTTCCATTTCGACAACGCTGTAGGCCCTGTTAGGAGACAGAAATGTCCGCACATGAGAGAAAGACGGGACGGACCACTGCTTTCTTTCCGTAGCCACCTATCGCCGGGTCCAGGCTGCAAGTCCGCCTCGGTGGCGTTGAACCATGCAATCTCGGGGGCGAGACCGGTGTCTGTGACGGCGTACATGCCCCAGCAGGTGTTCATGATCTCCATGGCGAGTTCAATGTCGTCTTCATGCTGAGGAGTCCAGTCCGGGTCACGGCGGGCTTCCGCTAGGGGGCGTCCTTCTGTCGCCTGTCATGACGGAGTTAAGTATCTTCATTACTGAAAGATAATTGAGCGGGAAACTTGGGGGTACTTACAGCCATGGCGATTGTGCCAGGAAGGAAGCAGACGAGATGGTCCATCTTGGGAGAAAGCGCTCCTCCTACACCAGTAGGAAGCTCCGCAACAAATTTCAGGGCTGCGTTCCGCGTTGTTGTGACGAGATGTTTCGCGATGCCGCCTAATGCGTCTTCCCACATGTCACGGTAGATGACTTCGCCCGTCTGGAGGTACTGCTTCGCAAGATATTCTACGCGATATAAGCTTCAGGTACAGCTCGCACACGGTGGTGGCTCTTACCATAGTACGAGTCGCCTCGGCTTCCAAGCCGTATTTCCCTCGTCGTGAAACGCCCGTGGCTCGGGTGCACAAAAATGGGAAGTAGACCGCCCTCCATCTTCTGGTCATCCAGCACCTTCATGACACGCTCTGCCTTTTGCCAGTAAATATCATTCCCAGTCAAATGGGAAAGGTACTTCATCTCGAGCTGCACAGTAGCAGCCTCCGCCGTGGAGGAAGCCCCACCATCCGCATGCGAGACGATGCCTTGCCTCTTGCCAATGTTGACACTTGCATACGGGATCCCGGAATCGGAATCAAATGCAACCAGGAGCCGGTCCGCCAAGTCGATCGCCTTGGAGAGGTAGACAGAGTCTATGTTGAATGCGGCGTGCGGCAGCTGCGTTGAGAGGTAGTGTGCTGAAAGGAGACCGCCCATCATGCGGATCGTAGTCTCGAATGTGTTTATGTCTTGGTCTTGGTCCCAGGTTAAGCTGCGGTGCAGCCATCTCCGGGCGTCGGCTAAGGGCTGGGTAAGATTCATGAGCATCATCGTGTCCAGACTGTCGACGATGATCCAGCCTAAGCCCTTGGGAGACATATTTTCCCCTTTCTTGGACAGGGGATGAAAAACGTCATTGCCTTGAAAATCGTCAAAAATTTAGTCGCATTAGAACAACACGAAGACATGACGAGTTAAAAGTAGGACGGCTTACCCCACGCATGTTCCTTGTACGCATTCCAGCTGGTCAGAAACGCATCTCTTACTTCCTCTCTTCTATCATTCCAGTCAACAAATTGTGATTGCGGGCTGTATGGCGTGTGTCCAAAAGCATGATCAGAAAAGTATCCTGTAAGGGACAGGCCGATGATTCCAGAAACAAATATGCCAATGAGGATGTTGCGTATTCTCCGTTTCAGTAAAATTTTCCTCTCGTTGGACAAGCGTATGGCAGCTCGAATATCTCGACCGGCCAGACCAGTGGCCTTAGATCGCGTGGGTGAGTTTCGGCCTCGTCGATTCGGTGAGGAGCCCATCATGAGGTTTCTGCGGTCAATGAGTGTGTTTGGACCAGAACCAGACTCGGCCGTCCCTCCAGGCCTCAACGAAGGGAATTCGTCAATTAAAAGGACTAGAGGAATGAAGGTGTCTTCCATTCAAACCAACAATCAGGAACGCCAGGGCGTAGCGCCCTTGGCTAGGAAGAGGTACCCGGTGATTGATGCTGTCCATGACGGTAGATTTCAATTTGTTTCATCATGAGAGGCGTACTCTAGTCGTCTTTCTCATTCGGACATTGAAAGGAGCAAACAAGCGCCCTGTGATTCTATTGGGTACAGAAGAATTGGTAACGACCCGATTAACCTGGGCATCTCAAGATCTCGCGATGCTATTCGCCCAGGTTCCACAAAACAGTTTTTGGAACTCGGGGGTTGCTCTTATTTCGTCCCGCGCGCTACGACCGGGAATTGCGGCCATAAGAACATGGCCTGTTGTCGGGGCCTGTTTTCTCAAGATACGCAAGCGCTGGATTTTTTTTGGAGTTTGATCTAGGTTCATTATGCCTAATATCACAATGCGGACAAACAAGACCCCGGTGCGTAAATGTTGGAGTTGATTTTGGAACCAACGACCGCAACCATGCAGGTATTCCTTCCACGCCATCATGTGGGACAAAACGTGCCGGCGTGCCGGTTCAACACGTTATAGGTCTGTTGGGTACGTGTTCGAGTTACAGCAATGGCAATTCAAGTAGATCGTGTTAAACCTTGCCTTCGTGGAGTCCTCTGAACCAAAGACGTGGGCAATCTCATCCATCTTTTTCCCCATCATTATTCTCACTATTGTATAATATAGAGATCATGGTCTGAATGCTTTGGCCAAGATGACAACAGCGTATCCCGCCGAAACCAACCAAAACGGCACCGTCACGTCTTTTATAGCGCTCCCGACTGTTTTCACACCACCAACCAGCTGTTCGACAATCTATCGCCTCAACGGCTTCACCCTCGCAGCTTATGATCCAGGTTACGGCATCGACATCGACACCAGAGTACGATGTGCCCCTCCAGCAGTCACAACGTGGTGGGAACAACGTCGTCTGGGCCTCAACGATGGCGAAGGCCATACCGCTGTCAGCATTGGGCCTTTGGTATGTCCTGACCGCTGGCCAACGGTTGCGATATCAGTCAAGAACGATACCAGAAGCACCCTTGCTATGTGTTGCCCTGCGTAGGTCTTGTTTTTCCATCATGGATAGCTCAGCAATCGATAGCTTTCGTTTCTGATCACCTAGTGAGATAGAGACTATACTCTGATCAAGGGCATCCCTGGAACCATTACAGGAGAGTGTCGTTCAGATCTTCTTTCCGGTGCGGTGATTACTTACGCATCGACGTCCGCCCCAAACTCGTTAAGCTGGACAATGGTGACATCAACCCTCACGGAACCGGGTTACGTTGGCGCCATCGCAGTGCTTGGGTGGACCTTTCAGGAGACAACGACCAAAGCTCCTACGACTTCAACAGCAAAATTCGGCGATAATGACGCAACTGCGACTCCGACAGAGGCAGTCAATATCTATACCCCCACTCTTCCCCGCGAAACTACACACTCTGATCCCTCCTCGACCACGACTCAACCGACTTTGGGAGCAACCTCTGAACCCGAGCCTGCCGGCCTTCCATTGCCCACCACCATCGGAATCGGTGTCGGTGCTGCGGTAGGGGGCATCGCGTTAACCGCCCTCGTGTTCTTCCTCTGTCGTAGAAAACGCAGCCAGCGGTATAAGTCAAAGGAGATTGCACCAGTCACCAAAGAGCTTCATGCAAAGCCTCTCGAGCCGGACAAATTTGCATCTCCCACGCGCTATCACGAGCTCTACGTCCATCAGCAGGATAGAAACCGTGAAGCAGCAGAGTTACCCGTTCCGCAATACTTCGCAGAGCTAGATGGAGGAGGCCGGCGTTAAAATTGGCCACTCTCGGCAAGATGAGGATTTGATGATGTAACCCTTGCACAAGAATATAGCGAGCCGCGGGACTGTTTTGGGAAGTGTCGAATTTGTCTGGCTTTAGGGATGCCGATTGTATTGCGGTCGTATCTGTCTATTGGGGAGCTCGTCTGATGTAGATATGATGCTAGAGATATATGTTCAACCCTATTGTAATTGTAGTCAACCCAATCTTACCTCATGAGATGGCCTCTGATTATGACTGCTCAACTTTATCGAAACAAAGAGAACGACTAACACAGCCAGCCCTGAGCCATTTTGCTCTTCCGGATCGAAATGGATTACAGGCCCAGCTTCGCCAACTCGCTCTCCAAACTCACCCGCCACGCCCTCGCCTTATCCCCTTGACCTTTGGGAGAAGCCTCACAGATCGCCCTCGTAAAGTTTACAACCCTCTGCACCGTCTCCTGAATGCCCCGATACGGCCACCCCGCGACAACCTCAACCTCGATCCCCTTCTCGCGACAAATCTCTCTTGCCCACCCCCTCATCAGGTCCCTCTCCGCCTTCTCCACCTGTTCGTCCTTGCCTCCACCCCAAGGATACAGAAATGCGTTGGGCGGATCCCACCTCGGCCCCGGCACCACCCCACCAAACTCCCAATCCAGAATGCCCGTCACCGTTCCCTCCCCATCAACCATGACATTGGCAAGATGCAAGTCCCGGTGCGCGAGGACGTACCTCGTATCGTCCACCTCGCCCGCATGAACCCGAACATACTCGCGATACGCCTCCAACCTCGGCACGAGATCCCTCATCCACTCCAGCAGCGGGTGCCTGCCAATCGCGTAGACGTACTTCTCGACGCTCACATCAAGATGCTCCGCCCAACTCGAAAACGCACCCCCGACAGGATTCAACGTCTCCGGCGTCTCCCCCCCGGCGGCGTCCAGGCCCTCGCCGCCCCCGGTAAGACCACCCCAATAACGTTTAATCTCAGGCTCCATCCAAAACCACTCGTCCACAACCGGGCCCGGCACGACCTCGCCTCCCTCGCCGACCCTCAACCCGCCAACATGCCTCCACACGCCCTCGGACCTCTCCCACAACTCCGCGAGGAACCCGACGAGCTGCTCGACAAGCCGCCTCCGCGCACTCTCGCCCAGCCCCCAAAACACCTTTTCCGCGCTCGAACCGGGGACCCTCTCCAGCAACGTAAACTCGTACCCCAGGGCGTTGTCGGACGAGGCATCCCACCGCAGCACGGCGGGCACCGGCACGGAGGTGTGTTCTCGCACCCAGCGCATCACGGCGACTTCGTTTTCCGTCTTGATGCGCGGGAGGTGGGGTCCCGCTACGCGCAAGACGAGCGTCGTTGTGCCGTCTCCGTTGGGCCGTGCCGGTGCGAGGTGCGCGGCGGCCGAGGGTGGGAAGTGGAGGAGGTAGATGCTGTGGAAGGCCGCCGTCACCGTCAGGGCCTCTGATTGAGTCGGTTTTGGGAGGCCGAGGGATGTCGAGAACGCGGCGATTTCGGTGGGCGTCAGGAGGGGTGGGAGGTGTGCCGCGGATTCGGCCATCTTGAGTGATTTCGCAAAAGTTGGGCTTCTATGGCTTTGGTGGTTCTACTATTGAGTTTTGGGGTGTATTTGCCAAAGTAGAGACACAGAGTCGGGTTCTCGAGGACCGTATTTATCCTTTTTTCGTCTGACCAAAGTCTTTCTTCCACCCCCCTCCCTAGAACACACAGAGTTGCCTTCTCTAGATTAACTGTCACTGGACGATGTTGAAGCAAAGTAAGCGCTACGGTCTCGGCCCCACATACCTAATCAATACCGGGCCCGGCGCCGATGAGCGGGTCCGATTACCCGGATGAGCCATTCTGCATCATTCGCGCCCCATCCACACCTTGGGGGAGTCACCCCATCATCCACATCCCCCATCTAGTCATATCAATTGAGAGTTGAATATCAGCGATCCGAGTGACATCCGTCCGCTTGCAAATTGCCATTCTGCAGTATCCGAGGCACGAACAAGGCAGAAACACCCGGCTGGTATAGTTCGTTTCCCTGGAAAGTGGAAGAAGCCTTGCTGCTCCACTAGGTGCCTACTTATACAACATGATTGAACTCTCCGAATCTCCTTGAGTCACAGACCCCAGAGTGATTTGAGCAATTCATGGGCAGTTCATCTCCAAAAGCCCGCACGTACTCGTTCTACAAGCAGAGCATCGTCCATCTTGAAGAGCAGGATCTCGAACAACGTCAAATAACCTACTGATACTCACATATCTTTACCTCCCGCCGCTCCCGTCCAAGACATACGTATGCCGTTCCTCTATTCCGAAGATGGAGCCCGACGAGTTTTGAAATGGCGGTCGGTCCTTGACCGGCAACCTCCGTCTTGCCTTTGGCAAACATCATCGCCGATTGGCGATACAGAGTCATTGCGTTCACATTAGGAAACTCAATCCGGGACTCATGGAAAACTCCGACTACCTCAGCCAGTTCTCATTGAACATGAGACACATGCCTAGCAGCATCAATATGATATCAGACGCACTGTTGAAGCTGCCTCCAGCTACGCGCGATGAATCCAAAAGGCCCACGTTGGCTAAGACACTGCTCCTCAACATAAAGCTGGGCACTCAAGGTATCTTATCCAAGAGCAAAGTAGTGAGGTCGTCATTCAATATAAATACTCTGAGTCCGACATATCAAAAGGAAAGAAAGAAACTCACCCGATATCTTGACCCCCGAAAGTCCAAGACCACGCACCACCATCAACAGCATATCCCCACTAACACCACGAGATAATCATTGTCAGCAGCTAGCCATTTTTAATTTTGCCCCACGCTGCCGAACCGCCCGACTCGGATCATCGACGCATTACTGTGTCCTTTTTGTCCAGCCAACACGAGTCGCGTTTCTCAAACCCTCAAAACCCAAACTAAACCCAGCTTACCCCTGCCAACCAACCTGAAGACGGGGAGGTGTGCTCTGCAATACCGGCAGAAAAGAGCCGCGTAATCAATCTCAACAGCCACCAAGCCGGACCTCACGAGACAGTTACCGAGACTAAGAACAAGACTCATCGTTATCATGTTGTCCTGGGGTTTCCCACATTGAAGAGTATCAGAATTATAAGCCAGGTAATTAAATTTTAACCTGCCTTCGCATCTTGGCCAACCACTAGGAGCGTTCTCTTGATGGTCACTTCTGCAATTACAATCCGCGGGGATGACCTTCTCCCGTTGACCAGGAATTTCCGACGCCGCTTTCGCTTGAATCTGGGAATCGGGACATATGATCACTTGAATTGGTATGATAGCCTTGGAGCTGACTCGCGTTACTTTGTCTTTGCCTAACTATCTATGGCCGTCTCGTTAATATTTTACCATCATGTTTCTGGACTTATTAAAATGCTATACATTGGGGGGACTCCCGAGCCCCGTGGCACATCCCCGACAAACTTAGTCTCCCTACTAACCTAAGAGTTGCCGTCTCGTACGTTTACACCAGACTTTTCAGGGTTGGGCGTCATTAAAAGCCATCAGTTATTACAAATCAACCCGCAAAACAGATAGAAAAGCAAAATCCAAGATAATTGCCCATGTATGTATAAGTTTCCGTCAATTAGTCATGTTCATACAAATGTGCGCAGCTGGCTTGTGTTAATATTATCTTGTCCTAGCTGCAAATGCCGTGTCCAGGGATTTCTTTTCCATCGACTTCCCTCCATCCATCGGCATGAAACCAGGGTGCACTTGAACTCAAAATAGGCATCACGCATCCTGCCGCATCCTGGTCCAGCTTACTGCGTCAGTTGAGTCGCAATGCTTCTTCGCGACGCTGGTTCTTTTGCTGTCCCCGCCGGTCGCGCACCGTTGGTTGTTTACGCGTGAACGGCCGGGGCAGCGACGGGAGCAGCTTCCTTGGCGGCCTCGGCAGCAGGAGCGGCAGGCGCAGCGGCAACGGGAGCGGCGACGGCAGGAGCAGCGGCAACGGGGTTGGCAATCTTAGCGCTGGACAGACTCTGCTGGGCGACCTGGATGATGTTGGCCTGGCCGAGAGTGTTCTGGGGGAATCGAGCGTTAAAGCCAATGACATCGCGGACGGCAGTGAAGGTTTGAGGCTGGACCATGAGTCGTTGGGTTGAGACGAGCCACTGAACACCCTCAGAGCAGGGAGGAGTGGTGAGGGAACCCATGTAGCTGCAGACAAATTAGAATATGGAAGCCAAGGAAACTATCAAACATGGATCGTACCTTTGGAAGCTGCCGGCGGAGAGCAGGGTAACAACTTCTTGCATGTTCAGTGCGCCCGTCTTAGTGACGGTGCCAGGCTCCTTGATGGCATCGAGAGACGAAAAGACGGTTTCGAGCAGGCTAGAAGAAGCAGCCTCGGATTTGATGGGGTTGGTTCCCATCGCAGGAATAGCCTTCGGGGCTTCGACCGCCGCTCCAGTAGCAGCGCGGCGGGCCAGCCTGGTGCGGCGCTCGGCGGTGGTGTTCCCTCTCGCGGGAGCAGCGTCAGCGACTGGGGCGGCAGCGGCAGCGCCCTGATCCAGATCGATGTAGGTACCAATGACGGCAATCTCCTGGTTGGCCCCCTCGAATACCATGTGCATCTCCATAGCCATACTCTTCCCAGCATCGAGATGCTCGCTCGGCAAGTGGAAGTGGAACTGTTGCAGGGTGAAGTTGCTGCCTCCAACTTGCATTGATCCGCCCTTGGCAATAACCTCGACAGTGGTTCCAAGGTTCTCAAACTCAGTGCCCTCAGCCATGTCGGGGATCTCGAGGTTGATGGAGTTTCCGGGGAGAACATTGAAGGAGCCGGCCACCATGTCGATAGGAGACTGCGTGGTTCCCGTGGCGCACAGCTGGTTAGCAGTAACATCCAGAGCTACCCAGTTCAAAGGGCCCTTGATGAAAGTGTCAGTCTTTGGGTTTCTGGCTTCTTGGGAAGAGAGATCACTCACATTGCTGCCGGTGTAAGCAAAGTTGTTAACCTTGACCTTTCCGTCCTCAGCACGAGGATCCAAGTGAGTTCCATAGGCGCACGAGGCCAGGACCTGGGAGACAGAGGCGGCGAAGAAGCCGAAAGTGAAGAGACGGGAAGACATTTTAATAAAGCTAGGATACGGGACCAGCGCGTAGGGGGCCTAAAAAGGATCGAAGGAAGGGAAGAATAGAAGCGAGTTACAAAAAAGTGAATTATTGAAGAAAAAACGTATGACCAGCCCTATAGGGGAAGAAACGAAACGAGCGGGAAAAGAAGTTGAGGGTGAAGAAAAGACAGATGATGAAGATGAGAAACGAGATGAGCCGAGAGAAGAATTACGTTTGCGTCAAGATGGCATGATGTCTATATAGTCTGGATCTGTAAGACTGTAGTCGAGAACTGGTTATCGCGGTGATCGACTTTACAGGTCCAAGAATAGCATTGATGCTCAAGAACCCATGAAAAGGTAGCCGGGGAGGATAATTAGCGAGGGACGGAATCATGGTGAGGATCTTGGCATGTGCTTCATCCAGGGTGCTGACAAGCACTGAGAGGCTTAGAAGGAAAAAGAGAACGGGTTGATGAATGAGATTGAGGGTTCCCTGTGTTTGGGAATGAGCGCCTTCGTTTCCCATGGTATCGCGGGCGTGTTTCTGGCGCAGGACAGGGGGGCCATTCAAGCTTCTCCATCCAATACGACTGCTTGTCATCTGGAATATGGGCCAGGATTGTGCCATCCGGCCAAGCCCGGGCGAGGCTATTGAGACGGAGGGGGAGGGCGGGTTGGACAAGAGAGCGGAGAACCAGGGTCCTAGTCATGTTGACAGGATGGGCGTCCGTCGCCAGGGTGAAACTGCCAGGCTCCGGAGGATTGGACGGGGTGTGGGGAATATGGCCACTCTGTCGGTCTTGTTCTTGGCCATGTCAACGGCTGTAAAGAGTACCCCTGCGTTGGTCAAGTGGAGGACGGCGGAATTGGCGGGAGCGATGTCCAAGAGAAAAGACAAGAGATGGGGCTCTTTGTCCAAGAGGCCCAGCAAGACACCCAAGAGAATACCAAGAAGGCGGGGAGCAGCACTGGAGCACGAGACACGATGGCAGGTGGTATGGTGCTACGTGGGCCTTTGGTACATGTACGTACCTTTCCATCCCTCGAACTGTCTCTGGACCACGTGCAGAAGTTTGGGGTGAGAGCGGATGGGAAGGTACCCAGTAAGGTGCTCTATGCTGGGTTACCCGTTGGGTGAGGACGCTGGGGATGTGAAGAAAAGGTGGTAAGTGCGATACCTGCCGCATGCTCTGAGCAGGAACTTCGGGTTAAGGTAACCCCAGGCGTGTTCATTCCTTTCGACAAGCGCTGAGTAATACAAGGAAGATGGTAGTTGTATCCGCAAAGGGCCTTCCTTCCTGGTCGTACGCGTGGCAGAGTCGGCAAAAGACTACCCCGTACAGTCAAGGTAATGGCAGGCGGCGACCAGGGATGAGGCAGTCCACGGGTCGTCAAAAAAACCTTGTTAGCCTTTGGTAGTGCTCTAAACCTTAACAGCCTTTAAGCCCATAACCTACTGCTCTAGCCTGGCTCTGACACTCTGTCACGCTGAGTCTGTTCGGACGACACAGGTGCATTCAGACCCGCTTTTCCCACCCGTCACCGCGTGCTGAGACGACGCACGGGACACGAAGCAGACAGTTCCAGGCCGCAGCAGGAAAGAGTAAGTTGACCGCATGGCGCCGCATGGAGGGACCTAATGTCACCTGGAGCACCTCAGATGAAGCACGTACCTGCCTTACTTTACTGTACTTTGGACCCCTTCTTTCTTTCTTGCGTTGCAGCCAAGCTGCGAGGGAGGAGAGCCGGACGACATATCCAATAGAGGCGCTAAGACTCAAAAGATGTTGGATCCCGTGTAAAGGCGAGAGAGTTGTGAAAAGGGATGACAGGAAAGGGGGGTGAAGGAGAAAACAGGTGATTTTTGCAGAGCCAAGAGGTGAAATGGTTGCCAAGTCAAACCACTGTGGATGGAACCTAAGTGCACCCTGGGTAGCGTTCCATCCAGACGGTACGCCGCTGGGAACCCCTTCCTTGCTATGGATAACCTCCACTGCCTTTACCTGGTAGGTAGTAACCGCCAATCCCTCGGTTCATCCCCCCCTACGGCGCCTCTACCTGCTGTAGGCCGCCGTCTCTGTCCACCCGTTCGCCGGCCGCGCCTCTCGCCAAGTCTTGCACCTCCTGGTTTCTTCTGGGCGCGTCTCACGCCTATCCAAGATGCCGGGGCCTGCGACAAACCTGCGCCTCTGCATCCCGACTTCACCATTTCCCTAGGCGACATCGCCATCGCAGTAGCATTCGTCTGCCCTTCAACCCCAGCCCTTTGCCTCCTCGAGCTTTCTACTACCCAAGGTACCTTGTTCACGTCTTCAGACTTCCGCTACCCTCCCCAGCAGCCCATCGCCACGCCTCGCCGCGCCCCATCTGTCAGCTATGCCATCCCTCTCCGCGCTCCCGCCAACCGTCTCGACCTCTCCGTCGGCACCGCCTGCCTTCCTCTGAAGCTTCTTGGCGCGCTCCAGACGTCAGACGGCCCCTCCTTTGGCGCCAAGTCCCAGCGCCTACCGGAACCGCGTCTGATGTTTTAACGACGACATGGGAAGCCGAGAAGCTATCCCCATCTCCTCATCACCACGGTGTGCCTGCCTGCCGGCCAGCCTTTTGGATATGGCCCCAACTGAACGACACGGTTCTTCGACGGTCCGTACTCGGCGTCCGGCGCGCAACTTACTCAACTCGGGATTGGCCCTGGTCTTCGCTTTCGCTCTTTGTTTGGTGCCCCAACTGTGCCGATAACTTGCCAAGTTGCCCAGCCTTCTCGTCTCCATCACACACGAGAGTTCTCAATCTGAATACGACGTCGCTCAAGAGGTCGAATGACACTCTTTGACAGAATTCCCTTGGAGAATCCCGAATGCCGCCTTGGAGGCCAAGGCTGTCTTCATCTCCATCATCACCAAGGTTTCCGACCTCTTTTCTGCGGCGCATAAACTCCGCAGATGGCGACTGGCGAGCGTGAGCCAAGACGACTTCTTCTCATATTTCATCACCACCGCCCGCAGCATTCGCCTGTCAGTCGGTTCATCCAACATCCGCAGGATCTACGTTGTCTACGCTGCCACTGTCACTTGGCCTAGGATGATGCGCACCGCGGCTGGAACGTCTCAGCGGGAAACACTGACGTTGCTTCTCTCGCCGCTTCTTGAAATGCTTTATAAGTGGAACTTGATCTCGAATTCGGACGTCTGAGTGTATGTCTGAGGAAGACGCAACGCATCAAAAAGCAGCAAGAGGAGGGACAGTTACCACTCCTTCAGTGCGATGGGCGCTATGCACTTGACAATGTCGTTTTGACGGCAACTCTTGAATAGGTCCTTCTGGAGCAGGTCGGCTTGGCTAATAGAAAAGACAGTGATTGTCCCCGGGCCTAAGAGGTCTTGACCTCAACAAGAAGTGGAGCTGAGCATCCGCATTCCTTGCATCCCTCACGTCCCGAGGCAGACTCTGCGTTCATGATCGGTTACCAGTCCTCTGTTCTGTTGTAAAGAAAGTCTGAATGGATACGGCTTTGGGACTGTGGCCAGAGCGGACACAAACGGTGCCAAGCACCTGCCGTTGCTTTCAGGGCTAGCGTCGTAACAATAGGAATCTTCTCCGCACGTTGCAACATCCGAGTTTGTTCCTACCCCTTGTCAAACACATCCTTAATTCTTCCAGGGCTGTAAATTGGCGATTGGTCCTACACAGGCCGCATTCCTCGGCGTCTCTATCGAGCCCTGCAGCACTTGGCACTTGGCTACTTGTCCCGCCGTGCCTCTCCGCTCGCTAATGCAAGCCTCTAGTACTGTCCGCCGAGCGAGACAAGCAAAATAAGCTTCCGCTGCCCAGGCTCTAACCATAATGAAGCGTCGACGGTTGTCCTAGGTGGACGAGACCAAGGAAACAAGATTGATGGCTGGCGTTTGATTTCGTCCATCCTTTCCCCAAGGCTGTGAATAGACCACCGCAATCACATTCTCGTCAAATATGCCGTCAAATGTGTTCCTTTCAGCAACTCTCAGACTTCATAATGTCGTGTACTCAGCCCATGATCGACGACTCGAAACGTGGGCCCCCTTGATGATGAAGAACGCGCGTAACCCCCCGCCGCGTATCACGAAATATTGGTCTTTGTCGCTGGCTTTGCTTATTGGTGGAAAGGAGACGAGGAGGCGAGGAGTTGAGGAGGCGAGCAGACTTCCGCGAACATCATGGCATTCGATTCACTACCTGACGGATGGTTTGCAATTCACTTCGTCCGCTCTCGTTCCGCTGACTCATCGACCTATCAAGTGGTAGGCGTCTGGCCTGGAGGATCGATGACGCAAAATCGTTGCGGCGAGCTCCTGCCTAAGTAGGCTCCATGCAGAATGCTACCCGTCATCTGTATGAACTATTTTGCACTTACATTTTCCACTCATAATTAGTTATTCTTCCGACGGGATTGACTATCCCTAGCCCGCTCGCTAGGCCGGATCTCAACCCGCACTCTGAACCGCTTCCCGAATCGCTTCCTTTGACACACTATACCCTCATCGTCAAGTCCTAGACACGATTCTACCTCCTATATATTTCCATTATTCTCTGAGGCTAAGGAATGACTGCCATTCTTTACTTATGCCAGATGTCGAAAAGACGCTAGCTTCCCCGGGGGGGGAAGGAGACCCATTCACCGGCCGACGCCGACCGTGGAGAAGTGGGACCATTCGCTTACTGAATTGGGAATGCGAACAACCACACGCTGCCAAAGGAACCTACATGTACTTAGGTACACTCCACTCCCGCGCCTGAATGTCTGGCGTTCACGGGCGTTGTTGGCTGAACAGGGACTTTGGGTGGACTAGCCTGACCATTTAAGGAATGGCAGTGATGAACTCCGATAGGCAACCAGAGATTGATGCCCCGATGGCTCGGGGTTGGTCTTTTCACTAGCGCGTCCGCAAACTCCGCTTTGCTAACCCGCTGTACTAACCCGCTGTGCTAACCCGGTCAGGAATGCGAAGCTATCCGAACCTCATGTCGTGGTCTATAAAGATGATTCAATCTTTGACACCTGATGAATCTGAGAGAATTCTTTTCATTCTTTTGGGTCGCAAGTAAAATCGCTCTCCATTTTCTTTCCCTTCGACTCCTCTTCATATATATATATATATATATATATATATAAAACCTAATCATCAAAAATGGTGACCCGTACTCATGTCCAACAATCCAACGCCAAGCTCACAGAGCACACGTCCCCACGAACGGCCGTCTTCGTGGGCGGGACGTCAGGCATCGGCAAGCTTACGCTCATCGAGCTAGTATCTCTCGGGTTCCCCATCACAGTCTACATTGTAGGACGCAAAACAACGGAGCCGGCCATGAGAGTGGTGCTGGACGACCTGCGACAAAAGAACGGCAAGGCGGTGCTGGAATGGGTCGAGGCAGAAGTATCGCTGCTCGCCGAGACACGACGGGTCTGCGATTTGATCAAGGCCAAGGAGTCGAGTCTTGATTTCCTGTGCTTGACGGCGGGCTACGCGCCGTTTGGCGGGAGGAATAGTGAGTTGACCAACGCCAGCCTGCCTACCTGCCCAGTAATTTACAAATCGCGAGCCTCGGATGAGTGAAGCAATGAAATCATGATGCTGATTCTTTTCCCTTGTTGGGTAATCGGCGTAGACACCACAGAAGGCCTGGACATTACGCACGCACTGGAATACTATTCCCGCATGCTCTTCACCCTGAACCTCCTCCCACTCCTCCGCGCCGCTCCTTCTCCGCGTGTCCTGACCGTTCTCGCGGGAAGCATGCTCTCCACCCGCATTGACGCCTCCGACCTCAACCTCGAAAGGTCGGACAGCCTCTTTGGGTTCCGGACGCAGACACACATGGCCAACATGAATAGCCTCTTCTTCGACCGGCTCGCGGCCGACCCGGCGAATGGGGCCATCAGCTTTGTGCATAATTGGCCGGGTGCGGTGGACACGGGGAACATGGCACGGTATCACACGCCTACGCGGTGGTCGCCTTGGCCGTTGACGCATCTTTTGAGGGTGTTGTTTTTGGTGATGGGGTTTGATGAGAAGGAGGCCGGGGAGAGGCATGTTTATATTGCGACGAGTGGGAGGTTTGGCGGGGCGGCTGGGCCCTTGGGGGAGAAGGAGGATGGGGGGAGCCGGTGTAAGAATACCCGCGGGCAGGAGGGGGAGAATGGGTTGTTTTTGTTGAATCATAAGGGGGACGTTTCGTATAGCGAAAAGGCTTTGGAGGAGTTGAGGGGGGAGGTGCAGGGTAAGGTGTGGGATACGACGATGGAGATTTTGGGACCATATTTGGGGTGAGGGTCTGGTCGAATGGCGGAAGGAAAGATATCACAGGGCGGGCGAGGCACGGATATGTGAAAATTTGTTGGCGAACTTTCGTTGTTTCGACTGAGACTATTTTAATGAACTAATACTTCAATGTGTTGAACCCCTAGCATGCTGCCCTCGAGTCGGTTTCGACCGATTAATACAAATAATTTTGAGAAGCAAGTGCTCCAAACGGTTGAGCTCGTCAGAGACATCACTTGCCCAGGACTGTGCTCTCATGCTGCTTAATCTCTCTCATGCAAATTGCCACGAGAGTATCTAACGACCTCCTCGAAGCTGTTTCGGCCACTGCGCTGCTTCGACTTCAATCTCTGAGCAATTTGTAGACCATCACTTTGTAAAGCGAATGCCGAAACAAGCTCTTGCCCCGTACTTTCAATGATACCTATAGATGTGTGCAATCATTGACTGTCAACTTTCTCTCCTATGGGGTGGTCGTATGCATAAAAAGTGTTTGGGAAAATGGCACAGGAAACCAGGCGAGTTTAGATCTACAAGGAGATCAGCGGTCATCTTAGACTCCCCATGACATGAACCTTTCTTGGCGTGGTTTGCCAGATAAACTTGTCGAGCTACGAGATTTACGTCACTTGTTTCCCCATGGGGCAAGTCAAGGTAGTTACCGGAGTACTCCTATACAGGACAGCCCCTAAGCAACTGTGATTTAGCCTCTAGCGTATATAACAACAAGCACTGGGACTTATACATTGGGAGCTGAGGTCCATCTTCTTGGGGTTTGAGTTCGCGTAACGAGCACACTCAAGATCATTCTATCTGTGCTACATAATATACATCATTGACAGTCCACCTTGTCCAGGCTCAGTGTGTATAGCGGCTGAATACCCTCTATAATCTAAACCGAGGCAGGCTGTCAAATCGAAGCTGACGGTGATGTCTGTAGATAATCGGTATTTCAGTACATTTTAGACAGTTCAAGTCGAGGATGTGTGTCCAGAAATTTCTCAACCGTGACTCTCCTTTGTGATCTCACTGGATTACTTAGTGTATATGTAAGTCTTTCTCGTGTACACGTATGCACACGGCGCAGTCCTTTTCGAGTTTGAGTAGCGGTGTATTTTTCAATAGTACACGTCTCAATTATATAGGTATACTGACTCAACTTAGGCTAATCTGTGACCTCTGTCTCAGACAAAACGGACCAACCCGGTGCCGATCGCCCGGGGTTTTTTTTTTTTGGCACGCTGGCAGCAATCGGAATTCTCAGATGCGGAGTACGAGTGAGCCCAGTGCTAGCTAGCGTGCATCTTGGTGGGGGGCCAGCGTCAGCGCCATCTTTCGCAACGGCTCCAATATTGGCTGCAACTTCACATGCACGTAATCGCGTAGGAGAGAGGCTGGGAAGTTTGGAGGGTTGGAGTAAGGTAAGCGTAAGATAGGAGGGGGTCAGACTAGGGGCATGTTTGTGGAGGGTGTAGGATCAGCCCGCAGCAGGATGCAACCCTGCACCCAAGGTCATTCGGACTCTTTTTGTTTGGTCGAATGTCGACTACTCATCAAGACGGGAATCTAGATCAATCGTGTTTACAACTCCGTCTTTGCAGTTTGCCAACGTGGAAACTCTAAGCATGTCATCCTCGTCCCCGTGACAATCGCCGTCGGGGACCTCGACCACGTCATCAAAGGGCGAGAGCCAAAAGGGGTCCAACAGACGCCTTCAAAAACCAGCCCGGTTTAAGAAAAGAGCTCCGCGCCTGCGAACCCTCCCGCCCTCTTCCCTCCCAGAGGACGTTGTTGAGCCTCGAAAAAACTGGGAGGGAGCGAGAGCAAGCGACCCAAACAAAAAGAAATCATGCCCTTACCGGTCCTCTCCAAAGAACCCATACCCGGCCTCGCCTTATCAGCATCAGGACTCGTCGCCCTCGCAGACCTCCAAACCATTGCGAACCGGACCGCGCTGACGGGAACGTCCTCGTGGTTCGACGCTCTCGTCCTCGCGCCGGGTCTGCATTATCAACAAGCAGCCGACGCGGTCGCGGGGACCACCGGTACCGTCACCGCCCAGACGTCCGCCGCATTTAGCTATGGGGGCGCCGCGGGAGGAGGAGCGGGAGGAGGAGGAGGAGGAGGAGGAGGAGGAAACGGCGCCGGCATCTTTGGCACGCAGGCGCTACCCGGCGGAAGGAAGAAAGACGTCAAGGTGACGAATCCCGGGATGCTGCTTTTCCTCTCGCGACTCGGGATCCAGGAGGAACGGGCGCGGGAGAAGGCGCTGAAGAAGAGAAAGCTGGCCGGCGGCGGCGGCGGGGTCGAGGCCTTCGGGATCGGGTCCGGGGGAGGAAGCGGGGAGAAGATCATCACACTCGACGTCGGCACTCTCTCCAGCCGGAAGCGGAGTAGGCGGGGCCGGGCGTTTGCCCACGATGCGGACTGGGAGTTTGAACGGGCCAGTCAACTGCTGTACCTCGCGAGCCCGATCCTCACTTTTGCTGCTCTAACCATTATGATATTATTGGCGGATTGTGAGTGTTTGAATCCTCCCTCCCCCCCTTTCCCCTGTTGATTACGCATCCCCAACTACAATCGTTCGATTTTCATACCCTCCTTGTTCACGATCCCCAAATCTCAAACTAGATCTCGTAGTGAGTATCCCGTAGACGGCAACTGACATCCACAAAACAGGGTGGGGACTCGCATCGATCCTAGCTCTCATCACCTCCCGCCTCCTCAACATCTACATTATCAAGCAACGCACCCCTCCCGCGCCGGCCCCGGTCCCCCCTCCGTCCTACACCGGCAACGGCATGGGCATATTATCATCATCATCGTCACCGTCCTCACCCACCAAGCTCTCAGAGTATCTGATCCCGCTCACGCCAACCCTCAAAGTCCGCATGCGCGGACCAGCCGACGACCTCGCCGCCCTCACGACGGACACGTGGCTGCTCACGAAAACGGACGTCCAGGGGTACCTCGAGGCCGCGGCGAAGCTGGCCGTGTACGTGGTCGCCATCTTTAGCGGCAACGTGTCGCAGGCTGGGAACATTGTGCTTTTGGTGCTGCTGTTGGTCAGCGCGGGCTTGCTGGGGCTGAGCAACGGGTTCATGAAGGGCGTCAAGGGCAAGGGGCGCGTCGCGAGGGTGTGGCATGGTGATGATGATGGTGCGGGAAGCGGAGGAGGGAGGAGGGGGGAGATGGGCAGGCCACGCGGCGACGGGCGGGAGGAGGATACGAATGGGACTGGTGATCCGGATTGGGATTCACAGGTTGGGAGGGTTGTGAGGGATCCTTACCCTTTTGAAGGCAACGTTGAATATTCATAGCGTAGAGAGAGCGGTGAAATTGAGGTTGATCGGGTTTGTGGCTTATGGATTCCTGGCAGCCATGTATTCATACGTCAAGCAAGTGAGCACCTTAATGCGAATTATGTTCTTGTTCTCACATCAGTTGAATGATCCGGAACGAGTCTGTAGCATAAGGTATAATGCAGAGCTTTCCGTAGTAAACTACACACTCTGTATGTTTACACCGTTCGCATAGCTCTTTGCTTGTCAACTGATCTAGCACAGACACGATCTTCCTTGAGCTACTGTTGAATTTGGTATGCCTCTTAAGCATTAAAGACAGAGGCACCAAGTGAGCGGAAATCTCAAAGTTTCCGCTTCTTCATGGGTTGGATTTTACGCATCTTGCTACGCGGCACAGCACAGAGTTTGGGTGTATCAAAGGCTGCAGAAAGTAAGATGACGAGTGTGTCTCGAATGATGAACTGATAGGGGGAGAGAAGAGCGGGCAAGACAAGGAGTCGAGCAATCGATCAACACATTTCTTTTCCCACTGTTAATTTCCCTCGCAAATTCCCACTTCCTCCTTTCTCATCTCGGCAGGGAACAGAAGCAAACGCAATGGTCCGTATGCACAAGCGACCGCATCAGCAATCTCTGCATAAGCCAAATATGGAGAAACACCACATGGCCTCAGCCGTCTGCGCCCAAGTCTACAATATCTACAGACAGAACTTCTCCTCGACATCATAGGGCCACTTTCGTCAGCCCAAAGATAGCCTCGGCCGTCTTTGATGCCTTGTCTACGTCGTGGTGTGGTACCGACAGCGCCGACGTGGACCGTGGAGCGAAGCGGTACTCTCGAATCTCGTATCGGTGTCCGTGTCCGCAACGAAGAGATTTCGGGTTCCTGTGGCGGCAGCTTTACCTCGTTCTCAACGCGCTGGACTCTGCGTTGGAGCCTGACTACCGCCCCCGTAATTCTGCGTTTCGGTCGGGAAGGGGGCTTCGCTGTCGACTCTGGGAGGCGGAACGAGGAGGTCGTCAGGATTCTGGTCGAGGCCGGCTGTTTGTTCCCTCGTCGTTGAGAGGGGTCAGGAAATCGCCCTACTCAGTGTGCTTGTGCTCTTGGACAATGGCAAGTTGTCCGGGCTCTCTGCCTGATGACGAGGTTGAAGTTTGATGCGCCGTTCCAGAGTGCTGGGCCACAACGGGCACAGGCTCCTTTTCCTATAATCATTCGATCTTTGTCGTTATTCCGAGGAGGCATTCTTAGGCACGCCAACGAGAAACTCAGCTAATCGCTGCCTCGTCACACCCACGAGCCTTTCATCCCACTGTCAAATTCATCGTTCCACCTGGCGAAACCAAAGGAATCTACTCGATCATGACAGACTGCACATTACCTTGCTAATTGACGTCACTCGATCCGAACGTCAAAACGGCACGGCGAGGTAGGTGACTTGGATTATGAAGAAGCCTTTGGGCCACTTGATTTCCCTTCTAGACATTCACCCCGGAATAACACCGTACAAAATTACTCCCCTACAAGCTTCTCAAATTTTTGGCGGCTAATTATCCAACTCCTTTCTACTCCATACTTGAACGATGAAAGAGGAACAAAACCTTTTTTTAAAAAGAGGGTATATACCAAATTCCAAAATCAAATTCGCGCGCTTCCCTTCCCCGCTTGGCGCCTTCATAACGTCCCAATGCCTCTTTGATCTTTCTCCAGTTCGCAATCTCCGCTTAACAGATGTTGATGAAGCACACGAAAACAAAACAAAAAAACTCTATGGTATATAAAACAAGGATGAGAAACATGTTGTTACATGGACCGATCATTCGTCGTGCTCGGCGACTCCTCGCAGCACTTTACAATCTCGCACAGAGATCGCATGACGAGCGGGTCAACTTCGTTGATCAGGTCCCCTCCCACCACGGACCCACCAGATCCCTCGGCACGTAACGTCGTCACGAGGCGCGCGATACACCGCGACAGCCCCTGCTGCAGCTCCCGGAGGGGGATGTCGGATACCGGCCCCGTCTGTGCTGCGGGCGTCGTCATTGTCGGCACGGCAGCGGCAGTAGCAGCCGCAGCAGGCGGTGGGATTTGGGCCTGCCGAGACGATGAACAGTTCCGGAGGCCGAGGAACATGCTGGAGCGCTTCCGCAATGGCTTTGGCGGTGTCATCATCGTCGAGGCCATCTCCTGCATCCCCTGCACGCCCTGGATACCGAGCAAGCTGGCGGCCTTTTTGGGAATAGAGTCGTCCGTGATGATGCTGCTGCTGCTGGGGCTCGCGGGTGTGGGCGGTCTCAGTGGCGACTGTGTGGTGTTGTTCTGGACCATGGGCGCGAGGTAGTTGTACGCGACGATGTGGGCGTAGAGGGCGTCGCAGAGGTAGTTTGACCCGTGGGGGAAGACGCTGCGGATACGGGACCACTGGGGCGGGACGACGAGGGTCGCTGTTGACGACGGCGCTAGGGAGGCTGAGGAGGGGAGATCGAGGTTGGAGGAGGAGGATGCGCCGCGGGAGCAGCAGCGGCGGTTGAGGTTCGAGGTGCGGCGGGAGCTGAGCCAACGCCAGCGTTTTGGGGATGCGGGCGGGGTGTCTGGGCGGAGCGCTTCCGGGGCGGCGGGTTGCCTGACCTTGCGAGAGTAGCTGCGGATTGTCTCGATGGAGAGGCTGGAGCAGAGGAGCATCGTCTCGGGGAAGCAAGTCACGGAGACGCGGAGGGATTCCATCACGTTGGGAGGGAGAGGGATGCGGCGGCTTTGATCATCCGAGGGAGGGGGCGGGATGTCGATCGGGTCCTCGAGCCAGGTATAGGACGCGCTCAGGGACGAGGTAGGTCGGGACCTTGTTTGGGCCTGGGACCGGGGACGGGGGGTCGGGGTGGTGAATGCTCTGGAAGAACCGCCGGCGCCGGAGCAGGAGGTCGGGCGCGGTGTCACGAGTAAGGGGGGAGCCAGGCCGTGGTGAGGAGCTGGTGTTTGCGGGTCTTGCGCGTCGATGTAGCGGAACCATGGCTCGAGTTCCTCCTTGAGATCGGAGATGATTGAGCTGCGATCCGTGCCCTGCGCGACGACATGATCGGGTTGCACATTCCGTGAAGACGCATGTGATCGGGAACGAGACCGAGTAGAGATGGCTTTGCGGGCGTCATCGGTGAATGACACTCGGTGTTTTAGAGATGAGCAGCGCGTGGGAACGGCTATGTCGACAGAGTGTAGTGAGTTAATCGATGGTATCAAATGGCGGTTCTGGTCCTTGGCGGCGGCAGTCACGGCCGCGGCTGTCGGATCCAGATGCAAGCTCCGGGCCCGGCTGGTGGGCCGGGTGTAACCCTCAAACGGGTTGGACAACCGGCGCGTAGTGGCTGCGGCATTGGCGCTCTTCGCCCGCGGCGGTGATTCGTTGATAGACCGGTCGCCTAGTCGGGATAGCGGCCGGACCGGCTTGATGGGCGTCAAGACTGGCGATTGGACTAGGCTCTTGCCGAGCTCGGGATGATCCGCCGGCGCATCTGGTTCAAAGTCCATCCAGCTCTCTAAGCTGCCGTCTACCTCACCTCCGAAGGAGACGACTCGTTTTTGCGATGAGGATGATGCGGCCGCAGGCTGGCTCGAGGCAGATATTGTGGTGTCTGTAGTGAGGACGGAGTGCTGACGAATGTGCGGTGACTCGGCGGCGTCGTCTTCGCCGTCGAGGTCGCCCCCGGCCATGCTAAAGGAGTCACCGCTCGAGCTCGAGGCGGCGTCTGAAATGTCATGGTCGCTTGCGCCGCTGGCCGAGCTCTTCTCGTCGATGGCACCCAGAGGCTGGAACTGGGCTACGCCGTTGGGGTGGCATGGTGCGCCGAGGACGGTAGGAGGTTCGGCGGTGTCGTGCCAGTCGTCTTCGTCTGAGGCGAGGGCGGGCGAGGGAGCGCCAGCGGTCATGTTCTTGGCGGCGAATATGAGGGCGGAGAACTCAAGGTCCTGTGCCAGCAGCTCCGGCAGGTTGCAGTCCATGGTCGGTTCCGCGGCTTCGGCCATGGCGCCGGCTCGGATGCATAAACGCTCGGCGTGATATCCGTACGAGAGGTCGGTATTGGGCTGTGAACGCGGGCGATGGTGATGGTGGTGGTGTTGTGGTTGAGACTGGGTTGGCAGCGGCGACGAGACAGGACGACAGATGATCGGCCACGGGCTGGAGCTGGAGCTAGAGCTAGAATTGGATCTAGAATTAGAGCTGCTGCTGTTGCTGGAGCTGGAGGGCAGGGTCAGTGGCACGAGGATTTTCATGCTCCGGACGGAGTGTCCTCGTCCTAGGACCGGCGGACGGGATGTTTTAAAGGTTGGAGAGATGTTCCTTGCAAGGAGGGCCTCGGTCGCGTGTGGGGCAAGGAAGGGAGCTGGAACGTCTAAGGTGAACATGGGGTGCATGCCACATGGGTTATTGCTCATGCCATTGGGCGAGTCTCTACGAGAAAAGGGGAGCAACTCCAAAAGCCAGGGATGGTCGTTGCTCGCGAGGTTACTGACCACTTGGGAGCTGCTCAGCCTTTGAGCTGCCAGGGCTGACGACAGGGAAGGGGATGGGGATAGGCCACGGGCGTGTACCACAATGCTCCAGCGTCGATGGACACCCGAGTGCTCACGTCTGTGGGCAATGGGCAGAGGGGACGGAACAGTAGGGCAGAAGAAGGACGCTCGCTAGTGGGGATTCGAGGGAGAACCTTGTTGTTCGATCCCCACTGCTTCTGCTTCTGCTTCTGCGTGTGCAAAGACGAAGGGATCCGTACGAGGTATCCGAACATACAAGGACGAAGAAGATGCGGTCGGATCCGGGATCCCCAAAGAGGGCACCTTGTGACCGTTAGAGAGGAGAGGGGAGAAAGAAAGAGAGGGCCCACGACGAGGGAGATGAGATGGGAGGGGTGTGGTGGCAGAGAGTTCCGTCGCCGAACACCTCGAGGGTGACGACGAGGAATCGAGAATGAGAGAGATTGCTTCCAGATTGTCGGAGGGGAAAGCTGCGTATGCCGTGGCACCTCGAGGACCACAGCTCCGACAACAATCAATATAGCTGCGATACACTCCGCCGGGCTTGCTGCGGCATCTCAGACAACCAACATGGAGGGAAACTAAAGTACTCTGTAGACCATAGGTCCGTAGGTGTTGGTAGACAGGAATGCTGCCATTGTAAGAGTGAGACACAAGTTCGCCAGGCATGGGCTTTTCGCCCTTGCGTCGTCTGCACCTCAACTGTGCATGCGTGGTGTGTGTGTACAGATTGGTAGCCAAGGCCGTCCCTTGGCTTTTGCGCTCTTTCCTTTTCTCTTCCGGGGTCTGCAAAACTTGCGAGCCACAGCATAGTACCCGTGCCGTCTACTCTCTCATCTGCGCGCCCCGGACAGTGTAAAAACTGGCTCTTCTCGCGAGGCAGAGGGAACCAGCCCAACGGGACACCGGAGCTCACGGGATGGAGACATCTAGGAAAGGCCGGGTCAGGGGCAGCAGACTTCTTAGCGTCGAGAAGCGAGCGAGAAGCGGCAGGCATCATGCCCCCGATTTCCGGTCCACCGAACGAACTGTTATTGTGCATTCGTAGGTACCTTTGGGCTGTCGAAAAGAAGACGAGGAAAAAGCAATATGGGCGGATGTAAGTGAGGGCCTCTTGTGCCTTCAATAATGCCACGCTTGTAGTGGGCCCTCTGTGCATATCTGCGCTACATACGGCGGTTCGCGGCCACACGGTTGCAGAAGCAATCAATAATGGTCCTATTTGGCGTCGAAGCTTGGAAGGTGGGTTGCCCACTGGCATCTGAAGGAAGCCTGCTGGGGCTGTGAACTGTCATAGAGTGTCCCGACCCGAGTGCGTGTTCATGACACATGGCCGTGTCCACTGGGACCTGTACGATGGAGGTTTAAAGGGCAGCGAGATGGAGGTTGAAAAAGTTTTCTCCTCGAACGAGTTGTTAACTCCGCAGATAATATCCACCACGTTGTATTGGGGGCCTTTGTAATTAACCGTTGGTGTCATGGTGAATGATAACACAGAAGAATCGATCACCAAAATCGAGTTCCGAGGGATCGAAGCAAACGGTCCGTGAAAGAAACAGACGTGAATCCAACAGCCAACGACCAACGACCAACACGGCGGATCAGATCCTGGGCAGGCGGCCGAGGCGTCTGTACTCTGTACTGCTGCGTCTGCAGCCTGCATCTTGTACCCGCATGTGTAGGCAGGCCGTGTGCGGCGGCACGCACAGGATCGTCGCAGGTACAGCAGCTTGCTATGCAAACCGCAGCACGAGCGGTCCTGACATTTGCTTAAGAAGCTTGCGGCTCTGTGTCGTCCTCCATTGACATTCTATCGAATGACATTGTTGGCGAGCACCAAATCCTAACAAAGTGACCGTTGCGGCAGCTGGCAGCCCTGTATCGGCACGGCTTGCTCGGACCTGGACGGTGTAGTGTGTCTGCGCATGTTTTTGTGTGCGTACGGATATGTGAGTGATGAATGTGTGTGTGTGTGTGTGTGTGTGTGTGTGTGTGTGTGTGCGTGTGTGCGTGTGTGGCGAGTTGGATCGGGAGTCATCTCTCGGCTTGCCTTTTTTGTTTCCCCTTCCGGATTGAATGGCCCTACCGAGATCAACAGGAGATTGAGGGGCGGCGCAGCAGAGCAGCAGTGCGGAAAATCGTGATGGGGTGACGAGAGGATCAATTCCCTGGCATCGCACTATGTAAGCCAGGAAGACGGCGATCTGATTCCTACATATCCGTAGTACGCCGCTTGCTGGAATGTCTGAGAGTTGGGGGTGAAATTGAGAGGTCGCATCGCATGCCATCTGCCGCCTTCGCAGGTCGCATGCGTTGCGCAGTCTGCACAATGCTGTAATTTGTCGTCGCATCCCATGCTTGCTGCTCCTCCGGCTCTTGGGCAGACAGGGCCCCGGGAGGTCATGATTGGAATGAAATGCGACACCGATTCGTACCCTCCCCCGGCTGTTCAGGGTAGCATGCATGGGTTGGGCCTGCACATACAAGGGCATGTGAGCCAGCAAGCCGTCCCTGGACGTATTTAAAATTGACGGCCCAGAGCCAACCAACTCGAGAGATCGCGACTACGTACGCGCTTCTGGATGGAGCAGCCAAAGAGTCGAAAGGCGGCTGGCAATCTTGTGACGGGTTGATGACCTGCTTTGGTCAATCGTCATCTACCAGCCAAGAGGATCGAGAGGGACGCGATGGGCCCGCAGGCTCCCTTGCCCTCGTCTCGTCTCAAATGCCAGAAGGGCCGCCGTCGGTGATGTCGTCGCTGTGTAGACTAAGGCAGGTAAGGTACCCGTACTCTGAAGATTACCGGCTTATTGAATCAGTGAATCAGGACCGAGCACAGACACGTGCAAGGCGACGGCTGAAAGCCTGTGCATCCGTGTTATATTGCGGGATACCTCGATCCCCAAGGACCCCAACAATCAGGACTCAAGAGGCTGCACTTGCAGGCCTCCTGTTGGCGAGCTGCAGATGAATTGTGATTGTATCATGGATGAAGACGGCAGATGCAGCCGGGGCGTCACGTCAGACGGATGCCCGAGACCCAGAGCACAGAGCCAGAGCCAGAGCTGATTAGATAGCCGGCGATCATTTTGATGAATAAGAAAGACCTGGCCCCGTAGCGGTGAGTGATACGAGGAGATGTGGCTGAGGCGGTATCGAGGATGTAAGACAAGAGGAAGCTCAAAGTCGTGCCGTTGCCCGTTGGCAGCGTGGCGTCTTATGAAAGCAAAGGCTTGTCCAGACTCCCGCTAGAAGCCACGAAGCCACGAAGCCAAGGTTGAACGGCGGAACTGAAGGAGATTAGCGAATCAAGACAGTAGAGAGTGAAATCTGAGACGGGTCTGGTGGCGTGCGCTAAGGCAGAGAGGAGGAAGTAGGTAGAAACATGTCTTGTGGAAAAAACATGGCATTGACGGTTGGCCAAGTTGGTATGGTGTCGTCGTTTCGTTGGCTGTAAGTCGTTTGGCGATGTTGCAAAGTTGTGAGGTGCAGGAAGTAAGGGAGCTGCTCCTGCCAAGTTGATGCCGCCCCTGCGCCCGTCCCTTGTGCCACCTCAGACAGCGTGGCAAGCGTGGTGACCGTTGTTAGTGTTTCTAGGGAGAACAACTCGCGTTCCTAGAGCACCCACTCTACTGTAAGGGTGACCTAGTGGCTGAATTATAGGCAAACTACAGGCCGAACCCCTCAGTGGCGCCTACACAAGGCATCTTCTAGCGGCCATCGGCTGTTAGCGTCTTTTCTCGCTGCTGACTGCGCTGCCAAAGGCCCCATGGTCCTTAGCGACCTCAACCCAGGCAGGTTCCAGTGCTACCTTATCGATAACGCACCTCGGGAAAAGTGGATTCGAATTTTTTCATCGTCCTTCCGGGTGTGACATCTAGCCGGCCCTTCAGCCTCATCACACTTCACGCTCAACCTCAATATCAACTTTTCCAAGTTCAGGGTTTTTTTTTGGTTTACGGTCTCAACGTTGCGAGCACACCAGCGTGTCATCGCCGACCCGAATAAGAAATTCTTATCTGTACCCAGCACGAGCCATTGGCCCTGTACTTTCTCGCTCTCGTCTTGGCTCTAGCTTTGCCTCTTGCGATCGCCCCTCGACGACCTGAAGAGATCTGAGTCCGGCAGCAAGCCCTCCAACGTGGTTTCAAAGACTGGAATAGCCCGCCTCGACGGATTAACGCCACATCCATCTCGCAAGCTCGTGGCACTGATTCACGTTCCGAGCACGAGGACTGAGTCTTGGTCACCGCGTGGCTCCAGGTAACGTCGGCTTCTATTCTCGAACCCTGCCGTCGCGATTCGCCTGGCCTACTTCACCCCTTACGTCCTCTCACCCGAGACTCCGGAGTCAGAGCCGCTCTCGGATAGCCTCCGTAGCCCCAAGTTCCGACGAGACCACGGCCTGTCTGGCCTTCACCACCGTCCGTATCCCGCCTCGTTGTCGCTCTCCCCCACCATGTTATCGGAGGAATTCTACTCCTGCATCTGCGGCCCGCCTATTGCAGCAAACACGGCCGTGTCCAAGGATATTGGCATCTACGCCCACTCTCTCAGCCCCAGCTACACGGTCAAGTCAACTCTGAAGAAAAGTGCCACCTCGGCCAACTGCTTGGCTGTCAGTGACTCGCATGTCTTTGCCGCTCAGCACGAAAAGTCACAGGTTCATGTCTACTCGAGGTCCCGGGGCATCCAAGAAACGACCATCACCTTCCCAGAACGCATTCGGAGCTTGGCGTTGATTGGTGATGTCTTGGCGTTAGGGACCTCCGAAGGCAGGTTGATCTTGTGGGAGGTAAACTTTCTCTGGTCCCGCGTGGAATTCCAATCCTGTGTGGCTAACAACACAACAGACATGCACTGGTCGCCAGCTGGTCACACCACCTTGCCACGTCCAGGCCGTTTCGTGTCTGGCCGTCACGCCCTATCATGTTCTCACAGGCTCCGAAGACTCTAACATTCATGTTTGGACGCTGTCCCGTCTGTTGGAGCTGGATGCTTCAGTTGAGAGCCAGCCAGACCGCACGCTCTCCAACCACAGGGCTGCCATCACATCGCTCGCTGTCAGCGGCAGTGTCAACTCGGAAACCAGCATTTGCGTCTCTTCTAGCAAAGACAAGACCTGCATCATCTGGAACTATCAAACGGGCGATGTTCTGCGTACGCTATTGTTCCCCACGGCTCCGCTGTGCGTTTCCATGGATCCATGCGCTCGTGCCGTCTTTGTTTCATCTGAGGACAGGGCTGTCTACCTCATAGAGCTCTTCGGAGAAAAGCCACTCATTGGTCCGAATAGCACTGAATCATCGTCGACTGTCGTTCAAGTCAGTTCACCGATTGGAGTCGCTGATGAAGATGCTGGCTCGGCTTTGTGCTTGGCACCGAACCATGATGGCACAATAATCTTATCCGGTCACACAAAAGGCAAAATCTTGCAATGGCAGCTGGCCGAAAACGGACACCCCACAGAGCTGACAGACCTCAATGCCTCTGTGACGAACTTGGTGTTTCCGCCATTGCTACACGCCCCTCGAACCACAAAACCTGTTGCAGTTGTCAAGCCCACCCAGACCGAGCGGCAATTCACCTTCACGTCTCAACTTAATACGAGTCTCGAACAAGAGACGAGATTTGGCAAGATGCTCAATGGCTTTGGCTTGCCTGATGATGCACTCGAGGCGGCCATCCTCTCGTTCCAACAGTCTCATGCACAGCAATGTGTCAGGGACGAAGAGGCTGAGCAGGATACTGAAGAGTTGTGGGAGATCATCAACGAGCAACGGTTGCTACACAAGCTGACTATGCAGCCGTACATCGACGCCAAATCGTCTCATACCTGAGAGCGTTTCATCTTTCCTTCACTCGAGACCAGACGGCGGCTCGAGCCTTCAATTGACCTTATCCAAACTTTTTATTCTCCCCTTCTCTTCGCCTCTCGAGTCATTTAAGGAATTGCATCGGAACCAGGTCCATCTTGAGCAGAAGGACCCGTGAAGCTTGATCATTCGTCTCGCATGACCAGCACGAATCAGCCGCGAATCATGTTTGTTTAGCAAACGCCTAGAATATATCCTCTCGGGGTGGTCCGCACCTAGATGAGACGATTGTTTGGAGTACCTCGCGCCTCAAAGCTTAACCTTCGGCTATCGGCTTGTTGATCAAACTTGCACGCGACTTCCCGATATGCGAACAGCCTGGCGAGCCGCGAAGAGATTCCTCGAACCGGGGTCCGGGGGGTTAAGAAACTGCACTTGTTAGAGGTGTTCCCATCTTTGCCACAGGATCCCATGCGCTCAGGCTGCCGTTCACCCAAGTGGTTGTTTTGGATTGTCACCACCAGACAAACAGCCCACAGGATCCCATTGAAACCGGTTTCGCATTCGTCAGGTCTGGAGCTGCGACCTTGCGTCAATGGGGTTCGTCATGACTGGACGACAGCTACTAAAATATCAACAAATAGCCAGCCATGTCGCTCGGTTCTTCTGACTTAGGTTCGATTCGTTGTGAGAGAGTGTGTGTGAGAGAGGAAGACTTTTGAAGACGAAAACGACCCAAAGAACACGATGAAGCTGAGCGCTGTAGCCACCCTTTTCACCGCCCTTGCGGCGGTGACCATTGCAAACCCGGTGACACGGTCGCACAGCCACGTCGTGCACGAGGAGAGGCATCCCGCACGAAGAGAATGGGTCAAGAACCGCCGACTACACACTATGGCCAGGCTGCCAGTTCGGATCGGTCTTGCTCAATCAAACTTAGACCGTGCAAACGAGTTCATGAACGATGTGGCACACCCCGACTCGCTCAATTACGGCAAACATTGGACCCACGATGAAATCGCAAATATGTTTGCGCCGACGCAAGAGTCCATCGCTCTGGTCATGCAATGGCTTGAAAGCGAGGGGATCCACCGGAATCGTGTCGAGCTCACCAGAGGTCGCAACTGGATCCAGTTCAACGGCACGGTAGGCGAGGTTGAGCGGCTCTTGAAGACCGAGTACCACATGTACAAGCACGAACAAGGTCACAACCATGTCGCCTGCGACAAGTATCACGTTCCGGAGCATCTGGTCCAACACATCGACATGATCACGCCGACAGTCCACTTTGACCAGCGTATCGGGGAGCAAAGGAAGAACACCAAGCATGATCTGGAAGAGCACCACATCGAAGAATTGAAGAAGCGGCAACTCAGAAAGCGCGAACTTCTTGCCAAGCGAGACGTTGCTACTGGCGGCAAGAACCCCGCCATTCAGGGTAACCCAGACAGTGGCTTCGGACCCAAGCAGGGTGCAGTTGTCATGAACGCTCTCATGGATCTCAACCAATGCGACTCCATGATCACCCCGGATTGCCTGCGGGCGCTCTACGCAACCCCTCCCGGGTCGCTCAAGGCATCCAACAACACCCTCGGCATCGTAGAGTACACACCGCAAGCTTTCCTTCAGTCGGATCTAGACATGTACTTCAACGAGTTTGAGCCTCGTGCGAAAGGTCAGGGTCCCATTGTCAGTCTGGTCGGAAACGCCGTGGTGCAGACGACAAACCAGAGTTTCCGCTTCAACGGCGAGTCTGCGCTCGATTTAGAATTCGCCATGGCCCTGATCCACCCTCAGACAACAACTTTGTACCAGGTCGGCGATCTCAGCCAGGGTGCTAGCTTCAACAACTTCCTCGACGCCATTGACGGCAGCTACTGCACCTTCCGAGGAGGTGGTTCCAAGGATCCTAACATTGACGGACAATACAGCAACAAGGTTTGCGGATCAGCCCCAGCGGTGAATGTCATTTCTACGAGTTACGGATTCAATGAGGCAGATCTCGGTCGCAAGTACGTTGAGCGCCAGTGTGCTGAGTACATGAAGCTCGGCCTCGCGGGCGTCACAGTACTTTACTCCTCTGGTGACTCTGGTGTCGCCGGCAACGGCCAGCAATGCATCGACACCCAGACTGGTGCATACAATGAGGGCAAGCAGGGAATCTTCAACCCTTCTTTCCCTGGCGGCTGCCCTTGGGTCACGTCTGTTGGTGCTACTCAGATCCTGGAGGGATCTACTGTCCACACCCCGGAGAGCGCCTGCCAAAAGGCCATTTTCTCCGGAGGAGGATTCTCCAACGTCTTTGCGGTTCCCGATTACCAAAAGAAGATGATGGAGCAGTACTACGCCAAGAACGCGCCGCCGTACGGTGCAGACCGGTACAACAATTCCAAGACGGTGCGAGGTTTCCCTGACATTGCTGCTAATGGCGCCAACTATGTGACTGCTGTCAACGGCAAGTTCTCGTTGTCCTTCGGCACCTCAGGTAAGTCGCTCAATCATTGGAAACATCGTCTCTTCCACATTACTAACTCATTCGTAGCATCGGCTCCTGTTGTTGGGTCCATTGTCAATATGATCAACGAAAAGCGCATCGAGGCAGGCAAGAAGCCCGTTGGCTTCATCAACCCAACGCTCTACGCGCACCCTGAGATTCTCAACGACGTAACCAATGGCGACAATCCGGGCTGTGGCACCAAGGGGTTTTCTGCAGTCGCGGGATGGGATCCTGTCACCGGCATGGGGTAAGCAAAAACCAAGCCTCTTTGTGATGAAGCCATGTGCGAATAGATCACTAACAACCTACACCAGAACACCTAATTTCCCTGAGATGGAGAAGCTATTCATGAGCCTACCCTAATTTCAAATAATGGCCGCGCCATAGTCGTGGCGTTTTCGGCACAAGAACATAAACACAAATGAGATATATAGTGCTCACGAGCACATATCAAGACGCGGAACATTTTTGCCCACCCCTTTTGTGGCCGCGCAGTGTACAACTGGTTAGCTGCAGGGTCAGGATACCAGAACCACGGGGCAAAGCATTGTAGATCATTAAGCATTAATAGAGGTACTTTACAAACAATACGGGGACCATGTCATTCGATGTGTTGATTCAGCCATATATCCGCGATGTCCGTGGCATCGCAAGGACCTTTTCTAGTGCAGAATGAGACGGATGGGACGCACAGCCAGACGTAAAGTCCCTTCCCATTGGCATGAGAACTTCCACATTGGATCTTAGAAAAACGTGAAAACGTGTTCCCTGAATAGTTCACAGTTCGGGTTGCGTAAATGGTCCTCTCACTTCGGGGTTGACGAAAATCAGAGGTACAGGGCGAGATCGGTCCTCCGGCACGTTGGCGGCGGCGGATTAGTAAAATGCCGCGCGCCGAAGGCCGCTAAGCTAAACGCCGAGGGGAGGAGGAAACCGCATTTGCATCATAGGTCCGCTTCCGCTCGAACCCCGAGAAATAAGTAATTCACTTACGCATTCACTGCCTCAGCCAGCTTAACCTTTTTTTTTTTTCCTTGCTACTCCCCGACGACATTCACGAGCTCAAATCACCGATAAGTTCTACAGACGGCACATCCTCCGGCGCATACGATGGCGACGGCGATACAAGCTCTCAAGGGCGATGCGCCGCAACAGGCCCGGTCTCTGGTACGTTGAGCAACAGAATTTCCCATGATCCCGGCGTACATAGTAGACTTATGCATATGCATCATCATGGTGCTTCCCCGTTTTTCACACCAAATCCGAATGATCCAGCGCCCAAGACTACACTGGTCTCAATTCTCGTATGCTCGTTAAGAAGACAAGGTTTTACTGACATTCTTTTTTTCGTTTGGGGAAATTTAGTACCGCCAGCTGTTGAAGACCGGCGACCAGTTTGCGGCGTACAACTTCCGCGAGTACGCGAAGCGGCGGACGAGGGATGCGTTCAGGGAGCACCAAAAGGTCGAGGACCCGCGGCAGGTGCAGGAGCTGATTCAGAAGGGGCTGGACGAGCTCCAGAAGCTCAAGGTTGGTGTTTTCCCACCTTTGCCTTTGGGGAATCCTAGGTTTCTCAGACACCTTCTCCCACTCTCGTCTCGGTGGAGAAGTGATTGTCCGAGCTGCTAGGATGGGAGAGATGTGGACAAGAGGCGTGAGATCCCAGTGGCTAACTTTATGGCGCACGAAACAGAGGCAAACCGTCGTCAGCCAGTTCTTCCAGTTTGATCGGTTAGTGGTCGAGGGCGGCGCCGCCGGCAAGCAAAAGGGCGACAAGGGCGGTATTGTCAGGCAAAAGGAACAAGGGTAAGTCTTCTCCGCCCCTTCTTTCCACATGATATATTATCGGGAGGGCTTAAAACTGACTTAAATACTCTATAGCTTTAACTGAAGAACGAGGCTACCGAGGGAGGGGCTTAAAAGTCAACCTAATAACATCGCGAGCCCAACGAAACGATGACTCGGATTTTCTGTACTATACACTCAAACGGGAGGAGGAAACACAAAAAACCGGTGGAGGGACCAGGGTGTATGACCATCAAAGGGGGCGAGGAGCCAAGAATTCTCTCAACTTTTACCGAAGGGAACCCGGGGAATGCGGCGACGACACATCCCTAAATGAAAAACACTCCTCTCTGGGGTGCTGTCTTTTTTTCTTCCAACCAAGGCTTTTTAGGCAAATAGACATGGCAATGGAGTTTCAATGACTTGGGGCCCCTTTTCATCCATGAGCATGGAGTGACTGCTTGACGGAATCTTTGGCTTGACGGCGGGCGCGGCGTGAAGTTTGAGGGCGTTGTTTTTAGGGCCCGAGTGTTTGACTGTGGCTCGCAAACCTCGGAGGACGGGAGCCTGATGCTCTCCACGAAAGGAGTGTGGATGGCGGAACAGCCGGGTTCGGGATATCCTGCGCACAATCTCTGACGGCAACTATGGCAGATAAACGCGATGATTTCCTCAAGTCTCCACTGTCAAGTGAATCTGTCCTTAGACTCACCGTCGAAGGCCATCGGCATGCGCCGAGGATGATAGTCTAGCCCAGCTTGATAATGCAGCCGTGTGTTTGAACCGACATAGGAGCAACATGCATACTCAACAAGGAAAGAACTGCCTCATCTAGCTCAATTCATCAGGCGTATCCGGCCGAACATGAAAACCAAGGTACTTGAAATTATGTTCGCTATCCCCTTGTAATGCGGACCCCCATGGCTTCCACACCGAGGTCTCACCGATGATTTGGCTTGGCGGACAAGTCTAAGCAGCTGACTAAGCGCGCGACCATGGCGCGCTGGCTACCTTTAGAGTTCGCGACGAGGCTGCGTCTCTTTGTGGAGCCAATCCAGCGTTCTGCGGCTGCAGCTCTCAGCTTGTTCATCCACGAATCAACATAGCGTCCGCTCGCGTCGCATCGCTTGTTACCAATTAGGAGGTGCATATCGCATTCTCACTTAGCAATTAACCCGCTTCATTGAATTCATTGTTAAAATTTCCTCCGAATTTGCGTTCCATCGTCGCGATTCGACTAGAATTTCGTCCCTGCGCGCGACTCTTCCTTCATCAATTGGCATCAGTCGAGCTGCGACCCCTCTTGGATACTGTGACCGCACCCGTCGCCTCGAAATCACGTTTTTACAATGGCGCCAGGAGTAAGTCTGGTTCAATGAACACTTTGACTGGCTCGAGTCTACCGTGCGACCAATGGGATGCAAGTCTAACAACTGAACTTGGCAGACTCGTCGCGCGAATCGTAGCGGATACGCCGAACACGATGACTTCGAAGGTCTTCCCGTACGCCAATGGCGCCAGGAATGGGTGAGTGTCGAACCCCCAGCGCCCGCCGAGACGACGCAGAAGAACGACAGATGGGACGTCGAGCTTCCCTGGGGCATGCCCAAGGACGCGGGTCTCCTCCCCCAGCACAGCCAGGACCTGCTCCGCGCCGCGCGATCGGGCGTCCTCTACAAGAGGCCCGCGCCGACGGAGGAGGAGGAGGTCGAGGCCGACGCTGTGCCTGAGAAGGTGGAGAAGAAGGAGGACGAGGCGGAGACCAAGGGGTTCCAGATCAAGGTGTGGAAGCAGATCAACCGCAACTCGGAGGGCTCCCCCGTTTCGCACTTGGCCAAGCGCAGGAAAGGCACGGTGACCATCTCGTCCAAGACCGTCTCGAGCCACGTTCCCGGCGCGACGGTCACCAAGGCTACTGTGCGAAGAGTCGATGCTGCAGGGAATCCATACACCCAGGAGATCACGCTGCAGGAGGGCCAGGCAGTTGAGGGAGAAATCATCTCGACGACAGTCGTGGCCGTCGCGGCTGTTGATCCCGCGCAACAAGCGCCGCAGCGCGTCCGAAGACCACCGCCACCCAAGAAGAAGAACAAGCCTGGCCCTGGACGTGGTCGCAAGAAGAAGGTTCTCCCTTTGCCCGCGTCGGCGGCGTCTGGCGCACCGGTAGCTGCGCCACCACCAGAAGGTGTTCCCGTAGCTCCCAAAGTCGAGGGGGCGGATGGAGCAGAGCCTGTAAGTTTACTGCGTTCCTTGTATACAGAGTATGTGACTGATTTGCTTCCAGGCTGTCAAGCAAGAGCGGGAGGACTCGAACAACCCCGACAGCGAGATGGCTGACAACGACGATGACGAGGGTGACGATGATGATGGCGATGACGGCGAGGATGGTGACGATGAGCCGCGCGACGGTGAAAACACGGATAGTCAAGACCAGGAAATGACCGACGCATCTCCATCTGTGCCTACACCGACTGTTGACGCAACGGCAGAGTTGACCGACCCCGAATCACCCGTGCCAAAACGCGCTGCACCCATGGCAAACCCCATCAGCCTCGCTCCTCCCGCCATGCACCTGGCGAACTCCTCTCCCAAGGGCAGCCCTCTCAAGAATGTCGTCCTGCCATCCCCGACGGAGCCACCAGCCCAATTTTCATCCATTTCAGAAGCCTTAGTGCCGGCAGCCGAGCCAAAGAGCGAGCCTGCGCAGGCTGATATGCCCATGAATGATGGGCCTGAGCCTCTCAAGGAGCCCTCTCCACAGGCGCCTCATGGATCAATGGATTCGCCTGTGCCTGACCACCTACCTCCTCCCACTGATACCACGACGGAACTTCAAGATGCGTCGACAGCACTCCCGCCTGCCGAAAAGGTGGGCGACATTGTCTCGCCAATGGCCGAGACCAGATCAACTTTTTCGTTGGCAACGACTGCGGACACCGATGCTTCGGGTACCAGGTTAGAAAGCGGCGATCAAACAGTGGCGTCGAATGAGGCTGCGCAAGACTCTATGATGCTCGACGCTCCCGAGGAACCTCAGCTCTCTCCCGTCTCCGAAACTCCCAAGGCCCCTGAGATTCCAGAGCTTTCGGAAGCTCCCTCAACTTTCGATGCACCGCCGCCCCCGGCTGAGGAGCCAGCGCCTCTTGTCGCCGAGGACATTCCAGAAAGGAAAGAAGAAAGTCCTCTGGTTCCATCAACCGATACCGCAGAGGCACCTCTTCCAATTCCAGTACCCGAGACCGAGCCCACGGCACCAGTGGTTGAGGAAATGCCGCTTGCACCCCTTGTGCCCGAACAGCCCGCAGAAGCTGTCCCATCCCCTGCGAAATCTCCAATGAAATCGCCATTGAAGTCTCCAGCGGATGAACCAGTAAAATCTCCGGCTCCCTTGCTCGAACCCCCAGCTCCTATGGAGCCTCCCATCGTAGAGCCTGCCGATATTCCACCAGAGATTCCAGTTGAAGTCCCCGTCGAAGGACTCGCTGAAGGGCTAACTGCCGCACCAGCAGTACTTCTCGAGCCTCCGATTGAACCTCCAGTTGCGCCTTTGGTTGAGATCCCGGTTGAGATCCCGGTTGAGATTCCGGTCGAGGTCTCAGGAGACGTTGCGATGGAGGAGGCACCGGCAGACGTTCCAGTGGAGAAACCCTCCGAAGCAGCAGTCGAAGTTCCACTTCTCGAAGTTTCAGCCGTCGAGGTTCCAGCCGTCGCGGTTCCGGCCGTCGAGGTTCCAATTGTCGAGATTCCAGCCGCCGAACCAGAGTCGATCCCACCAGCTCCCGCCGAAGTTCCCATGGTGCCAGAAGATGACGGCCCGGATCTGCTCGCCGGCCTCGAGACGGAGCTTGATCGCCAAGCCGAGATCAGCAAGTCTCCACTCCCCGAACCGCCTGCGGCCCCGCACCCGGAGCCGGCGGAACTCCCCGAGATTGCCAGCCCGGTGCCGCTACCCAAAGTGCCGCCGATTGAGCTTGAGAAGCCTGCGGATGAGCAGACAGAGGTGGCCCCCGAAAGTGTTCTAGTCCCCGAGGCAGAGCCGGTTCCTGTCCCGCCTGCCGCAGCGGAACCAACACAAATTGAGGAAACTGCGGCGCCCACAGAGACGGCACCTGCTGAGGAGCCAGAGAAGAAGGTAGAGGAGACGTCGACTGATGCCGTTCCACCTGCAGCTGATGCCTAGTTTGCATATGCTGGAGTTGGTGTGCCGAAGTTTACGTGTTTGGGGATGTGGAATGCTGTTGGTGTTTGAAGGCGCAACGGGAACTTACCGCGAGTGTAAATGTATGATGGAGTACAATTAGATGTATGATTTCGAACACACGAAGGCCGTTGAATCGGCACATTGCCTCACGATTTTGATTGATGTCACTTACAACAACCTTTTCTTTAAAAGATGCCATTTTGTTTTGTTTGAATCTTTTCAAGTGACATACCGCATGCTTCATTGAATCTTGTTTCATAAGATGTACGGATATTGATGCTTGATATGCAGGAACTATGCCTCCTTTTTTTTTTTTTTTTTTTCCCCAGCATTGAAACTACCATTCCAGAACAATGCTGTCCCAAATAAACCCCCGCCACGTCGTGTTGCGCATAAGCTGGAACGTGACCTCGTTCTCCCCCTTTTTCAGAAGCGCACCCGGGACAGGGAATTCAAAGAGGCGCCACTCGCCCGCGGCGGTGGCGCTGCGGTAGACGGACGGGTCGTTTAGCAGTCCCGACGTGGAATCGACGCCGACGGCGCCGCTGGTGAGGTTGCCGACCTGCTGCCCGTTGGCGAGGACGACGCTGCTGGCTCCCGTCGAGTAGCCCGCCAGGGAGACGATGAGGTTCGCTTGCTCGGGGACCGGGTCCGGGACGGAGGCGATTTTGAAACTGATTGTGTAGTTTCCCTTGTAGGTCTGGCCGTAGCACCAGTCGGAGGGTTTGCTGGAGGAGCAATTGCTGCTGCTGCTGCCGCTGCTACTGCTGCTGCCGCTGCCACCCGGGCTCGCGCGGAAGACAATGTTCTCGGGGCACGATGCGATGATGGCGTGACCAAAGTAGGGGTCGCCTCCGTGGGCGAAGCCGAGGGAGGTGCGATCAAAGTCGCCTACCTGGAAGAGCCTTGTGCGCTTGGAGACGGCCCAGTTGAGGGTGCCGAGGTCCGTGGTCTGGGCGTCGGAGACGCGGACGTCGTTGAAGATGATGTGCGTCGTCACGTCCGCCAGGGCGGCGCCGGCGGACCAGGCTTGGAGGGCGTAGCCTTGGGCGGCACCGGCGCGGACGTACGGGATCGCAAAGGCGCCCGTGGCGTCGGCGTAGGTTGTGTAGTAGTAGTCCGAGCCCATGTCCAGGGCGGTCTTGTTGGGGTGGTTGTCGCCGAGGAAGACGGCGGCGCCGGCGGCGGGGCGGCCGTCGGAGAGGAGGAGTTTGCCTTTCACGGTGCCGCGGGCGTGGTAGGCTGCGTCGTCGAGCCAGAGGTAGGGCCAGGCTGCGAATTCAGAGGCGGCGCGGGACTCGGCGTCGGATTCGGAGCCGTCGTTCTGGGGACTGGAGTGTCAGGGTTGCTGGAGGTTTTTTTCAAGGGGGTTGAGGAATAGAAGTAGCAAGAGAAACGGTCACGTACGAGGTACCAGAGCCAGGGACCCCACGTCTTGCCGACGGGGAAGACGTCGACGGCGGAGACTTGGAAATGTGTGCCGTGGACCATGTTGAGCTGGACGACATCGCCGGTGGCACTCTCACGGTGGACCTTTTTTAATGTCAGCTCAATGCCATGGAGGTCCTGTTTACGGAAACAAACACGTACCATGAGTTCCTGCTTCAGGTGGTTGCCGTTGTAGTAGTCCTTACCGGCATTGATATACCAGCTCCCGAACTCGTCGCCGTACACGCCGTAGTACTTTTGCGTGCGGATGAAGTCGGAAAAGTCGTATTTTGTTATGTACCCCGTGCCGTCGGGCGTGCGCCAGGTCTCGTCCTGGACCTTGTTCTCGGGCAGGTAGTCGCTCAGCGGCGGCAGCGCCTTGTCGTGCAGGTCCGTCTTGCCGCGGAGGAACGTGGTATTGTCGAGGCGCCAGAGGGTGCGGAACTCGCCCAGGGTGGGCAGGTTGCGGTTGACAAAGTATTGGTAGGCGCCGGTGAGGCCTTGAAAGATGACCCAGTGGAAGTCGCCGTCGTTGGCGGTGAACTTTACGTCGATGAAGGGCGTGCCTTGGTGGGTGCCGTTTTTGGCGATGCTGGCGGAGGACCAGGCAATGTCGTTGGCGGCGCCGTCTGTTGAGGTGTGTGTTAGTCCGTTTGGTGAGATACTTTTTGACGCGAGTGCAATTCGAAGTGAGGGTATCACGCACTGTAGCTCACGTAGTGGCCGGCGGCATTTCCAACGAGGTCGCGATCCTTGTAGTACAGCTTCACGCCGTACTTGAGTCCCTGGGTCATGTTCCACACATCGTTGCCAATGATCCACGTCTGGTTGTCGACCTGCCTGAGAAAGGGTTCAGTCTGTGTCGGGGCCGCGAAGGCGTTGGAGATTAACCCCCCGAGGGCGGCGGCAATGAGACTGTTTCTCATCTTGGCAGACAAAGCTTCAATATCAAGTCATGAGTCAAGAGCAACGACCACAGAGTCCGCAAAGCTGCTGTCCCCTTGCCTTCACGCTTCCAAGACGGTCACTGAGAGCAGGTTAAATAAGTATAGTGAGCGAATCACGACTCAAGACCCGTTACTCGAACTTATCTCCGAACGAGCGTTGAGCCGCGCAACCGGCACGCCGATGCCGCTCGTCTCCTCATCTTTGCCCCTCGTGGTTCGTGGGTTCCGAGGGCATAACGCATGGTTCAGCATGGTTCACTTGCTTCTTCCAACCTTTTCGCCCTCCCTCTTTCGCGAGGATGCGGGGTGGTGACGGGGCCAACGTCAGTTCACAGTCGGTCAGCGATCCAACGGGGCAGGGGGCATATCGCAAGCAGGGCACTACCCCGTTCCCCGCAATCCGAGTAAGCTTAGCTATTGGCAAACGACGAGCGTTGATGGGTGGAATTTTCGACCCAAGCCTCGCTCCTCTCGGGAGAGCGGGAGATTGGATCGTGGAGCAGCCGCAGTCTGAGCGTATGCAGGTTTTTCGAGATGGCCAAGCTATCCCCGAGAACGTGTGGTGCTTGCTGCAGCTGCTGGACGTTGGGGGAGAGTGGCACGAGTGGGTATGGGGTAACCTCCATTTCGGGGTACCAGGCACCGAGGGTTGGGGTAGATGCATCCCCTTTGGAGTTTGACCTGCCCGAAATGCCCCTTGTGCAAGATGTCGCTGTCATGAGCTGGCTGTCACTCCTTGTGATTGTGCCCGGTTCAGCCAAATGAGTTTGGGATCAGGGTACCCAGAGATGATGAAATGAGCTATGGTCCGAGTTGACTGTAGTTGATATACCGCAGCAAAATGAGAAGTTAAGGCACGTTGGTCATCTCGATAGAAAAGACAAAGTAAGGTTGGTACTGAAACTATGTCGTGTACGGATGTGAACTATGGCAATCGGGTTGTGCAATCTTACTTGCGCACCTCAGGTGTTACGAATCAAACGAAGGCTGCTGCAAAATGAACAGTGGACCTTCAGCAAGCACTGCTTTGAGAAATTCGAAAGATCACCGATGACATACTAGGTAGGCAGGAAGAAATCGGTAGAGAAGAGATTCAAACGTGCGGTCCCGAACCCGTTGGTTGTTGTTGAGGAAGCGGTTCGATCAGATGGGACATTAGCCACACATTATGCGCACGGACTGGAAACTGGGTTGCAACCCTTGTGGCTGAGTTTGAGCAAGACGCGGTAGCGAGAAGGGAAGTGCCGAATGTGAGGCATTTTCATCAGTCATGAGACTATCGCTAAGTAGTGTAGTGTGAGGTGACAGGAGACAGTAGAATGAGGCGGGGAGGAGAAGACTGGGGGAAGGGAAGGAGGAGATGGAATGTATCCGTAAGGGCAGGTAATTGCCGAGACTGCGCTACTAAGGGACCGGTAGATGCTCTTGAAGCCTGTCTCATTCCTCGCAGCTTTGCAGGGAGCAATGCTTAGGTAAGGAACCCCTTGCTGCTTAGTCCGGGTAAGGTAGCCCCTTCCTCTCATCGGTCCTTGAACGTCGTAGGATGATCTGGGCTTCACGGATACCACAGTCTAATCTTCTGCTCGAGGGTTTTTCTCCTTAGAAACGGGAATGCTCACTGCTTATGGAGACGCGTGTGCTCTGCAATGTTTCCCCCCCCCAAAAAAGACAAGGAAAGGAAAACAACTTCTCTGGTCACACCGAAAAATAAGCTCACGCACAGCGCTGGGTCAGGATCGACGGCTACCCGCGAACGAACCTATCATGACCACATCTCACAGACCTCTGGAAGCTCAAGCGACGCACAGAGGACCCTTCCGCCCAGAGTTGTTTTCTTCCCCATCCGTGTCAGTGTCTCACGGCACGGCAATTGATTCAGATGGATCCCGAGCGACCGGGAACGTGAGAGACGCCAAGTCGGCGATGAATGGATACCCAATGACCCGTCCAATGGATACAGGCCAGAAATGCTTTCGGCGCCCGGCCTGATGGGATGTCCCTTGGGTGGAGGGAAAGGCAAGGTAGACGCGGTCTCACGGAGACCGAAAGTGAAGGATGAAGGCCAGGATGCCACCCGCGGAATTGCCATGGATCATGACAGACGGGTCCTGGCAGAACTTTCCACGAGAACCGGAGCTCAAGATTGGCCATCACGCCAGTATTGCATGCAAAGTTGCAAACCCAGTCGGATCATTGTCAAGCGAACTACTACGTAGTACGGATACGCGACGACGAAAGAGAGTTTGCGTTTGAGCTGCAAAAGGTACGGTCCCTGCAGGGGAAGACGGCTGGCATGCCACACCGGCTCGACCGGTCCAAGAGGCTATCGTAGCCGGATCGAAGTGCAGACAGGCCCTAGCGCGTGCCGCTTAGCGCCAATCGTATCCAGAAGAATTCTCGCTGATATTCCTCCTCATCCCTCGCACTTGCATATTGATGAGTGCGAAACATCCGCAGCCACGTCCCACGCCGCACGAGCTGGGTTAAACTAAGTTTCTGCGGCAGATTAGGGAAACATGAGGGGAGGATGGCGACCTGATCCGCGGTTTTGGAGTCTGGACATGCCGGTCCTGGCCCCCATCTGACGCTACCTTACCTTGCGCCGCAGTGCCAGAGAGGGATCCATCCAGCGGTTCCTTCTCCTTCCCTGCCACGTCCCGTGCCTGTATTCGGACATGGGACAAGACTTTCTGCCTCGGACTCTCCTCTCCTCTCCCATCTGCCGCCTATCTGCATGACTTTAATCAATCAACATTCGTCCAAGACTGACTCGCAGGGCTTGACGAGGCCGCCGTTCTTTTCATTTCTTGTTACGCCCGCCACGCCCTATCCTAGTCCTTGCGCCAGAGATTGTGCCAGAGCAACGGCCACTGGTCAGTCTAATGGTTGCCTCACTTCCCGCACTGCCGCGCGACATCAGACGCTCCCGAGTCCCCAGAAACTGAAAAACAAGCTCAACCCCCATCGGCGGTCTGGCTCCAAGTGGCCATCTCGCCGTTCAAACTTCTGAGTCTTGTGGGTTGCACTCAACAACGTCCGAATCCCACCAGGTCGTCCCCTGGTGCTAGCCCTCAACCCTGGTCTGTGCAGCTTCAAAGAGGAGTGCGGCTTCAGTGCTTCACAGACGGAGACGCATGGTCCACCCCGTCCAAGAGCTTGGCATCTCTCTCGATATTGCTCCGTTTGCACGTGGGCGAAGCGGCACCGAATCCACCAGCCGACCTTCTCTCCTGTGCCAGCCGCAGCCGCCCAGCTCAATCAATACCTTACGCCGTGCGTCCATTCCAGGATCAAGCAGAAAAGTCGACCCTCTCTCCCGTCGCTCTGATGATGTGAGGGGGGGGAAAAAGGAAAAAGAAAACGAAAAAAAAAGACAGGGTTCTGTCAAAAAAAATTAACGTGGCGTCCGTCGCCCTTCGGGTTTAGGGTCCGCTTCACGCCATCGAAGCCACGGCAGACACCAGTGAGTGCCGATCACTAACGCGCCTCGAGCTCGCAGCCGGTAAACTCTAATCCCACGCTTGAACCTTTCAGGGGTGGCCGACGTGGGCAGAGCCTAACTGTTTGGGCCTTCATTTGAATCCAGACCTGCCAAAAAGGATCTGTAAAAAGGAACATTACCGCCTGGATGGACATACCCGCACTCGTGGATCCGTTTACGAGCATCTGGACGTGGAATGTCATTAACCGGCGCTACCTCCGGACACCCTGATCTTACCGCTTCCTCTCCTCCCTCCCCTCTTCTGCCTATATTCGTCTCCTGGCCCCCACGCCCCGTCCAACGACCCCGACTGCCGGGACTTATGGTTCGCTTGCTTCTTCATCAACCGCCTCCGTTCTCCACGAATCCTTCGCGTCCAACCCCCAGGTTTCCCGTTCTCCCGTTCCCACCGGTCGTCAACTAGTTCCACATCCCCGCAGCTTCGGTCTACCTGCCTCTTTGTCTGCCTTTGATTTGCCTGCAGACACCCCCAGGCCCTCAACCGGCAGACCCGCGAGGCTGGGCGCAGTCGACCCGATAAACAAAAAGACCTTGATGAAGAAGCCAAGCCGAATTTCACAACGTTCAACATGAGTTCCAATGTGAGCGTAAGAAGCGAGTCCATCGGCGCCTTTGACTCTGCTACCCAGCAGCCGAATGGGCCAAAACCACCCATCAAGCGCAGGTCTCCAATAGCCTGCCGGAGGTTCGTCCTGCCCGCCAGCACGACAGACATATCCTGAACTGTCGAGCTAAACCGTGTACCAGATGTCGCCGAATGAGGAGCAAATGTGTGCATGACAAGGGACAGCCGCCGTGTAAATCATGCGCGGAAGCGGGCATACCAGCGAGTGAATGGTACCGTCAGCACCGAACAACGTCCGTGATGCCGTCTCGAAGCTAATCAATGGCAGCATCTTCCCTCAACGAGGCCAGCCGGATCTCGACCGCGAGTACCGGCACCCTCGCTTGAGGGCCGAGAAGGCCGCCAAACGAGAAGCCGACAAGGCACGACGCAGCGCGTCAGATGCGCAAGTGCCTCGGGGCCCAGGCGCGCCAGCTCTCCGGAAAGTCGCAGACGAATGGGAGTTTCTCCCGCCGCTTCCCGAGATCATTGACGCCGTCCACGGGTTCACCCGCAAGTATTTCCAGCTAGGCTTCATTCCGAAGGAGCTGTTTCCCCAGCAGCTGCAGCGAGACCACCGATCTGTCAGCGTCTTTCTGCTGCTCAGCATCCTTAGCGTCTCCGCTCGCTTCTCGCCAGCTCTGGCCCAGAGGTACCAGGGGGAGATGCAGGCAGTCGACTTCTTCATGGAACGAGCCAGCAACCTCGCGCTGAACGAGTTGTACCAAGAGCCTACTCTGGAAAGATGCCAAGCCTTCTACCTGTTGAGTCTAGCGCAGCAAGGCAGTGGTATGAGGAACAGGAGCTACGTGAGTTCCCCGAGTGGATTATTGTCACGACCAATGCTAAACATTTGCTAGATCAACATTGGTATAGCCACGAGGATGGCCGTCTTGATGCACCTGCACCGCGAAGAGTTCTACAAGATGAATAGTCCCACGAGGGAAATGATTATCAGGGCAGAATCTGCACGGAGAACTTTGGTGAGTTGAAGCGACAGAACTAGGGGAGGGCTATGCTAACAGTCAAGATAGTGGATGCTGCACAGTCTGTAGCCGTGAATAGATGCAAGTAGGCTTTTGCTAACATCATTTTAGGCCAGGACAATCTCCACTGCGGCGCCCTTTCCCCCGTGTCGCTCGCAGCAAACGACATCACGGCTCTTCTCCCCAGTAACGAGGAAGACTTCGCCTACGGCCGCGAGCCGTTATCGCGCGCTGCCCTTGAAGATACACCACCAGCCCGCGGAAACCCCTCACTGATCCATCAACCATCCCGGTCTCTGTTTGCGAGTCTGATGCAAGCACATTACTACTGGGGCAAAGTCGCTCGCAGAGCATTGGCGACGATGAAAAGCCCCAATCCTTGGGACCCTACAAGCGAATACGCCATTACAGCAAAGCAAATTCTAAGCTGGGAACAGCAGCTTCCGCAAGATCACCGATGGAGTGTTGTTCTCCTCAAGGGACACAAGTCCGTCGGCGAAGATTTGGTAGGTCTCGAAACCGATAGTTCAATTAGAATAGTGTTTAACGTGTTCAGGCCTACCTTGGAGTAACCATGATAACGAAACTCTGCAACATTGTGCTGAGACGTGCGTACCTCGAGAAGTAAGCAGCATTACTTTTCGCCCTATCATGTCTTCGAGTACTGACTGGAACAGCATTATCAAGACAGAGGAGAAGGATTTCCAACGCCGGGCTTTCTTTGCCAACATGTCGGACGACCTCTTCCGGAATGTGCGAGAGCTATACGAGCAAATCGATGCCCAATTCAGCGCCAGATCCTCTGAAGAGGGCGTAGGAGCTCAGATGGCATCATTCTGCGTCTACAGCTGTGGCCTTTTCTCGACCTATCTGGTTAAGTACCGGAACAGTGAGTACCCAGAAGCCAAGAAAGTGACTGCGTCATGCTGACCATGACAAGTTTGTTCCGACAAAGCCATCGTTGCGCAGGCTCCGAACATGCTCCAGCGGTGTATGTCCATCCTCATCGAATCCAAGCAGACTTGGCCCCTCGCCTCCCGTTGGTTAGAGTCCCTGGAGCGCTTCTCGCGAGATCCCAAAGCCGCTGCCTTTAGTCTCGAGGGCAGTATGGCTGATGGCGTAAGTTTCAACCTCTTAAATTACCCGCTGTTGTTCAAAATGAAAGGCTGACGAAAGTATTATCAGAACGATCGAACACTCCGACCGCTACATCCCACACCGCCCAACTTTACCAAAGGCCCACGTGCGGACGCGCCCAAGTATCAGCTCCCCGGCCCACCGGCAACCCCCACGGACGAGACGAAACCAATTCCACCAAGAAACAACAGCACCAGCAGCAGTAACGCATCCAACAACATCCTCCCTCCCCCGAGTCCATCGCCGAGCATACAGCAACAGCAACAAATCCATCAGCAACACAACTCTCCATTCCCGCTCCCGCCACTCATAAAAACCCATCAACAACAGCCCCAACTTCATCACAACCAGCAACACCAAGCCCAACACCATCAAATTCTATCACCATACCAGGCCCAACATCATCTTCTGCAACACCAGCCGCAACCGCACCACCAAGTCCAGCAACAGCAACGTCACCAACATCTACCGACACACCAACCACAAATGCAGCAACATCTACCCCCCGAGCTGCACCAGCACTTCTCGCCCCCGGTTTACTCCCAGGCGCCTCCCCCCTACAGCCCAAACAACGGCATGGGCATGCTCGTCCAGGCAGCCGCCTTTGACACCACGAGTTCGATCCTGAATGCGCCGGCGCAGCCGCCGCCGCCGCCATCGACGAACCAGTACGACCCGACCACGGTCGCGGCAGTGGCGGCCTTTTACAATTCGCCGGGTTCCACCTCCATCATCCTCGGCCCCGGCACGGACGGCTTTGAGTGTGAGCTCCAGAGCTGGTTCGACGGCACGGCGCCGGTCCAGGCGACGAGCTGGATCGGGAACGGCGCGGCTGGGCTGGGGTGGTTTGGATCCACGTGAGATGTCACTGATTGAGATGGCCTTATCAAGCCGGAGACAAGTGGGAAAGCAAGAAACGATACAGAAGAAGTCAAGAGAGAAAAGAGAAGAGAGAGAGAGAGAGACAGAGAGAGAGATCTTCTAGCAGTGTATGTGTCTTGTCATCGTACACTCAAACTATCTGAGCGACTCGGTCATTTCCTTTTTCGGATTTTTTCTTTTTCCTTTCTTCAACTATTTAATCATATCTAGAAATTGGCGCCAGGTCGGAAAATAGAGGGGAAGGACGGGGAGGGGGGGAGAGCAACGGTCAACGGCACTGCACAAATCCTGGTGCCGGCGCATGCATTATGGACGGAGAAAAAGGACGGGTCATTTTGGAGCCATCTAGCCGTCGTCATTCGTTTTGGTCATTTTTTTCATCATTTTCTGTGTCTTTTCGTCCACCCTCCCCCCCCTTTTTTTTTTTTTTTTTTTTTTGGTGTGCAAATATTCCTAGATCGAGATACCAGAGTGAATTGAGTACGTTCTTTTTCAAACTTGGTTTTATTCTGTTGCGATGCGCAGACGTGACGACGATTTCCTTGACAAGTAAATATATTTGCGAGGCATTGGGGGGGAAGAGGGCTTCTCAATCATTTGCCCAAATCCCAGCGAGTCTTTGCAAGGTAGGAATATAAGGTTCGTTCCATAATTCCGTTGACGACGACGACGACGGACCCAAGGAGGGTGGCTCACCTCAGCTACCAGATCGAATGATTCGAAGCCGTACTGACAATCTAGTCGTCGGCATTCCCGCCAAGGGACAATTATCGACCTAGCCGGGAAGGAAAACCATATCGCCAGATTGGGGCTCGTTTTCTATCAACATAAAAAGGAAAAGAAAGTGGCAGCGAAGTCACTTAGGCCCATCGCATCTCATGTCGTCTCACAAGATCGTCACGTTGTCTCCTCTCACAACACACTGGACCGCAAATCATTCACTTCCGAGGCTGAAGGGGGCAAAAAATCATTGAACTTCTACGACTATCAATCGGTGCTAGACATGAAGCCACTTGACCTCGTCCTCAGCGCGTTGTGTGCCGTCTGTTTCTTCCTCTGCAGGATCCGTCTCTCCTCGCTGCGCCTACACTCTCCCGTGGTTGCCCATTTCGCAAGGCCTTTCCTTCTCATCCCCCGCCTAGTGCGCGCGAGTCTTCTTTCCGATGGAAGAGTGAAACTCTGACGAAATCGCATACAAATATGGCCTAGAGCACAGCCTCCGGAGAGGTAGTAGACTCTTCCTTTCCCGGCCCACCTAATCACTTGACCAGGTTGGTGAATCCGAGTTGGGATACGGCCGACTCCGAAATGTGTATTGACGTTGGTCATTTCCCCGTCTCTCATTGCTCTCGTTTCCCCGCTGAAGGTTGAAAACAAACTCCCGGTTCCATCTGAGGGAAACTCCTTCTACATGACTTTTAGGTCGCCAACGCGCTTTCTATGCGAGGCGTACATGACAATGAGGACTCCCGCCCCTTCTCTAATCCAGCCGTCCGTCGCGAAAATCAAAGTCCAGAAGATAACAGCCAAGGGGTGGGTGAAGTGGTTGAATAAGGGGGGCATTTTCGTGATGTGATGTGATGTGCTGGCAAGGGGTATTGGGGTGATATTAGTCCTGGGGTTGTTGGTGCAAGGGTGTCTCTATATACACGCGAGGGAGCTCCGTGTCTTTCGATGCTGTGATGTGGCAAGAGTTGGAATTGGCTGTTTTCTCTCTCCTCCGTTTGACGCAGATCCGGGTTTCGGTAGAGAAATCGGCTGCTCCAGGATATGTGCTGGGTTTGGGGGGGTTGGTTGGGTGTGAATAATCAAACAAGTCGAAAAACAGCATCAGCCTTGAGCTTTACGAAGCTCAAGTCTGCGCCATGACGCTGGAGGAACCGCCAAGCTGGCGCTTGACCTGCTCACGTGCCCATCGAGCGGTCTCGATGGTGCGGGGCTGGAATTCGCGGTTGGTCTTGGTCTCCTTAATGAGGGCGGTGAGCCACTCCTGGCGGAAAATGTCGACGAGCTCTCCATTGGGGTAGGCCTCAGCCAGGTCGCCGATAACACCCATGGATGCACGCATGAGGGCCTCGCTACGGTTCATGTCGCTGGCAATCATGTTCAACAACTGGAAGATCGATGGGACGTATTGCTGAAGCGCCGGGGCTGCAAAGGCATGTTAGCGGACGGAATATTAAAAGAGTTGACTTGATGGTCGGATGAAACTCACTCTTATTACCGGATTTCATAGCCCCGATAATACCGCCCCAGGCGTCCATGATTCCCTCACGAAGAGAGATGACGTAGTCGTACATCTCGTACGGGCCCTCGGGGCCGGCGTTCACTGTTGCCGCCTGCTGCAATACCTGGGCAATGACGGACAGGTAGGTCTCAAAGTGGCCACCAATGGCGCCAGCAATGTCACCGAAGCATTGCAGGATAGCAGGCTTGAACTGGTTGCTCAGGGCGGTGCTCTGTAAGTACGGTTAGTCTTGCCTTATATACGAAGGGTTTGCCGATCCATGATCGCATCGACAACAGCATTTTAAGAAAGACAGGGAAGTTGGGTGGACGGTAGTGACGGGGCATAGTACCTTGAGGTTGTGGAGCAGGTGGTTCATGAAGTTGTCGCAGTACGGCTGGCTACGCTCGCCAAGAGAGCGGGTCAGGTCGCTCACAAGACCGATAGCCATGGAGCAGAGAGCGGGCTCCTCCTGGTTCGACAAAGCATTGTAGAGGAATGGCGTGAAAGCCTCCATGTACTTGGAGAAATCCTCCTCCATGGCGTTGGCCAGGGCACTGATGGTAGCGAAAATACCATCGGGGACGCTAGACTTGCTGCCCACGGTGCTCAGAATCTGGAGCAGGGTCTGCATGATTCTGTCGCCCTGGGGAATAATCTCCTTGTCGAGTCTCTGGATGATGGCCTGAAGAACGGTGCACAGGCTGGTTTGCATCTCCTCCAGCATGATCCTGTCTTCGACACTAACGACCTGGGTCTGCATTGGGATGGTGCCCTCCAGACGCTCAAGCACAACACCGGAAAGGGAGGCGATGGGCTGCATGCTCTCGCTGGCAGCGTTCTGCACAAAGACGTTGAGAACCTCGTAGGCGGCGGTGCGGACGTAAGAGTCGCAGTCGGAGCGGGCTGTCAGACCAAGCAGGTTGGTGACGCTCTGGTTGAAGTGAGGGGTCAGAGGGTTCTGGGCAGCACCGAGGTCGCCAGAGAAGCGCTCGGCCAAGTTCATGAGGGCCCAGCAGCACGAAGATGCTATCTTTGCGCTGCTCATGAGACCGTTGAACAGGGAGCGGATGAGAGGGTCGAGGTGCTGGTTGGGGTCGATGCTGTCTGACACGCTCTCGGTGATGCGGCCGAGGGCATAAGCGGTCGAGTCCTTGACATGGAGGGAGCTGTCGTCCATCATGCCGATCAGGATAGGAAGAGCCTGCTTGACGATGGGGTCGAGGACCTTCTCGTCGGGGCCGTCCATGATGGCGCCGAAAGCAGAAACGGCGGCATCACGGTGGTGCCAGTCTTCGGCACGCAGGTTGCCCTCAACGAACTGCAGCACGGGGCTGATGATGGCGGCACCGATGGCCTGGGCGTAGAGGGCAAGACACTGGTAGGCGGCGCGAGCCAGGTTATACTCGTCATCGGCCGCATCCTCGTCCTGCTTGGTCAGAAGCAGAAGGAGGACGGGCACAACCTCGTTAGCTGCTACGCGAGCGAAGTTGTAGAAGGGTCTCATCTGGTCGGCACTCTCGACCTGAGCGTTGTCATCCTCGATGCCGATCTCCTCCTCGCAGACGGTGCTCCAGAACTCGACGGCGAGCTTGGCAACGTCCTCGTCCGAAGACTTCATGCCCAGAATGGTAAGACCGAACAGGGCCTTCTCCATGTAGAAGCGCATGTTGTCGTAGTAGAGACCCATGATACGGTTCAGGCATCCAAAGGCGCCCTGCTGTATCCGGGAGTCGTCGGCCTGAGTGGCCTCGCAGACGACCTGCATGATGTAGTTGCGCTCACCCTCGTGCTTGAAGTTGTTGCCGACGAATTCGAGCGAGTCTCCCAGGGCTGTGATGGCAGCCAGGCGAACCTCGAGGCTCGCCTCCTCCTTGCGGGCACCCTGAACGACGGCGGTCAGGATGGCGTTGGAGTGGGCAATGAGAGCCGTTCGCAGATCGGGATCTTGGCTTTCGCAGATGTAACCAATGGTGGTCAAGGAGGCTTGCTTCTGGTGCTCGCCACCCTCGCTGATGTTCTTAACAAGGATGCCCATGAGATCCTGCCACTGGCTTCTCGGCAGCTCGATCGAAGCGATGGAAGAGATGACCTGGGCAGCTGCCTGACCAGCCTGAGAGTTGGAGGAGCCGAGGGTCTGCAGAGTCAAGTTCTTGACCTGGGTCTTGGTCTCGTCGTCGGTCTGTTGGAGCCATTTTGCCTGGAGCTCTTGATGACGGGTAAAATCACGGGCAGTAAAGGCGTTCTTCAGGGCGAGACCAGCGGCGGCACGAATGGAGCCATCGGCGTTGTCGTTTGCAAGCTCTTGAACGAGGGTTGCGAGGTATAGGGGCTGTTGGGAAGGATGGTTAGCAAATTTGCCAGCGGCGGTGGGGGGAGGGGGAACTCGGGATCCAGAAGTGGGCGGGCACGTACGAAGTTGTTGTCGGCTGCTTGTGTAAGTTGCTGCTCGGCGGCGTTGCGCAAGTTCGCGTCTATTCAAGATGTTAGCATTGCCATGGTCGTTTGTGGCGGGTCGGTGATGCGAGGTAGGGAGGAGGAAGCCAAGAAGAGCAGGTTCTGTTGCATTGCCCTGGCGACAAATTGGGGGAGGGGGGAATAGGATTTGCTGGCGATGGAAAAGCTGGTGAGTGCAGTCAAGGTTGAGCAAAGCAAAAAAGGACGAGGACAACGCAAAAAGCCTACCTGGCGACAGCGAATTGGCCAAAACCTGGTTGATCTCTGAGCCCGACATGTTTGGCGCTCAATGTGTGATGATTTGAAGGAGGTAAGGCTGAGCCAGCGCCGGTGTTTGGAGAGGTTCGGAGGGGGGCTCGTTGACAGGTTCTGCACGTGTCAGGAGGTGGGAGGGAAAGGGTTCAGCAAGGCACCGCAGCTGAGGTCAGAGCAGCGGGAGACGCGGGGGTGTTTTGCGGCGGCGGCGGTCTAGGTCTACCTTAGGCAGAGAAGACAGGACCAGAAGTTTGGCGTGGTGCGTGAAGCGGGCGCCAGGGGCAGGGTCGGTAGTGCGTTGAGAACGACCTGGGAGGATGAGAAAGTGAGAGAATGACGGGACCGAACGGACGGCGGAGAGGGAGAGGACACGAGAGAGTGAGAGAGAGAGAGAGAGAGAGAGAGAGAGAGAGAGAGAGAGAGAGAGATGGCAAGAAGGAATCGCTTTGGATTCCGTATTAAAATGATGGGCCAAAAGACGTTGTCTCGTGGTAAGGTCCTTTGCAAGAATTAGAGGGTGTACCGCAAGGAAAAGATGGTCGCGACAATAACAGGCGCAGAAATTGGTTGGTGAGTAATGTGAGGACTTTTATGGTTTTATTTTTTTTCTCTTCCCTTTGGGTTGGTGAAGGAGAGGAAAAAATGGGAGCGGGACCTGACGAGGTTGTTGACGATCATAGGCTGCCCACCTCATTTACAGTATTGCATGGCCCGCTACGCAGTGTGGTGCGTGCCGTATTGGGGGACCTCAGGGACGCAATGACAGCAGCAGGAGCGATAAGGTAGTGTATCTTGGAGGGAGCAGGAAGGGGGGGCACGATGATGACAGCGGGAGCATCAGAGACAGCATACAATGGGCGGTGAATACGGAATCCCCTGGGGAAGGGCACCTCAGGTAGCAGCTCAGGTAGTAGCCCAAGAAGATCTATTCGTCACCTCCATGTCTTTCAGTTCGTCTTGTAGCTGAGCGCTCCTGAGGTGCAGCAAGGTCTTGTTCCTTCTTCTTTATGGACACAATAGGTACAGTGCGGGGACAATAGCTCCTGGAGGTACCCGGCCTGAACATACAACGACCACTACTTTCAACAGGCTGACGAGGCGACAGTGGGCAGCCAACAACAGCAAAGTGCAAAAAAGAAACGACAGAAAAAGGACGTTTAATGAGTGTGGGGAAGGAGAGAGGTTTCTGATGCACGAAACCGAGGAGGGGTCGTTTCCGAAATTCCGCGTGCTTCTTTCTACCTTAGCTTGGACTTTTCCGGCCGCTCCTGCACTTTATACCTGCCCTTGGATTGACGAGGAAGGCGCGAAACGAGAAACACGCTTTCTACCTGGAGTGAATCCATCTCATTACATCCCCAACGGTGCTGCAAGGCCGTTTGGGTGTTTCTTCTCCGGCCTCTCTGCAACTGCAAGGGCGTGAGAGTCGTCTGTTCATCTAGCGGGGGGGGATGGATGGGGGGGGATGCTGAACCTTCATCCAAAATATGAATCAAGCGAGGGCGGGGAGGGGCAGAGACTGAATCAAAATAACGAATGAGGCACTCTGTTTTTTCCTTTCCTATTGCGGCAAGCCTTTGACACAGTGTGGTCCCGCATCGCCTGTGCGTATCCGATGGCTGCCTGAGACGAGACTCCAGTTAAGCACTCATCTCCGATTACCAACTCTTGCACAGTGAACACAGCAGCTGAGAAGTACCACCAGATTTCTTGCTATTCTACGTCCCGTCTTCCCTCGCCCCCGCCCGGATTCATCTCACCAACACTGAAAAGAGAAACAGTGAGGCTAACCTCATCTGGTGAGAAACCCCACAAAATGAACAGAGAGACTCACAATCACAACGGGGTGTCAGGGCTGCAGCTGTGTGTGCATGGCGTTGCCGGGCTGCCTTGGCGGCTTCCCCTCGTTTCCTCTCAGATTCAGCTCTGTTTTTTGCCAGAGAACCTGACAGAGAATCAAGACACAACCTATGGTCCATGGAAAGTGCATAAAATCCAAAATATGCCCCTTTATTCACGAGACACAAACCTGCTGCGGTACCAAAATTCAAAGTTGCCCCTGCAAGGCGACGGCCCGCAGCCTAATCCAACCCTCCCCCTCTCCTCGGCTCATGTTCCATGCCTGGTAGGGCAAAAAGTGCCAACCAGGTTGAGAGAATAGCCGTGTCTGGGTGTGCTTTGAGACGACAGCCCAGGTTGGACTGTTTGCTTACCGAACCCAAATACGGATACCTACTACAAGTGCGTAAGGCTGCCCTGCCCGCCTCTGTGACAGCCATCCGAGCCCCAAAAGTCAGACGTCATCCTTTCCAGGCACCCGGACCCGAGCGCCTGCTCGCCTGCCTTGGCTCAACCCCGCGACTCAAGTTGCAAGTCACCTGAGAGACATTCTGTGAGCACAAATCAGCAGGCTCTTGAGTTAACTGCATGGATTTCGGTCTGCTTGAGTTGGATAAAGTTCCTGTTCGGTGATGCACGGCTCAACGATGGTCGCAGAGAAACGGTGTCGAGCATGTCGGGCATTCTCCAATAGTGAGCCGTCGACTACATCTCGTGATATGCTTTGAAACGTTTCCAAAATGTAAACGCTCGTCGATTCTATTCAATGATCTGTTCGTCGCCAATAAATGATTGGGCTAATGTCCAGGCTACCCTGTCTCTTACTTACTTACGCGCTTGCTCATATACATGGTGAGGCTGCAGGAATAGTTTTATCATCCTTGCTCACTCTTTCCACACTAGCAGCGGATCGGGAAAATCTGCATACGGGTGTGTACGCCATAATTGGATTCTTTTGAAGGTTCCAAAACCTTGATATGCTCTATATACGATTCATCAGGCAAAATTTCCCTGCGCCAGAGGGAACAGTCCAGACCAACGGCGGCCCGGATCTATAGAGAAGGTTCGTCGTGACTTTCATTACTTGACAAACAAGCAAGCTGGAGGGTTCTGGTGGAAGCGGTTCTCGAAGACATCCGCTTTTCTGAGTTGCTGATTTACCTCCTCTAGAGCATTAGGTGCTGCGTTCACCACATCAGATCCTGCCCTGGCATAACAGCAGCGACTCGAGGAACATCAACGGGAGTGTATCCCCCCTCACTTCTAGGTAATTCATCCGAGAAGATGGTGGAAATAGAGGAAAAGATGCAAATATAGGTGGTGTCAATAGTGACTTTTGGGGACCGGGCCGGGCTTTTGTCTGATAGCCCGAACCTAGAAAGCTTCTTCCTGTGTACAAGTCGTGTCTCGGGTGATCGGATAATGCCACAGGCGGGCGACGAGTCATCCAATACGCCGGAGCACATTGGCTCCCGGGTTCGGGACGCGGAACTCTTTGAGATGATCCACGATTACCTTCCTCTGGCAGTGTACTCATACTGAGATCTATGCGGCCCTACCCTCACTAGGCGCGAACCGTACCAGGGGATCAAGCAAACCTAACAACGCACCACCCAAACCGTAACCATGAATCCGCTCTTTCGAGACACCGACCTCAAGACAGACCGGCCCAGTTTCGCATGTAGGCTGCGAACCCTCTCCCAAAAAGACTCTACCGTCCGGTTGTTTAGGGGGAAAAAATGAAAAGTCATGGCGAGTCTTGTTATGAGCCCGTCCTCGATCTGGCCTGCGCCCTCAACCTTATATCTTGGGGTCAAGGTTCCTGCATTCGGAATGGCGGCGGCGACAAACTTCGTCTGGTCCTCGACTAGACCCTGGTGGTTGTGTCGTGGTGAGCGTTTGCCTCATCACCATGGCGATGGACGCGCCGCGAATTCCAAAAAAATCAGACGCGGGGTTGGATCCCACTCTAGCTTAACAGCATGTTCTCAAGGAACTCATTCTTCTTCATGGGGGTATTCGCCTAAAATACGACTCAAGCGGTGGTTATAGTGTGACATCAAGTGGGTGCTTGATATAACTTTAACAATTGCCCGAAAGGCTACGAGCCTGTCCCTCACGAGACCCCCTCCTCCAGCAGGCTTTTCAGACAAGTACGTATTGAAACCATGTGGACTCTCGGAGCTACTCTAGACACACGTATCGAGTTCTCATCTACTCCATTTCCACTGTTTTGAACGTAGGATTGGATGGTTCTGTAGACATCCAGTCTATAAAACGGCTTCAAGCATTGAAACTTGTCGTGAGAGAGCGGCATTTTGACTGTCCATCTCCGTCGATTTCACAAGGGGCTTGTACAATTTCATAGATATTAGGGGGAAATGCTCAAGAGTCATGCAAAGATATGTCGTATATTTTCCGTGAGACACTGCAAGCTCAAGCCCCACAGAGTTGATTTGTGTCTGCTCCCATGTGGCTAATACTTCAAGCTGGTTAATCATTGCGCATGATTTGAGAAATTCCGATTCATTGATAAACCTAGCCGTCAGAGAAAGAAAGTGCCTCTCAACTACGCTTTGCCATATCATCGGCAGTCAATAGAGTGTCATTCCACAATACGTGCTATTCATTTGCCTTCTTTTCTCGTGTCCCTATATGCGTGAAAGAGGAAACCCGTTACATTATAATCCCTCCCCCCTTTTACAAGCCGTTGGCCTTGTCTTCCAGGGCCGAGACAATGCTGGGTACCTCATGTGCCTCGCCATTCATTCCACGCGGTGTCTCGACATCCAACTCCAGGCTGCGAGATCGAGCTGGAGCCTGCGCTGTTATGATCCAGACCGCGCCGCTCTCGCCGGATTGGGAGTTAACGCGGATGCTGGCCTCGTAGCTGCGGCCAATGTAGATGGGGCCAAGGAGCAGGTAGGCGATCTGCCAGTGCCCGTCGTTGGACTCAACGGTCCCGTCGCGAACCTGAAAGCCTCTCTTGATGGCGTCCTAGTAGGAGCCGGAGACGGCGCAGACGACGAGGGAGCCGTCGTAGGGCGCGCGGGGGTGGGACGAGGATCTTGTCGCAGGTCTCAACCACGTCGATGACGCTTTTCAGGTCCGAGACGTCGACCTTGGGGTGGACGCCCTGTGTACAGAGATTCAGGCCGAGGGTGACGAGGTCCACGTTGCCAGTGCGCTCGCCGTTGCCGAAGAGGCAGCGCTCGACGCGGTCGGCGCCGGCGACGGCACATCAGTGGTCATTGTATGGGTAGAGCGAGACGGCAATCTTCTCGCGATCAGTGAAATTTCTGCAAAATAACTCATTGTGGTCGGCGTAGACGTTGGGGGTTAAACATCTCGACGGTGGCGGGGAGGTTGAAGATGACGGGCACCTCGCCGGTGGGCTCTTAGGCGGCCTCGACGGCCTCGCAGATGCGGACGACAAACTCGGGGGAGGTGTCGGAGAAGGTCTCCGGGCTAAACTCGAACGGCCACTTGGTGCCGGACTAGACAGCCCTCCGGAAGCACTCGCTAGTGGCGAGGTAGATCTGGACGATGGCGTTCTTGGCGCCCCTCGAGGGACTCTACTGTCCTCTTGATGAGGTCCTCGCGGCAGTGGTGGAAGAGGCCCTGGAGGTACACGTCATTGGGGACGGGCGCCGGGGGGGTCTCGATGAGGCGGCGGGTGAAGTCGAAGTCGTTTTGCGATGCAGAGGGGGGTAGGAGACTTTGATTTCCCTGTAGCCCAGATCGCACAACCTCAAGACAAGTTTGATAATAGTTGGAACGGAAATGTCAGTGAACATGGGTTGAAAGAAACCGATCCGACATCTCCAGACATCGCTCGCAAACTATCAAGGTTTCTGTGAGAAGCACATGGTGAAGTTATTGTGTGCCATGTCATGGCCCGGAGAGGAGTCGGCGATGGGGCCTGAGAAGCTAGCAACGTAACTTCTTCATGGTAGGAATTGGATGCGTGCGAAAATTCGTAAGTCGTCTTCAGCGTGAGTACTTACAAGGCAACCCTATCGTTGTTCAAGTTGTGGCCAGGGTGTGGTTTAAGTAAAGCTGAACAGCTTTGGAATTTCTTCATCGTTGAGTTAGTTTTCAGACAGGCAGTCAAGTCACTGTGGGCACTGACTTGTCGACGCTGGTCAGGGCATAAACAAGGTCAGTCGGTGGTCAAGTGGGAAGCAGCAGGTTTTTTTTTTTTAAATCCGATTGAGACGTCTTCGTCTGGTTAAGTCTATCTTCATGACCGGCGGGTGTTATTTACAACGACAGGGTACATTAACCCTTTGCTTTGTCTCGCAGTGGGAGATGTAGTGAGTGTAGGGATATATACGTCCAACAATTAGACAAAATGTCTCCCCAGAAACCTGGGGAGACGAGAAAAAACTGCCCGAAGCAACTGGATGAGGAAAGTTGTGTGCAAAGCCCACCTTTCCATCCATCTGTTTAGCCCCAAAAAGTTGGTGTGCAAAATATGTACACAGTTAGAAGAAAGCGAGCCATTAGAGACAAGGCGTCGGCCGTGAGAAGCATGTCCATGTCGATCTGATCCTGATGATCCGCAATAAAAAAAAAAAGAGATGAGATAAAAACACTGCGCTTTTCCCCGCTTGGTACCGCTGACGCCCAAAGATCTGAAAACCATGTCCACCTCGGTTTGCAATTGCGAAATGATTCGTTGTGGGGTATCTTTCTTCTTCTCTTCACCACGTGAAACTCTCTTCCACAAAGTCGACCACCGTGCCCTCATCTTGCACCTCTCTGACCGCAGATCTCACGTCGTCAGCAAGAGCACCGGGGCCACAGATGTGAACACACATGGCGCCCAGCTGCTCCGACACCTCACGCTTCAGGATCAGAGGAACGTTGGGGCGGCCAGGGAACATCTGGACTGTGTTGGATGCCGAGACAATCTGCTGAGAGTTCTGGGGGCGAGTGATGTAGAGCTGGATACGGAGGATGTCTTTCCGGTTGGGCAGGCGTAGGATAGTATCCATCCAGGGACGAACCCACTCGAGGGCCTCGTAGTCACGTACAATCCAGACGAGAGTAATGCGTCTCGTGGCAACGCTACCGTTGTTGTAGCCATCGATAAGGGGCTTGAGGTAAGAGATGCCGTGGGTAATACCAGTCGCACCGGCGAAAAGGACGGCGTGGCCATACGAGTCGAGCGAGTGGTGGCCGCTGTAGGGACCTTCAACACACGCCTTCATGCGGATGGCGCGGTCACCGCTCTGACGGGCAACATTGTAAAGATCGCGAGTGAAACCGCTCTGAGCACCGATGATGAAAGAGATAGAGGTCGTCGTGTTCTTTTTGTCAACGGCAGTGAGCGCAGCCTTCTCCTCATCCACTCCGAGAGGCAGCGAGCGGTGGTCAGGAATGTGCTCAACCCAACCAATGGAGAAGGGGTGGCAATCCCAGGGGCGGATATCCTTGAAACGCAGGTAGGCGTGGGTACCGGGCTTGACATCTACATAGCGAGGGAGATTCATGGTGACACGAGTGCACTCGCCAGGAACAGCCTCGACAATGGCGTCGGTGACACCGCGGTCGGACCAGTTCATGTAGGCGACACGAACAATGCGGGCCATGCGCTCAAGGAACCAGAGGATGAAAATAGCAATCATCCAAGGGAGTTGGGGAAGGCCACCTGGGAGGGTAGCAACGGCACAGTGGATGTATGTCATCAGGAAGATGAAGAAAGCCAGGATGATGTGAACGTTGAGGAAGGTCTCGTAGAAAGCGTGGCGAACAGGCGAGAATGACAGAATCATGATGACGATGAGGGCGATCGTACCAGCCATGCCCGAGCCGATGAAGAGCTCGTTGGACAATCTATGCCAAACGCCGGCCCATCCATTGTCGGCGATCTGGACAATCAACCAAGCGATGGTGTGAAGGACAGCCTCAAAGACACACATACGGCCCACCCATCGGTGAAGGAGGTTGTAAGTGTCGAAACTGACATGAAGCATGCCAATCAGAGGGTTGTTGCGGCCGGCGAGAATGATGAGTGGCACCATGTTGACGACGGCGAGCGTGCCGGAGCGACCACGGAGCTCGGCGCAGAAGGAGTATATGTTGGCATTCTCCCAGTTCAGGAAGAACATGTAAACCATGTTGCTGGCGAGGTAGAATCCGAGAATGAAGCTGTGCATACGCGAAGGCAAGGTGCCAATGCCGATGGCGCTTGAGAGCTTGATCTCCTTGTTGTGGCGCTTGTTCCAAAGGGGAGCGTACATGAGATGCTTCTTCAAGCCGGGCATCCAGTTCCACTGGGCCGTCTTCCAGTAGTTTTGCCTCTCACCCTCGACAGACATGGCCGAGACATGACGGAGCTGAGCCCAAAGGATACGGCTAATGGTGATGCCCAGGACGAGCAATGCCATTCCACCCAAGCTAGCCCAGAGCATGTTCTTGAACAGCATGTTGTTGACCTGGTTAACACCAGCAAGGTTGGAGTGGTAAGGGGCGATGGTGGAGGTGGCCTCAGCCGCCCCCGCAGTGTCATCGGCATGAGCACGCTGTTGAAGTACCTGGGTGGGAATGAGATCCGCCACCAGGCCGGCGATCCTGCGCCGGTGAGAATCCATTTGGTCGGATGTGTTGTTTGTTGTTGCTGTTAATCTCAAAATTCGAGTGAGAAGGGCGAGGGAGCTTTCGTTTCTCCCGAAGATGTGAACTAGATAGCCTCGTTCGGTTGGGCTAGGCTAGTCTGCTAGAATGATCCGGCAGGCGCGAGAGCGGGAAGTCTGGTTGTTATCGAGAGCGCTTGTCGGTTACAATGTCATTGTGCTTCGGGTCGAGAGCAAAGTGACAAGGAAAGAACGGGGATAGCAGGCCTGTTCCGAAGAAATGAAGCGGAAGCCTTTGTAAGTATCAACACAGTGTCGAAGGTGACGTGTGATGAGTCGAAGTGCTGCAGCAGAACGAGTCACTGAGGAATGCGTCCAACCTCGAGATGAGTGATGTGCAAAGCTGAGTGACGGAAGTTCAGTCTGCCAGGGGGAAAAAATCCGGATGGTCGTTGCGTCGATACCCTTGTGCTGATCGTTTGCGTGGAAACGAGAGCGGTCGGTGTGTTGGCGATCCAAATGTGGGCAAGGTCAATATGAATCTGGCCGAGCAGGCGCCGTTTCAACGGATCAAGGGAAGGCAAGTGGCTGAAGTTGACGTATGAGGAGACGGTGAATGAAGCAACGTCAATATATTGTGCGTCTCTCAGGTGGTCGTTCGCAATGTCTCGTGCCGCGTCCTTTTCGGAATCGAGGAGCCGGAATCCCTTCTGTCGAATGTGGAGAAATTGAGCGGGTGAGAGTGATGGGGAATTTCCAAAACGCTGAAAATTGCCCGAATTGGTGATGACGACGAAAATGGAGTAAAACAAGACGACGAAGACGTTGACAATGTCTTGAATATGATGCGTAGCGAGTTTTTGGTTTGTCTTGGAATGTGGATAAAAAGAGTGTATACCACCGCTGACGGAGTTGGGTTGAAGGGAAGAACGAGCGTGGGTTGCTGAAAGGGAGTGGTGCGTGTGCGATCAACTAGCGAATCTCTCACGTGGGGGGTTGAGTGAATGTGGAAATGTTTTGAAGGAAGGTGCAACGGCGCAAAAAAAGAGTGTGTTGGAAGGAAGATGCAGAGGGTGATGTGGTTGTCAGTTCCAGAGTGAGGTTGGAAGGTCGGGGGTTCAACGGTCGTTATTTCCGTTTCTGCCTCGTGTGTTTTGGTGGTGTTCGTCCAATGACCTCAGATGATCGGTGTCCCCTGCTGCGTTTCTCTTTTTTCTGTTCCTTTGTTCCCCGAAACAAGTCCAAACCAGTGTCCACCAGAAGAAGAATACGTGTAACGTCGACGAGTGTTGTCCAGCCTCTTTTGCAAAGAAGAAAAAAATGACTCGAATTCCAGAATTCCAGTCGAAAGCGAACCGTCTCACCAAAGAAGAGATCGAAGATAGTCAGCGTGACTAAGGGCGAGGAGAAGCAGAGAGTGGTTGGTATCGCCAGGCGTGGAGAGGGCGATTAAGGTACTTTTAAGAGACTGGCTGGGACGGGCCATGAAGGACCTCCTGCGAGCCACGACGGGGCGGGGGGAGGAGGCCCACGGTAACGCCGCCGAGAAGCTCCTATGGGTTCTCTTTGGGGGGGCGGCCTGGACTGGCTGACTGGGTGCTGCAGGGCTCTAGCTGGGAAGGGCAACATGGTCCATTCCCGAATCCCCCTGGATCTGAGGTGGCGTGCAAGGGCAAACCAGAATGACTGGACCGACGGGGGCCACGCTTGACTGGCTTCTGCCCGTTCTGGCTCATCTATTCGCAGGTACGCGCAGGCTCCAGCACTCCCAGCTGGCTTCGGCAAGTATCCGATACCAAGCCAGGATATAGAGACAGATACGGGGACTCTTTTCCGCCAATGGTCTACCGAGCATTCTCACAAACGAGACGACGAAGCAAGGCCGGGCACGGCATGGCATGGCACGCCACGGATTGGTACCTGCGTTGCCCTCACAACCGCAGTGCGCTAGCCATGTACCCCTTTTCACTTCGCGGATAGGTGCACGGTGCAACTGCCTTGTCAGCCTGATAGTGATTCCAGTCCTATCCGTACAACCTGAACCGTACGTATACTACCTTACGTAGAATAGCTCAATTCAATGGTCAAAACGAGGAGCAACTCCAAGGGTTCCAAGACCACATCTGCCCACCGCGCTGTCAGTCTAACCCTATTCCGATCCTCTAGGTGCTGGAATGGAATCACTGCGCCTTGCACATCGGCCCACACACCGGTGTTGCTCATGCCAGTGCCAACCGATGGCCCCGGCGGAGATGGCGGATGGAGCACGGCAGGCAGGTCAACGACGCAGGAACAGGAACGACCCAGGTACGCCAGGGAAGCAAAGGGAATTCGCACTTTGTGCAAGACTCGAGGTGAGGGTGGGACAAATGGAGGGGGTCATGGCCGGCGGTCAAAAAAAAGCAAATCGCTCACAGCAAGTGCAGGGATGTCACTGACGGGGGATACGTACACATGCACTCTACTCTGTACACACAGGGACAGGCTCTGAGGGAATCGATCCCTGGTCGTCAATCATTGAGATCCAGTGTTACCGTTCGCTGAGGCTGAAGGGATGGCCCCTGGCCGCTTGCCCGCGTTGATTACCATGATTTTCATTCGCTTCCCTCGCCTGTCGACAATCCAAGACCTTAATTGTTCCTCCGGAGCGATTCGCCATTGAGTCTTTTTCTTGGGTCGGGTGGAATGCTGAGGGATCAGATGTTCTCTCATTTATCGTCGAACCTCACGTCGCAAATGGTCTGACCCTAGACAAGATCAGGGAATACGGGACCTCGGGGTCTACAGATGCAGACCACAGGCATGCCAATCCAAGTCCGCACCTGGCAACTCAGTCCCTTGGCTTCTGCTGGGCGATTCCTTGCCGTCGTTCCTGAATCCTGACCCAACGCGCGGTGTGGATGGCCCAGTGTTTCCTGGCTTTTCGCCATCTTCTCGACCCCTGAGCGATTTGACTGGCCCAAATCAGGCCCTCGCTGACTGGACTGGGTCCCTCGGAGGGCTTGACAGCCAGCCAGGACGCCTCACGCAGGGGCGAACGGACACAGGCTAGGAAATAACAGGGGAAGAGACCAGACGAACAAGGATGGAGGTTCGGGCGAACACTTGCCCTCGACCTATCGGCTAGTAGCAGCTGGGCCCAAGATGCCAAGCACAGCGACCAATCCTTCTCATGATTTGCTGCTTCTCTGTCCTGGGTTCGACTGAACCTGAAATCGACATGTCTTCTCGGCTTCGCACATGGCATGAAGCTGCAACTCCAAGACTTCGCGACTTGCACAGAAAATCCACCCAAGCGACCAAGCACGACGACGGATCTTTCGGGTCTCTTCTTGGCCTCTCATCCACCGTCCAGCAGGACCCTGCTCTGCCCAGCCGCCAAGGAACACGTTGGGATGAACCAAAAGAAATTCCGGTCATTGGCTGGGTCACCGCCGATTCAATCCAAGGGCCCCCCGTGGTTCCTCTCTTTGGTCCCGTTGTCGTGGCCCCATGGGTGACCGTTGGAATCGACTCGTCCACGTAAGCCGTTGTCTGCAAAGCCGGAGACATCATTGGCAATGGCTTCGCCCGTTTGTATTCCCGTCGGTCCCCATCGATCATCCACTTCCTCGGCCCTGTTTGGCGCCAGGCTTGATCTGGCTCGCTGAGTCGAGATACGAACCGAGACCCAAGCCGTTTGGTACAGCGCCACGAGGCCACCAGCACAGGCTACTCTCGCTTTTGCGTACTAGTGTAGCAGAAGGCATCCGGATTCCGATGTGGCATGGAACGGTGAGTCGGTAACACAGACATTGTGCACAAACAGGGCCATAAGATGTGCAGCTATTGTCGTATCCATTTGGGACCCAATCAATTTCCCTCCATCCCAGAAATCTGGAAAACACGGCAACTGACGCTCGGATGATGACGAACAGATGGATATCCAAAGAGGAGAGAAGTCCCAAAGGAGATCGAAGGCCAAACCCCCCATCCACTCATCGCTCAAGCTGTCTGAGCATCTGAATCAGCCCCTCATCTAACTCATCAACTGCACGTCTCAGGCATAATGCTGTGCCGTCCCTCTCGGCTGATCCAGCCGTGGCATTCATCAGATGGCATCTTACCGTACCGCTCCGGAGCTTACCGCGCCCTCAACTCATCTGTCCGCACCGGATTTCCCAGCTGGTTATACTTTCCTCCTACAAAGACTGGTATCAACGGTATCCCTTTCTCACCTCCCCTGCAACCGAGGGATCGTAATCGAACGGTTCTCAGATATCCAGTAGTACAAGAACCATCCGGTCGGCTGTTTGACAGACGTTATCTACCCCTCTAGGAAATTTAAACTCATACGCTTGTCAGCGAGGAGTCCTGTCACGGCTGCAGTTCGCGGAGTCTTAGTGGTCTGCAGGAGTCAAAGCTCTGTCTGATCTTGATAGCAGTCAACCCTTTTGGCATAGGGTACCCTGGTCCTCGCATGGCCCCCGAACAGCACCTATCGTACAGACATGAAGCCAATGGCCAAGATACGCAGTAGAGGGGAACCCACAAGGGACTCCATGAGAGACGGAGCGACGAACGGAGTAGAAACCCAACCCACGTTCTCGTCCCCTTCAAACCTACAGCGAATTTAATTCAATCCTGTCTTGGGGGCCGGGGCTCGCAATTCTCATCCAGCCGCATACAAATTGCGGGATGTGACGGCGTAGCCGTACCCGCCGGGGGCCCAGCGCAGTTCAGCGGGGACTCTCTGTTAAGCGTCGTTGCAAACAAATTAACACACCCGAACATCCCAGCAATTCGCCTCGGGGTCAGATTCCGTAAAGAGGCTTCTCCCCACCCTTCCTTCCCCAGGGCCAGGCTTCCACCTTGGTGATTTGGCTTCCTCGCAACCGCCTGGCCGGGTCGTCCAGATGGGCCGCAGCAGATTCACGGTAGAGAGGCCGAAGGGCTACTGCGAAAGAAGGCGAGTCGCCCGCTAGGAGGCGCCAGCAACCTGCCAACATGCCTGGGAGAAGGCCTGGGAGAAGGCCTGGAAGGCTGCAGACGTGCGGCGGGTGAGGAGGGGATGCCCCCATGAAGTCATTTGCTTGTTCGGTGACCTATCGTTTCAACGATATTGCAGGCCCCGTCCGCTTCAGGTGAGCGTTGGCCGTTGACATGCATTGGCACACAAACGCGTGCAGATGAAGCCGAGATATTCGAACGGGTATGTGGGATTTGCTCAAATTTCATTGACTTCACTGGTCGCTCTAATCTTCTACCTGTACGTACGCCGAGCCTTCTCTTCTGCGACTAGCACCATCACGACATCTTCTCCTTCCTTTTTGCCTTGCCGCCCTCTTGGCGCCGAAGCATGCCATACCCACACATCGTGGACTTGCTGAGCCAAGTGATGGCCCAAGCAACCGAGGCCCAAAGGGAGTTCACGAGCGCTTCTACAGATATGCAGTTCTTGAGTCTCACCGAGATAGCCGTCCTGTCTCAATCTTGATGAATCAGAACGCAGACCTGGGTACCCCCATCTGCCAACTCCGCCTATCTGTTGACTGCGATCCTTGAAACAAGATGGGATGATGAAATACCTGGTCCAAGGACCGCGTGGTTGGAGCGCGGGGGTCACTATGCGGATACGGCCGGCCTATGATCAGGGAGGTATTGCTCGCCTTCAAAAGCTTCCAGAACAGTCTTCAGAAACTGCGTATTGTGGGTGATAGGAATCGGCACCAGCCCGCAACAGCTGCCTGAAAACAAAAGAGCCAAGAAATATGTCTGGGTTGTGGCCCGAAATCCCGCGCCTGCCTTCAGGAGTCTTACATAAGCACGTTGCGTTGCGATAACCGATAGACAATGATGACATAATGTCCTGTCATGGCTGATGACTAAGATCCCAAGCACCATGAGTGTCACGTGCACCTTTGCCGGCCCATCGGAGCTTGCAGCTAGACGACCGCCTGTCAAGGTCCGGAAAATTCCATAACATCACGGCCAAACATTCAAATCACCTCTCCAGCCATTGAGGCCGCAATCATGGGTGCCAGCGAGTCCAAGCCGTCCTCCAGCACGCCCCCACATTTGTGGAAGGCGTAAGTTCAACCCAATTGCCCGTCGGGGCACTCTCTTCCCTTTACAGGGTCGTTGGCTGATCAAGATTGCGTAGCAGCTCGCCCAGCGGCATCTCCCACGATCTCGTCGAGTCCCTGCAGACCAGCCATGAGGTAATTACTGCCTCCCCATAACCGAAGAGTTGCGAAGGAATATTCTGCCTTATTCCAGTCGGAGCCTCGTCCTCCGCCTCGACGCATCCATCCGCCCTACTCCCCTCCCCCCTTGGCGCTTCTATTCCCGCAATAACCCGAATCCAAAACTGACCACTGGGCTTCCCTTGCCAACTAGACCGACGCATCCCGCTCGCAACTCACCGAGATCCAGATTCAGCGCCGCGTCGCCGAGGAGTTGAAGCGCCTGCAGGCCACGGAGTCGGAGGCCCTGAGGCTCGCCCACGACAAGATCGCCGCCGAGGACAAGCCCGCACCCGAGGGCCAACGCAGCCACGAGAGCGTCGCGAAGGAGGTCGAGGCCCTGCGCGTCAAGCTGGCCGAGCGTAAGAAGGTGCGCGACCTGCCCGAGGCCGTCGAGACGGCGCGCGGCAACGTCGTGCGGTGCCTGCGGGACAACGACCGCCGGCCGCTCGACTGCTGGCAGGAGGTTGAGGCTTTCAAGGAGGAGGTTAAGCGGTTAGAAAAGGGGTGGGTTGAGAAGATTGTCTCGTGAGGGAGGGAGGGGGGTTTATTGTTGAGTTCACCTCTGCGTCTTCCTTGAGACTAGGGGAGATGGATAGAGGTGATGGTTCCTTTTTTGCGTTTCTTGTGAGCCATAAGGAGGGTAGAAAGCTATGCTGGATCAACAGAAGAGAGGGAGGGGCAGTAGGACGTGAATAGTGTACAACATGCTACTAGCAGGCACCGATGAGAGAGAAAAAAAGTGTATAGATGGCGAATGAATTTTGGTCACATCACAGTTCCCCAATGAAATTTCATATTTCAGACAGCAGCTCTATCGGGTCTTCTTCCTCTGGCGGGGCCTGCTGCTGCTGCTGCTGCAGCGTCTTCTGTCTCGCAGCCAACACCTCCTCCTTCCGTCGCAGGCCCTCGGCCTTCTTGCGCTCCCTCCGAGCGTCGGCATCCTCCCACTCGGCGCCCCCCTCGCCCAGCTTCGGCGGGGGTCCGGCCACGGCCTCCTGCAGAGCGGCCCGGAACCGCGCGATCCTGGCGGCGTTCTCTACGAAGCGCTCGTTTGCGATACGGAGCAGGTCGCGGAGGTAGTCCGGCGTGACGGTGCAGTGCCGCTCCGCGCCGCCGCCGCCGCCGCCGCCGCCGCGGGCCTCGTCTTCGTCCTCGTCGACGTAGCCGATTAGGGACTCGAGAGCGAGGCCCATGGTTCTGACGCCCACCATTGGCGTGACGGGCGACGAGGCTTCGTCTTCTCCTTGTGATGTGGAGGGGAGGAGGTTTAGGGCGCCGCTTTCGCGGAAACCCGCTGCGAGGGCGCATTTGAGTATGAGCTGGGCGTGGGCCAGAGACGCTGTCAAGACATGGAGGATCTGCGGGGTTCGTTAGTCATGTGAGTCTTGTTCATGTGTAGAGTGTGAGGTGTGAGGGAGTCGAGAGGTATCAGTGCCTCGGCAGGAGGTGAGTGAGGCTGGGTGTGCATGTGTACGTGTGTGTGTGCGTGTTAATAGACACGATTGGGGAGTGTGCATGAGAGTTACGGGACGGCCTGCATACCATGGGCTCGAATTTGAAGTGAACAAGGCGCTTCCGTCGCCCAGACTGAGCGCTCCCCGAGATTCCGATGGACCCTCCCGCTGCTTCTGCTCCTGTCTTGCCTTCATCCACGAGACCAAGAACGCGCAGGAGATCCTCATCGCCATCATGCGATTCGGAGACGGGATCGTGCGATACAAACAGCCACGTGCCTCCGCCTCCCTTCCCCCCAGGCCCTGCTATCGTTGCGGGGGCGGCGGCGGCAGCGGAGGTCGGGCCGTCTTCATCGTTTTGAGAAGGCGGGACGACTACTTGCTGATCCTTGGTGGTGGTTCCCTCTGCCGCGCCCGCTGCCGCCTTGCGCCCCTCGAGGAAGACGCTAACGCGCCCCGCGCAGCTGCTCGTCGTGACGAAGCCGTCGAGGGCGTTGAGCTCGTCAATCAGCTCGCGGATGCCAACGTCCACGGAGCCCTTGGGCGAGGCATCGGTGTACTCGGCGTCGGGCACGCTGAGCTGTTCCAGGATCTTGTGCTTGCGGGTGGTGAAGGTCGCTGGTGGGACGGGTAGCTGTTGTTGTTGTTGTCTTTGCTGCGGCGCCATGGTGTTTTCGAGCGTGTGTGTGTGTGTGTGTGTGTGTGTGAGTGTGTGTGAGTGTATGCGAGTGGATGACTGAATTTCTCAAGGTATGGTGGGGGTTCTTTCAACGGGGTGTTCCTCGTTCAAACCTGGGGAGAGTTACTTGTGGCCGGGAGTCTCTTCTGCAGCTTGAACGATCCGGTCACTACCAGATGGAAGAATACAGAGGCTCCGGGCACTTTGGGCGTTGAGCGTTGAGCTGGTTTGCGCTGGGCTGCGTGTAAGTGAAGTCCGACGCAGTAGGCGCATGTGAGAGGAAAAGTGTGCGGTTGTGAGTCCACCAGGTACCTCAACCGTGTGACTTCAGTCTTCACACACAGTGCACTCCCGGGATGCGAGCCGGTGAACCAAAGTGATTGTATACTATCCTGCCCTCCAATGCGACGTTGGAAGATGATTGAATCAGGCAATTACACGGCTAAATCAGATTGTCTGGTGATTTGTGGTGTTGCGTTTTTAATATAAAATTAGCTTCGCCAAGTCGGTGATCGATGTCCCTAGCTCCTGTTGAGAATGCCATCCGTTCATTCGCCTGACGGCACCCATTTCTTGGAAGTCCATAGCCTGCAGTATATGTTTAATCTTATGGCCTCGGTATATTGTTTCTTTGATGTGTGTCTGACTTGGTACAAGGGGGGAAGTCGGGCGATGCCGATTGGTTGCGAGGCCCTCATTCGAGCCACGTCCGGGTAAATGACATGGAAACCGATTGTATGCCTTGCATCGGCTCATCGAGGGCGCGCTGACAATATATGTCATTGTTTTGAGATGATTCAGTGAACAAGATGTCTAATTTACCTGGATTTTGTCGAGTCTATGGATTGTTCCCATCGATGTTTAGAAGTTCTCATTAACACGAAAAACACCACTGATAAGTCATTTTGAAGATAGTGTGAAACATTTTGAAAACTTTCATGACGCACCGGCTGTCACCTATAGGCCCAGGATCAGCCTTAACATAATAAGAGTTGTTTCTAAAATGCCAACCTCACGAAGCAGGTTGAGAGGGCCATGGTTTAGGAGTCACCGGGCCTGAAATGACCACGAGAGCGACTATGCGTTGTGTTCCCTGTCTCCAGACAATGCAAAACAAGAAATCGCAAGTAGGAAAATGCTGAAAACAGTATTGAATGAAATCGTGAATTCAATGTTCCTTATATTATGTTAAGTAGGCCTTTTCCCCTAGTCGAACTACACTGGACGACAACGTCGTTACCTCTGCCTACCGTTCATTTGTAGAACAGGCCGATCGGGTTTGATACTGTAAGCAACTGCATCAAGGTCTGCCAATTTCACGTGAGATTAGAATGTCTAGACACTTCTCTCTAGGGCCAGAATAGCTATGAAGAGCTTCACTTGTTCCTCTCATGAGACTTCTGGGACACATAGCCTCTTGTTCCTTCGATCGCCTGAATGTGAGCAAGCAGTTTGGCACCGAGATTTCATGCTTCCCATTCCATGGAATGATACAGGGTCCGTTCTTTGCCGCAAAGGTGATTCAAAGATCATTCAATTTTCGATGGATAAGAGTGATAATCTCAGACGGGTGGGCGGATTTTGGAAGGTTGTCACGAGATGTCATCTGAACCAATTTTAGTGCCAAAATAAACTTTTCCGATGACATGTCAGTCGCCTATCTTTACTACACCAAACTTTCAAGATAAAGTGTTATGATCTTATGATATGCTGTCGATGATTTCCACTAATCCTCCGATTGCGGGGTCTCAGTGGGACACAGAGATTAGAGCCTCACCACGCCTCTCCTCACATCAACTTTATTCCGAGATTTCCGAGTTTGTTTAATTCAGCTAGTTTGATTCATCATTTCCTTTGCTTATGCTGTCTACGAAGTAGAATCGAGTATCTGCCAAACGCAAGATACCTCCTGGCCCATGGCCTGGATCCATCCGGAACGCCTGCATGCTGTCCCGTGCCGTCCTTGATTTTGTTTCCTCCCAAAACGCCGTCATGCATCATGTATATACAGGTCATTAATAAGAAAACGAAAAGCCGCAGCAAAGAAAAACCGACGCTTTCAGAGCGATGCAATGGCCTGCTCCTCCTTCTCTGCCGTGACGACGGACGCGATGGCCGCCTCGGTCGACGAGGAAGACGCGGCGGCCTTGGCCTCGGCGGCCTTGCGGTCCATCTCCTCGAGGTATTGCGCGTAGCGCGACTTCTTATTGTGGATGCCGCACTCGGTCTTTTGCTGACCCTTCCAGCGGCCGGCGCGCTCGTCCTCGCCGTCCTTGACGGGGACGGTGGAGTGCCAGTCGCCGATGGACTTGTAGCCCCGGTCGAGGAGGTCGTTGTAGGGGACGTTGTGAGTCTTGATGTACTCCTGGACTTGCTTGAAGGACCAGTTGACCATGGGGTTGATCTTGATGACGCCGCGCTCGTCGTCGACCTCGATGACGGGAATGGTGTCGCGGGCGCCACCCTGGGAGCGACGACGGCCGGTAAGGATGGCGGCGACGCCGAGCTCCTGGTAGGCGCGCTGGAGGGGCTCGACCTTTGCGATCGAGTCGTACATCTCGGCCTCGGTCTCCCACAGTTTGGGGCCGTACATGGCCTCGAACTCCTCGGTGGAGGAGACGCCGTAGGGCTTGAAGATGTGAAGTGCGACGTTGGGGTAGCGCTCCTGGATGCGATCGATCAGGTCGTGCGTCTCCTGGAAGTGGTAGAGCGTGTCGAGGAAGATGAGGTCGACGTTGGCGGCCGCGGGGTTCTCCTTTTGGATCTTGGAGAGCATGTCGAGGGTGACGAGACCCGTCAGACCAAAGGCCGTTGACTGGAAGAGGTTGGGGAACATGATCTTTGCGAAGCGGAGGATGTCGAGGGGGTGCATGTTCTCGAGCTGGTCGTTGAGGTGCTTCAGGTGGGGTTGGGTGAGGGAGATCAAGGGCAGCGCGGGGACGGACGACGATGTCGATGAGGCATCTGTGGCGGAACCGTATCCGGACTCGACCTCCGCACGATCGAGCTTTGCAGCGTCGACGGCATTCAACCGAGGAGAAGACTCGACGGAAGACGTCTGGGTCGTGGGCTCAGCAACGGTAGACATTGTGAGATTGTGTGTGAGCTGAGAGAAGGGTTGTTGGATGAACAAGTGTGGTTGGGAGGCACCACGGGTATATGACGAGTGTATTGTAAGAGGGTGTGTTGGAAACCCGGGGTATGTTCACTCGACAAGGCTTTGGTCAAGAGAAAAGATCCGAAAAGCAGATGACGCAAGAGGTGAATCTGAATCTGAGGGAGAGTTCAGACGCTGGACCAGAGAAGAAGAAGGGAGTCTTGTTTTATGAGGATAAGAGGCACTTAAGGCACGCAGAACTTACACCGCGAGAAAGAGGCGGGAGAGAAGACGGTCATATTGGGCACAGGGCGTCACCAAGCAACATTACTAATTTGCTTTCCAACCTATTCTCAGACAGGACCCCGATCGAACCAAGGCCGAGAGGCAAGCGACGGACCACCAGAGCCCGCTCCAACTATTGCGCAATCGCGGCTTGTTTGGAGCATCGCATTGAACAAGCGCTGAGGAATTTGCATCTATAAGCAAGAGGCGTGGTCTGGGAGCAATCACGACATCGACGCTAAACCCTTCGTGGTGAAGAAGCCCTAGCATGATTGGTCATGGGTCGCAGGGGTTTCCTCCGTACCGTCGACATCCCGTAATTGCGCCATCGCCCCGGACGCCGGAGTGGATGTTGACAATGGTGATTTTCCCCAACAGCCGGCCCCGAAAGCCGGGAGCCGTGACGTCCATAGTATAGATACTGGGGCCGGCTCCTCCTCCGTGGCTATCGAAGCTGAGATCCCCTCATTATACGGCTCACGATGACCGCTGTCGAAAATAGGTCCAAAAAGGATCTTCGTGGGAGCAAAATCGTTGGTGTAAGTTCGCCATGATGATGCCATAAGACGTGATTCCGCCCGGGCCACTAGTCGGCTTGGCCTAGTGTGTGCATCCGGCACTCGGTCGTCATCGGCCGGCACGGCAATCGGTATCCGCCCGGCCGTCGGTGTGGATGAGCCGGAGGAGGTGGTCTGCGCCTTGTCAGTATCTCACGCCGGACAACGTGTCTGCATCGCCCAACCAGTCACCATACGAGGCCGAGGGCATCATCCATGGAACTTGCCCGCCGCGGAATTTTCTGACAAACCCACAGTTGGGTTTCAACACCAGATGCGTTTCGACCGTTAACACCGCGGAAAGCCCTTCGTTTGCCGACTTGTTCCGAGGATGCTTCGCCGCGTCCAGCGCCTCTCATAACTCATGATGGCGCGAGGGCTCACCATGTGGTTTGTATAAAAACTCTCGCCTCAGTAAAATCCAATGACTCAGATTACGGGACGACAAACAAGGAACTGAGCAGACCAAGACTTCTCGGACCCTTTGTTCCTTGAGCAACATTTCGACATCCACAAGCGACTGGGGATGAGATTGCATGGACCGCTGCGAGGACTCCCGCTTGGGTGACCGCTCATTCGTCCTGCCGCCTTGCGTGCTGTCTGTCTGTCTCCCAAGGCCAAAGTTCGGATAAAGATAGGTATGCCGGTTACGGCTACTCGGGCCGTCTTGAACAGGAGTCTATACTCTGGACACATGGCAATCTGTCACTCATACACGTAGTGGACGGTGTTGTTCGGTATCGGGTGCAAGCGTGCGTCTTGTTTCCGCGCGGCTCCGTTCTCTATCAGCGAAGCCACAGCTCCTGAAGCAACGATCAGTTTTCGGCCACCACAGTGGCTGGTGGGTGACAAAACTTACCCGTGACAAAACTTACCTGTACGAAAACAAAGGAGAGAGCCGAGGCGAGCCTGCTGCACTGGTTGCCTGCCAACAGCCTAGGCGGCTGGGCCAGTGCGTGATTCTGCGTACGCTAGTACGGCGATAGGGCTGTCCTGGCATCGTCCCTGACGTTTCCCCCTTGGTCCTTGGTGACTGGGGTCGGTAGATTCGGACGAGGCTGATGGTCCCGCAGATCGACAGAGGTGCTCTCGCAATCACGTGTTTGGATTTCTGGCAAGGTTTTCTCCTTCACCTTGGACTGACCGACCTCAGAGTGATGTAATTGAGCCTCACCAGACTATTCGGATCGGGCCCTTCCTTTCAGCTTATCGGACAGAATTTTTAGAGGGGTAACCACGTGATCCTGGCGTCCACTGGGGAGCTTGCCATGCGACGCCAGCAGCCAATCGTGCGCCGCCCAAGACCTCGGGACACGGGAAATACGGGCCTGGTTCGGATCCGGACCAGTGACGGCGAGGCGGGGCACACAGTCAGACTCACAGTGCCAGCGCCCGCCAGCCTCCGCCGCGTCCCTCCTTGTCGTCTGTCGTCCAACCACGCAAACATGTTTTACCTCTCGAAACAGGAGGGCTAAGTCAAGCTGAGCCTTTAAGCTTTCGCTCACCACGACGCGGCTCCGAGCTTCCCTCGTTAACCCCCTCCTTCTCTTCCTCTCCGCAATCCTCCAAGCCGCCGCTGCCGTCGCCGACAGCAGCTGTTGCTGAAGGTCACTCCTCCTGCATCGTCCTCTCCCGTCCCGTCTCTGTGTCCCGTTCCCCTCGTCCCAGCCTTGCTCCGTCTTTGTTTAGTTCGACCCCGCTGTAAAAGACCAGTATCCGCCATGGCCGACGCCAGCCCCGCCAAGTCGACGACGACGTCTCCCCGACCTCAGCTGACCTCGTCCATGAGGAGCAGCTCCTTCCTGCGCGAGCACCAGCAGTACAGGCCACCGCAGCACCCAGAAAGCCGCTTCGGCATCGACACAGTCGTCGAGGATCTGAGCAACGTCTCCGTCTCCCCGCCGAAGCACAACCACAATGCCAACCACAAGCACTATGCGGGCTTCAACGGCATCCCCTCGGAAGACAATCCGCCCACCATCCGCAGCGGCTTAAATCACAGCTACTCGCACCCGAACTGCGCGCCCGCCGGGGGGAAGAAGCAGTCACGCCTGGTGGCTACGCTATTCTATAAGCCGAACGGCGAGGGCGGCCACACGGCAGCGGCCGCCGCGGGCGGGAGCGGCGTCGCGTCACCGCAAACCCTCACCTCCGACAGCTCCAGCGGCAAGGAGTCTCTCCCGGCCAACTTTGCGCCGACGCAGGACCCCGAGTCCTTCCCGCTCGAACCTCCGACCCTCGAGCCCGAGAAGCTCGACCACCTGTACGGCTCCTACGTCTCGCCCATGTGCGTGACCTCGTTCCTGCACCTCATGTCAACCTTCCCTCTGCCTGCCGGCGAGTCGGACTACAGCTCCTCGCACCGCTGCCTCGACAGCCAAGAGAACCCGCGCGTCGTGGAGCTGACGCTCGACCCGGCCCCATGCCAGAGCTACCTCAGCCTGACGGATCTGCGGCGGCACGAGCTCATCTACCGCTTCGAGAGGGAGTGGAGCGTCGACGTCGCGCTACAACCTGACACGCTGTGGCGCCGTCACCCGAGGCTGGTGGTGTTCGACATGGACAGCACCCTCATCACGCAGGAGGTCATCGACCTACTCGCCGCGACGCTCAAGGACCCGCCCGACCTGGCCGCGCGCGTCGCGGACATCACCCACCGCGCCATGCTCGGCGAGCTCGAGTTCGACGCCGCCTTCCGCGAGCGCGTTCAGCTCCTCAAGGGTCTCCCCGCGTCCTGCTTCGAGCAGCTGCGGCCCGTGCTGGATGTGACCAAGGGCGTCCCCCGTCTGATCAAGGCACTGAAGCGCCTCGGTGTGAAGACCGCAGTACTTTCTGGAGGGTTCCTCCCCCTGACGAGCTGGTTGGCTGGAGAACTGGGCATTGACTATGCGCATGCCAACGAGGTCGTCATTGACGACGCTGGCAAGCTCACTGGAGAGGTGAAGGGTCTCATTGTGGGCAAGGAGCGGAAGCACGATCTGCTGATCGAGATCGCCGCGAAGGAGGGCATCGATCTTTCGCAGGTTATTGCTGTCGGTGACGGCGCCAATGATTTGCTCATGATGCAAGCAGCGGGGTTGGGCGTCGCGTGGAACGCTAAGCCGAGAGTGCAGATGGAGGCCGATACGAGACTCAACAGTGAGAGCTTATTGGACTTGTTGTACCTGTTTGGGTTCACCGGAGATGAGATTGAGCAGCTTGCCTTATAGTTGGGGGGTGGTTTGTAGACTGTGGGAGTGGTGTTGAGGTTGTAAGTTGTATGGTGTTTGGGGAGTTGGGTGACACCGAGGCAAGGCATTGCTGTTTTTGGGAGTATGCTTTGCTCGCCCTCATGATTCAATCGCATGCCATTGGGTTTCCTGCTGCAAAGATGTTCAGATGAAAACCTACCCTTATGAGCCTCAGAGCATACATAGTTGCATCATATGCTGAGCCGCGAGGCCGAGTGATGCCTGCTTCAACTTTGGCAATCGCTGTCCAAGGTAGAATAACGTGGTTAAAACTGAATTCTCCCTATCTACACATGAAAACCACCTTCCGCCCGTTGCACACATTGGGTAAAAATACGTCTTCTAAACGCAGGTATCTCTAGTTCTTTAAGGGTAGCCGTCCTTGCCCCACTTGTTGTACTTTTCGTGCAATTCCTGTGCCATAAGCGTCAGCCCGGATCTCTCCTCCGCTTCAAATCCCGAAAAATCCCGGCCCTCTACAACCGACCTCCCACGAGCAGAGTCTCTGTCGGGAAGGGTAAATCAGGAGGTATGTAAAACGCACCTTGGGGAGAGTGACATCAGGAATGATGACGGTGTTGACGGCGCTGGGAGCGTCTCTGGGCTCGTTTGCGGGGTTGCCACCGGGGTGGTACTTGTACTTGCCCTCGCTGTCGGTCTCCCAGGGCATACCGGCCTTCAGGACGGGGCTCTCGGAGGTAGACGAGGTGGGGGAGCGGCCTATGCGGGGAGGGGGAAAATGTCAATGGCTGTTCCATTGTCGAGAAGAATTCAGGAGATATCCTAGGACGTACCGAAGTAGAGGCCGGCACCGCCGAGGGCAGCAACCATGACACCACCAAGGATCTGTTCAGCAAACATTGTATTAGCCTTCACTTCTGGCCGCCTGCGTGGAAATGATTCGAAGCCGCCCTAAACCCTGACCGTCCGCATCCCTCGTACACGTGTTGCTTCTTTGTTGAACAAGTCGCGTGGTGTGGCTGGCTCAGAAGCTCGGCTTCGTGGGAGGGGATGCGACGGACGGCGGACGGGTGATGTAAGGGTATCTCGGCTGGATGGACGGGATATCACGCACGAGGGTCTCGGGGTTGCGCTTGGACTCCTGGGTGAGGGTCTGCTTGGCCTGCTGGTCGGCGAAGCGGCGGATGGAGGTAGAGAAGGCGCGGCGGGCGACGAAGGAAGCCATTGTTGCGGTGGTTGACGGGGTGTCGTTGGGAGCGGAGGGTGGATGTTGTGAGTCTGTCGTATGATTTCGGAGCTTCAGGTTCGTCGAGACAGGATCCCAAGGTTGAAATTCGGGAGAAACGATTGGCCGGGCTTACAGATGGAGGTGATTGGCCAATCCAGGCCGAAGTGGGCATTACCTCATCCTGTACTCTCTACATGTATACTATGCGTCTAAAAAGTACTCACGGCTAAACAGCATAACTGATTAACAGTTCGTCGCCAATGCCGCCCAGGCAAATCTCTAATAGCGCCGGGTAACCTACAGATCCCTTGACTCTTATTCAGGCTGTTTGTTCGGGCTGTTCAACGATTCCCAGTGTGATACTCCCTGAGGCTGCTGGTGAGATATTCAAATGTTTCCCCTGGCTGAAGCGCGTGGTTCTTGAATGCAACCTGAGTTTGGTATCGATCGATAATCTCGATGACCACTTATATATAGACGGTAGATGTTGGCTTCCCTGCGGTTGAGCCTCTGACGCTAAGTTGAGACCAAGCTTTCGGAACGAGGACGCTTGCAGATATCTGCGTGCTTCTCCTTAGGCATCACTACGTGCCTCTGCACCATCCTTATTTTCGACAACCGCCGGAACAAGGTGAACCGTCGATTCTGTTTGGATTATACCTACGCCTACTTTATAGCTGACAATACCTTACTAAGGTACAGTGTGAGCGAGGCATCTTGCTTGCTATGCGCCAAGTCTTGGACACCCAAGTTCCAGTTGGCTTATGATTTGTTTTGTTGTAGAACGTGCAGATCATAAGAATAGCAATTGATGAATCGCCGATAAATTTGCTCCTCAGACGGAGCAATCGTTGTGGGGTAGGAATGGATGCGGCCAGTATACGCCATCTTGGGGCGGCCACTGGTCAAACAAGCCTATGCACGAAGCAGGAGATCACAGAGCGCGGTTCGTCCGTGGAAACGTGCGTTTTTTGTCGGGGAAAAGTCGTCTGCTGTCAGAAGACTTGAGGTGGTCGGGATGGTCCATGTTTGGCCAAAAATGCCATAACGTAGTGGACGTTGGTGCTGGCGGTGTCGGCATAATCACATCCTCCTACATATCAAAGCAAGGATTGTCATGGATTGGGATTGAGCTTAAGACATCTCATCCATCACAGAGCAAGCTTAAACTGTGTGGGATTGGCCTGTTCATGCCGTGTCCCAAGCATTTCTCTAGCGGTGCTTCTTGGACGAAAGCCCTCCGAGCGAGGACCAACACAGCACATTATGATTGGAGACATCATTCCGGGAACCTTCGGAGTTGCAACAGCCTCAATGGCATACAAAAGGGGGGCACGTCGTGTCTTAAGCCACGGGATATAAGCAAGATCCAGAAAAACGGTTAAGCTTTCCTCACATGTCAGCGTTGAGGATAGAGGAACGGAGGCTAAGAACCATCGTTAGCCTAGAGCCTTGGACCGGCAGAGTCGCGACCAAAAGCTAGAACAACCATGGCCTGTGCGTCGTACGCTGCTTGGTGTGCGTCGAATGGTACCTGAGCGAATACACATTTCGTCCGTCGTGCTCCTCCTCATCCGTCCTCATCCCATCACCCAGGCTCAAAGCCATCGCGGGCGCCGCGTGCTGTTGGTCTGTTGCTGCTGTAGCAATTTAAAGCTGAGCCCAGATCCGGCAATTGTAATTAAATGGCCTGGCCTAGTTGCACCGGCGTCTGCATAAAAAAGCGGCCAAAGCCGCTTTGCACAGGGCTTGAGCGCAGGTACTATCGTGAATCAGCTGTATATCAGGCAGATGACTGTTAGTGATGACAGACGGCAGCTACATCCTGCGCTACCCGAGCTAATCCAAATCGGGATGGTAAGCAGCCCATATGCACAAAGCACGGGGTACCCAGGTTGCGCCGCCCCTTACATTGGGTCGCAGTCCCGTACATTGTAGACCCTGTCTTTGCAGCCCAGAAATCCCCCCCGTCCGACTGTGCTGCGCTGCTCCAATCCCTCTCCGTCACTGTTGGGCAATCCTTGCCTGGACTGGTCGCTTTCTCGTCTCCAAAAAGCAACACCAGGCAAGACGAGACTCAGAGTCTTGTCCGACGTCTCTTCGTTTCGCTCATTCACGGCTCGCCCACCATCCCAACCTTCCTTTCTCCGTCTCTCTCTCTCTCTCTCTCTACACGATACAATACGACAACCGATACCTACCGATTCACTCCCTCGCCTTAATACACGGGCCTTTTCCTATTCCTTCGCACGACCTCTTTTTAATACCCATCCCCAACGCAGACTTTTGCGCTTCAGCCTTTTTCAAACCTTCCACGACCCAGTTCCCGAACCTACCGACCCTTTTATCCCGCGCCAAAGTCACCATAACCTCACGTCAAAGCGCCGATTTTAAGACCGACCAACACCCCTCCCCCGACCGTTCGCGAAAGACTCTGAACCGAGCATTTTCCCCAACCTCGCGATACTTTTGATCCACGCGCAAAAAAGCGACATGTTTTGATTGAGGAAGTTTGCGAATTCTCAAAAACTTTTGCGCCGCCGATCCCTTTCCGACAGCAGCGCCCAAAATGACCTCCAAAGAACAGGCCGGTGGGCTCAATACGCCAAACGGCGATGACGGCTTTCCGAAACCTCAATTTCCTGGACGCTCCGACCGACCAGGCCCGCCGAGTATCATCTCGTCGCGAATGACCGACATCGCGTCCGACGACGGCGGGGAAGCGGTAGCCCAGACCCTCTCCGAAAACACACGCAGAAAATCTGGACTGGCTTCAGAAACTTTGTCGCGGCCAGGAACAGCCATGACCGGAATGTCTGGACCTCTTGAGGGACGGCGACGAGGCCCGCCCCCACGGATGAACTACATTACAAGTCTCAACGAGAAGAGGGGAAGCATCGGGGGCGGCAGTACCGCTGGTTCGATCAGCAGCAGACCGCCAAGCTCGAGAAGTAGAAGCCATGTCCCGTCGCTGACGTCTTCGGCTTTCTTTCGTCCCATGAGTTCGCAGAAGTTACAGGCCCAGCGTGGTGGTTCACGACCTGCGACCCGGCAACAACCTACACTAGGGGATACCGAAACTGCTTCCGAACACAACCAAAGTGCCGCCGCAGCGGCGGCAGTGGCAAGTGGTGGACCGAATGCTCGGCACAGCGTTATCTCTAATCCGGTATCGAATCCCGTCGCTCGTCTACAGCGGCAGTTGAGCGACAACGATAGCATGAGACCGCCTCCGTCTCGCGGAACCGAATACACCGACCAAGGAACATACGACCGAATCACCGCGAACACGAGTCCTATTCACGGTCATTATGCCGCCGGCAGTGTGTCCGAGAGCGTTACACCGTTACAACGGAACCAACGCAACAGCCGGAACCTGAGCGTCAATGTCGACAGGGGCTTTGGAGAACGAGGCAATCAACCTAGCCCCCTCAAATCGCCACGATCTTTCCGCTCAAGCTTCCTCTTGCCAGGTAGAAGTGATCAGAACAAGTCTAACCGGACTTTACCTGGCGGCGAAAAGCTGTCATCAACCGCATCGACACCGCAGCTCAACCCTGTAGACTCTTCGAGACTCGCCGACAAAAACAATTTGAAGAAGTCCAAAACAAACCTTGGCTACGTTTTCCAGTACTTTGAAGGCAACACCGTCTTCTGCTTGGGAGGTCGGTTCCAGAACACCAAGCACAGGCCTGTCAATGTGGCCACTGGGCTGTTCATCATCATTCCTGCCGTCCTTTTCTTCGTTTTCTCAGCACCTTGGATATGGCACAACATAAGCCCCGCCATTCCCATCACTTTTGCATATGTCTTTTACGTCTGCATTTCCTCTTTCCTCCATGCATCCCTGTCGGACCCAGGCGTAAGTCATGATCCTCAAACTATGTATGGTGACCGCACAACTGACCGCGCGTAGATTCTACCGCGAAACTTGCATGCCTTCCCACCGGCAGATTCGACTGAGGATCCTCTCCGGCTCGGCCCTCCAACCAACGACTGGACGCTGATCAAGTCAGCAGAGTCAGCGACGGCCGCGATGGAAGTTCCAGTCAAACATTGTAGAACATGTAACATTTGGCGACCACCCCGGGCTCATCACTGCCGACTTTGCGACAACTGCATCGAGACCCACGATCACCACTGCGTGTGGCTCAACAACTGCGTCGGAAAACGCAACTACCGATATTTCTTTGCTTTCGTCTCATCAGCCACATTCCTCTCTCTCTATCTTCTCGGCGCCTCTCTTGGCCAAATTCTCGTGCACATGAACCGATCAGACATCTCTTTTGGTAAATCGATCGATGATTTCCGCGTTCCCTTCGCCATGGTCATTTACGGCTTTATTGCCTTTATGTACCCGGCTGCTCTCATGAGCTACCACATCTTTCTCATGGCGCGAGGCGAAACAACGAGGGAGTACATCAACTCCCACAAGTTCATCAAGGCAGAGCGGTTCCGAGCCTTTACCCAAGGCAGCATCCTCAAAAACTGGATCGTCGTCCTCTGCCGACCGAGACCTCCTACCTACTACCAGTTCAAGAAGAGATACAGTGGCGGCGATCAACGTCTCGGTGTTCTCCGGGATCAGCCCAAGGGCGACGTCCATGGTATGGAAATGCAGAGCGTCAGACCATCAACAGGGTTCCAAGGACCCGTCTCTTTACGCAACGAGGCAAACACTACCGCGGCATAATTACCCATTTCTTTGATTGTTTTACGCGTGGCGTTGCTTAGGAGCCATCATATTTTTAACGGATCCTGGATACCTGTAATGTATGTTTTCTATTATACCCGGCTTTACCTATCAAAGCAGGTAAACAGACATAAACCGCGGGTTCTTTCTTGTGGCTCAGGGGACGGGAGCCCGTATTTTTTCCATCGTGGCAATACGCTACAATACCGAAGCCAGTAAATAGACGTTTGGCGCAAATTGCTGCGCTTGTAACAAATACTAGTCCATACCGATGTCGAAAGCTTCCACAATCGTGTGACGCGCGTGGCCTTTCCTTCCTGAATCACAGCTGCTTGCCTGTCTTAAGCAATCCATGATCAAACATTCTTCCACATCACCACTTTGCTCAACCGAGTCGAGACTGTGAATCACAACTTCGTGCAACCGTTAGCAAACATATAAATATGCTCACCAATCTACGTACCATCTATCGCGGAATTCCACTTATACATCAAGGACACCAGCAAAACCCAACATACAGAGAAGTAGTCTTGGAACAAGTTCAAAAATCATATTTCACGGGTGGTTTACTACGATGGCCTACGTATTTGACGGCTACTCGGAGGCCAGCTCTGGTCGGAATACCCCCCGTGGCCAGCAAGGCTCCAGCGGAGGCCGCCAGTATCGTCGATACAGGCATGATGATATACCAGTCGGCGGCGTACCGGGAGGCATTTACTACGGTACCGGTCGTTTCTACGAGGAGAATGTTCGCAATGAGCGGGAGCGGCAGCAATGGCAGCAACAACAGGACCAGCAGCGGCAGCAACACCAACAACAACAACAACAACGACGACGACAAGAACAAGAACAAGAAGAAGATCAACCGCAGCAGCGGCGACCGCCGCCGCCGCGGTCCTCTCCTTTCGGTAGCCACAGCCGTGTGAACGGTTCTGGAACCGAGTATGGTGCGAGGGAAGCTTCTGATGCCGCGAGGGCGTTCTTGGAGGCGCTCCAGAGGGCATACGAGCAACGGAGATGGCGGGAGGCTGGCGGCGGCGGTGGTTTGGGCTGGGGCGTCGGCGTTGGGGATGAGTACCCAGAGCCTGGTGCCATGGGTGGTGGAGGGCTGGGTCAGGATCACTTTGGTCCGACGGGAGAGATTCGGTTTGAGGATCTGTTTGGTGATTTCTTTGGAGGCCCTGGCGGAGGAGGAAGAGAAGGAGGAGGAGAAGGAGGAGAAGGAGGAGGAGCCGGAGGTGTGGACGGTAGTGATGGAGACGGTCGGGGCTCATTCAACCCCGGTCCCGGTTCCGGTCCCGGCCGCGCTAGTGGCCTCAGTGGTCACGGCGGCGCTGGCGGAGGGGAAGGAGGAGGAGGAGGTTCCGGTCCCGGAACGGCAGCTGGACCCGGCAGAGACGGCGGTGCCTTTGAGCCGGGCTTTGGAGATGCACCCGAGGCTGAAGGTCACTTTGGTGGTGGATGGTACGGTGGCGGTCCCGGTTTTGGGGGATCTGCGAGTGCTCGACGGGGAAGGGCCGGGATGACTTTGGCCGATTTCCTGGAGCTTTTCCAGAGCCAGCTTGATGAAAGTGGTCTGTTTGGGTACCCCACGGGGAATCTACCTTCTGACCTGTTTGATACTTGGTTTACGGACTGGTAACGGATCTGCCTAGTCAGTTCCAACCGAATATCATATTTAGGAGTCAATCGTTCAATTCTTCCAACAGTACAACACCGTGGAATAGACATGGTTCTTTCAAGTTAGAGTATTCTCAGCCCTTGAGTGCACTGCCTCTTTGATGAAACATTTGAGGCTGCTGGTGACACAGGTGTGGTGATTCGCCATGGAACACCCAACCTGCATAGCCCCGAAGAATTCTCCGTATGGCGGCCGATCTGCAGGACTGGTGCAAAAACATTTTGCGATCTGAACCATGACCGGGATTGAAAGTCAACTTTGATGTTACGCAGGTTTAGGGTGAGAGGTGGCTTTGAGCTTGCACAGCCCTGCTTATGTTATTGACCCGGCTGAGCAGTTGCTATTGTGGCCATATCTGTCCACCCGGTGTCTTAAACATGCTGTGGATACTTACTATTACCTTACGGCTGAGTGATCAAGACTGTGTAACTATCTTGCTCCCAACTTTGGTAGGCAAACGTCTAAACGTTGGCTTCTTCCTGCAAGCCACACTTGGTCTTGTATGCTAACATGCCAAGTCCTGACAAGGCTGACTACCTTACCCACCTAAGAACATCAAAGACAGGGTCCTACAACTTAAATTCTGCAAGTCAGAAGGAGCCTCAGACACGCTTTCTCATCCATTTTTTTCTATTTATCTTATCATCAGGTTCTATCCATCTGAAACTCATCTATCATCCATTCAACCCATAAACACGCTATGTCGCCTCCTTCCAGGTCTCAGATCGTTCGACATTTGACGTCTAGTAAAACTTATGCTATTGAGAAGGACTGGTACCGGATGTGGGCTACCATTGCGAAGCTCTATCGAGAGGAGAACAAATCGTTGAGACAAGTAAAGGAAGTTATGGAAACTGAACATCACTTTTACGCCACGTAAGTCAGTCTTAGATTCGTTGCTTCACTGGGCTCAAGCGTCTGACTTTGATCCTTGTCTAGAACCAAGATGTATAAGTCAAGACTGAAGACTTGGAAACTAGACAAGAAGCTTAAAGAAGCTGAAGTGGTAGAAATGCTCCGACGGAAGCAGGACCGCGAGGCTGCAGGAAAACGCTCACAGTTCTTCCTCCGGGACCAGAAGGTCAACTGGGATCGTGTGGTTCAGTATTTGAAACACAGACCAGACTTACGAGATACAGCTAGTATTGATGTCGTGCGATGTCTAGATTCGAGTCCAGACATTAAGTGCTCTACGCCTTCACCAATCTTGTCCAAGACCGAGGTCCCTCATCGAGTAGAGCCGCACCTGGACTTGCGCCTGCTCGACGACTCTCTGAGGGCCTTGCAATCCTACCTTGACGTGGCATTTGAGACGGGGTTGGTCGTTATCGACGGGTGCATCCTCTTTGGGCCCAACGGAGAGCCAGCGAGGCAAAGGGTCCTGGCATGGCACGACGATATGGCCGGCGTCAAGACCTTGCTAAACAGCAACCAGACGACTGCCGCCTTTCGCCTTCTGAATAAGCAGCTCGATGTACTGGAGCATCTGATTAGAGAACAGGACCCTCAGCTCCTACTGCTCACGTTCCACGACATCTTTGACCTCGAATCTAACCTTTCAGAGTCGCTCATTGTCTTTGTGGCTCGAATCCATCAGGCTGTCTTTGGCGAGCGACATCCCCTTAGCTTGATCTGGGACAGACTCGCTCGCTTTTCGGCAAAGGCCCGTCTGCAGGCTGTGCTGAGGATGGCGGCATACAGCGCAAAGGAGATAGAGGCTCGGATGGGGGCTCAGTCTGCGTACGTTGGGGTTCTGGAATGCCTTCAGGTGGATGTGCATAAACACGGAGGCTCCAAGGATGCGTCTGGGAGTTTAGGGAGTTGAGGCACGTCCGGGGTAAAGCCCAGTAAACCCCCCTTCTACTTGGGTTTAGCAAGGAACAACAGTGCATAATGAAGAGATGCTGGTACTCGGGTCATATTAAATAATACTGGCAGAAGTCCATCATTGGTTTCACTGTCTAGCTGCCTAACATTTTGGAAACATTTATAGCAGCGCGATATCTCTTGGCTGAAAGGTACACCTCGGTAAATATAGAAAAAGGCCTCGCCGAAACTGTCTAGAGCTGTTGATGATAGCATTACAACCGTGAGGTATTTCCTCTTCTTCCCTGTATGTACTTATCCCAGCCGGAAACGACGCCTCTGCTTAGCAAAAGGAAGGCCAGAAAAGGGAAGGTTCTCAGGAATTTGCGATTCATGTGAGCCCAAGTCTTCGACCCTGGTAAATGCCAATAACCCCACCCTCACATTCAAACCCGGAATGGAGTTGATGACGACAGCAGAAGTCGTGTCTTCCAGAGGCGAGAAGCACATCGCCGTGAATTCTCGACCAGCAAAAGTATCCTCATATCCAAAGTCCGGAGTGAATTTCAAAACGAGCTCTCCTTTTCCATCCGCGGGTCGAAGTGTTGTCGGAATATAAAACAGGTCGTCGTGGGCGGCGCCCGAGGACCGCTTGATCCGTCGATAGCAGAGAGATCCGGTCTGGAAAGACCAGCATTCAATGTGAAGATACCTCGTACATTGAGAGGTTAATAAATCGAGGCCGCCAGCCTCATGAAACTCGGTCCATTCCACCACTTGCCCACGAGGAGTTTCCACCCAAACCTCCGCGTCAAAGCTTTTTGTTACCTCCACCAAGTTGGGGGGTCGTAGATGGAAGTAGCCTTGGTGACCAAATAATGTCCGCCCATTCTGTGATACCCATGACCAGCTTGGGAAACCTGTCAGCCTAGCAAAGTTTGTCCCTTCGGGTCGGACCTCCCATTCCAGTCCGGCGAGAAAGGCGCGTTTCGAAGCAGTGGCGTCTGCAACCGGCCAGCCTGAGGCGACTACCGGAATGCCCCAGTATGAAAAGCACCCTGTATTGACTCGCGACCACTTCTTCAAGACTCCGGATACGGCGGCGAGCCTATCGCTCGAGTAGGTCAGCTGGCGGTCGCAATACTTCTGGAGTATAGCCCAGACGCCGTCCGGGGTGTTGAGGAGAGTCCACTCGGGCCTCTCGTGGTGCTCCAAGTTCCCCTGCACAGCGAGGGGACGGGTGAGGTGTTCAAAGCACATCATGTCGTGGCATTCGAAGGAGACCTCGTAGTTGGAGAAGTACAGTCTTCTTCTAGAGAGACAGGTTTCTTGGAATGTCCACCCCCGCGTGGCCCACTTGGATCTCGAGATCTGATCCAGTTGCCACTGGTGGCTAAACTTTGTGACAATCTTCTGCCGGCCGATTGTCTTGGTGGTCGGAGCGTGTTGCGTTCGGCCGAGAGAGAGGCCCGGTAACCCGTAGCTTGGGTCTTTGGCCCCAATGGCGATGATGGTGAGTTCCGCGTCGCCGTAGATTTGGTCCATTCTCTCCACCTGGCTCATCTTGTGGGTTGCGTCATCTTGCCATATGCAATATCGATCAATCCAGAGGTAGCGGAAGCCAAGCTTCGTGGTGGCCCCCATTGCGTCCTGGATGACTGGCGGGAGATTGTCTGGCAGGCAGGGGTATGTGTACTGATCGGGAGGCGCAACTCCCCAGACGTAGCTTAGCGCTACGTAACGATACCTCTTGCCTGGATCTGCGTTAATGATGCGACGGGACTCGCAGTCTATGAGCTTGAAGTGCGGGAGAGTCTGCCAATCGGGGCTGGTGCGACATGTATCGTGATGATGCTCGCACAGGTGTATCCACGATCGGACGAGGCCGTAGTCGATTCCCTCCTCGCGCAAGACCCTGCCCTGCATCGGGCAGTCCAGAAGAGAATGAGGGGGCTCCAAGACGGCAGTGGACGCAATGGAGACCAAACTCCCTGGCGCCTCTCGATGGGCGAAGCGGATCCACGCAGTCAGACCTCCGCCGGTCGCCGTGTTGCCATAGTACTGAGCGGAAGCTCTGTTGTAGTCAGAGGGATTCATGACGAGAAGGAACACCGAGGTTGAGGTTGACAACCCCTCGCGACTGGTCTGATTGCCCAAAACAGCAAAATTGTAGAGCAGATGAGCGGGGATCGCCAATATGACCTTCTCCTTCTCGGTTTTCGGGTAGCGGACGAGATTGAAGCCGATGGAGAAGACCAAGTCACAGAAAGGGCAGCTTGGGATCATGCCCGGGGGATAATGACTAATGCGCTCCTCTCGAGTGAGCGGCCTCCAGTCACCAATATGTTGAATGTATTTGGTCCAGCTAGTCTGGTAGCTCTGGATGGTGCCAATGGCTGGAAGATTGTGAAATCGAGCCGGGTTGAAGATGGCCTCCAGATCTAACTTGGTGCAATTCCGACAGAGTCGATTGTCTGAAAAGAACATGGTGGTGTATGCTTTCAAAAACAAGACAAGGATAGAGAGGAATTCTTTTTAGTAAGGAGTTTCTTGTCAATGAGCTGTATTTTTTCGATATCTGATATCAAGAGTGTGTGATGTTGTTAACGAGTGGTCAAATAGTCGGATTGAAGAGGCTCGGGATTGCTGCCTGCGCAGCCGAGCTCAAGCGTAAGCGCCCTTGTCACGACGTGTCGTCCAATTATATCCACTGGATGCAACATTTGCTTGGCGAACAACGCGGCATGAGATATTCATTTCAGTGCCTCTGAGTAAGTCAGAACTAGAAGTTCCAACGGCTCACGCCAATGTGACCTGGAAGACGGGACAAGCCAGATACTAACCTGTCCTATTGGGATTGAAATAAATGGTATCCGTAGTCAAAAGATGGTCCCAATTGTCCGGCATAGGTTGTGTTCCCGCGGCAAACACCCAGTCCAGATCCAACCTCATATCCATATCGACACCGTCGTGATCGTCCCGCTGTTCACCAAGCGGCTGCTCTCCCGGTTGCACGGGGGAAATGCTCTGGAAACTACCTGTGCTCTTCGACTCGGCCGGGCTATCCGTACGCGCTCGCTTCCGGGACGCCTGCTCGCTCTGCCGTCGGGCTCCGAGTTCGAGGGAGGGCAGCACAGGATTGCGCGCAGCACCGTCCTGACCCAGCCGACGAGAACGCAGCTCCCACTTGCGTTGCAGCATGAGAAGGAAGTCCCGAGACCGCTTGGCGCACTCCCAGGAGCTCGAGAGCTCCTCCAGAGCCCGGAAGCATACGCTCAGGTGCGTCGCCGTCTCCGTTGTTCTCTTCCGTTTGCGGCGGGATATGGATGCAAAGATGAGTATGATGGCCGCCGAGAAGATGATGGCGACGCCTTGGATGTGGACTCGCTTGAGGGAGTATTGGCGTTCGTACACCAGGATGAGCTTTGCTATCGCGGCTGCAGACTCGATGCACATGTACTGCGCGTGCATGTAGCCAGGGCCCTGAGGGGCTTGAGGTTGGATGTAGCTCGACGACATCCACGGTCTGTGGGCATGTATCACATTTTGATAGTATTGCATGCTGCAGAAAGAAAAGTTTAGCAAAAGCCGCTTGATGACAGGCACCTATGACATGGATTTTGGACTGACTGTAACAAAAGAACATGAGGCAGATATGATCCTTCCAAGTCTTCTGGGTCAACTTGGATAGTGCGTGGCAAGTTCTCTTTCCAAACAAACAGTCTTGATACAAGCCTTTCGTTGTGCGCCTGTAATATGTCCACCGGGATCCGGGAGTTGCCATATCTACCAGAATGGTAATCAGTCATACTGTGTTGAACATAACTAGTGATTTCCGGGTGATTCACTCACAAAGTGTGACCAAGGGGTGCCATGATTTCGCATAACTCTATTGTGTAAAGACTGACAGCATCTCCGTGATCATTCAAGGGTATTGGCGAGTTCCCGTTGCTACGAGGTGAAATGTAAGGAAGCCATTGCTCGACCGGCGTATCTGATGGGCCTTCTGCCGGCTTTTCCACTGTGATGTCGTCCATGCTGATACGGAAAGGCCGGCCTCTGTAGAAACCGAGCGTCCTGAATACATTGCAAGGTTAAAATAAAGCCACGGGGAGATGGAATTTAGGGTGGAAAGCTTACTGGTCCATAGTAAATGCGCCCCAGAATACAGCGCGACGAAGCTCGGCTTCGGCAGGTCTCAGGAGACCGTTGGCAACGTATGGTGACATGTCCTTGTGCAGAGCCAAATCAAATGCCAGCCGAATTGCCATTCCTAGATGAAATTGTGTTAGTCTTCGGTGTCTCATAGACCGTAGTATGCATTGTAGCATCGATCATGATGTGATGGGCAACGGTACCACTATACAACCAACTGCGAGAATCTCTATTCGCCCCCAATTCATGGCTACTAAGAACAATCATGGCTTGTAATGTGGACACTGAGGGGGAGTCCAGTTCGATCTCTAGAAGAATCTTGGCTCTTGCGGCGAAGAAATCCGGAAGAGACTTTGGGTAGGTTATGAAGCTCGGGTGGTATCGTGTCTCAAAAGCGGCGCCTAATGAACACCTGGTGAAGAGTCAGCATAGTCTATCGAAAAATAACACAGGAGGTGAAAATTGTTGTTGACAAACATTGCATTTCTGAGTGCCTCGGAGTAATACGGAGTATCGTCCTCACACTCATACCAACTGTGCTTCGCTTCTTCATACAGCGCCCGGTCCACTACGTGCTGAAAAGGATCCTGCCAAGTAAAGTAAAGATTGATCAGATGATCTTCAAGACCTTCGGGCACTTGCTTGCCGTAGCCCATATTTTCAAGATGCTTTTGGCCATCGTTGCGAACAGTCCGATCCACGGCCAAGTCATCAACTCCGGCAGGTAGCTCCATCAAACTTAAGTTAGATGTCGGTCCGAAATATGAGATTCGGCCATTGAGGCCAATGTGTAGGGAACCAAGTCTATCAGACAACTGGTTGACGAGGTCCTCTTCTGTGGTGCTCGAACCGGCGTCGTCGTCTTCATTGTCGCTCAGTGCAACCCCTTCAGAGTACGTTCTCAGGAGAGGGTGGCTCGGGGCCCGGACGCTGGCCAAGTCAACACCAGTTGTGATGGCGCCATCAGAAGGGCTCCAGTCCCAATCAGCGATCGATCTCGCCGTCAAACTCAGCAAGCGGTCTTGAACTGGCGGAGCTTGTCTGTCGATTGCGTCTTTGCCCAGATTAAAAGAAGACGGGTCGAAAGGCAACGAGAAGTCTAGGGGTAACTGGTCTGGTGGCAACGGGATGTTTTCAGACGGGGCGCGAGGCGCAAGTGGTTGCAGTTCTAGCGACAAAGTTGGGTCGAGGGATGGTGTCTTTTCGTGTTCGAGAGCCACTTGGACCGTTGAGACGCCCAGGGTGTGTAGTATCCGGGTAAGACTTTTGGCCTCTTCTGAGGGCATTGGTGGAAGTTGGAGGCCATTCTGAGTGATGTACTGGCAGAGCTGGTCGACTCTGTTTGACAGCAAGTCGACAGCAACGCGCAGTGATAGTCTAGCATGAATCAGTCTCGATGAGTTCGCCTAAATTTCAGAGACTGGCAAAGGGAATCTTACTTGCGCTTGTCCTCTCCAGCTTGGTAGCGGCAGTCTCGACGCTTAGTTGTGCAGTTGGAACATGAAGGAGTTGCGCCGTCACACTACACATGACTTGTCAATACAATGCCACAGGTCCCCGACTGAAGGCGTGTGTGTGTTATCAACATGAAATAAAAGTATGTAATTTTCAGAACGAGGTTAGTAGAAGTAGCGCGCACCTTGATCTTGCTTTCCCGACAAGAAATGCACGCTGTGGTGACATGCTTCCTCTTGGTGTTCGGTCTCGATGATTGGGACATGTTAGCCATACGTCTGTGAAAGTCGTGTCCCAGTTTTTGGAAAAGTTGGACGTTGAAGAAGATGAGGACGACGAAAAGTTTGGCTACCTTACATGTAGGGTATCTTTAAGAGGTCACAATGTGAAGGGCCGGTAGACACGTCTTGATCGATCCGAGGCACACTGGCAGCGGCGGCAGGGCGTTCCCCTTGGCGCGCATGTGGCTTTGTAAGTTGCTGTCATTATGTTCGCAGGGCTGGATGCGGGGTGCATGTGCTCCATGCCGACATGTACAGGGGACCTACTAAAAGCTAAAGTGACTACGTAGCACCGGAAATGCGCTAAATTTCATACCAGAGGGAGAGACGCTCGGGATGGAAAATGTGAGATGCGATTCGATGAGCCCGACCAATGCAGAGGAATATCGCGAGGTGAACTAGCCTACTCAGAGAGAAGCGGGAAAGGGTTTTTGAACGGAAACTACCTTCACTACGTGTTCCTCCGGTGGGTTTTGCGAAGATACTCGGACTCTTTCTTGAGTTAAGGAAGTTGATGATTTAGCAGGTGTTTGAACCACAGGATGCCAGCCATCTGTGCATCCACCACAGAGTTACAGCTTTAGAAGCACACCTTGTGTTTGCTGATCAAGAGACAAGGCCCGGGATTACGTTATTTACCTGCTATCCGGGTAGAATCAAGTCAATTCACCTCGTACAATTTGGCCCATCGAGTCGCCTATCGAGCAGACTAATGAATCGTCCCGAAAGTGTAAAGACGGCCAGGCCCATGCTGAACCCTGAACATCGTTCAAATTATACGTAAGATCGCCTGTGCCGTTTCTCTGAAGGATCAAGCTCTCCGAATGGGCCGGTTCGCGGGGCTCCCCATGCTCCCCGCGGTTACTTTTTCTGCATAATGGTGCTCTCGGTTTCTGAGACGGTTTTCCAGCGCAATTCTATCCAGAAAAAGAGTAAGTGGGCGGTATAAATGGTTTAACTTTGACTCTTAGTCCATGTTTTGACTATTGGAGCCATGAACTTGCCACATAACACTTGACATACTTGATCCTGTAAGGTTAAGGTGCCTTGATGTATCCTGACTGTATGATAACCTGTTGAGACGGTCGGATAAAGCGCCTTACTCTAAATTGACGCAAAGCCCGCACGCTTATCTAAGCCCGGCAGTGAAAAGTTTCTCGGTAGACACGTGCGCGAAAGAGTAAAATATCATCGGCACATTCAGGGAGTGGGAGCACATGGTAAGGCTTGTATGCGAAATTGGCTTCTCCGCGAAGAACACCTTGAACAAGAAGTCTCATCCCGTCTGATTGCAGGCCTCTCTTCATCTTTGCATCCAGCTAGTAACGGACAACAAGGTCCGTAGACTCCCGAAGCCTCGGTACTGTGCCGAACTGACTCCAGACGAGCCAAGTGATTGAATCTGATAACTCAAATTCTGGCCCTGGGAGAGATCGTACCATTCGTTAAAGTCAATGTCCTGAGCCAGGAACGTGCACATAACCCTAGGACTAGGACGAGAATAACAGGCGGCGCTGACTCATTCTCCAAACCAGCTCCTTCAAACTTGCGTCTAGGACGTCGCCGTGGCTCTTGATGATGTGACGACAGGTTAGTCGGAACCAAAAGCCTGAGGACGATCTGAAATCTAAGCCGCACCAAGATCTCATGGGACACGTCTGAAACCGGTTCCTGATGTCTCCACCAAATCTGATTCCAGATGTCAAGTCGATAGACGAGACAATGCTTTACTATTGTGGCAGAATTCATTTTCTCCGTTCTTCGCCGAATCTGAACTTATAAGTCGACAAGTTTCCTTAGCTGATCAGCCCGCGTAGGAGGGATTCCGTCGAGGCGAGCACCTCCGTATGGGGCCGGTTCTCGGCGGGGCCCACCCGGAGATCACTCAGGCAATTCTGATCTGCAGAGACAACCCGATTTGTCTCACTGATCTCTGCCACTTTTTCTGGCCGCAGTCCTGAGCAGTCGCCGCTCTAACCTGAGGCGAGCCTAAGCATATAACTAAGTACTTGAGCCTGTGCTCGAAGTACCTAAGCAAGCCCCGTTATATTATACTAAGTGGCCGTAATATAAGCTCTGTTGATATATGTTAGGTGACTATGTAAGTATAATATATAGCGGCCTTAAATATGATTTAAAATATATTTACATAAAGTATATATATAATTATATACTTTAGCAAAGCCTGATTTAGATTTAGGAACTCATGATTTGCCAGTCTTACCCGGTATCAGTGTTGTGACGGCTGGCAATCGCTCTCTCGCCCACTCGTCAACCTGTGTTTTGAAGTCAAAGTGGAACACCTTGGAATAGCGCCCGTTACTAGCCTTTTCGATGTTTGGCAGGCTACTGAAGATAAAGTGCTGCTTCTTCTGCGACGAATGGAAGCACGCTCCGATAGCAGAGGCTCCCATTGCCCAGACTGAAAGAATGATAAATATGTTTACGGGTATTGCGCAATACATTTTTCCTTCAAGCACCGGAAATCCAAGCGAAAGTCTCTATTTTTCATTTTTGTCACCTTCCTAGGCGAAAGTCTATTCCCGGATGTTACCTGGCTGTATGATGATGGACCGATTCTGTTGCGGCTTAGACGTCTTGCCACAAGTGGCTTGATTAGTCTCCACAGTCAGGCGTCTAGCCACGAAGTGGTGTGGCTGATTCCTTACGTAAAGACGGGATTCCGGATCGGCATTCGGGCCTCGCGTCCGGAGCCGACACCAGTCTTACACATAGCAGTAATGCAAACCCCGGTGGTCCGTAATTCATAATATCACCTAGTTTTTAGTGCATGCCTCCACAGCATAAGAATTAAGAGCTTTCAAATGCGCTAGTACTATCCTCGCCGCGCGATCTTTTGCTGGAGTTCTCTGCTTTTTATTCGTACCTAGTTGAAGTGACTGAAATTATAATCAAGGTCAACATTACCAGCCGTATGAATCATCACTTAGTGCGAAACCCCCCTAGTTCCTACCAGGATTATTAGCTGAGCAAACTGCATAACAGCTCATCTGAGTGGTAAACCAGTGCATCTTTCAACAACCAACTAGGTACAATTGAACTGCGGTTTCGGAGTGCAGTGAGGGATGGTCGGCTGGACTGCACACACGTGACATGCATCCGTAATACTCCGGCTATCTGCTTGATGAGAACTTGGAGGTCTCTCTCTCCCACAACTACCGAACATGGCCGCAAAGGAGAACACCGACAACTTGAACGGAGCGATGGAACGTAATACTTCCACGGAGAGGTACTGCATTTTCACGCAGACTGAAAAGTGGTGTATTGTGGCAACGGTATCATACGCGGCTTGGTTTTCAACACTGAGCAGCTTCAAATTCTTCCCCGCCATTGATCTCCTATCCGAAGCATTGTCCGTATCTGTTGATCAGATAATCTCACTATCACCGCCTACATGGCCGTAGCGGCCGTTGCTCCGACCCTAGTGAGCGATACAGCTGATGTTCTTGGTCGAAGGCCTGTTTACCTGGCTAGCTTGACACTATATGCAGCGGCTAATGTTGGTATCGCGCTTTCAAAGTCATATGCCGCGCTGTTGGGACTCCGAGTATTACAGGCATTATCAATCTCAGGTACGGAGGCCGATTCAATCACGCGTTCCTCCGCGTCAAGATGATATACAGTAATCTGATCCATGTTCCTAGGAACAATCTCAACTGCGTACGGCGTGATTACCGATGTCGCGTCGCCTGCCGAGAGAGGAACTTTTGCCAGCGTAATGGCGTTCGCGTGAGTTTTGCCACATTTCAGAAGGCAAAGAAGAGCATGTATACTAATGTCTGGTTACCAGAATCACAATTGCCCCAAGCTTTGGTCCCATTCTTAGCGGGAGCATATCCTATGCTGCAGGCTGGACATGGATATTCTGGTTTCTCTCCATTGCAGCCGGCCTATGCTTAGCTATCATGGTATTCCTACTCCCAGAGACATCACGGAATGTGGTAGGCAACGATTCGATACCTCCACCCAAGCTATTGAGACTACCTTTCCCAAACGTGATGCGTCACTGGAAGCAAGAAGAGAAGTCAGAAAAAGTCGAGAGAAAGCTTCCCAATCCTCTCAAGTCCTTAATGATTCACACTCGAAGAGACAACATGGTAATCGTTCTAGCTTACGGATTGTATTATGTGGTTTACACATGCATGAACGCAGCTCTTTCAGTCTTATTTATTGATATCTACGACCTCAACCAGTGGCAAACAGGCCTAATATACCTTCCTTTTGGTCTCGGAGGAACTGCTTCGGCTTTTATGTCCGGTCCTTTGTTGGATACGGCGTATCGTAGGGCAAGAACGCAACGTGGTCTGCCAAGTGATAGAGTTCTTAGGGACAACCTAGACATTTCTCCAGTTGAGAAGGCTCGCCTAAGTGTTATGTGGGCTCCTATGATCATGACAGTCTGTTCCGTCATGGCATTTGGCTGGGTCTTACACTTTCATCTGGTTTGTCCTCTGCCCTCCCGGACGCCATCTTTCGACAAGAAGTCTGACGTGTCCTAGCATATTGCAATCCCTCTGAGTCTTCAGTTCATTGCAGGCCTAGCAATGCAGCTCGATTCAAGTGTAAAGGCTGTGATGCGAGACTGATCTTTAGTTAAAATTAGGTACTGACGAGACTCCAGGTTTACAACGTACTCCTCGTGGACAAGAATCACCGAACACCAGCAGCTGCTACTGCATCAAGCAACATTGTGAGGTGCGCCTTGGCAGCGATCACAGTGTCCTTTCTGCAACGTCTGATAGATTCTTTGGGAATTGGCTGGACATTCACATTCATGAGCGGCCTATGTGTTATAAGTACAGGGCTTTTCTTGGTAGATTATTATCGAGGAACAGTTTGGAGACAGCAAGCTCTCGGTCTGACGATATCTCAAGAGGACCACTCAAGGGATGAAGGGCGAAGTGGATATCAGGCATCAGATCACGAAAACCCCGTTTCAGGAGCCTTTATCTGTACTCGCGAGAGGAGCGGGAATTGATGTCTGGATGTTTCGATGGGTACGGAAAAGATATCTCCAGCCTTCTTCACCATTATTGTGTGTCGTGGCAGGACGACGCGTCTGAGATTCAATTCCGCGAACACCATTAGACGCTCTAGGTTTAGCCTGGCCGTACTTCCCAGGCAATCTCGGGTTTCATCCCCCGAGATATGTCTGATTTGGGGCAGCACAGAAGGTCAGTTGTCCTGCCTTGGCAAGTCTGCTGATGATCATTTGCCTCTCCTGGATACTCGTGCCGCGCTGGTGGCTCACATACCGCAGGGCGGAAGATAAGCTGCAATTACCCCGCACTAGATTCCGTTTGACCTTTTGCCTTTTCGGTCCCTTGACGCCAACAGCCTATTATTGCGAGTAACTCACAGAGAGAGAGGGAGATGGCGCCCGCCGAACCTCCAATTGATGAACATGAGCCCACCATAATAATTTGCTTAGCTTTCACTCAATTAGGGCTGTCGGGGGTGAGAAAATGCGTGCGTCTTGAAATGGTGTCCTGTCAAATTTCAAGGCTCATAAATCATGGCCAGGCTGCACTAGGCTCAGGGCATGAGCTAGAGGTGTGGCCTGTCTTAACACCAAGCGTACCGTTCCGAAGGTATCGCGTGCGGCCCCTGTTACATCTTGTCTTTTGTCGTGGATGCAATGGTTTGAGCGCTTGGCCCAATATCCTCATTGCACTCGGCGTTGGAACCTGCACATGTGGCAATTACCGCCAGTCACATTGTGTTAGCTTATCTCACAGCCACTGCTGAACACCAGACTCTACCAGAGAAGGCCCACTGACTTCAAGGGTTTAAAAGACATCAGTGGCCGATACAACGGGGGGCTGTTTTTATTTTTTATTTTTTTTTTAGCTTTGTTTTGCCTTTCCCACGTCCTTAGTTAGGAAGGTCACTCGCCTTGATGTTTGTCAGCCCGCTCAAGCGCTCGTATTTCACAATTATCAGGCAAACATGCAAGGGAGTACACGCATCCTCCTGGCCTTCGGAAGGCCGAGACAGGAACGTGCCATTTTGGGATTCGCCTGTCATAAGTGTCATGACCTAGGGTAGCGCAATGATTTTCCCACTAGATATCTTCATCGGTGCAAGTAGGACTTTCTTTCCAAAGTCAGGAGGGTAATGCCGCAGCCTCTTTCAATTCGATGAAAACTTCTGAGGGACTTTTGAATTATATCGGCGAAACTATGCGTGCCTCTCCCCAACTTACCGGAGATAATCGTCACGGAAGCTACCGGCGCTTGAGAGCAACTCCAAGCATTAACCCAGCTGCGACTTGCTCATGCAGTCACGGTGAAAGCCGACCCATGTCAGCTCGGGTTGCTACCTTGTAGGTGGTGAACCATTGCATAATTCGAGGATAGAAGGATTACTTGTGTTTAGGGTGTTCCATGAGAATGCATTGGTATTTGTCTCGATGAGCGCAGCTCGAATGAATGATCTGATCTGTTCGCATTGGATTCTACGAGAAGTAATTCCATTGTCATTGAAACATTTCCAGAAGTCTTCATGCATTCCCTGGCTACAATTGCTTCTTTGCTAGCGAAGCATAGTTCGGCGAAATGCTAATGTTTCTGTCCGGGTCGTACTTCTCCAAAGTATCTAATGGGGCGTATTTCTCACAGAGATAGAGAATATCGTTCAAGGCCCTATACCGTATGGGTCAGTCGTTGCACTCAAATACTAACAGAGACACTAACAATCCCCTAGTGATGTTGCCTGCATGGCCTGCGGAATAGTTGAAGTGTGTGTGAATGCTGTATAGCCGGTTGCGGTCATCCCACTCCTCAGCAGGATCAGAGGGTTCAATGTGACGTTGGTAGAAACGCATATACGTTGGGGAGTTGAAGTAGTATGCCCAAATACATCTCCAGGTCCCGAACTCGAACTCGTTATGTCCATACGTGCTACCCGCGTCGAAAACGAGGCTGTTCCCTGTCTCCATGTCAATACCCACGTTTCGCTCCCACAAATCGCCATGAATCAGAGTTGGTTTTATGTTCCGCCCATTGGACTGCAGTGCCCCAAGAAGCCGCGGAATCACGGCCTCGACTAGTTGCTGGGAAGCTGCATCTAACTCAGGCCATGATCCGTTCGTCTCAGTATCATACCGGAGGACGTCCTGGAGCTGGGCCGTGAAAGATTCTACCCAGCTTGGAGTCCATGTGACTGTGTGCTCCATAATACCGGAGACTACCGGCACAGGGAACCCAAATTTTCCGTTGGGGGAAATGGCGTTCTGGTGCAGCGTGACCAGCTTGGCCATTATCTCCTCAGGCTCTGGTGCCGTGGAAAAGTCCATGTCGTGGAAATCGCCGATGAAGAAGTAGTATTGTGTGAAGTTGCTCTTGTCCATGTACTCGCCCCATCCAGACGGCTTGGGTGTAAAGCCGGAGACGATGGAATCAATGATGGACGCAGAACGAAATTCTCCCTCTGCCATAGGCTTCGCTCCTTTTCCTGTGGCAACCTACAGGGCGTCAGAAACTGGTCAGCTCACATCACCTCAGATGTCGCCGATACTAGCAGAAGCCCATCGTCTTACCTTGAGAAAATAACGCTTCGAATTGCCGTCAGGTAAGAGCGCGGTGACTTTCGCAGTCTTCGTCCAGGTCGAGAGGCCACAGGTTTCTGATGACACAACCCTGGTACCTACTGGCAGAACTGTAATACGGCTGTGAGTTTCGGGAGAGACTAGGAAAATGGTCCAGCCATGCGCACCTTTCAGGACCGCCCTGTGCAGAGGAAAGCTCCCTTGAATGCCTTCTACATAGTCGGACAATTCCCTTCCGGGTCCAGAGAAGGACCCGTTCTGCATTGTCGATTGCAAAACCTCCATGGCTGATAGCACAGATCTTCGAGATTCTCCTTGCTGAGAACTTACAAAGTCCTGTTATGTTACGAGACTTTGAATTTACCAATGGAGGAGATATCACTGGTATAATACGGGTGTGTCTGGTAGATAGTTGGTCAAGAAAACAGGGCGATGTCGCCTCCTGTCGAGACATTTTAGCGCTGACCAGAGCCCGCAGATAAGCGCTGCAAACTTATCAGGTACCCAGCCTCGATTTGCACTTTCTATCTACCTTACAGGTAGGTGGTCCGCGGCGCAGGTGAGGCATCCGGCGGGATTGACGTTGCGACCCTGTGGATCGCCCTGGCCAAGCCATCAGGTTCCAGGTTCCAAGGCATGTGGCGTGGTTTGCGACCGATGCAAGCGCATGCTATCGTTTAGATTCTCCGCAGCTACACATCTTTTGGAGAGTCGCATTCTTATCCGCACGGCAATTCGAAAGCGACGGGGAATCACGCATCATGGTCAGTAGCGCCTTGCATCCCTCTGCGGCCCTACAAGATTACTGCAACGACACTAACGAACCTTTCTTATAACAGTTCAAAAAGATTGCCAGTATCGGGAGGAAGGGTACTGGCCGGAGTACAGGCCGGAGTACAGACCACCACGTGCACCCTCTGCCCACATCCCATGATTCAGATGCTGGCTCATCACCTCCATCCGTTTCCGACCATCTGCAAAGGCCGAGTCCATCGCGACTATCGGAAACCGCTCCATACAATGAAGTCGCAGATTTTACTGGATAATTGGGCCTCGGCGTAGTCTATGCCCCTGAAAATGGACACAAGGCCGACATTGTATTCATCCATGGTCTTGGTGGGACCAGTCGACTGACGTGGTCCAAACACAAGAATCCGGAGCTCTTTTGGCCACTTTCTTTTCTACCGCTTGAGCCCGATATTTGTCTGGCCAGGATATTAACCTTCGGATACAATGCGACGTTTAAAAAAGCCGGCAATGTTGGCACTTCAGTGCTGGACTTCGCGAAGGATCTGCTTTTCGACCTCAAATATGCGACGGACAATCAGAAAGACAACTTAGACATAGGCCGGGTAAGTTTCGAACTCAACTCAAGCTACCTTACGGAGACATGGAGACGACTGGCACGTGCTCATTCTTTCCACGTTCAAGGTTCCCTTGATATTCGTTGTTCACAGTATGGGGGGTCTCATTGTGAAGGAGGTAAGCGAAATGGGAACGAGCGCAAAGGCAAACGAAGCATCAAGCTAAACTAATCGCTCTCAGGCCTACATGCAGGGACAGAACGACCCAGAGTACGAGTCCATAGTCAAGTCCATTGCGGCGATCATATTTCTCGCAACACCACATCGCGGGACAAACCTGGCTCAGACATTGAATCGCATACTGCGGTCGAGCATGATCACCGACTCGAAGCAGTACATCGCTGATCTAGCCAAGAACTCCCTGACGCTGCAAAAGATCAATGAACAGTTCCGACACATCGCACCCAAACTTGACATCGTTTCCTTCTACGAAAGTCAGCCGACTTCGGTTGGATTGAACCATCGTGTTGTGAGTTGTCTGCACTAGAGTCCCCGTTGCCCATTAGGATTTGAGAATGTCTCTGACGCTGCCAAGATGGTCTTAGAGAAGGATTCCTCTGTGCTTGGTTACCCTGGAGAGATATCGAAAGCCTTGAACGCAGATCACCATGGTGTATGCAAATACGAGAGTCCAAGAGATCCCAACTACATCACCGTCCGGAATGTCCTCAAGTCATTGGTTAGCAAGCTTATCTCAACGAGCAAGTCCAAGAAGGCAGTAGCAACAACCCGAAGGGAATCTTTAGATCTAAAGTCTCTGCTTGCTATTACTGACATTCCTGCTACCGACTACGTCTTTTATCGGGATCAGTGGGTCGAAGGAACGAGCAACTGGATTTTACAGAATGATTCGTATCAGGAATGGCTCGAATCGGACTCTGGGTCTCATGTTCTCTGGCTCAGTGGCGGCGCTGCGGCGGGAAAGTCGGTCCTATCCTCATTCATCGTGAACAGTCTCGTGGAGTCCGGTGCGTGTTGCCAGTACTTTTTCGTCAGGTTCGGGGACCAGAAGAAGCGAACTCTCAGTCTGATGCTACGCTCAATTGCCTATCAAGCGGCCCAGAAAATCCCTGATTTCTTGGCAAAGGTCAATGAGCTCGTGGATGAGGGAATCAATTTTGAAGTCGCCGATCCGCGCACCATTTGGGACCGCATCTTCAAATCCATTCTGTTCACCATCGACTTCCAGGAACCGCTGTACTGGATAATCGATGGGCTCGACGAAGCGGATAACCCCCGTGCGGTTATTAGGCTGTTAACGGATATCTCTTCGTCATCGGTGCCAATCCGAGTGCTTCTTACCAGCCGGAAAACCTCGGAGATCGCGGCAGCTTTCCAAAAGATCCCCGAGTCCCTCAATCTTGCTTCGATAAGCGTTGACGGCCACGAAGAAGATCTGCGTCGCTACGTAGACCAGGAGCTAAGCATGCCAGGAGATGATGGGTTCAAACGGGAAATACAACGGCGAATCGTCGAAGGAGCCCAAAACAACTTTCTCGTGAGTATTACATCCAACGTGTGTGACAATTTACTAATACTTTCGTTATCCAGTGGGTGCGTCTGGCAGTTGGCAAGGTCAACTCATGTCACAGAAAGGCTGACGTTGAGCTGGCACTTCAACAACTTCCAGTTGGCATGGAAGGACTTTACGATCGTATGGCAGCAACTATTACGAAAAACCCGTCCCGCTCGGACAAATCTTTGGCTACCAGCATTCTTCAATGTGTTGCTTGTTCCTTACGAGTTCTCACCGTAGTTGAGCTGTCCTATGCACTGGATGAGGATACTTCTGAGGTCCTAGATCTCTCCCGGTCCATATTTGACTTGTGCGGAGGCTTCATAGTCGATGACAACAATGGCCATGTTGCCATGATACATCAGACTGCCCGAGAGTACTTATTGACTAGTCAAGCTCGCCCTTTCCATATCGATAGGAACATAGCTCACACCCAACTGTTTCAAAGTTGCATACGCTGTCTTATGACGATCGGTCTCCGGGCCAAGATCAATCGAAATCAGACGCCAGACTTTCTCGACTATGCTGCGAGCTCCTGGTCCTCACACCTGGCATCCACCTCCGCAGACTCTGAAGAAGTGAGCGAGATTCTGAAGAAGTTCTTGACCGGGAACTGGGTCTTAGCATGGATCCACTTTCTGGCGGCCAAGCAGCAGCTCCAAATTGTCATCCAAGTTTCCAGACATCTCTCGAAGTATACCGAAAAACGAAGACAAACCTATTCCGGAACGCAGACAGAAATGAGCACTCAACTTGGTAGCCTGGAGCTCATTGACAACTGGGCAATCGATCTCATCAAAGTTCTTGGCAAATTTGGCAACACTTTGCGACGGAACCCAGAATCTATATACAAGATCATTCCCCCCTTTTGCCCCAAGAATTCCGCCATATACCAGCTCTTCGGCAAAGCCGAGTCTAAAACCCTCGCAATTTCAGGCGTCTCAGCGACGAATTGGGATGATTCTCTTGCTCGCATATCACCAGGGCTTGGGTATGCCTCATCCATCTGCGCAGCAGGATCTCAGATCGCGATTCTATCCTCTTTGGGTAACGTTTCAGTTTACGATGCTTCCACATTCGAAGAAGCCGTATCCAGTCCGATCATGCACAAAGAGCGGGTATACCGATTTGAGCTCAAATAGCTCTGCAACCCTAATGGCGACCTATGGCTATCGCACGATCAAGATTTGGGAAGTAGCCACAGGGATTTGTAAATTGTCGGTAGACAATATCGAGTCGCAGCCTACACCGCTGACCATGCTGTTTCGCAACAACAACACATCGCTGATTGTAGGGTCGGACGATGGACGTATTCGATCACTCGACTTGACTCTTCCGAGTCCAACCTGGCAGCTCGTGGCAGAGCTTGAGGAGACCGAACTTGATGGTCACTTTCTGAATGCCTCAAACTACATGGCTCTGAATCGAGATGGCACCTTGATTGCAGCGGCTTATCGAGGATATCCATTCTCGGCATGGGTTATTGAGGGCTCCGAACACATTGGGTACTGTTGGCGCACGCGAGAAACATTCGCCCGAGGTGAAGTGATTGCTGCAGCATGGCATCCTCACTCCCCTGAGGTTATTGGTCTCTATCTCGAAGGCGTGGTCTTTAAGTGGAGTCCATACGAAAACGAGGTGGAAGAGATATCTGCTGGAGCATCCAGGCTCGCATTGAGCAAGGACGGAGAGCTCTTTGCAACAGGAGACGTCCACGGGACGGTCAAGGTGTACATAACGTCTGGGCTTTCCCTCCTATACCAACTGGCTTCCCAGGATACCGTACTGGATCTTTCATTCAGTCCGGATCTTCATCGATTCTACGACATCCGTGGCCACTATGGAAATGCTTGGGAACCCAACGTTCTCTTGAAGTACGCGACACGCACTGGTTTGAACGACATCGACGGCGGCAGCGAAACAGAAAGTCTTCAGGCATCAACCACGTCTACGAATGCGTCTCTTCGCGTTGACTCCATCACGGTCGTCGCAGCATCGCCTGCAGGGCGATTGTATTGCTACGGGACAGAGAGGGGAACCGTGGTTCTGTACGACATGCAGTTGAAGAAACTAGCCGAAATTCACGCCGCTAGAGGATTTCTCAGCATAGAACAAATTGTGTGGAGCAGCGATGGGCGATGGATTTGCTTCTGTGACTCAAGTAAGAAGATGTTCATCATAGCGGTGAAGACGTTGACGGGGATGGCAGATCCCGCCGTTGAAAACAAGGGAGAGCTGCCGATGAAGAATGTGGCTAAAGGACCCATTCAGCAACTGGTTTTCAATCCCGACTCCAAAAGTCTTTTGGTCCAAGCCGCAACATCATTCCACGTCATCTCACTGGAAGGTCCGCCTAGTGTGACGGATTCTTTGGACGTGTACCAGGCTGAAAGGACAACTATGATACATCCTCAAGACCCGGGGCTTCTCATCGCTTTCGAGCCAAACTTCATCCGAATCTTGGATTGGAAGCTCGGCGAGAAACGAACGCGGGCGATCCAAAGTCTGCTGCTTGGGCTTGGGGACACAACGATGACCGCGAATGTGTGGAAATTCGAAAGGGTACTCGTGACGCACGACAAGGCTCACATTGTAGCTCAAATCCTTGATCTTTCTCTCAATGCTCAAGAGAGAAGGCTCGTTTCCTTTGAGGTTTCAGCACTGTCAGCTCTCTCAACTACTGCCTCGGCCGACAATTTGGCTGCTCAATGCCCGCCCCTGCAGCCGTCAGTCGTGCCGAAAGAGATTTCATCGCAGGTCAATCAGATTCTCTCGTTTCACTCCCATGGTCGCCTTGTTTTCTTGTCTCGAACACTCTCAATCTGCTCCCGGCCGATGTCATTTGGTTCGCGAGGGTCACAACCGACGGCATCAACCCCTGCCGTGAAAGGTGATGGCAATGAACTGAAATCCAACAACTCACACGCGATCGGCGTGGGTGTACCACCGAGCGGGAATGGCTCATCTGCAATCAAAGAGCTTTTTCCACTGCCGGGTGACTGGGTTAGTCGAGATTGTCTCAAGTTATCTAGCATTTGGAAGAAGGAGAGGTCGTTTCTTTGCCCTCGGAATGGGGAGGTAGCTATTGTGAAGTGTGCAGCTTTGGTATAATAGAAAGGTATCCGGTTTTCGTTTGCTTTCGAGAGGCAATGCTTATCAAATCTGTGCCCAACACTGTTGCTTTGGCTTGACACATGCAGTAGTGACATGACGAAGGCCTTGCGAGCACATTGCTAGCCCAGATATTGCCCTCGTAGACCCTTGGACTTATTGACGCGTTCTTCAGCTTACTAGGATGCTGTTGATAGTCCAATTATGGGCTGATGGACTCGGAAAAGCCTAAATTGAAGGCACGCTCGCACTTACGAGCTAGAGGTATGGGGGAGGATTTACTGTCCCTGGAGGTACACAGACGCGCTGTATGTATTCTCTCGTTCCCAGTCATTCTGCCAAAAAAAAAAACAAAGATTGTAGAGGCCAAATAGAGAGTTGGACACTGGTCGTGAGAATCAGATAGGAGTATAAGACTCGCCGGCAACATCGCCGCCATATCCTGACTTAGACTTCGATCTTGTCCGCGTCCCAGTAGCATCTCGCCACCTCGACTCAATTCTACTCTTCAAACCCATCTTAGCACGTCTTCACTTTTCAGGCCCACGCCCACCAACGCCAACCACCATGGCGGCACCCGATATTACGGTAGCCCAAGGCCACCTCAACAAAGTCGATATTGACAGACCCGAGTTCATCAACATGGTGGAAGATGCCAAGGCGAGCAATGAGGCCGACGCACTACTGACGGTCCGCGAGGCTCTCAAGAAGTATAAGGCGGCCATGTTCTGGGCCATGCTTTTATCCGTGGCATTGATCATGGAGGGCTTTGACGGCAACATGGTAATGCCTTTGAAGAAACACCCTTCGTCCCACCTCCCTCCTCCCCCAATTATCTTCTTATTGCGCTTTACTGACATACAAGTCATCTCCTAGATGAGTTCGTTCTATGGGCAGGCGCAGTTTCAGGCGCGCTTCGGCACCTACAATGAACGTGAGGGCAAGAACCTCATCCCGACAGAGTGGCAGACAGGCCTTTCCAACACATCTGCAGTCTCCCAGCTACTCGGTCTCGTTATCAACGCCTGGGCGCAGGACAAGTTCGGATCCCGCAAAACGCTCATGTTCTTCATATTCGTCATGGCGCTCGCCCTTTTTATCCCTTTCTTCTCTCACAGCCTGCCGGTCCTGGCCGTTGGTCAGTTTGCCTACGGCATCCCGTGGGGAGTTTTCCAGGTAGGAGACGTGACGTATGACAACTTGGGCCGGATAGCCTGACTGACGTGATGTACAGACGCGAATGCTAGAGTGGAATTGGGGCGCCAAAGCTCATGTGCCCTTTTCAGACTTTTGCCATGCCCTGAATCCTTGAGACGGCGAGGACTCCTACAAGATGTTCCTGCACTGACTACTTTGAATCATATCTACGGGTTTCCAACGTCTGGAAGAAGTCTTCTGTTTTGCAGAATCTGGGGAGCGCCAGCTTACCATCCTTTCGATGTATAAATTTCTCGCGCATCTAGCTCTATGGCACTCATTTTCTCAGTAAGTGTCATCAACTACATGAACGTGGTCTATCAAACCTCTACTGACGCGTCAAATTAGTACCAAAAAATAGCCATCCAAAACGAGCAGACGAATGGCAACCGCTTTCGTAGCTCGTCATCCTCCCGTCTCTTCTCAAAATCGGAAGCGATCAATAGGATTGGAACTATTCAAGGCCACCTGCTCTCAACAAGCTACACCCGACGAGTACCTGATGGCCGCATCGATCAAGAAGAATGCCCGTCTACGGCCTCCCCGAATACTCCAGCTAAAGCGACTCACAGCGCACGGCACAGGGTATGGTTGACTGAAGTCTGGCAAGGTACTGGTACCGACGATCTGGAAGTCAAAAATGACAATCCAAAAGACCAAGTAGACTCACTGTACATTGACTGCGTCTAGCGTTGACTTGACCCTCTTGTCCTGCCAAGCTGAAGATCAGTGACGAGGCTGTTGAGAACTCAACCCTGGTGACTTTCGCGTTAACCTTATTTTGATCGGCAAACCCCACATCTCCGAGGAATCGAAATTGACGATGCACGTCAGCACACGCGCTTGCGCCCTGCTTGAACATAAAAGACGAGCGCATGGATAAACACGAGGCAATGGAGATCGGTAAGCACTGGAGGATGCCGGCGCCATGGCCCGTCAGCCTCGAAACTTGCACCCAGAATAGATGCCATTGTCAGCTGGGTGAACCGTTGCCGCTTTACCGAAGGCAATCTGCGGCTACTTTTTAGTTCCCGCCATCTGCCTTACTACATGTACTTGCGCTTTGCTTTCAATAGCTCTCAGATGTGACGTTGCTACCTCCTGCCCTGCTGCTCCTTAGTCCGCTGCGACGCTTGTGTCCAACTATGGTCCACGTAGGTCCACGCAACATGTGTGTGTTTTTGTCAAACGGGGGGATTCGAAGAAACCACTACCAATTGGGCCGTACCGAACACGACTGCGCCAGTTGGAACCGGGCCCCGGGGGGGCAGGCAGCGGTTCCATTCCTCAGCTGTCATCGGGCAACTAGCGTCGACGGACACGGGGGAGAGCAACGGTGAGAGTGACATCACATGTGAGACCTTCATTCCCTCTACTGCCGATACGAGGTTTCGCGCACGGGGACCACACCTCACCGCTAATGCTTCTTACGAGATCGGCATCGTTGGGCGGTTGATCTTTCATGCCCCACGTCTCGCGTGCGGCGTGGCGTGGCCATTGTCACGATGTTTGCGCAGCTTTTCAATGTTTCTAGGGAGGAAGTTCTCCTTGTATTTATTGAGACACAAGTCCCCACCGCTTTGCAGGGTCTGAATCAGTCTCTCACCGCGCACACAAGATTCACCGACTACAGTGATTATAGAAGCACCATTGTCTTCCCGCAAGCATCTCCCGAATCCTGTCATACATTCCACAAAGTTAGGAAGCCCATAAAAAAGCCAAACTTATCCGCACCGACGTTGGGCCAAAACCTCTCGTCACAAAGACAAAATACCTCACCTGACCCGCCGCAGGCATTCAACTCTTCCCAAACTCAAAATGTATGCCAGCACCTTTATCACCGCCTTCTCCGCCCTCCTGGCCGGCGCCTCCGCCGCGACCATCCCCCTCCGGTGGGCCGGTGTCTCCAATATCGCCGCGATCGCTGAGCGCCGTCAGGCCGACGCCAGCGCCGCCACCACCCCTCCCACAACGACAGGAAACGCCTCTTGGAGCGCGCAAAACTACATCTGGGGCTGCTCGCCCGGCGGCTGCAGCGCCCGCTTCAACATCAGCGCTCCCGCGGGCTACAGCCCCGGCGCGCCCGGCTTCAACGTCGTCTGCAGCCCCATCTACATCCAGCAGGGCTGGCTCCCCTGTCTGAACCCGGACAATAGCCCCCTCGGCGAGGATTCGCAGGTCTTTTCGATTTGGACGGCCGGGCCGGACCGTGAGCGCATGTACCTCGGTGTCGAGCACCTTTACAAGCGTCAGGAAGACGGACTCAGCTGGAATGCTACCGCTGGTACCAATATTCTTCCCGTGCAGAATATGAGCTTCACTTTCCCAGTCAATACTATCGTCGTTCTTGAGTCTTGAGCGGATGGGGCTCGAGATAAGCGATTGGTGTGATCTTCATTCTCAAAAAATGCATGCATTCAGCAGGGAGTTTGGAATATGGACAATTTGTTCATGTAATTACTTGATATATACCACTTAATGCCTCATTCTCTATCCTGGCAAGGAGTCTCTGTTCGTCTCCGAGAAAGGGGTTTCAAAGTCCACAGTAAAGTCATGATCATCTACTGAGGCCTCCACCATGACTTCTCATGAACCGAGGCCAGAGAAGTCTGGTACTCGGCTGCCAGAGCGACAGCAGAGACCTAAACTTGCGTGGGAATGAAAACGACACCCCCACCCCCCTTCCCCTATTCCTTAATCTCGGGAAGCATCGAGTGTCAAGTCCATTGATACAAAAAATGTTATACGATTGAATAAATCTTGAAGAACGAGTTCCTGTGCCTTGCTTTATTCATATCCACACACTCCATCGATATTGTAGAACGCCTCGCTCGTAACTACATGTATGCATTGAATGTGAGGTCTTGGGCAAAAACTTGCTTTTCGAGGGCATTGTTATGGTGGGAAAAATCACCACGTAGCCTAGTTTGCTTTTTCGTATGCTTCAAAAACACATCTTGCTGGCCTAGGACAAAGTCTACTTCTTGTAGGACGTCCCCATGAGCGCAGCAAATGTGACCGCCACATCGGGTCGTCGTCTGTAGCTCCTTTCCCGAGATTCCTCCAGCTTGTCAGAATGACCAAGCGAGCTCGAGACGAGGGACTGGTCCAGAACTCAAACGAGTAGTCCATCCAGCAACGCTTACAACTGAATATCTTCCCGTTGTTTTCCACAAGACTCTTCGGAGGTCTCTGCCTATATTCCCAGATACAGCCTTCATCTTCTTGAAGATCCGGAGTGGACTGAACGGGAACATTGCGTTTGTCGGCAGTTCCCAACACAATTTTCAGATCACCGGCTGTCCAGGTACGGTGGCTGTGAGGGCAGCATCCGCTCAGGTACCAGAATCTGTCATCTTTTCCCAGGAGCCTCCCCCTGTGCTTAACGTGACGCATATCTCTTCTCAGCAGAACGAAATCCCGGGTCTTGAGAAACAAACAGCCGTCGACAATTCGGCATTCGGATATACATTGTATCCAGAAGTTCAAGGTTCTGTAAAATTCCCTGGAGACAGGCATAGTCGTCGCCATGGTCTCTGACGGCCGCAAGCGCTGCGATCTCAGAATACCGGCTACTACGTTGAAACGCATTTTCCACGGCAAGAAGTTTGACCACATCTTGGCGCCTATATAGAGGTGATCCTCGGGAAGGGAAGCGTTGGGTGCAGCGCACGGTCGTCGGGTCGACAGGCCAACGACGTTGTGTTGATATCCTGGCCTCAGCGGGACGGATGATGACGGCGAGTGGAAAGTTCTGCAGTCTTTGCAAGCGATACAGAGAGGCGACGCATAGATGCCATCATTGTCCAAGAATTGTAAAACTCGGTGATGCGCCTCCCTGCTTAGAGTGGTGGGACGATGCCCAACTTTGTTCCGAATTTGGTGATTGAGGAGTGGGAACATCGCCTGGGACTCTTCTGGAAGAAGTCCCTGAACTTGCAACAAAATTTCAGCAGGGAGAGTCTCCAGAGAACTCATTTCTCGAGTTCTGCAAACTTGGCAACTGGGTCCAGGATAGGGTTTCAATGGAAATATGTAGACCGAGCTTGTTGATAATATCCTGAGATGCCATAATAATTATCCTTCTCTTTCGATTTATTTGGAATTGGCCAAGGTTATAAGAGATCGATGGGTGCCTAGAGGCTGGGTGTTGAGCTAGGATTATGACAGGTTGTCCAAATGAGTACGACTTCTTGAGTCATTCTCGCCACTTCCAAATTTTGGCGGTCATCTACCACATCATAAAGTAGACTCAGTCGTGGAATATTTTAATTGGGGAAATGCGACTAGCGCTTGATAATCTTGCTTTGTCACTCTCTACCTATTTCTTTGCTGCCTACATGTAAATAAAGCAGGTTTCCGTCACCGTCAATACGAGCGGCTGCTAGTTGGTGATGGTTTGCAACATGTTGGAGTGAGCTTTGCCTTGAAAACTGAAATCAGCACTATGCCTGAGGATAGTGCAAGTAGGTTCCGGCTGTCTCAACTTCGCGCTTCCACGACTTACCGCCATCCTATCAAATTACCCGGTGTTGTTGAAATAAGGTGTGCCAGGCGAATGAAATGGCCGAGGTGTAGAACCCGCATTTTCTGTCGTAAGAATGATGCACTCTACTCTTCTTCATTGCCTACGACTTCTATCAAATGAGTAGCAAAAGCGCAGACTTGTTTGAGCAAATTTTAAAGAGGGCTAAAAGAAAAAAATATGAAGGCGGATAGTCAGGGTGTTAAGTAGGCATGACTCTAAAAGCAGCGGTCGCCTTGAGAGAAAGATTAGCCTCGAAAACGAATCTTTGTCTTTGACGCAACTCAGTGCACATGTCACTCATGAATGCTTTTATCGCCTTCCTTGTCTTGTTATATAGACCAGCTTGGGTGGCTGCAAAAGTCGATAATCCCAAATAAAAGTCCCCTGACGTCGGATTGTGTTGGAAACTTCAAACTGCGAACAGCAACAAGCTGTTATGCCCACTATTGAATACAGTCATACGCGCTATCAAAATAATCATATCTGAAGTCAAGAATAGATCCGAAGGACCTAATTGAGTACGAACGATATGTGTTACAAACTCGCTTGCGCAACGCTTATCATGACTTGAAGGTCCCGCCGGCCCATAATCTGGCCCTGGAGGTAATATATTCATCTACGGGCGCTGTGCTCCATACTTCATGGGTTTGGATGGCCCATCGGTCATCCTCTCGGAAATCCGGCCCTTTCAGGCCTTTCAGGTTTAGGAGCGCCTCATTGTAACTTTGGTGCAGGGTTAAGCAAGATCTTATTCTAAGAGCATATTCCAGGGCCAGGCCCTATGTTTCCAGACCACGAGCTTGGATGGCCCTTTCACAAAGCCAATGGCCTAAATGTCCATGTCTAGGTGAAGAAGATTAGCGCGAGTAGCACGAGGCAATATCCGTGCCATGACATGGGCTTATCAAATGGAATACAAAGAGTAAGGAGAAGCGAAAATAGTACTTGTTTATAAAAATGTCAACCAACTGCCAAGACACGAGATAAGCACCTTGAGCAAGTGAATAATTATCGGGTAGCGGGTTCCGTCCCTGGCCGCAGGATGAATATGCAGACTACCTACATTGAAGAATCTATAAACCGCAAGGCAAGGTTGTCTTCGTTGAAGTTCTCCCTGATTCTGCCGCAGGCTGTCCGCTTTCAGAACCACCTCGATCCGACTCTCTGCTCAAGGAGTCTTGGTACTTCTCAGCGCGGCCGACATGTTCACAATTTACAAATCACCGGGCAAAAGAAAGACTCGGTTCTTGGTAATGATCTAAATTTCGAACCCATTCTAACGCCATCTCAGCACAAATTGCCGATGAAGCATTCCAAGTACGGATACCGTTAAGCCGCGCCGGCCTCGTTTCCGCGTTATCCACCGGCCCCCGCGTTCCCGGCAGACAAGCGGCGCTGCCAAGCCCCGCCCCTCGTATCCACACTGTTTCCACCCCGGGACCGGGGGTTCCTGCAATTGGATGTAATCAGTCTCTCGTCATTGGCCGTCTCTGACAAACAGCATCCTTTTAAATGCGTCAGCGAGCACGAACATATGCAATAGCCGTTTCCTAATGCAGAACTGACGCTCCTTTCACCCGGGTTCAGATAGGAGTCACCCGCACCGAAGCTATCTAACCTATCTTCCGCGGAGATGCCAAGTCGCAGTTTGAGTCACCAGGTTTGACTGGCCCCTACACAATGGAAATTGAGCCATTGCTGAGAGATGTCTTCTGGAACCCACAAGTTCCCTTAGCTAGAGTTTTCTTGCTGATTATGGATACATGGAGTCATCTAAATTCAGACCTCCTTGGCTGTGGCCTGGCATCGTGCAACATGTCAAGTCGCAAGGGATCTGACATGGCACCGTGTCTGCGGAGGCGAAAACTTCCGCACCTAGCATTAGAAACCAGAATAAGTGGACCGCATGCACGCCCTTTCCCGACACATGTCCCATTCCGTGTCGACAAGATTTCACACGGAAGCGCCCGGCGCTATAAAGCCGGTAGACCGACAAAAACCGCCGTCAGCATATCAACCTCCCCACCATCAAATTTCCCCTTCGACATCGACAAAACACCAGAGCCACCATATACCATAGTTGTGTACATATTCGACTGTTTGGAAAAATGCATCTTCGTCATGAACATACAGAGAACAGCATCCCGGTGCTCCGTCAACTCATCAAGGACTTTCCCCTCGGCGTCTTGACCACAGCCATCCCGTCCGCCCATCACTCATTCATCCAATCCAGCCACATTCCTTGGGTGTTGGACGTCCAAGATGACGCTAGCGAAACCGAGCTCGGTGTCTTGAGAGGCCACATGGCACGCGCAAACCCCCAGACCAAGGCGATACTCGAATCATTGTCGGCAGAAAACCGGACAGGGGCCGGAAGCGTCCTCGACCAGGAGGTGCTGGTCCTCTTCACCGCGCCCGCTCATTCCTACGTAACGCCCAAATTCTACGTCGAGACCAAGCCGACGACGGCCAAGGTCGTGCCGACCTGGAACTACGCCGCGGTCCAGGCGTACGGCCGCGCCAGGATCCTGTACGAGTCCAAGACGGAGGAGACGTCGGAATTCCTAAACAAGCAGCTTCACGACCTCTCGCAACTGGGAGAGCAATCCATTATGGGGTACACTGGTCAGGGCGGCCGTCCCGAGCCGTGGACGCTGTCGGAGGCTCCCCAGCGGTACATTGACCTGTCCAAGATGGCCATCATCGGTATCGAGATCACCATCGACAGGCTGCAGGGCAAGTTCAAGATGAGCCAGGAGCTGAGCGAGGGTGATCGTGAGGGTGTCGTCAAGGGATTCAAGGCGCTGGGCTCGGATTTGGGTAACAACATTTCTGAGATGGTAAAGGAGCGCGGCGAGTTGAAGCAGAAATTGAAGCAGTAAAATCCCATCAAACCCTTTGCATCGTGGGAGTACATGTTTTGCACGTTTTTAATTTGGCAAAGGCAAGGTGACCTCTCGAGCTCATCTATTCACGCTGTTGGTAGCTACTATGAAGTTGCTAGGATCTTTGATGGCTCCTACGTCATGTTGTCAGTGATGCTCTACGGTTTGGAAGTGCTTACACCCACGGAAGGACTCGAAGCTGCTGCCGAAGTAGTATTATACAGCAGTCATGAGTCCTTGTAAGACCGGTGTTCAACTGACTCATACCGCGCAAAAAATGGGCCCTAGCGTCAAGACGTCATTTGATCGAATGAAAAAGTCATAAAATGTATCTACATGCGGGGTACCCAGTGATGAATTGAGACTAAACCTCCTTCCCAAATCCTAGAAGAGTGCTTCAATGCACTGAAAAGTTTTTTTTTAGCGCAAGGTCCGAAAATGAGTCTGCCTGTCTCTGGAAAACGTTTGTCAACAAGAGCTACCCCTGACATCTTCTAATCAGTGAGACAACCGTTAAATCTCATAGCCGAGAGCCTATAACTTGTACATGTTCACATTAATGGCTCCGAGTCCGCTCGCCCTGCGTCACCCGTCGGGCTACTAGTTGCCGCGGGAGTCGACACTATTGGGCAAATCGGAAGAATCCCTTCAACCCCGACCCGGCCCCTTCCGCTCCTTGCACGTGGGGTTATGAAACCATCGAACCCTTCTGATTCTAAGAAGGGATCGGCGGCATAGCCAAACGACACTCGTGGAACAACTCACTCCCATGGTTATCGCTGCGAATCAAGCTTCACCCTCATGCAGCTCGCTCACTTTGGTTTGCCGTTTTTTCGGTTTCCCGTGCGGGGGAAACGGTTGGGGGAACTCGGGGGGTTTGTCGTGCGGGACAGGCGAGGGGTTGAGTGACTCTGAACGCCAGGGGTGGCTTCGACGGGAAAGGGAAAAGGTTTAAGGACATGGACTTTGTTTGGATGAAACTAAAGCTTGATAGTACTGATATCGATGACCATGCATTACACACCGCCAATGAAGAGATCATCACCAAAGTAGCGTAACCTTGGTCCAAACGTGAAGAAAGAACCAGAATCAACAACCGCTTTCGGCCGCATGTCCTTGGGAACCCTTCAACTTGTGCCTCAACTCGACTGTTTTTTTTTCCAATATCCCGATCAACAGCCACATAGCGCGCCATGGCAGAAGGAGCAAGAGCTCGGGACGTCAAAGGACTAGGCAAAAATGGATCAATCGTCGACGACGTCGAGGAAACCGGCGGATCCCACTCGGAGGCCCCCATAAACGTCCACGGAGACGAGGAGGACCTTGTGGCGCGGATGAACAATCTGGATCCCCCCGTGACGCCGGAGGAGGTGAGGCGCGTGAGGAGAAAGATTGACCTGCGACTGCCCCCTTTCCTCCTCGTCCTCTACATGTTCACCTGGCTGGACCGCGGGGCGCTGGGGAATGCGGCGTTGATGGGGATCAAGGAGGACCTCGGCTTCTCCAGCGCAGACTTTTCCCTCGCTGTGAGCATGTTCTTTGTGGGGACGGCCATTTCCGACGTGTTTACGAATATCGGCATGAGGTACATTCGGCCTTCCGTGTACCTTGCTACGGCCATGGTAAGTCTGAATGGGGACGAAGACAGCCAGGCTAGCTAGAGCTAACTATCTTTGTTGATCATCTGGGGCATCTTCGCGACGCTGCAGGCAGTTGCGGGTGGTCCGCGTGGCATGTTTGCCATCCGATTCTTCCTCGGCATCTTCGAGGCGGCCTTTATCTCCGGAGCGCCATACCTGACGACTGTCCTCTATCCCAGAGAAGTAGGTCTCCCCCTGCTCTCCCCCACGCATATTTCCTACCGTCTCAACTAACCATCCCATTCACCACCAAGGAATGGGGCCGCCGGATCAGCGTCTACCTCTCAGCGACGCCCCTCGCAGGCGCCTTTGGCGGCTGGGTCGCCTACGGCATCTCCAATATCAAGAACCCGCTCGTGAAGCACTGGCAGGCCCTCTTCCTCATCGAAGGCCTCGTGACCGTCGTCTTTGGCGTCGCCTGCCTCTGGGTCCTGCCCGACCGCCCGCACAACACGCGCTGGCTCACCCCGCGCGAGCGCGACGTGGCGACGTGGCGCATGATGCGCGACGGGAACCGCACGCACGGTCAGGTCCGCTGGCGCACGACGCTCGCGCAGCTGCGGCGGGACGGGCGGCTGTGGACGAATATCGCGATTTACATGGGCCAGGTGCTGCAGACGTACACGATTGCGACGTTTACGCCCATCATCGTGGCCACGTTTGGGTATGATCACGTCAAGGCCCAGTTGATGACGGCGCCGCCGTACTGCGTTGCTTTTGTCATGGTGTTTGTGGTTGGGTACGCGAGCGATCGGCTCCGGTCCTGTTCGGGGTTGCTGGTGGTTTGTTCCGTCGTTGCGGCCGTCGGCGATCTCTTGCTCGCTGTATTGCCGCCCACGGCAGCGGGCGCGAGGTACGGCGCGACATTCTTGATCCTGTCTGGGATTTTGTCGGGTGTTACGCTGAGTATTGGCAATATTACCAGTAACTGCTGCGGCGACATCAAAAAGGGCATCGCGACGGGGTTGTTCCAGGCTTTTGGGAGTATCATGGGCATCGCCACGGGATATCTCTTCCCTTCGACGGACGGACCGAGCTATAAGAAAGGGTTCTGGACGTTATTTGCGGCAACGTGTTGGACTGGTGTCGGTGCTGCTTTCGTGACGGTGATAAACATCAGGGAGAATAAGAGGCGGGATCGAGAATTTGGGAAACCACCTCAGGAAGAGGTAATTGATTATGAAGAGAATGGTCAGATGGAAAATCATCCGTACTGGAGATTCTACCATTGAGCCTTTGGTTGTTTCTTGACCTAAATATTGAAGATCCTGGGCAAAAAAAAAAACACATTCTGGCGGGCTCACTGCGCTCAATAATAGAGATAATGAAGTGGAGGGAATATGGCTATGATTCTCTTTATGAGAACGTCGTATTATGGCTTATTTTACTGCGAGTGGGAGCTGTCCACTCCTCCGGCCCTATAATTATAGCCAATTCAAGGCAAGATACGGATATACGTCCGAGAATGCTAGCGGGGATCGCATGCTCTAGCTCCATCCTGCCCAAAGCTTGTAGCAGAGCGTAGCTTGGCGCGGGAATCTCTGAGTTCTGATATTTCGCTCTTCAACACTACTAGTGAGGAGACGAAAACCATGATCCCTGCTCAGAAGGAGGTTTCGTGAACAAGCGTCAGGAATCTGAACTTGCAGCACATTCAATCCGACCGGAGGGGCAGGATGTGGATATTTAGCCGCATCATATCATCCTGCCGAGGTCTGCAAGAGATATCAATTGGACAGCAGTGCGGCCTTGACGATGCACATGCAGGTCTGCTCGTGCGAGCCACGTTGGAGCACGCAAGGACTCTCAGGGCGGTAGATTGGAGTTACTATCACGACGAATAGGCGGCCGATTTAATTGAGATGACGAGGAAATTCAAGAACATTGAGCTGTTCGACTTACCGCGAATGACTTCGGATTGGGGGTGGAAGTATGTGCTCCGGGAACCTCCCCCGATGCTACGCCGCTGGTTGCATGTTCACGAGGATATCTACGACCTCATTTTGGATGCCGTCAGCGTGGAGGACCAGGATACAGACTTTGAGTGCTTGGCGGAAGAGATCAAGGCCGGGGCGCTTCCCCAAGCCCGAGGAGGTGATCATTCCGCACTTTCTTCGTGGCCACGGCTGACTGCAGTGCTTGTCAATGCTGTAAGGGGAGGTGAGCATGGCCATGTTGTGTAGCAACAGAGACAACACCGTATACAAGGGCGATCTTGTCATAGACTGCGAGACAGCGAACAATGTCCGGTAATGACTAATGCTGCTCGTCGAAGCCGAAGTTTCATGCAGGATGGAAGACTATGTATGTATCTTGGATGATGCCAGACGGGAGAAGGTAGAACTCGATGGCGAGGAAGCAAGGGGATAAGCCGATAATTCAGGTAGTGAAGAGAATAGTGAGCATTTTGGGGGAGAACGGGTACTCAGAGGATGATGGTAAGGAACATTAATGGCAATGGAAGAGTCGGACCAAGGCGGTAACATGCAATGCAATGCTGGGCAGTAGAAAAAGTAAGTGGAAGTAGAGGAAACCTGGAGATCTGCGAATAGCCTCATTCTGCTATTTTCCGGCAACCAACTTGTGTTCTGTTTGCATCCGTTGGCATGGGATACGACCGTGGTCTCCGAGGCGGTGCCGCGACTGACAGTGGCAGCCTCTGAGCATGTTTCCAACTCTGATGGTATTGCAAGTGAGGAGCAAAGAGGGTCAATTGGCCATGCCGCCATAGTCGATCGAATCGTTATGGCACCAGGGAAGAGCAAGGATTAGCCCAGACTCTGATCAGGCTGGGCAAAGGGCCGGGACGGGCGGGAGACCGGACTGGGGGCAGGGATGGTTGCTCGCAGTTCAAGGTTGGGTGGACCGTGGGCGGTTGAAGCTGGACTGCTTGTTGGACGGCGTGGACGGGGTATCGCATTTCGCCAACTGATTGCTTCTTGGCGGTTGGTGACGAGAAATGATCAACTTGCATGGCACGTGCGTCTGGAGCAATATCTTGGAAAGGCCATGCATGAGAGCAAGGTGCGTGACCGTATGATGGTGGGTTCAGTTTGAATCCCGAGATATGTTGATGGGTTGCTGCCAGCCAGCCAGCGGACGTGAACTTGTTTGTTGGTGGCCCAATCTATTGGGACCAGGGACCAGGGGAGATTCGTCACATCTCGACCAAGACTATTGGCGGTTGGCGCTTCTGGGCGGCGGGGTCGAGTCCTGTTGCTTTCGCCTGTTTGGGATGCATGGCGATCTGGACTTCTAGATCTGGATGAGCAGAGACACGTACAAGGGGTGCTTGACTCGGTTGATAGCTTGACTGTCAATGTCGAATATGTCGAATATGTCGAATACTGCAACGGCAGCAGAGAGAGGAGGGGTCTCGGTGTGGTCGACCACATGTCGGCGACGTTGGAGTGGCCAAGGCAGGCTGTCGCTGGTCGTTGGTCGCAGGTCGCAGGCCGCAGGTGCGGCGCCTTGGAGGAGCGAACGTGGGGCATTGCAGAACTCAGGTACCGCCCAGTGGGGGAAACAAAGGATTCGGATGGCAAGAGAAAAGGGTTGTTCTCATGGGTGGTGGCAGCTTGGTGTGAGCTTGTCAGGTCACCCTACCTAAGGTAGGTAAGTTGTCAAAGGGGATATTCGCACGGATAGAGTGAGCTGCAGCTGCCAAACATCCGTCGCCGTTGGACGGAATGCGGCGGGAGCTTGGGCCGAAAAGCTTCATCAGGCAAGAGCCAAAAGCCAATGGGAGACAACATGGAAGGTGCGGGCATGGCTGGCCCCGGCACCCCGGCAGGTTCTCTCGGTAAGGCACATACTCCACTGTATGTACAATGTATCGCAGTGTGACTAGCGCAAGGAGGGGCATACTCAGACGCGCATAGTGGGGAATAAATCCATATCCCAGCCAACCAACGCTGCCGAATTACCGCCCGTCGTGGCCGGGGTCCGAACGGGGGAGGTAACCCCACTGGAGCTTCCCTCACCGAAGCCTGCGAATCACGCTGCCCCGCCGGGGTCTCTCGCCTTTTTCGACCGTTTCCACCGTCCCTCGTCGTCCACCGTCGGACTTTCTGTCAACCACTTCTTTGCCCTTCACATCGTCTTCCCCCACTGCCATTCGACCGCCACCAAGCAAATCAACCGCCCACAATATGCAGTTGTCCACCATGTGTGCCGACCCATGCATCTTCTGCAGGACCTCGCCTTGCAGCTGCTTGGCCACTTTTGCCAGCTGGTGTTCAATCCCATCCCAGTGTCTCCATCGGCGGTCAAGTTGACGAGCTGGTCGCATCTCAACTGCTCTCCCGTCATTCCATCGTTTCTCCAATGACAGTTGGTCACTAGTCAGTGGCAGTCATCCTGACCCTTCCCATCATCTCTTTGCATGACCGAACCAACAAAACCCAGTTCCAGAGAGAACTGAAGCACCCATGTGACCGTCAGCAACCACGTCCTCGACGCCGCGCGGGAGGGGAGGAGGCCGCGACTGCCGCTTACGTCTCTTGATTGTCAACCTCCGGGTACACAGACTCCTTCACAAAGGACGTTACCTCGACCATCTCTGAGTTGGTTTCCTGTTATTCGGCTGCCTAGGACCACCTACCGACTCGGTACCTCAACACCGACGCGGACGACCCTGACAAGAACTAGCGCTGCGCTGCGGCGGCGTTGGCAATCTGGACATCGTACTTCCCGCTGATCACACTGGTGGCGCCCGGAACCAACGCATCCATCCCGCTTGCCATCCCTGGTCCACATCTTCAATAGTCGTTGTCTGCCGAGAAAACGGCCGTACCTTTGCCCAAGAGCTTGCAGCTTGCAGCTTCCTCCTGCATCGAATCCACACCTCTAGCGCCCACGCACCGGCCTGCATTGTGTGACATCCGCTCGCGGGGAATGGCCAGAATCGCGGCCAGCCAATATTAAAGTACGGTCAGCCGCTGGGCCTCGTGCCATTCACACTCTGCCATCCGAGCCAAAGAAGCTCTTCATCCCTTCATCTGGCCTTTCATTGCACGACCCCCCATCAAGGCCGCAGCCATTCGACCCCCTCCACATGGAATATTCGCCGCCTTATCACATATCCTCTGCCTTTATACATGTCACCACAATTTACTGAACCCGCTTCTCGACCGAATCTGTAGGCAACGTGACGAGACTGTCGATAACTGTGCTCATCACGCCGCCCACACCCCAGGATCAAACCATTGAGACCTCTCCACTTCGGAGCGTCTCCGATCTCACTTCCATATATCCCCTGGTGGCGCCCCAACTCGCGATCTGGCACGCTCTCGTCCGTTCTCTTACCCGGTCACTCGTTCCTCCGCCACAGCATAGCATCGCATTGCGTCAAACCTACTGCTCCAGGCCCCGCTTTGAAGGGATCTGGCACTTCGTGAAGCTTAGTACCGCGATCCTCGGTCACGACGTCATCTACATACAGCGGAACGACTTGGTACTCCCCGGCTTGCACAACAATCAACCGACTAGCAAAGCGTGAGGAACTTGCAACGTTGGAGAGATCCCCCAAACCATTCGACTTCACAAAGTGCACCGTATGTTGACATAACTATCAATCTCCGCGCGCAGTCGCCTCACCGCGCAGCTTAATTCGAGCTTCGTCGCCTTGCAGCAATGGCTACTCGTATCCGTGACATGGCAGATGCTGCCACTAGGACAGTAGCGCAACTCGCGAAGCGCATCGCCATCACCCCCAAACCCGACAGCCCGCCCGGTCTAATTGAGGCCCTGACAGTTGACCCTTGGTCCAAGTCTGGAAAATATGGAATGGGGTGGACTTACTTCGCACTGGCCCTTATGGGAACAGTTTTGTTCATGCGATTCTGGCACTTTTGGCAGGACAAGATCCGCCAAGCCATCTACAAGCAGGAGGTGGAGGAGTACTATGCCAACCTCTACAATACCGATCCTGACTACGCCCACGCAATGCAAACGGGACAGGCACAACATTTCTTCCCGGATTCTGAAGGTCTAGGCGAGAAGCAATTCAAACCCAAGGCTCACTTCTCCTCAGTCGGCTTCGTCAACGATACCTTGGCCCTCTTCCGCTGGGTCTTTTACCGGCCCATTCCTGACTTTGTTTGGGGCAGCCACCGATTCACCTTCTCCTCGCTCGCCGTAGTCACTTGTGGTCTCATTGCCTTGGCTTTCGTGACGCTTTACTGCTTTCTCCAGCAACCGCTTTACTGGCAGAGCATTCAATTTGGTTCACCACCCGTCGCTATCCGAGCTGGCATGATCGCCGTTGCCTTGACACCTTGGATCATTGTAACGAGCATGAAGGCGAACATCTTGTCCATCCTGATCGGCATTGGCCCAGAACGCCTCAACGTCTTCCATCGGTGGGCAGGTTATCTCTGCCTGTTTTTGTCGCTCGTACACACGATCCCATTCTACATTCAACCAGTCTGGGATGACGGTGGTATGGATGTTTTCTCTCGCCTTTTCCCCGGTGGAAGTGGCATCATCTACGGTACCGGCATCGCCTGTCTTGTGCCACTGGTCTGGCTTTGCGTCGCTTCTCTCCCATTCATTCGCCGGATCGCATACGAGCTCTTTGTCATGCTACATGTGCCTGTCGGTATGGTGTACGTGGGGCTCTTGTTTTGGCACACCAAGAATTACCTGGCTTCTTGGGACTACCTCTGGGCGACAATCGGCATCTGGGTTCTCTGCTATGCCATTCGCCTGATCAATCTGAATTGGACAAGGCCATGGCGATTGAGCTTCATGGTTGGTGACGAGGCGGCCATCAGCCTCCTTGCTGAGAACGCCATCAAGATAACCATTCCGACGCAGATGAGGTGGAAGCCTGGTCAATTCGTTTACCTTCGCATGCCAGGAGTCGCATTCTTCGACAACCACCCCTTTACCATCTCATCGCTCTGCAGTGAAGATTTCCCCTCTGAATACGGCGAGCAGTACCGTGACTGCGTGTTGGTCTTCAAGCCGTACGGTGGCTTTACTCGAAAGGTCCTAGACATGGCGATTGAGAGAGGGCCATTCCACACATATCGCGCCTTCTTGGACGGGCCCTATGGGGGCATGCGAAGAGATCTCGCAGCCTTTGATACCTGCATCCTGATTGCAGGTGGGAGCGGCATCACGGCATTGATGTCGCAATTACTCAACTTGATCAAGCGTATGCGTGATGGAAAAGCCATTACAAGGAAGGTAGTCGTGGTCTGGGCCCTCAAGAGACTTGAGGCCATGGACTGGTTCCGTGAAGAGCTCAGGATCTGCCGCGAGTCTGCACCACCAGAGAGTGTTACCTGCAAGTTTTTCGTCACTTCGGCAGTGCGCAACCGAGCAATGATGATGGCCGGCCAAGACCGTCCTGCCCCTCGAGCCTTGAGTCACATGTTCCACGACAAGCTGGATGGCTTTGTGGCGGGGATTGCTTCCAAGCGCAACTCCGCCCTGATCCAGTCTGTCGCACAAGGCGATCCTGACCGAGAGCAGGAATTGCGCGCCGAGCAGGAGGACAGAATTACCGCACTTCCGCAACAAAAATATCTACAACCCCATCAATATCCTCCACCACCCCCGGGACCACCGCCCTCCAATCGCTTCTCTGCTCAGGAAGATTCATTACGCAAGCTCGAGGGCCGGGAATACGACGAAGAGGAATATACAGATTCCAAGAAGCGCGAGTTCCACTTCCCTCCGATCAACACGAAAGGCGAGGTGCCGCACTTCAACTACGCCCCAGCTTCCCCAAAGAAGGTACCCGATACAAGCCCGCGAAACTCGGATGTGCCAATACGCCCCCCGGAGTTAGCTCACTTGAGGACAACCAACCTCCCAAGCGCAGGTCAGATCCGTCCAACCAGCACATTCGGCCCGCCGTCAGGCTTTGACTTTGGCTTCCCGGAGACGCCAACAGAGTTCCAAAAGAGTCTGATGCGCTTCGCTTTCCCCGTGCCCCATCAAATCGACGGTGGCTGGAGCGTCGAGTATGGCCGGCCGGACCTCGGTTACATGCTAAAGGAGTGGGCGACGGGCGGTGCCGACGGGAGAGGCATCCTCGGCAGGCGTACCGCGGTGTTTGTGTGCGGGCCACCAGCCATGCGTGTTGGTGTGGCGAACACGGTCGCCCGGCTTCAAGCGGCGATTTGGGGTGACGATATGCTCGAGGAGATTTACTTACATACTGAGAACTACGCCCTCTAAAGCAGGGCTTGTATTTATAATGACTGGACGGAAAAGATACCACGGGTGATACATTCTACATCCATAATAACGAGTTTTACATTTCATGAATGACCCTACATTCGCTTCGATTGTCTGACTGGCTCGCAAACCGAGTACACATTCGATAGAAAGCAATGGCAGGACATGAATTCTTATGCTTGAGGTACGGAATGGAGTCGGAATGTAGCCACGTAAAAGTACGGGGGTCTATCTTGTGCTTCGTCCATCCCAACTTGAGACCAGAGTCTCCTACATTACACGGGACTGCTTGCTCCGCTTTGGCGACAGCATCGGCGCAAAGGCCGATACAAATTCCGTGTCCATTGCCACCTCCTGCTCATTATTACCACGGCCACGTCACATAATCAAAAGATAAGAGCTCCCTCATCACCCTCCTTTCTATATCGATGCGCCGCAGGCCTTCTCTTGGCATAGAAGTGTGAATGACCGTGCTCTCCCTCGCAGACAGCGGAAGGACGAGCCTTTTTGTAGGAATTATGATGGCCCGGAAGGTTACAGGACTCGCAGACCCAGGCCTCAGTGATCATACTAGGTGGTTGACTGACTATAGGAAAGAATCTGGTATGTTTTAGAACGACAAATACTAGGTTGCTGTCCGTACGCAGTGTAAAGGAAAGCAGTGCTACAACATTGCTACCGATTTCCTGTAGTATAAATCCGGATGCGATTCACATAAGCCTTTAGTACATGTATAGATGCCCTTGGATGACGAATAGTAGCAAAATCCAAGTTGTGAGACCATATATGGTATGTAGAGCTAAAGAAATCAAGCTTTACCAATTGCCTCCAGGTGCTAGAGATCGGGGGTTACCAAAAGGTTGCTGTAATAGTGCATTGAGCGCGACGACGTGGCAAGAAACGAGATGGCCAACGACGTTCCAAAGTCTCTTGACGATATGAAGACCATTCAGTTTACAATCGACTGTCGCGTTGCTGACGTAGAGCAACAGCTTACAAGTTATCAGGGATACTGCCACGAGGCCTTTGGGGGCACTCATAGCGAGGGTGAGAATCCATCAGGACGGCTCGAAAGGTGAACTTTTCGGTGTCACTGCGAGCTGTGATGTCGACGGAAGCAGTGGTGCCTCTCCAAACGACGCTTCTGCCCGTGGATCGTGTAGTTGGTAATTTGCGACCCTTGATAGCGACGGACGTTTGAACCATGACTTCACCTGTAGATTCGATTGGCGGTTAGGATTGCTTTCAGCGTGTAGCAGGCGTACATATATGTGGTGTCAGAAGGCGTCGGACCCGGGGATGCCTTCTGAGTCTCACGGCACAGATAAGGCGTATTGTGTCTGTAAAAACACTGGCGGTGTTCGCTGTGAGGCCACTGGACCCTCGAATTCATCTCCGGAATGCATTGATGAGTATCAATCACGGATTGACGAGTTGCTCAAACAGCATGAGGAAAGGGTGGCTGAGGAAGATAAGAAGTGGGATACTTCTAACTTTTTGCGACGGGGTTGGACGGGAAGAATTCGCTCTCTGACCATTGTTCAGGAGCGACGACAAAAGACGAACGGCATCTGTCGATGATATTGGGATCGAGTGTAATAGTCACATGGCGTAAGCTGGTACAAGTTATACGCCAAGGCTTTGCAATTGGTCAATTTGAATTCTTTAAAGCTTTTCTTGTTTGCCTGCTGGTGACTAGTAGCCTGTGTCTCTGCTTATCTTTGCAGCCACTGAAATCACCGCTATCCCGATTGCGGACGTTTGCCCCTCTGCAAATTGGACAAGAAGTTGACGAAGAGGACAATGGAGTTCTTGGCAATGCGCCTGCCTCTCTCGCCGCCCTATCCTAGCCTCCACATTCGTCGTCATTCAATTCATGAGCCGACAAGCTTAATGCTCCGCTCCGCAACAAATGCTTCTTGCACTGATAGTTCTCGGGGAAAAACTCAAGCCAGCGTGATAATCGGATCCTTTGCGCCCTTGCATTGATAACATGGCCATTTCCGAAACCAAACGGCGATTTATCAGCAAGCTAGGCAAAGTTGATAACGTTCCGCGGAGATCTGATCAAGAAGGCGAGAGAGGGAGCCACGTCAAACGAAAAGGGTCCATGCATCTACCAGAACTACGCACCTGTTACCCACCTTAACCAGAGAGGCTAACCCCGCATATCTCCAGCTCTCCAATGCTAATCATGACAGGCAGGGAGGAAGAGGAGGAGAAGCCAGCTTCCTTGTTGCCGGCACTAACACTAGCCGAAACTCTCAAACACGTATAAGAACGGCGATCGGATGTCTGCACAATAGCTCCCCTCATCCCAAATGATTAAAATCAGCCTGTTCCAAACATCATAGACCTCAACTTCGCATCCCCCATCAACGTCTTTTCTCCAACTCCTCTACACTCTGATTTATTGAACAGCAAACTGCACAAGATGGGTCTGAAGGGTAGCTGTATGTGCAAGGCGATCAAGTACGAGAGTACTGGTAAGTCTGGCCTGCGTAGTCTACATCTTGGGAATGGAACGGAGCTGATAAAGAAGAGCAGAGGATCCCCAAGTCACTGCATTATGCCACTGCACAGATTGCCAAAAGGTACAATGCAGCATCAGGAATCTCACCGAGTCCGTAGCTACCTTAGCTGACCAGATAATGACAGTGGAGCGGTTCCGCCTTCACCTCCAACGCCGTCGTTCCTCGTACGGCTTTCAAAGTCACCCAGGGTACTTATGGGATATTTCCTCTCTCTCTCTCTCTCTCTCTCTCTCTCTCTCTCTCTCTCTCTCTCTCTTTCTCTCTCTCTCTGAGCTCTCCATTCCTCCCATACACGTGCACTCATATTGGAAAATTCTAGGTGAGCCCAAGTTTTACGACATTACCGGCGACTCGGGCAAGAACAACAGGCACTTCTTCTGCGCCCACTGCGGCTCCAGCTTATACACGGAGCTGGACTTGATGGCTGATGTCACGTGCATCAAGGCCGGCGGACTCGACGAGGGAAAGGCGAGCTTGGAGGGGAAGCCTGCTGTCGAGTTCTACTGCAAGGATCGGGTTTCGTACTTGGGCGATGTCGAGGGTGCTAATCAAAAACCCGCCTTTGGTTAAGTAGTGGGTTAAATATAGAAAAGTGGTAATCTACATGGAGTTGCGTTTTTTGGCGAGCGTTGAAGTTGCCGAATGAAGGAAAATTCATATCGGTCTTTATTTTCAAGTCGATATCTCACCATCGTGTCACTCTTCACCGCACTATACTGGTCTTATGTCCGCCCTTTTCTCGGCGACGCCCAGCATAGAAGACTCTTCTCATTAAGGTAGCTTTGATTCTCAATACAGGAAACACCCACCACTTCATTGAGTGAACTAGGGCTGATCTCTTAACCATGGAGAATAATACGATCTCTTCGACCTGATACTTTGCTGCACATGGTGAGAGATCTCAAGTCAAGAAACACCTAATATCATCACTTTCAACTGCGTGAGATGGGGATCTCAAGTAGGTTCACTTTAATGCGTGATCTCAGTTGACTTTGTATCTAGCCTGGGACTGTAATCCCTGCCTGCGTACGCTGTGGCGTCTAGCATTCTTACTAATAGCACTCTTGCCCCGAAGCTATGAGCGCCTTGCTCCATGTGAGTTTCTTGCTACATACAGTTGAAGCACATGGCGGAATGTTGACAGGATTCGCCGCTAGCCATGAATCTGCCCATCATTTCGCGTTTTTAAACGATCACGACACGCGCATTGTCTTATGGCGTGAGGTCTGGTGGTTGGCCAATTTTTCTTTTGTGGAGTTGGATTGTTCGAGGAGAGATGCTTCCTTGGCTATTATGTCAATGCTCTCGACTCCTCAGCTTCTCTATACACCTTGGAGGCTGCTTTAATGAGAGAGATGATTTGGTCAGATACTCAAACCTTTCTCGGTAAAGATGAGCGTCATTGAGAGCCGAACGGGAACATCTAACCCCATTCCTGACATCGTCACCCTCAGCTTCTGATTTCGGGCATCAGGAAACGTCTTCTGAGCACGAATTCCCAATTTCCCATGTCTGAGCATCTTCGTGGAGCAGGGTTCATCATTACGTTTTCTCAATGTAGAAAAGCAAAAATGCCAAGTATTGACCTCGTGAAGCTTCATATTCTTTGGGTAGGATGTATCCAGCTGACCTCAGTCAGACGTCTTGCGAGAGCCTGAACCAAAGTGCCTCCTTAACGAAGTTGGCACGCAACCTATTCTCAATGTCACGTAGGGCTGACAGTGTCACCCACGCGTCCCGGAGTTCGAGGGATTGCGGTAAGCTGGCTCCCGCTCAATCATCCCTTTGAGTCCAATTGCAGATGAGATGTGAAGGAGATGTGGCAACAGGGATCAAGTTTTCTCAAAGAGTGGAAATTCATTCAAACGTGGCGCCACAATAGCCGAGGGTTGTCTATGATACAGATAGGAATACATGCTGGCGATGAAGTATGCACAGCAATTTTCAGCTCAAACATGGACCCGCCTACACGCGGAACCCAACGCGACCCTTGGTGAAAGCCAAGGCAAGCCAGCCGGCAATCAGGGCGAGACCACCAATCGGGGTGACGGGGCCGAGGAACTTGAGGTCCGGGTTGAGAACGAGGGCGTAGATGCTGCCGCTGAACATGGTCGCGCCCGCGGTGAAGAGACCGGCGGCGACGGGGTTGGAGCGGGCGATGAGAATGGCGACGGAGTGGATGAGCTGATTGATTAAATTTTCCCGGGGTCAGTCACCTGATCCTTGGTAGCAGGTCAGTAGGGTTGTGGAAGAGCAACTGACTTGGTAGTGCGCAGCGGTGGACCAGCTTGCAATCTTTGCGGGATCAGAGATGCGGTTCTTCAGGCCGTGGGCTCCGAAGGCCCCGAGGCCGACGGCGGTGGCGCCGAAGACGGCTCCGACTCTCCAAAAGGCCTGGCTGCTCATTGTCTCTTCTTCTTGGGCGGTGGTGTCGGGGTGATTGTTTCGGGACGGGAGGAGCGAGGTCGTTTCGTTTCCTTGAGCGCTGGACATTGACGGGGGCGTCTGAGATGGACTGAAATGTGAGATGAACTGATGAGATTTGGTGGTTGACTGGGCTGAAGGTTACGTGATTGATGGCCCGGCGGACAGAGAGCGCGAAACGCCGAAAAGCGACCCCCCCCTGGCAATTGCTTAGATAATCGGGGAGCGTAGGTGGCATGCCTCGGCCAGCTGGTCCCGACTGGCTGCAAGTTCACTGATTCTTCCATGTCCTGGACAATTGTGACTTGGGGTGGTGGAACGAGAACGCAGAAAGCCAAGTTGGCGAAAAGGCAGCGCTTTTCAATTGTTCCAATTCAATCAGTTAGACTCTGGCGACCTTTCTTGTCCGGCGCTACCCGTTCAGACTGGATGTCCCTCCAATGCCGGGCCGGCGCCCCGTGGACTCGGGGCCTTCCGTGCGGAGCTTCCGAGTCGTCAACTCCACCAGGGCTCATCGCGTCTCGAATTCCACCCACACCAGAGCAAATTTCCTCGCTCCATCTCAACAAGTTCACATGGTCTGGTGGTGTAGTTGGTTATCACGTCAGTCTAACATGTCGAGACGATCTCACGATGGTCTCGCTGTTCACTGAAGGTCTCCGGTTCAAGTCCGGGCTAGATCATCCTCTTGGGCGATTGGTTTAGTGGTATAATGACCGCTTAGCATGCGGTAGGTCCTGGGTTCGATTCCCAGATCGTCCAAATCTTTTTGCCGTTGCCCTAGGCTGTGTTGAGGTTGGCTACTTCAGTTTGAGACAATCTCTTTCTCTCAGCCGAGGCACCTCATAAGTCCCTGCTGAGGCGGCGGGCAAGTGAGGCTTGTGGTTTGGAGTGTGTCAAGAGTAATTAAATGAACGGAAGCCCCAGTATTTTCAGTATCAGGCACAACTTGAGATTCTTGGATAGAATGTCTGAAGGCTGAGGATTAAATAACATTCTAGAATCAGGTTCTATCATCCGAAGCAATGCTCCAAGTTTCCATCTGGAGAGCCCTGAGAAGCTGAGGTGTGGTCTATTCCTGGCCAGGAAGAGCGCAGCAGGCCAGGAGAAGCGCACCATGCCCGAACACTATAACTGAAATTGGTACTTGAAGATTCGGGAGGCTTTGCCTGAGTCACATCAACGAATAACAATCCACCAGTATACAAAACATCTATATCTAAATTACGTTGTGCGGCTACGCAATCTTTATTTCCCCGCGCTAGTCCGGTTGGGACTAAGGTTAAAGACTATGATACATTCAGTTTCAAACCTGAAAACGTCAACAAGACTTTTCAAGATACAATCACACGTCCAAATCGTGTTGAATAAAATAGTTTGGGTATATTGGTCTTCTACGCGACTCGCACCATTCGAACATTGCTAAATACGTAACTAAGCCTTCCGCACGACTCAGCCAGCCATTTCGTACCGTGGCCCGGTGATGCTCTCTTCCGCTGTCAGTTCGGCTTTTGCGTACACGTTGTAAGAGCTTGAATAATGGTGCTGTTCCGGATTCTCTGTATTCGTGAAACCTCCACCGTTCACAGGTGCGCCAACGCTCCATTGCGTCACCTCGGCTTGCGCCTTCTTCTTCTTTCTTCTCCAAAACCAAAACCAAACCGCTACGCCCACCGCGAGAAGGACAGCTGCGCCGGCTCCGACGGCGATTCCTACGATGGTACCTGTGGAGTAAGAATCGCTGGGTGCCGGCTGCGGAGACGGGGACGGAGACGAGTTACCGCCGCTGTCGGCGTCGCTCCCGTCTTTTCTGCAGAAATTGGTCACGTCCTTGTCGTCGGCGTCGACGGCCACCAGGTCCTCGTTCGGAGTAGGGTTCGCCTCCCAGAGTGAGAATTGCGAGGCCTCTTGATTGACCTGGAGGTATGCCGCGGCAAGGAATTGCCAGCCCAGCTGCGGCATGTCATTTGCATTGTCCGCCTGTAACGAGTTGAAGAGAAGATCTGGGCCTGTCGTATTGACGAGGGTGTCTCCTGTGGTTTTGTCGAGAGATACGTGAGGTATCACCAAGTATTCGTTCGGTATGCGGATATTGAGGCCGGAAGACAGGGAAACAGTGAAGTCTCCAACAAATCTACAGATAGTTTGTGTTATTAGTATTCGGTTTGTCCGAGTGGATTTTGAGAGTTGGGGTAGGGAGCTGGTGGCAGAATAGAGAACAACTTACGGACGACTTGGGGCAATGTATCTCATGTCATAATCATGATAGTCGAGACTGCGAGTGAAGTTCAACATGCTACTACCCGTCTGATCTAAGAAGTACATGAAGACAGGGTTATAGGGCATCGTCATTACAAAGGGCGAGTGGGGGCTGACGCATACGTCAATAGGACGTAAACTCGGCGAGAAGAGGCTGGATTCCGAGCCGTTTGGAAAGTTGAGCTTCAGGTCTGAGATAGTCACCACCAATCTCGAACCGCATGGTGAGCTGCTATCCGCCAATGGTTGCGTGTATCGTTTGCCCTTTATCTTGGCTCGGTCGTAACCCCCGAAAACGACGTGGCCGTTGAATTGAGATTCCATACCAAAGCCCCTGCCCCAGAAGAAACTCCAGGACCGCGAAGCTATTTTACTCGACGACTTCAAGGCTTGCAAAAAGGGAGAACGTGAGCCGAGCCCGATAACGACCTGGGAGGGGTATCCTTGGCCGCGCATAGCGCTCTTTGCAATGCCGAACTGGACATTCTCCAGAGTGACGTTATCGTTAAGTTTCAAAGTGTCTGTAATGGGGTCGAGCTGTGCCAAGTTTCCGTCGTCTGGAAACGTGTCGAGATCGGCTGTCTTGCGAGTTATGGATTCAATGGAGTCGTAAGCGCCGCCCCGATATGACGTGCAGCTATCTTTGGACGTGATATCCGCTTGCTCCAGATTGCAGTAACCATCATTTCCGTACAGCAAGCTCCCATTTTTTTCACTATGTGTTAAAAGAAGATGAGGTTAGTCGTGCTCTGTGCCATATATCTAGCAAGAATGGGTTCAGTTTCAGGACGGTACCAGTGCGGCATGAAAGCAAAAGTTTGCGCGGGAGACCCAACAGCCAAGTTCAATCCTCTCGCAACTTTGCCATTTGACAGAGTCACGTTGCCAATGGGGAGGGAAATCGGATAAGGTGAGCAGTCTGCTTTGACGCTCATGACGCCCTCCAGGAGGAAGAGGAGCAAGGAGACGGCCATGCGGACAGACGAGGCAAAGCTCAGGTTCTTCGCAATATCGCGAGGATTTCTGGGTATATTAGAAGAGAGAAGGGTTGCTGGCCGGCACGTTGCGTCCAGAAGCTGGGAGTTTGAAGAACAACGCGAAAAACAATGGGGGACAAGACTCGCACAGAGGAGACCAGCTACATTGGCTAGGCAGCACCAGTTCGCTTAGCTGCTCTTCTTCTTATTCGCTGGGCCGAGTTGTCGGCGTTGGTTCCAACAAGACTCGCGACAGTTTCAACAGGAGCTGAGCATGCAGGTGGCCTAGTATGTACTTCCAACACAACTGGGTGGATAAAGCCAAGACATGAGATGTTAATGTGACCAATGGCATACAATTGAAAAGCGGCTGGGTGAGAGAAAAACAACAGTGCCCCCTTTCCCCCCCATGTAGTTCTAAGCGCCCGAACCGACGCAGTCTCTCGTCTTCACAGCGGCTACTGGCACCTCGGCCATGATTCTATTCTCGTCCAGATGCCTCTGTGCCCTGCAGCACTCGCCACCAAGCGGGTTAGAACATACCTATCTAGTATTTTGCTCGCCACATAACAGGGACCCAAGGTTTTGATTGTTGATCGTGTTGCCTGCACCAGCTATATCTAGCAGGGCGAACCAACAGCGACTGGGGCCCAATTTCTATACGGAAAGCTTCAGCCCCGACCATCTCTACATGTACGGTCTCCGGGACCGGACCATCCAGCACCGCTCGCCAATGTCGACATCTTTGACTGAGACCGCGCGAGACCGCACATCTGGCCGTACCCAGAACCAAAACAATGCCTCCTGTATCGCCCAGGGTGCGGTGCTGGACCCCTTGACGTCGCTGATGCCATGAAGCATTACTTCCCTATTCCCGTCGACGCACCCAGAACCCAAGTCATCTCCCTGGACAATCATCTCAACGGACCGCTGCGCCGGTAATGAAGCATTTTTGCAGAGCGCGAGCCCGTCCGCCTCGCCAACATCTCGCAGGACCCGGCCCGATCCCGAGCCTCTGCCCGAGACACCCCGGAATCTCGCCATTCTCCAGGCGGGCGCAAGCAACCCTATTTGGCAGAATGATTGGGAGTAGCGGGGCTGCAGAGATGCGTCTCTGCTGAGAATCTTTCCCCAACGCATCATCATACACCACTTTGGCATATCCCAGGAGACCGGACGAGAACGGTCGACAGAGATGCTCAAGGGCACCCTCATTGATCAGAGGGAGTGCCGCAAGCTCATAGACCAAGACGTTCTGCTACATGTGGCCAAAGCCAAGTTTCCCGACAACTTCCACGCCTTCGACTTTGCCGCGCTGTCTTTTTGCCGACCAGCTTCGCATCGTGCAGTTCAACAGCGTCCTAGTCGGTGTCCACGGCGCCGGCATCATGCACAACATGTTTCTCCGGGAGGGCGGCGCCGCGGTCGTTGAGATCCAGCCTTCAAGCATGTTTTACGAGGGGTTCCGTCGCATGGCGCGGATGATGGGTCAGACCTATGTCAGCAACCACGTTGACATGGTCGGGGCAGAGGATTGGAGCAAGCGGAGCAAGCGGAGCAAAAGATATGTTGGCAAGCGGGAACGGTGGCACTATGCCGACATCCGGATTGATGAGGACCGATTCATTGAGCTGATTACTCAGGTCGTCGACTCTCTGGTTTATAATGATACATTAGGTATGGATGGGATGGATGGACCATGACGTATAAGACCTCAGGTGGCGTTGAACGTGGATCGAATTTATTTTTATTGAAGTTCATCCCCAGAGACCAATATCCCACTGAGAGACTTGGACGCTTGAGCCAATCAAACGATGAATGAAGTGAACTAAGTCTTTCATAATTGGGACTGCTCATATGGAGGTAGGCCTCACTTGGCCCGAGGGGAAAGGTAGACTTTCATCTCCGTCTTGTGCCAAGTAGTAAACATTTTTTGTCTCCCCAGCCAGCCTGCGCTGTCCGCGTGCAGCTTCATGTCAAAATTCCACACAACACGAGCAATGATCGTTCGAATCTCGGCATAAGCCAGGCTGTAAAGTTTGGTCAGCTACGCCCACACTTGTCATACAAAGAGATTGCTTATATCGGAGGACAGAAGAAGGGGGGTATATTCGACTCACTTCTTTCCAATACAGTTCCTTGGTCCAAACGAAAAGGGCTGAGCCGCCGATTTGTGGTCCGACTCAAAATTCGGATCCCCGAGCCACCTCTCAGGACGGAATTCGTCATGCTCGCGGAAGTGCGTCGGGGACCGGTTGACGGCGAGGTGGTGAACACCGACTGAGTACCCCGCCGGCACGAACTGTCCGCAGACCATTCTTCCGCCGTCCGGGACCACCCGAGGAAACGTCCCGGGGCCTGGTGGTCCCAGCCGAAGAGCCTCTTCAATGGCTGCATTGAGGTAGCTCAGCCCAGCGGTGCTTTGTATGGTAATGTCCTCTTCCTTCTCAAACGTACTGCGGATCTCCAAAGTGAGCTTGGCCAAGGTTTGCGGGTTCTCGCAGAGGAGATACGTCACTGCGGTCAGGCCTGTCGCCGTGGTCTCGCTGCCGGCGACGATGAGGACCTGGGCCGCGGCGTAGATCTCCTCGGTCGACATGCCCTTCTCATCGCTTCCTTGTAGGATGTAGTGCACTGGAGAATCGAGTCAGCGCTGTGCACTTTCATCGGACTGGGCCAAGGCAAGGATGTTGAACCTACTAAAGTCGGGACGCTCGGTCTCTTGCTCAAGCCGGCGATTCACACGCTCAACACCAAACTGGAACTGAGCAACCCTGGTCTTGATGAGGCGGCGGGGGATGAGAAGCAAAAGCATCTCAGACAGCGGCGAAGGGAACCGACGGGCAGCACGGAGGTATGTGCCGGCCTGGAAGATGTCAAAGACAGCGTGTAGCCACCAGTGCCATTTGGCATCCCGGAGGCAGTAGAAGGGCTCGCCAAAGGCGAGGTCGCCGATGATGTCAAAGGTGGTGAAGTTGTACCACGAGTTCATGTCGACGACGGCCGCGGACTCGGCGCTCCCGCTCGACGCCTGCCCGTGGAGCTTGTGGATGAGGAGGTTGACGTAGCCGGTGATGACGGACTCTTGGGCCTTGAGGGCCTTGTCCGAGAAGGCGGGGTTCTGGAGGCGGCGCATGCGCTTGTGGCCGGCGTCGTCGGCCGTGAGGATGTTCTCGACGCCGTTGACGTTCTTGTTCCACCACTGTGCATCCTTCTCAAAGTTGCCCGTCCCCTCCTTGTTGGGAAAGCCTACGTCGGGCCTTGCGTAAGAAAGTGACTGCCAAGATGTTGCCGATCAATGCAATTGAACGTACCATATATCGTTTGCCAAGCCTGGCCAGACGTGTAAGAGAGTTCGCCGGGGGCGATACGGACCACCTCGCCGTACTTCTCGTGCCATTCCTTAACCTTCCAGTGACTAACCCCACGAACATCAAAGAACAAGTAGTACGCTCTCGTCACACCAGCGAGCTTTGGACCGGGGTAATGGCTGAGTGGGTGTAGGAAGGCGTTGTAAACACACTTTGCCACGACTCCCAGGAGTGCCTGCAATGTGCCCTGGATTAGCTTTCGGTGTCTACCAGTCTTGTGACCACACCTACTGCGAGAACCAAAAGCCCCAGAAGCGCCATTTTGACTGCTTTGGTCAATCAGTTGTGATTTTAAGACCCTGCTGGTCTTGTTGCTTGCTTAAGGGTGGCTGATGAAACATTTCGAATCAAGAGCAACGCGGCAAGTCGAGTCTCCAGGAGAGAAGACGGGGGTTCATACAAGGAGTAGATAGTAGATGGGGATGTGGAAAGAGCGGCATGGCAATCTCAAAGGTCCCAGAGGGGGGCGATTGCTTGATGATATGACGCATATCGGTCCTCATCGGACAGCTTTCCGCCCGCTTCAACGAGTCATATGGCAGATCCCTATCAAAAAAACCAATTACCCACGTCCAACAGTCTTGAACTTATCTTTTCAATTAAACAATGCTTGAATTTTCGGTTGATAGGTCCCACTGTCGGCGTGACCTCGCAGCCAAAGCCATGGAAGCATTCGAATGGGAGCGGACGAGCCCGAAAGCCATTGAGCTTGCTTCCCTTCTTGGCAGGCGGACGTCGGTCATCGGTGCTCCTCTTGGCTTCTGGGGTAATCGTGGGGTGCGCCCTGACTCGTCGGCACTCGTAGTTAATATATTATACTCTGACAGAGTGCCGGGCCCGGTTTATCTTTCCGATTTAGACACCTAGATACCGAAGAGCTTCGATTTAGTGGAGTCTTCTTCGGCTAGAATGAGCGGATTGCGTAACGGCGATCTGGTCGACAAGCTAGCGGGAAAACAATACTCCAGCGGTCGTTCGTTCCAACCCATTTGCTAAAGAAGAAAGCGTATTCCAAAGTTAAATATTCGTAGGCAGTGGTGAATTACTCTCAGGAGAGATCATAAATAACATATACCTATTTTGGAACAATTCTACAACAAGGGTCTATGAGCGGGCAGTCTGGCTTATCTCTCTCCACTTCGACTGGCTGTCTACGGTATCCATGTCCGCCTGGGCTCTGTCTGGTCAACTAGGACTTTGAGCGATTGGGATGTAAGCTGACCAACAGATATCCTAGGTGTAGTCTCCATACATCCGCGGATACACAAAGGGTAGTATATGACTAAAATATATTTCATCAGTATCCGTATGTCTAGCAGGACTTGACTCGAGCTAAAAGAGGGACTCCCGCCGGCCAGCAACCGCCGGCCAGCAACCGCCAGCCAGCAACCGCCAGCCAGCCTTCATCAACCTTGGAAACAGCGCTGGCATCATGGAGCGTCTAGGATCCCCTGGTCGGGTCAAGATATCACGAAACTTGACAGGCCCGTGCAATACACATACCCTGTCATCCCACGAGTCGATAACCTTGAACCCTGACCTCGACCTCCGCATCGGATGAACCCATGAGCTAACCAAGAGTCGTCACATACGGATAGATCCCAATGAGAAAGAAGATACGCGGGAGTCAAGGAGCTTTCGCAGGGTTCGCTATCGTGGAGTCGTCATTGTGGCATGTGATATAACACCAGCTCGATCGTCCAGGGGTTCTGGTGAACCACCTTCGCTCTCAAGCTCTGCCTTCTTTTTTTGAACCCTATCACCACGTCCTTTGCCGCGGCACAACATTCAATATGGGTGAAATGATCATGTCAAACGAGCCCTGGGACTTTCTGAACTCTGTCTTGCGATTCAGAGACGATGACTCCCAGTTCTGGTGGGACAAGACGGGGCGCATGTTCTCCAAGCTCCTAAAATACGCCGGATACAGCGCGGCAGACCAGTACCGTGAACTCAACTTTTACTCCCTCTTCGTCGCCCCCGAACTCGGCCCCTCACCAGACTGTCAAGGCAACGTCAGAAGATGGAGGAGTCCCGGCACACCGGACTCTACTCCCATCGATTTCAGCTGGGAATGGGGCCGTGATAACCAAGCCGTCGTTCGCTACTCCTTTGAGCCCATCGGTCTGCATGCCGGCACGGAGCTAGACCCTCTCAACAGGCACGCAACAAACGACTGGATTTTCAAGCTCCAACAACAGAAGCTCGTTCCTAACCTGGACTTGGAGTGGTACAACCACTTTACAAGACAGATCCTGCCCCACGGCACGCGAACAAAGACCGTGGACTGCTTCATCGAAGAGACGACACCAAAGGCAGGCACCGTGGTGGCCCTTGACATTGAAAAGAGCGGTCCCGTCATGAAAATCTACATCTACCCCGGACTCAAGGCCGAAGAGCTCGGCATCACGAACCTCGAGCTGGTGGAGCAGTCCATCCGCAGCCTCCCTACCGACCAATTGCAATCCCTCGGCGCCGAGCCTCTTCTAGAGTTCCTGAGAGAAGGCACAAAGAAGTACAATTTTGAGACGGGGATCCTCGCCATCGACTGCCTCGCGCCAAAGGACGCCCGCATTAAGGTCTACATCAGGGCCAAGCACACAACCTTTGAGTACATGATGGACTGCCTGACCCTCGGGGGCAAGCTCGACATGTCGGGTGAGGCCATTGACGACCTCAAGGACTTTTGGAAGACGTTCCTTGCGGACGCGCCTGACATGCTGGGCGACGACGCCCCCGGGCGCGCGTCGCCAGGCTTCTATTACACACTCGGATGCGGGAGGGCCATCTCACCAAAGGTGTACATCTCCCCCAACTACTTTAGCAAGAACGACGTGGACGTCCTCGCCCGACTTCGCACGTTCTTCTCTACTCGTCGGTCCGACTCGATGATGGACAACTACGAGCAAGCCTTGAACGACATTTTGTACGATTTCTCCCCCCCTCAACCAAGGTCCCCCATTGCTTCCAGTGCTGACGACTCTCTTCAGTGGACGTAAAACTCTAGAATCTCGTTGCGGTAGCCATTACTACGTCGGTTGCGCCCTGGCCAAGGGACAATTGAGGGTGGTGACATATCTCAGCCCTCAGTCTTTTGATTGTGAGAAGGACGTGATTCAGGCTCGGAGGCCATGATGACGAGTGATGCGATGTTTGGCTGTTTCATGGTGTTTTACGCTTTCTTTACTTGATATCCGAAATAGTTCATGATGTTTGCTACCTGAGTCTTAGACAATTACTGAGATGCATTTTTAAAGTTGCACAATCTGAGCTTCCCGTGAGCGATGTGACGAACACTTGGTCCGTGTTCAGAAGTGGTGTTGAATTTGGTTTTTTAAACTTCGCGTTACCTGCACCATGTCAACTTACAACGTTGTATCACTTCTTGGCAAAAAGCTGATAAGACGGGGTTCTAATTAAAACGCGTGTGATGCCCGCGACATGGGACTTGGCTCCGTGGAGCAAAAGCTTGGTATCAGCCTGTCACCGCGTGTGGATTAGAAACTCTACTATTTCATCGGTACAGATCACCCATGTCATTATTCTATCCCCAACACTCCGTCTTGGTCCGAAGTTATTCCTTCTATGCTTTACCCGTCTACGGACTGAACTCTATCACCGCCTGTTCCAACAAATCACACGCTCTCTTGGCACCACCCTGTGCGTTGAGCTCATTTCCAATTCTAGTTGCATTTTCTTTGTACCTCGTCTCAGTGAGCACCCTGTGAACCGCGTCGCGCACCTGATCTACCGAGGGCGTGTCGGTCTTGAGATCAATCCCCGCACCCACCCATGTCACCCGCGCAGCCGTGTCCTTCTTGTCTTCCGACGTGCCTGCGCAAACGAGAGGAACGCTGTGCGAGAGGGCTTGCGTCACGCTGCCGTAGCCGCCATTCGTTACGAGGAGGCGACAGCGTGGTAGCAAGAGATCATAGGGGACCCATTCCGCGATGCGGACGTTATCTTCCACCTTGACCTTGTCGCGAATCTGCTCGGCAAGTTTGGATGGCACAACCAGCAAGTGGTTCTTGTCGCCCTGAAGTGCTTTGATGGCGGGAATGATGAGTGAGGTCGGGTCCATGGCAAATGTGCCTTGTGTGATTCCAATGATGGACTTGGCTTCGACAACGTCTTGCCACCATGTCGGCACGCCAATACTCGCACCTGCAAGACGGGTAACCAGGGGCCCAACGTACTGGGCTCGAGGAAGAATAGGATCGGGGCCCTCCTGAAATTCCAGCGATGGACACGAAGCTTGGATGTGCAGAAACGGGCTGTATGAATACGTGTCTGTGACTTTGAGGGCAGGCAGTCCGAGTTTCTCCCTCTCCGGATTGATCGTAGGCAACACCAATTGCGGCTGGCTGATGAGGAGTCCCAACGCAGATTGCGCAGCATGCTCAACGGGCTCGGGCCCTATATCTGGCAAATACAACGGGACAACTCCCAAGGTCGCGTAGTGAGGAATCTCGCCCAGCTCGTAGAGCGCCGCTACGCCCTGGGGCAGAGCGTCGTTGAGGACGAGGTCTGGCTTGAAGGTCTTGAGGACACGGCGGAGATCAGCGACTTGTGCCGTGACGCGCCCTCGGAACATGACCTCTGCCGTCTCGGCCATGTTTTTCGGATTGGCGCCCTCCAGGTTGGCGTCTACTTTGATTACTTCCTCCGCAGCGAAGAACGTTGCCCCTGATGCAAGCACGCGCTGCTCTTGAGGGGCTATTGTCGTCCAGACGACTTCGTGGCCGCGCTCAACCAGCTCCCTGGCTACCGCTTGCATTGGCAAAACATGGCCGGTGGCGGAGAAACAGTGTAAAAGGAACTTTAAAGGTTGACGGGTTTTCGTAGCCGTTGCTGCTCCCTCCGGTGTTGAAAGGTGCATTGCGTTGATGAGGCGGTAAAGTTGACCAGAGCTGTTGCAATTGATCTGATGAACGTGGTGATTGGACAAACACCTGGCGCATTCAGTTCGCACTGCAGGACGAGTCCAAGACACATCATCACTATTGCATCTAGCAGGTATTATGAACCTATCGATAAGTACTCTTCAAACTCTAAAGTGTCTGGTCTCATTCGCTGGTCCGGATTGAGTTATCAATGCCAACAACACATCACCACATCAAAGGATAAGATCATCCGCAATCGGCCCATGTTTGAACCCCATGGCAAGGATAATTTCAGATTGCTATCTTGACATTATCTTTGAGGGCGCTAATTGAAAAGTGCCATGCGGGTCGAAATACAACGTTATCAACTCAACCACTCGGTCCACTCTGTATTACCCCGGACATAGGGAACCCACCCGCATGAGTCGGCGAGCATCACGAGTCATTGAAATTTTGATGGAGTTGATAACAAACTGGAGGTCATTGGGGGGGTACGTAAGCGGGCAGTTGCGATGGAGTTGAGGCTACGAGTGGGAGGCATTGGGAGGTTACGAGTAAAAGGGTCAGCAACACCGCGCCCGTTGAGCCGACAAACTCTACTGCCGCATCAACCGATCTGTCACAATGTCCCGAGCAGTCGATAAACTTTCCGCTCCCGCGGAGGCGCGTTCGATGAAAGTTATTGGACTTGGTCCTAGCCGGTAAGAAAAAAAAAAAAGGCAAAACATCAAACTTTGGAACCAATGCAGCAGCTAACTTGTTTTTCTATCATAGTACTGGAACTCTAGGTTTATGGCAAGCATTGAAAACCTTGGGGTATGCCCCCTTTCACATCTCGGAGCTTTTGCCGTATGGGTTCCAGCAAATGAGGGCTCTCCAAGAGGCTATCCTGGCCAATGACAGTGACAAGCCATTTCAACGGGCAGAGTTTGACAAGCTTTTCGCCGGTTATGATGTACGTTTCGGGTGACTTCAAATTACCAGCTGCCTAGAGGGCGTCATCTAACACCGTCAGTGCATTATCGAAAGCCCTTGCTATCTCTGCCCAAGCATCATCAAAGAGTACCTGAACGACCCGGATGTCAAGTTCATCTTGACGGAGCGCACTCCAGAGTCCTGGGCCAAGTCAATCGCGGGATCACTCGGCGCGTACCATGCAAAGCTAGCGAAGCCGCCCTTATCGATTGCCAGGTACTTTGACAGCTTCATCTCGGAGCTCACTGCACTTTTCAGGGCCATGACGCACAGGTGGTCGGGAGGACTGGAACCCAGCGAGCCCGGTTTCAATGAAGCGCTATCCAAAAGCTATGTTGAATAGTACGTTTGCCTCGTTGTGTTTTCAAGTTTCTATGAGCATAAAATTGACCGTTTCGACAGCCTAGAGAGTGTGAAAGCTCTTGTCCCTGCCGACAAACTTTTGGTCCTGAACCTTGAAAAGGGATTCGGCTGGGAGGAAATCTGTACGTTTCTGGGCAAAGAAGTTCCCAACGAGCCATACCCGCGGATCAACGCCATGTCCGACTTCCATGTCGCCGCAGAGATGGTTGTGTCGCCCGCGATCAAAAAGACGATGCGTATTCTCTCTTCCTCAGCTGTTGCTATCGCCGGTGTCGGTATTTGGTATTGGCAGAGAAAGAGGTAGCGCTGGTGGCCAAAATTAAAAGTGCCGCTTGCCATACTTTCATCATCATCGACTTGTTTAATTAGTAGAAACCTTGATACCCACAGCATGGTTGCGGGGTTTTTGTATTCAAAAAGTCAAACAAAAACAAAATCACTACCTAAAGCATGACTGCGGCCAGCTATTGTGAGCACCTGGGCAATATCATTTCATGTTTACATGAGTACTTGAGAACTGTTCAGTCTCACTTACAGGTCTTTATGGCGGATGCATGTAGAAATTCCATCATTCGTCATTATTTACTGAGAAGACTGGAGCTTTTGTTCTTTAGAAAGCCAACTCAGCTCGGAAGCCTATCTGGAGCTCTAGGGGTCGTAGACCGAAACCTCGATCTCGAGACGCATACCAGGCTGGCCAAGCTTCGAGGCTCCAATACCTGTCAGAATTGGCGCATGATCAGGAGCCCACTTCCTCATATTCTCTACCATTCGACCAACGCCATCCTCTGTCCAGGCCTCATCTATAAGTTAAAACCGGCTCAACTCATATAGCCGGCTGAGTAATCTTACACGATGATTGCCGTTCTGTTCATTATGCTTGCGCCAAGCGCTTTCTTCCAAGCCGGCCCAGTACGGGATGCTGCTGGAAGAAATTAGTACTGAAAGAATTAACTACGGGCGAGCAGCCAAGCATTACGTCTTCATAAACTCAAGGGACAATTAAGCCTTGGGCCTTTAGGATTCCCGCAAGAGTCGGGCGGGCCATCAGTCCGAGTACGTCATGTTGGGAGGCCAAGCAGCGAACGAAGCAATTGCCAAGACAGTCGGCAAAGCAGCCTACGATGTGGTCTCTGGTGCCTGATGCCTGTGATCGCTGCCATTGATCAATGTAGATGGAATTACATTTGCAGTGGGTTATTTTGACGGTCAATTTCCGGCTTGCATTTTTTGACAATTTGTAAACGCGGTCTTCCGCCTACACCTTATTCATCTTGTCATGTTTGTCCGACCTCGCTTCCGTCAGGGAGATGATAGTTCCGAGTCGGTTGGTATTGTGTAAGACAAGTTTCACCGCTTGGGTAGAAGATCTGCTGTTCACGGGCCGAGACCTTGGGACTGTGGCGCAATCGACACGGCCATGAGTCGTCTCTGTTATTCTGCACGAAAGGCTAGCGGCACCCACATGTTCCGCTGGACACTACCCAAGGGGAGACTAGTTGCTAACACTTCCCCGCCGCCCCGGCGCTATGCTCCGGATCCTTCCTTCAAACATCGGGAACGCGGCCCCACCCCGAAACATCCCTCGGGGTTCAAAGTAGTCCGTCTGTACGCACGGGCTGACTGAGGTTCATTCCCGGAGGCGATCACCGGTACGGTCAGGTACTGCATTGCTGCCATCAATCCTCTCTTTACCTCCCTTTCCTGAAACTTTGGCATCCAAAGCTCGAATTCTTTGCCATCGTTCAGATGCGGAAGAGGCTTGTTCGGTACTTCTCTGCCAAGGAAGCTGCATAAGGGCTCCAACCCCAACCCGAGCTAGTGCTCCTAGAGGCGGTCTTTGGGAACGAGACTTTTAATTTTATGGGAGTGTTCCCGGCAGACTATTTTAACGTTCTTTCACCATTCGTTTGATCGCTGCAGCGAAACATCACGTATTGCAGATTCCATGTAAAAGTGACGGGCTTCAGCTTCTGAAGGGCTCTATGACGTTGAGTACAGCCCACATCTTCCAGGTGAAGAAAGAACTGATTTCGCCTTCGTCATATCATTTGGTCCCCTTCTCCAAGTCTCGGCCGACGAGCACAGCGTTGACCTGATTAAAGTGATGAGCTAGAGGGTCATTAGAGCCGTATGAGGGGAATGCGTTGCTATCAAATCGAAGATGAAATTTTTGAAGGCAGTCAAAAGACAGTCAAACACTCTCGAATGCAACTTCGGAGGATACAAGGATTGATTCCGTTTCATATGAACCTTCTGCGCTTCACGTTGCGCTTCTGTAAGCTGACCGCATTGAAAAAATTGGGGAAGAAAATCAGTCGCCATATCTTAAGTATGCGCCCACACCCTTCGGGTGACCTTATCATTTACGTTCCTTCCAGCTTGAGGTCATGCTCGATTGTGCGGCTGCAATTATGCCGTCCATTGACAACATGACGACTGTGTAAATCGTGATGAATTACACTCAGGTTCTTGCGCCAAAGCGCTTAGCATTATGCATGCCGCTATTTTTGTCAATCTGGTCGCACATAATCCCAGGATATAGTGCTATGTGCTATGGGATTCATCCTTATTCTGTACTCGTTAATCGAAACACGGGAATAAGCTGGTAGTTGGGGCGATGAGATTAACTGTACTCATCGTGAAACGGACAGCAAAATGTTGGGGTTTCATTAATGCAAACAATGTTATAAAAGACTCTCTCAACATAAAAGGTCACGTCCAAGATTATCTTCATCTTTCACCTATCTAGGTAAAAGAGCCAGCAGCTACTTTTCTTTTTAACGAAGAGGGCTTCAACATATCTAAACTGTGACTTTGGTTCTTGCGTTGAATGCTTAACATTAACTCAGTAGTTGCATCTAACAGTTATTTACCTTTTATCTCATTGCCGTGGCATCATAAGCGGTATATGCGTAAGGACAGTTGGGGCACGCAATAAGGAGGGTACCTAGTCATGAGAGTGGTGCCATGGTGAGCTGCTTACTAAATAGACATTCCACTAAGGTAAGGTAAGCAAGCATTACCACTATATCTTCCCTTAGGTCCATGTCACATACTCAAAGTACCAATCTGATAGCACACGACCACCACCGAAACTTTCAAACCACAGCGCCTGTTCCGTTCTGCTTTCCCTTATCAACAGCTAGATAGACTATATTGCATATTTAGGTTAGGCACATCCTCATATAGCATCAACTATTCTCTGGTTTATACATTTTTTAGATAACCTTAGAGGGTCTAAGTACATAATGAAGCCTCTTCAATTTCCGGTGTTAATGTAAACCTCAACAGCCTCATCCACAGACGGACTACCCTTGTATACTAACAGCACTGCTTACCATCCATTGAATTAGGTACCTGCATGGAACCTCAAGGTACTTCAGCTTTCCAACAAACCCGGATCGCACCTGCAAACGAGGCTGCCGATGACTACTTAAGGAACTCTTCACTCAACTTCAATGTCCCTCGACAAATCTCACCTCGCTTCTTGTCTCGCTAATAAGATCGGTTTTGCAACAGCAACAATAACATGATAGCAACATCATGTCACCGCTTCCCACTGGCAAAGACGCAAAGGAGCAGGCGCCAATCGCACAGTCCTGGCACCACTACGAGCAAACGGCCGACTCTTGGAAGATAGTCGCGAATCATGATGTGAACGATCCTCCAACGACCATTCCTATGGATATTGAGGCTAGTCCTCGCTTGGTTCTCGCCACGTGGAATGTGAGGGCCATTTCCCCCGAACCTGCCCGCCGCATCATCACAATTCTCGAGCATCTCATCAACCACGCACCCTCACCAGATATCATCTTCCTTCAGGAAGTATCGAGATCGATGCTGAATGCTTTATTGACCAACGACAAGGTTCGCGATGGATGGTTTTCTAGCGAAAGAAACACAAGAAACTGGATTGGCACTCCTCTGACATCTTTCGCCACCATGACTCTTCTCTCAAAGGCTAAATTTGGCCACGTCGGTAGGGCAGCCCTCGTTGGTCTCGGACGGATTTCGCGCATCAAATATCGATCAATTTGGAGACGGGATGCGTTGTGCAGCGAGGTTTTCATACCATCACGGCGACCAAGCACTCCAACAGGCGCATACGAGCGACTACAGCTTGTGAATGTGCATCTAGACTCTCTACCTAGCGGGGCATCATGCCGCCAAACTCAACTCAAACTCATCGGGTCGCTTTTGCACGATGCCGGTCACGGGTTGGTAGCGGGAGACTTCAATCCCGTCTCTCCTGATACTGATGCAGGTTTGGTAGAAGAGAATGGCCTCCTCGACGCTTGGAAAGAGTTGAAAGGCGAGGAGCATGGGTACACATGGGGAGTCGACGGGACCGCACCGTTCCCTCCGAACCGGCTGGACAAGGTCGCAATGGTGGGATTGAGGCCAATTCACATTAACGTCTTGCATCCAATGCAGATACTCTTGCCTGGTGAAGGTAAGACAATTCCTTGTAGCGATCACTCGGGGCTCAAGTGTACTTTTACTCTGGCTTCACTTTAGTAATTGGAAATTTCCAGAGCCACATTGATGTAATCTAGGCGAGCTGTGGCATCGCGGAAATCGTGCCTCAACCCTGCCATTGTCACGTTTGCTCTGAGAATCTAACTGCATGAGCGTTAGCACCAATGTCAGCAATAAGCAGTGTAGCTGCCTAATGACCCCCTCACACCAGAGGGCAAATTATCACGGGGAACGCATGCTCATTGGTTTGCCTCCGATTTTCTATGGAATATTTTCACTCCAAATATCGTCAGCGTTCTACTTGGGGAGACCATTGAGACAATCCAACATTGAGTCTGGGTCTCACCATGGAGCATCTTCCGATTCCGCGCGACCCAATACGCGGGCATCCGGCCATCCAGTTGGGCACCAAACAGTTTCACGAACCTGGATCTTTCCTCGACTATCCGATGCAGCATGGCGGCGTTCTCGATGCGCAGTATCCACATGTTCCCACACAAGCTGATGCCCTGCAAGGACGGTTCACAGCCGGAATATCGCACATGCAGGTCATCGACTACTACCAAGGCTGGTTGTTCTACTCTTTGATCCAAGAGTTTCTGGGAAATTTGTACCAATGGCAGAATTACACGTCTTGGAGTTACGATGATCAAGGAAAACTCAACACCATTACCCTGTCGACTCGGACGTTGCATGAGGACCTGGCATCGTTGCGAGCAAGTGGTGCGCTCGCCTCTATTCGACCCGGCGATGAGCAGGAAAAGCATCTCAATGAATGCTTGAATCAAGCGTTTACGGCCTTTGACGAGATCGAGTTGAGGTTCCCAGGCTTCCCGACGGCCTTTGCCGAAGAAACTTTGTGCCTGGCCAGCTTGGGTGAGACACTGGATTCTGCGGTCCAGACTGCCCTTATCCACGGACCAGTGGACAGTGAGTTACACACCCTGATATGCCAAGCGGAGCTCAGGGGCCGCCGGCACCGTCCAGATATTGGAGTGAAGGCTGATGAGACCGCTCATGTAGAAATGAACAAGAGTATACAGCACTTCCCAAAGTCGGCCAAACGCCCCTGGTTTTCCAAGGTCGCCCCTCTGCTGGATTTGTCCACGGGAGAAGTTAAGCTTGCAATGATCAAGGCTGGATGGTGCCCTGGTGATATTGCCAAGATTAGCGACAGCTTTGACACTATTGCCGCCTTCTACTACCTTAGCAAGTTCAAGGCGGATCCGACCGTGGTGGACTTGCACAAAGAATGCGACCAGTATGGCTGCGGCCTCAGAATACCGGCAGAGCCCAAGCACATGAGTGAAGCTTGTGACTGTCCCGGAATGGTTACATTCGATGAGGAAGATCTCATCAAGATATATCAAAAGGGCAATGTTCCTTGCTTTTGCATTGGAAGGCTTGAGGACGGCAGCTTGGGGATCGGTCTGACTTCCTGCAGCATCGACGAGGAGTCCCAGAAAGATCCCGACAATCACTTCGTCGCGCTTTCTCATGTATGGTCAGAGGGTATGGGCAATCCGGCGGCCAACGCCTTACCCTTTTGCCAGCTGGCTTACGTGCAACACTGGGCCATGATGGCCTATCAAGCTGTGGAGGAGAAGGAAGAAGATGATCCCAGGAGCGGCACCGGTATCGTGATCCATACGAAGCCAAAAATACGCCAGCTCAACATTTGGATTGATACCATGTGTTGTCCGGCGACTCCGGGATACGGGAAGAATCTCTGCCTTTCCATGATGCGTGAAATCTACTCGAATGCCTACGTTGTCATGGTGAGAAGCGCGGTGCTCGAAGCTATGGAACTCGGCGATATTGTACGGGAACCTGCCAAAGGGGTGATGGACGTCGCCGCGCAGGTTTATCTGTCTCCCTACATGCGCAGGATGTGGACCTTGCAAGAAGCCGTTTTAGCAGGAGCCTCCAGGGCTCGAGGTATCGGCGACCGTCTCTGCCTCTCTTTCGCCGATGGCATCCTCACACTCGAGTCAATCATCATCCTCCTGAAGCAAGCACCACCTCAAGAGGCCTTATTAGCATACCGCTTCATGGCAGAGTTCCGCGACCTTAGCACTCACATGTGGCAGTTTGGGGACGACGATGACGGCAAGCCGATGAAGCACAACCTAAAGGGGTTTGACTTCTTCATGAACATGCTTACTGTCGCTCTAAAGTACCGCAACGTCACGGTCGCGTCCGACGAAGTAATTTGCCTGGCCACGCTGCTCAATCTCCGCATCAACAGCACAAGAGGGGTCGTGCCGCTGATTGGTCAGGGAGAAACTCCCGAGGAGGGCATGTGTGAATTGTGGCGGAGGCTCCAGGCACTCGGAGGCAGTTTGCCATCCGACCTCATTTTCTCGTGCGTCCCGCGTGTCCAGGAACCGGGATTTCGCTGGGCCCCCGGCACCCTTGTCCAGTACGCAAAGCACGGCAGTCTCTATGTTTCTCATTCCAGTGCGTATCCGACTGAAATCACCGACAAGGGTTTGCATGTGAGGCTTCCCGGGGCGCGACTCACAAGTCTGATTGCCGCTCCTGATATCATTGGGAGGATGTTACCCAAGGTATCAATGAAAGACGAAAAGTTCGATAAGACGTCACAACCGGAGCAGGAGAATACACCACCTTCGGTCTTCATGATAAAGCTACAAGCGGATGACGACAGGTGGTTTGCTGTTAGAGTCCACGGGGACGAAGATGACGCCCAACAATCCGGGTCGGTTCAAGCAGAATCACGCTCAAATCTTGGTCAAAAGAGAAATCTGCTGCAGCTCTTCAGGGGTGACTCTACAGCGCTGGTTTACCAAAATGTTAACATCACCGGGCCAGGTCTACTCGTTTCCATTGTCACACCGCCTTCAGACCTGAGTGCTCTCGAGGTCCTGAGTCTGAACCCGGAGCCCTTACAGGCCAGAAGCGCGTTTCCGGTGAAGATTGTACCACTGAGCGGCGGCGCCTGTGTCATTGCCGAGGCAGCTAGCAGCTGTGTTGAGAAACTGAATCATGCTTTGGGGGCTAGAGCGAGACAGCAAGGAGGAGGGGAGGATATCGTTAGCACTGTCTGGGAGAATGCCGGTCTCATTGCTGAGCTGTTCTGGCAAACAGCCGAGAGACTTGTAGGAGAGTCCAGCGCCTTGAGGGAAGCTTTGTATTTCGAGGTGTTGTCTGGGAAAGCTTTTGCCACTTTTGAGGCTGCAGTCGAGCTGTTCACGCAATATGTGCGCAAGGTGGCTTATTTTGGCGGAGGTATGAGGTGTGAGACCTATCCGGAGGACCAAGACTGGTATGTGGATTGATCTGGTCTGGACCAAGCATGGGCCGTCGCGGGGTCGCCGGTACCAACGCTAGTGTTGGTGGCCTCGGTATTGGCGAATAAGCTTATAGGAAGGCTAGACAAGTTCCAATGGCACTTGGGAGAAGGAGGACGGAATTCAATGGGTCGTGGGGGCCGCTGCATAACCGCATTTCTACCTAACCTCTTCGCTTAAGATGAGTTTATAGTTGGGCAATTTATAAAGCACGCGTGCGAAGGCTGATGACCTGGGTACTCTTTCGTCAGTTCAAGATGTGATATTTTCATGTAGGGACTGGGCCTAAGGCAACTTGATTTGAGGACGAAGATTAGCGTGTGGATTGATCCTGATGTTGATCGAGGAGAGGCCCTCCGCGGGCGTACAATTTTAGCTTCAACTCGCTCACGCCATTGAGAAATGAATCACTCTTTGGTTTTGGACTTCCTAGGTATGTTAGGTAACACGAGACGGCAATATTTCAGAGTCCGACCTAGCTCGTTGTGGCTCTGAGACAAGCAGATAACCTAGAGCAATGGTCTGTGGAAATAAATGCTAATGACGTTGAATAACCTCATGTGAGACAAGACCTACTTGACGGGTGGCTTGTCGGACCGGCGAGATTGGATCGCATGCTTGATCACGGCCCGGGGAAGCTCGCATAATTATCATTCAATCCTTTCATTAGGTACCTTGCTTATGCGAGTGTAATATGTAATTCACAAGATCCCCCTTGGAGACAGTGCATTCCTCAAATTACTGGTTGACCTCTTGAATTGGGAAGAGGGATTAAAAAAAACACCCCATAAGCCTCACCGTTTGGGGCGTTCGGCGAGAATGGCTGTGATATCCCGACAGTCTGGTGCTTGACATCCGATCTCGAGACATCCAAATGTACGAGTCATCAGAATTATCCGCGGAAGTCTTGCTTGAAAATTATCGCCCCTCTTCAAGCACCTCGATCGCAACCGGCAATGTATTTTCCACCGCCTCGACCGGACATCTCGGTAGCCTGTGCTACGCCCGCACTGGAATCTGATCTACTATTTTCATTTCCTACTACAAAGCATCCGCATAGAGATTTAGTAGGCCATCGAACGTCAAGACCTTCCATCTTCTCTGGACACTAAACCAGTCGACTCGCCCAACGAAGTACTTCCTACAGCCGATCATGGCGAGACAGTTTGATCTAGTCCTTTAAGATAACATTGCACGTTCATTCCTGTCACTTCGAATAGTCTCTCAATAGCTTGACAACACCCTATTGTTCTCCTTTGCTATGGAAACGGCTGCTTGGGACCCGTCTGCAACCGGAACATCAGATGGCAAAGTCTTGGCGATAGAGAATGAACGTGTTGATGTGGTCGAGATGATCGAAGTTTGTCCAGAGTTCTTTGAACACAGGGAGAATGGTTTTTTCGATGATCGTTTTTCAAGTGGTGATCTTTGCCGCCATGTCTATTTCTTTCTGTTCTTAATGGAGAATCGTCTTACTTGGGTCCCTGAGAAACGCTCCTATGAGGGCTCTTGGAACTTTTTTGTGTCTTGCGCTCATCCAGGACCGAGCCTGGCTGTACAGAACTCGCAGTCCTTGATCAAATATGCCGAAAATGCCGGGCTTATGGAAGCTCCTCTTGCCGCTGCTGCTGCTAGGGGGCAGGAGTTTGGCACAAACATGCCTCGATGCCCTTAACAACGATCAGGTAGACGCGTGTGTATGTTACTCTCTGGAATATGTTGTCAGTTACGTCGCCTACATAGCCGTTTCTACGTCATACACATCCAACTGTGAGGCTCTGCCCACACTCTCAGCCACTACATCCGCAGCTGCGCGATTCCTAGAGAGCAACCTCGGCGGGGGCAACTATTCAGGGTATGTGACTATCAGCAATGGAGTTTACACGGGCACAGATATCTTGGCCGGGCCGACGACACGGGCGATTTTGGGACTTGATGGGTCAGGGACGCTCGTAGTGGAGGATCCGCCCTCGTATACGACAGTTTCTCGAACTGGTACGGCAACAGTAAGCCCTGTATCGCTTCCGAGCTTCATTAACTCCACGAGCTTCCTAACGACGAACCCCATCACGGCACCGCAAACCATCCTTGTCGCCAACCCCACGCCTGGGGCTTCTATAGCCTCCCGGGGGACTGTAGTCGTCGCGGTCCCTGACCCAAGATTATACAACACGAGCACCCTCGCTTACGCCGGAACCGACCCCCTAGGCGCAGCTCGGACGACTATTTCGACTATTGCTGAGTCTGGATTTGTGCCTGGCACCTACGTCGTTGCCGTCGCTACCACGACTGTGCCGGACGTATCCTACGATGTTTCTACCGTTGCATACACTGGAACAGCCGCCCTTTCTGGTCCAACTGTAGTGTCAGTCATCCAGCCTACGAATAGGAGCGGTCGAGGGACCGTCGTGATTGGGGTTCCTCCGACCGGGGTTCCGCCACCTCAGGTGACCTCGATTGTTCCATATGAGGGCACAAGTTCGATTACAGGAGCGACGACGATACTCAACAGGCCCTTTGATGGCACCGTACCAGGAACTGTCGTAGTTGGACTGCCTCCATCTTCTTTCATCACCCAGACTGTGCCATTCACGGGCAAAGAAGTCCTCACGGCCCCGATCACAATTTCGATAATCCCGCCGAGCGGATCTCAACTCGGGACCGTTGTCGTCGGAAGTCCATCAGCCACATTCCTGGCCAGTTTCGTCCCCTTTACCGGATCGACTCAGGAGACGCTGTCTGTGATTCAGCCTACGGGTACATCCCCTGGAATTGTGATCATTGGACAGCCCGGAGATCCTTACGCTGATGTCAATGATCCTACTTTGACGTCTGCATCTCAAGTAATGCCAACCCGATACGTCACGTCGATTGTCACATATACCCCTGCTTCAGACGCTCCAAATACACCATCTACTTTGGCGGTCATAGATGGCACGGTGATTATTGGTTTGCCGCGTATCATTTCCCCGGCTGCGACTGGTTCAGACTCGTTCATTACTTCTGCAAGGGGATCTTTTGTCACCTCAACCATAGACTTCACTGAAGGTGCAGACTTGCCGACGGGCGTTGATCCCGTGGGAACCATTCCTGGAACCGTCTTTGTCTATGCTCCATCGGCAGCCAGAGACCTTGGGCCGTCGTTCGTCACATCAGAGGTCATTTTGCTTGGGACGGCAGCTGGCTCGGCACCTACAACCGTCTCGATCGTGGAACCAACGGACGGGCTCCCTGGAACTATAATCATCGGAAGACCGGCCATTTTCGTTACTTCGACAGTTCCTTGGACAGGTTCGATTCCTTTGCCATCTCGGACAACAGTTGCCGTCGTGGCTCCCTCTGGAGACAGCCCTGGCACAATTTTCGTCGCGGACCCCACGTCTTTTGGTAGACAGTTCTCAACCTCCTTTGTTCGCCTTTCCGGTTCCTTAGAAGAGGGGGCCGCAACAACACTGACGCTGATCCCCGGCCAGGGGACTTCGCAACCAGTTGTCGTCATTGGAGTGCCTGACGATTATATAACTTCCACTGTTGACTTTAGTGGCACAGGGATCCTGACAACGAGAACTACGCTTTCGACACTGCCTCCGAATGGTGTAGCACCGGGCGTCATCATTGTCGCTGACCCACCGACATCAGTCTCACCTGGTTCTGCCGTTGTCACGGCCGGAGTTTCTGATGGCACTCAGCCCAACTATGTCACCTCAACGGTGGTGTATGGTGGATTGACTACATCTGTCCTGACCAGCGTTCCGCCCTCCGGTTCCAACAGGGGTACAGTGGTTCTCGCTGTTCCTTCAGCGGCTGCAGGAAACCCGTCGCCAACACCCGTGTCCCAGTTGAACAACCCGAGCGTGGCGCGAGCCTCATTCGTTACTTCGACTATTGTCAGTCTCGTTGGCTCTTTAGTTGCCTCACGAGCAACCATCTCAACTGTTACACCTGACATTGCGAATTCTATCCCTGGCACATACGTCGTGGCCTTACCCAACGCCTACATCACCTCCACAGTACCATGGACTGGAGAAGTGCCCTTGTCGACCGTTACTACGATTTCTATCATACCTCCTTCCAACTTCCAGCCTGGTGTGATCGTAGTGGCTGCCCCGAATGCGATAGACTCATCCACCACACAGGCAGTGGGCAGTGGCACAGTTCCAACTCCAGTTCTTGCAAGCAATGCTTCCCCGGGAAACTCACCTACACCACTCTCTGTCACTCAACTACCAGCTCAGACGCTTTTCACCACCTCAACCGTACGTCTAGCAAGTGATCTCGGGATTTCATCAGCGACGATCTTGACTACCCAACAAGCTAGTCCAGGATCACCATCCACGGTGTTGCTTGGTGTTCCAGACCAAGTCGCCAACTCAGAGGCCTCTACCGCAGGAGCAGAAGCAGAGACCATTATCAATCCGAATTCTGGGCCTCAACCAGCCAGTAGCTCAGCAGCTGTATTCACGTCGACCGCGACGGAAAGCTCCATCGCTTTTAGTGCTTCCGTTGGCTCTGTTCCTTCGACGACGGTACTCGGCAATACTGCGCTCAGTTCCTTCGTCATTTCAGACATCTTCTACACTGGGACCAACTCGTTCACCTCGCCCATCCCGCTGACGACTCTATCTGCTGACCTCGGCAGCCCTATGACTGTGATACTGTTACAGCCGTCATCGGCCATTGGCTCAACTGGCAACCCTGTCGGTGGTTCTGGCTCAACTAGTTCGCTGGCAACTGGGTCAAGCCCGACAACGAGCGCGTCTCCTTTCAGTAATGTTGCTGGCACGGCTTTCTCAACTATCGCCAGTACGTCTGTTCTTGCTGATTCAAGCATCAGCACCACAGCTTCTTCTGAGCGCTTTTCCAACCAATCTCCCTTTGGTACACCCCCAGATTCAGCGGTGACAACCCCTCTTGCCACGGTCTTCGTTGACTACACAGGCACTGGAGTTCCAAGCGAGTTTTTGACGCTAAGAACGACTTCGGGGACCGTGGTGATTCAACGACCTCGACCTCTGACGACTGTGCAGACTTTCTACTCTGGAAGCGTTTCCATTGCAATTCTCACAATCATTCCGTCCGGGACCGAGGCTGCCACCATCGTCTTTGGGGTTCCATCGCCGGTAAACACAACGCCCGTCACGAGCTTCAGTCAAGAATCACTCAGCGTGGAATTGCCGTCAAGCACAAACTCGATTGACACACTCATTTCCGCGGACCCCCAGATAATTGTGAGTAGCACTGCCAGGTCATCAACACCAGTCGCGGTTCCGGGGACATCTACTGGTACGAATCAAACTTCAAGTGAGCTGGTTGCGGACCCGACTTCACAGATTTCGTCACCTATCTCCTCGACCCGGTCCTCTAGTTCGGAAACCATTTCATCCTCCAACAATTCTGGTGCGGGCTCTCCCGCGTTATCCGCAATTCTTTCTCGAGTATCCTCAACTTTGACGTCTTTGGATTCGACCATAGAGTCGTCTTCATCAGTACTAGCTCAGCCACAAGCAACCTCACTGAGTAGCTTGACGGCTTCATCTACCGCTAATACGGCAACGGCAACGACAGTTACAGACGCCGCTCTAACATCGAATTCCGTCTCGGAGTCGAGCAGTTCGTCATTCAGCCCCATTCTCTCGGGCTCAGTTGCCCCAACTGCATCTTCATCCCAAAGTACCAGCTCAGGAGCCATCAGCTTGAGTATTATCAGCTTAGATGTCTCGACTTCAGACCCATCAAGTCAAGGGTCTGGCACCTTTACCTCAAACACGCCCCCTCCGTCCTTGCTGAGCACATCGATTTCAATTACAGCTGATCCGAACCTGATAAGCTCAATACTTTCCACTGCAACTTCATTATCTACATCGGACGCAGCCTTTTCAGCGAGCAGCGGTGGCCTCTCTCTTTCAGCAACCGTCGAGGTGTCTGTCGAATCGACCGTCTCTTCAACCGCTGCAAGAACACCCTCCACGCCATCCACCAGTCCAAGCACTTCGCTCTCCTCTGTTCTAGATATTTTAAGCGATACCACAGCTTCCTCTTTTTCTTCTTCAAGCGGATCAGGATCACAGAGTTCGACTTCGTCAGACGCTACAGCCAGTACATCACCCAGCTCCGAGCTCTCAATCCAAAATGGACCTTCATCCAACTTGGCGAGCACGGATGTTCCTGCCCCATCTGACTCGGTGGTCTCCTCTACTGCGCTTCCCAACATTCTTAGCAGCCTTTCCGAAAGCATAGAGTCTTCTTCAACTCTCATCTCGTCATCCTCGGGTACTTCCACGTCTACCGGGACAGATTCGACGACTGCGGAGACTAATGCTGTTTCCAACGACTCATCGGCACAGAGTATGAACCCAGTATCTTCTAACCCTTCTGATTCAAGCACCTCCTCGCTCGACCCAGGCATATCTGTCGGTTCTAGCGGTCTTATCGGATCGACCACAACATCCGGGCTTAGCTTAGTAACCCCGACAGCAACAGTTGTGACCTCTGTGGTCGTGTTCACTGGAACTGAGTCCTTCACAGGCACAGGATTGGTTCCTCTCACCACCATTTATCCAAGTAATAGTGAGGCCCCGACGGTAGTCTTTGGGGCGGCTAGAGAACTCTTTTCTTCCGTTGCTGTTCCGTACTCTGGTACGGGTATCATCACTGGACCTCAGCAAGTGAGCATTGTATTGCCCAGTGGCTCGGACTCACTGGTGCTTGGAACCATTGTCTACGCAACGCCTGACCCTTTTGTCACGTCTGAGGTAGACTACACAGGAACAGGCACTCTGGTCTCGCCTCTACCGTTGACCACCATCTACCAGTCTGGCACGGTACCGGGGACCGTCATTTTGGCAAGGCCGGCTATCTTTGCCACGTCTAGTACCAGCTCGTCCACCCATTCCACTGCTTCGAGCGAGTCTTCCATTTCTATTGAGCTTAGTACGACATCACAGTCTAGGAGTTCGAGTGACAGTAATGCGTCATTAGAAACGAGCTCCTCGTTCGCATCAAGTTCTCAACTGGAATCTACCCCATCGTCCACTTCTTCTGAAAGCTTGTTGGGACCGAGCAATATCCCAGAGTCTACCACCTCAAGCACGCCTACTGTCTTAGCTGAATCTGGCACAGCGAGCGAGTCCCAGTCACCGTCAAGCGAACTTGCATCGACAGCCCCATCAACCACGTCCGAAGGTGTCAGCTCGACGATCGGTGAGCTGAGTTCTTCTACAATCATCTCAGCTTCTTCAATTGGTTCCAGTTCGAGCCTAGGACCATCAAGTTCTATCGCAGCATTAACCGACGCCAGCCTCTCGACCGGTGTCAGCCCCGATCCGGCGTTTCTGAGCACGTCTCCAATCTCGATAAGCGATTCAACTTCTCCGACCTTAACGGCTGAAAGCTCCATCTCCTCGAGCCGAACGACCCTTTCGACTGTGCCAGATACCACCACAAGCCAGAGGAGCCCTTTCTCGACGGAGATAAGCAGTTCGTCGCAGGCGCCTGAAATAAGTAGTCAGCAGTCGAGCGACTTCACAGCGTTGTCTAGTTCAACAGCATCGTCCACTACTCCTCTTCCTGCTTTCAGCAGTACCACTGAGTCTTCGTCAATCGAGGCCGCAACTTCGCCGTCAACAGCTGACGCTAGCATGACAAGTTCGAGCAGCAGCACAGACAGTACTGGCATGCTCGAAGCTACCACGGGGTTTGAAGCAACCAGTGGCGCAACATCAAGTAGCGGAGTTGAAAGCGGCAGCGCCACTGACACTGGAACAACAGGGGCGGCCTTCGCTTCCCTACTGACCACAAGTGGTTCGAGCTCTTCGAGTGATATTGCAGCTACGTCAAACATTGCCGACCCCAGGAGTAGTAGTACTTTATCCGATGTTCTCAGTTCCGAGACCAGCGTCAGCACTTCAATTAGTATCGAATCCGAAGCTAGTAGTGCCACCTCTATGGATACTACCACAACGGAACTTACCTCTTCCACATCCACCATTGCTTCGAGCTTGGCCATCGAGTCCCTCACAACGCCGATAGTCACCACCTCAGAGACAACGAGCAACGATATCAGCCGCAGCATCTCAACCACCAGCATCACTAGTGAGTCAGATCAGAGTAGCAGCACCAGCGATATCGAGACAGTATCGACATCATATGCCTCTCTCATACCCACCACCGATGCGAGCTCTTTGTCTGGCATCTCCATCACAGCAGGTGGGACAACCTCAGAGCCCAGCAGCTCGGTTGCGGATATCACCAGTTTGATCTCAAGCACCGACATACCTCCGACAACTCCCACAAGTCTTTTCTCCGAAGCAACCAGTACTTCTTCAGAAGCCACGACCTCCACTGGTGATCCACCGAGCACGCCCAGTAGCTCGCTCGCAGATGCTGCATCATCACTCTCGCTGACTGATGCCGATACAGTCACCTCTAGCTCTTTGCTCCCGACAAGCAGCGGCCTGGCAACAGCTACACCCATCTCTTCTGAGACTTCACCAGTTTCAATCACGACAGCATCTGTGGATGCTGCTTCATACGTCACGTCGCAACTCATTTACACCGGCCCTTCTTCGCTGTCTGGGCCTCTCCCGTTGAGCACTATCCAGCCAACGAATGGGTCCCCAGGCACTGTTATTTTGGCATTTCCAGCATCATTCTACACCACTTCAACGTCAATTTACACTGAAGGCGACTCTTACATCGTTCCGTCTGCCATTAGCACAGTTGCACCGTCTGGAATAGCCAAGGGGACTGTCATATTTGCAGCTCGCTACGCGGTGGCTCGAGTTGTGTATTCAGGAACTTCAGTCATCACAGAGGCCATCCCTGTGGCGACCTACCCAGGCAGTGGAACAATAATTGGCACCATTGTCTACGCTTATCCTCCGCCAAGTTTGGCAACGTCCGAGGAGTCCACGAGCGGAGCATCTACCACTGCATCTACAGAACCCCTCAGTTCGATCACTCCTCAAGTCAACTCGACTTCGTCAACTTCCTCCGACGTTAACTTCTCTTCGACCCCGTCAAGTAGCTCAACTTTATCTACCGTACCTTCATCCTCGGAGGCACCCACTGAATCACCGACATCTTCAAGTGCCACTTTCACGGCCGACCCTGACACATTACTGCCAAGTTCAACCTTTGGATCGACGACAGAGGAGCGGACAACGTCGAGCGGGCTACCTTCCGGGATTACATCATCACCATCGATCGATTTTACGGACTCCTCAGCTTCATTGACTTCGTCTACAGCTGACTCAGGTACCCAACAGATATCGTCAGCCAGCCCTTCAGCGAGCGAAGAACCAGCTACTTCGAGCACGTTGATCAATGAATCCACGTCAATATTATTCACGTCATCGGCTCTACTGCCTACGAGCTCTGCGGAAACTACTGAGCTCGATACGAGACTACCTCCATCGAGCGGCTCCTCATCAGTTGTAGATAACAGCATTTCAACCACTTCAGCCAGTGAGGCTACTCTTTCCACTTCGATTTCGTCACCTAACTCGAGCTCTACAACGAGTATTGACCTCCAAGCAACTACGTCAATTCCAGATCTTGTTTCCTCCAGCGCCGATGGTACCACAGGCCTTGCTGTCACTTCGACAAGCGATCGTGTGGATGGGGCATCGGCCAGCTCCTCGGTCGATTTCTCGTCCCTCTCTTCAATTACGTCGACAACTCTTGAAACAGGCACGTTACTTCCATCATCAATCGGTAACTCCTCAAGTGAAGGTTCTTCAGTATCGAGCATCCCAACTTCAGACTTTAGCACTCCGCCTACATCCAGTTCTTCGGAAGACTCATCCTCTTTCTCCAGCACCCGAATTACTGCTGAGATTGACACATTTCTGCCAACATCTACCAACTCAATAACGACAAGCCCAGAGACTAGTTTCCCGTCTCTCGAATCAAGCCAAACATCGGAAGCGTCGTCTTCATCAAGCTCGACATTTGTGTCCGACACATTGCTATCTACCGCTAGCATCACTCCCTCATCAGTCGTCGATTCTTCAAGTTCCTCTAGCAGTGAAAGCTCTACAACCTCGACCTCAAGCAATGAGGCCAACCTTGGTACACCATTTTCCTCGAGCAGCACTTCGACTAGCGATGAACTCAGCGCCTCTAGTTCAAGTAGTTCAGACACGTCGAATCTAATCTCGACCACGACTTCAGAGCAGCCAACCCCCTCCTCAAGCAGTGTGACTCTCGGGGTCTCAACCACTACAGCTGAGAGCTTTGTGGCCGGCTCTTCGTCTTCAAGCGCCACGCCTGACCCGAATACCTTGTTTTCCACGTCATCGATCACATCTATTGGGCAAAACTCCAGCTCCACAGACATACTTGAATCGTCAAGTTCGTTGTCGACTTTGATGGCGGATTCCTCGACAGCCTCGGACACCTTGGAAACTTCGTCTGTTTCCTCAATCAGCCTGATTGTAGCTACTTCAATTTCCTCCAGTTCGACTTCAAGTATCGCATCGACTTCTTCAGACGTTTCCAGCGCTACTCCTTCTTCGCCGAGCCCGACAATTGACCCTGCCAGCCAACTTCCAATCTCGCAGAGTACTTTGACTGAGAGTAGCTCGAGCACCTCCGAAAGCGTTTCCCGATCCTCTCCAAGCTTGACTGCTACTTCTCTTGCTAGCTCCACTGAATCCTCTTCGTCATCTCTAACCAGCACTTTGGGAATTGATTCAACATATGTGAGCTCGCTGGCAAGCTCTGAAGAGATCACAATCACGACATCAAGTTCTTCATCCGCTAGCACATCTACGAGCGACTTTCAGTTTTCTTCTGTCACATCTGAACCCGCAACACTAGTTTCGACATCGACAGAATCACCAACGATTGATGCCACGTCTTCCGCTCCCTCGTCGAGTTCAGATAGAAGCTCGACATCCGAGTCCAGTCCTGCAAGTCCAGCTGAGGTCACATCTAGTGCATCATTGTCTTCAGCGTCAATTTCAACCGGGCTACCGCTATCTTCGAGCCCGTTGATCGATCCGACAAGCTTGATTTCTAGTTCAGAGTTATCATCCTCGACCTCAGCAGCATCTTCCACCAGCTCGACCGCTGACCTCACAACTCCTAACCCAAGCCCGACCTCATCCTCATCTTCTACTTACTCTACTTCTTCGTTGTCCAGTACGACACCCGATGCAGCAAGCTCAGTTCCTGCGCCTGAGTCATCACCGGCAAGCATTGCGAGCACCTCTTCGTTAACATCTTCATCACTATCTTTCTCTTCAAATGAACCAGAAGTCACTCCCTCAGCCTCGTCTGAAATATTCTCCAGCTCGTATATGTCTTCTACGACTTCAAGTCCATCAGTCGATCAAGCAACACTACTGCCCACTTTAGGACTGTCGTCGACAAGTATCTCCGGGGACTCAAGCTCCTTGACATCGACAACTTCGTCATTGTCTTCCTTCTCAAGTGCGCCAGATGTCGCTCCCTCAAGCTCATCCGAATCATCTTTCAATTCAATTACTTCCCCTACATCTCCGACTTCAGCAGTCAATCAAGCAACATTGCCGCCTACTTCAGAACTGTCTAGTACTTCGAGCTTTTCGTCGACAACTTCCTCCACATTTTCTCCTCCGTTTTCTTCCAGCTCGGTCTCCAAACCTGCAACTGATCCTTCGGTCACCTTTGTTTACACAACCATCTTCCTCACAGCATCAGACTCGCCAGACTCGACGATCATTGCTTCATTTGGTCCAAGCGGTACTCAAGCTGGTACAATTGTCATCGGAAGGCGGGCACAGTTTGTGACTGTCACCCGCCCGTACAGCGGAACAAATATTTTGAACGGCGGAGCGACCACGATTAGCATTGTTCAGCCACAAGATGAACAGCCAGGCACGGTATATGTTGAGACGACTCCGACTACGGCACTGTCAACTTCAAGTTCGACATCAGTTATTCCTCCATCAAGTTCATCGTCCTTGACCCCCTCAATTCCTCCGGTTTCTGAAACTCCTTCAAGCGCGTCTCCCACTAGCCCTAGCGCTACGACATCAAGTACGACCGATTCCGCTGAGCCCAACACTTTGCTGCCAAGCACGAGTACCTCTTCGACGAGCTCCTCGTCTAGCTCAGAATCCCCATCGTCGGCCTCAGCGTCACAGTCTTTGTCGACTTCGCTTAGCACTTCTGAAGCTACAAATAGCTTGTCTTCGGGCGCGTCTTTGGGTCAGTCTTCTAGTGGAGGTTCAAGCAGCTTCTCAAGCATGTCTTCCAGTATCTCTAGTGCATCGTCCAGCTCAGAAAGCTTGTCATCAACTTCCACATCAGAATCTCTATCGACAGTGCTCAACACTTCCAGCCAGTCTTCCAGTGCCAGCTCAAGCAGTCTTTCAAGCGAGTCCTCCAGCAGCTCTTCCAGCACTTCTTTGAGCACTTCTTCTTCAAGCAGCTCTTCTTCATTGAGCCCGACTATCAATCCCACAACTTTGCTGTCAACACCATTGACTACTTCGTCAGTAGCAGCTTCAAGCACAACCGAGCCATCTAGTTCAAGCTCAATTGGTGTTTCCAAGACCTCCACGACCGCAAGCGTCCCAAGCATAACCTCAAGTTCCTCACCGAGCAGCTCTCCCGCATCATCAAGTACCATGATCTACCAGGCCACATTGCTGCCAACTATCACTCCTTCTTCTTCTCTGTCGACTTCGGGCCCAAGTACCAGCTTGAGCGCGCTCTCTTCCTCGAGTCTTTTCAGCCCAATTCAGAGTTCAAGCTCATCGACGACTACAAATGCCTCGCCTACGCCGACATCATCAAGCCTTACGATCGACCAGGCCAGCTTGCTACCAACTACCTCTAGTGTTTCTTTGACGTCGACTTTGAGCTCTAGTACCAGCTTGTCCTTGACTTCTTCTACAAGCCTTTCCAGCACAAGTCAGAGTTCATCGACGGCTGCGAGCGCATCGCCAGCACAGACCTCATCAAGTAGCTCATCAACTGGACCCTTTTCCCCAAGCCCAACTGCGAATCCTGCTACCTTACTTCCAACATCAAGTAGCACCTTGGTGGGTCAGGGCTCGAGTTCATCTAGCGTTTCTAGTGCAGTCACAACTTCATCCAGCTCAGCAACCAATCTTTCCGCTACACAAACTTCGTCTTCTTCAAGTAGCTCTTCAATCAGTCCGTCATCTGTCGGCTCATCCTCTGCTAGCGTGTCTGTCAACCCCGCTACCTTGGTCTCTACGACTTCCATCGCCTCCTCGAGCAGTTCATCATCTACAAGCACCTCTGCTAGCCCTGCCACATCTGCTTCTACATCCAGCAGTACTTCAACAACCAGCAGCTCCTCCTCGACCATCTCAAGCACCTCATCGTCAGTCAGTCCAACGGCCAACGCTGCCACGTTGCTTCCCACGAGCAGCAGTACGACCGCGTCATCTTCGAGTAGTTCCGCCGGCGGTTCCTCGTCATCTTCCAGCTCAACAGTCACCTCAACCACTTTTGGCTCTACTTCTAGCGGCTTGACCACTGGCAATATCCCCTCCAGTACGTCTTCTACCAGCCCAACAGTCAATGCGGCCACTCTTCTGTCAACAAGCAGCAGCACGTCTGCAAGCAGTATTTCGGCCAGTTCGTCTTCGAGAACGACTTCCAGCTCATCGTCGAGTGCACCGAGTAGCTCGTCAAGCAGTTCTCCGAGCAGCTCCTCACTTGTCACTATTTCTTCGTCTTCAAGTTCAACAGTCAATGCAGCTACTCTAACTTCAAACACTACCCCCACAATAAGTGGTAGCTCTTCCATCAGCTCGTCTTCAAGCACTACAGTCAGCTCATCAAGTTCAATCTCCACCACTAGCAGCACTTCGACAAGCAGATTCTCAAGCAGCTCCTTGACTAGCTCTTCTTCTTCTTCTTCAAGCCCGACAGTTGATGCAGCCTCCCTAGTGTCTACAACTAGTAGTTCATCTACAAGCATCAGCTCAGCGTCTCCTACTGCTTTCAGCTCTTCGAGCCTGATCTCCACGGTTAGCAGCACTAGTGCGGGCCAACTCTCTAGTAGTTCTACTCCCAGCTCTTCTTCCTCTTCTTCGAGTGCAACAGTCAATGCAGCTACTCTCCTATCAACGACGAGCTCCTCAACCAGTATCTCAGCAAGCACCTCGACAAGTAGAAGCTCGACGTCTAGTGCCGCTTCTCCAAGCAGCTCTTCTACCAGTTCTTCAAGTAGCTCCTCAAGTAGCTCCTCAAGTAGCTCCTCAAGTAGCTCCTCAATTAGCTCCACTCCTACACCCAGCAGTTCTACTACAAGCAGTATTCCCAGTATCTCCACGCCCTCGTCTACTGCTATCACAGTTAACCCCGCTAGCTTGACTGCCTCGACAACAAGCACTAGTGGCAGCACCAGCGCGACGAGCAGTAGTATATCTACGAGTACCAGTAGCTCGAGCAGTATCCTCTCGAGCACAACATCTCCGAGCGTCACCGTCAATCCCGCAAGCTTGGCTTCAACTACAAGCAGCGCTCCTACGACTTCATCGACATCGGCCACGAGGACTTCAACCTCGTCTTCACTTTCGTCGACATCTAGCAGCTCTTCCTTGAGCACAACCGCGATCTCTTCATCGTCCTCTAGTTCATCTTCAAGCTCCTCCTCAGGCTCCTCTTCAAGCTCATCTGTCATCGCAGTGCCCAACACGCTCGTGGCGTCGTCGAGCGGTTCTACATTCGCCACGCTGACGAGGACGTCGTCTTCTACGTCTTCATCTACGTCAAGCAGCTCTTTTCCATCGAGTAGTGTCAGTGTCCAGGCAAATACGCTAGCTTCAACGAGCTCGAGCTCGAGTAGCACTTCCTCATCCACGACGACGGCGACGACAAGCACAACAACCAGTTCTACTTTCTCCTCCACATTGTCAAGCTCATCTTCTTCAAGCTTATCATCATCTACGTCACGGCCTAGCAGTACCTCAACATCGACTTCGAGCTCAACTTCAAGCTCAAGTTTAAGCTCGAGCTCATCTTCTACCCGTACTACTACGTCAACAAGTAGCTCATCCAGCTCGAGCAGCAGTAGCACCAGCACGTCTTCGACGTCCACCAGAGTCGTGGCCTCAGCCACGCAAGGCCCCGCATTCTCTTGCCCCACGACTGGTTTCCTCATTCAGTCCCTGACGCTCTTCTCCCTGAATCTGGCCACCGGTGAGCGAACGCAAATCGCCGACAATGTTGGCGGGGACTCGACACGCAACATCAACGCCTTGGGCTACAACGCGAGAGAAGACTACCTTTACGGTGTTTCTCAGAACGAGGCCGCCACCGACTTCCGCATCATCCGTATCCTTGCCAACGGCACTGGGACCTATGTCGCTACGGTCAGCAAGCTCACGACTGGCCTCTTCAACTCGGGCGACATCGACGAGGCTGGCCAGTATTGGATTTCTACAGGCGGCCTCGACTACTATCAGTACAACTTCAATCCCGGCACGGCAAATTACGGCGGGCTCGTCAGCAGTGGCAAGCTCAGCGGTACTGGCGGCTACACCATCGGTGACTGGACAGTCGTACCGGGCGTCGGAGGCGGTGATCTTTGGTCCGTCGGCGTGAGCGGTCAAAACGCCTATCTGCTGCGCTGGAGCCGGGCGACCAAGGCATTCACGCTGGTTCGTAACCTCGGTAATCTTACGGGAGCAAGTACGAGCACAACGCCTTTTTGGGGTGCCAGCTACGCGACCACGGATGGATTCCTGTTTGCCGTCGAGAATGGAACGGGTCAGATTTGGCGTATTGCGGTCGACGGCTCTTCAAGTCCGCTGAGATTGAAGGATGCACCAGTGAGCAGCCGAAATGATGGCGCAAGATGTTTAGATTCCGGTGCAATTGTTGTCGGCAGCTAAGCGCGGCCGCATTCTGGGAGCGTAGTATTTTTGTTTCCACATTGCGTGTAGCCTCATCGAGTCTCCGGCAACGACCCGAGTTTTCTTTCGTTTCTGTTTCAAATACCTTATGTATTGAAGGTATTGAGAATGAGGTTTTATATACAGATACCTTCCATATTTCAATCCATAGTATCAATTTAAATCTAACATCAGCTTGAAAGTCGATTGGATATAGTGAAAAGTAATGAGGGAGCTCGCTTTAACCATTTTGATCAACGGGTTTACTATTCAGGAAAGGGACATAGAATAGCTACATATTTCACTGCGTCGTTGTTATCGGCGTTATAATAGTCTTTACTTAAATAGCCAAGAGAGGATTTGACACTTGTAATCCGGCTTGTGGGCATTCTTCTGTCCACGTTATGAAGTTATTGCCCTCGGGCGTCGATCAGGCCATGGTTGTAGAGGCGACTTACGAACCATTACTAGACACTCCCGGTAAGACCGTGAGATGTTCCGGGCGGACAGTTGTAACAGCAGTGGCCCGCGTACAGGGCAGACAGTGCGCAGCGACCAGCACGCCTGCCCAAGCAAGCCATATGGCACAACCTAGAAACCAAAGGGACGCAATTGCAAGTCCCTGACTTTCAGGTTGATTACAACCTGTACACTGTTCGGTCTGAACGCGAACAATGGTCACATGAGCTAAGCTCGTAACAAAGATCATGATGGTAGTAGAAATAAATATAAAGGGACGGGCTGAGAAAGTCGAATTGTGTCAACAGAATAAGCCCTTTGTTGTCACAGAGAGGGCCGGACTTCCGCAATCCAAAGCAATAGTTGGCAACTTGTATGAGCCAGTGCTGTGTGATATCGCTGAAGGCCAAGATTCGTTCTTCGTGCTAATTCCGAGCCGGTACTGGGCAGCAAGGATGGCATGAATTCACGCCTTCTAAGCTTCATCCTTGTAAGTTTATACTTCTCTGCAAATTCTTATAAGAAAGCCCGAGAACATAGTCTACGTGCTGAAACCATCTAGTTCAGGAGCATGACCAATCATCATGCAGCCACGCAGCCAAGACTATTCGACCAAAGACATGAAGAGATGCATCCAATCATTCAAAGAGCTCCGATGGGTCTCTGACAGCAACGCAAAGAAGCAAGAAGCCAAAGGCGGGGCAGCCTCGGCTCGTAACTAAGACTGTCGCGATAAAATAACCAGCACGTAGCAACCGTCGTACAACAGGTCCTCGAGGTTATTTTTTTCCCCTTGTTTGGAAAGGGTACTTGAAATGGCTATTCCAAAAGCTCTATATGCTCCACATCCAAGTGTTTTTTTTTTTTTTCATCTTATAATGATTGCGAATAACTAATTATAGATCTTGTGCCACATTTGTGACTGGGTAGAACTCAACCTTGGCCTAATCGATTGGGTGGGTCTAGCGTAACAAGCAGTTACGCGGACTTCTAACAAGACTACTTAGATCTTGGATGCAAATAGTCCCTTGGTTCCGCGGTTTCTAGCCGCCAACATAGACTTCAGGGCTATATCATAGACCCGCATGAGTTAAGCTTCAACTTGGCCGCGCGAGCCTCGAGTGTTTGGACGAGTCAAGACCCATGCTAAACTTGGCATAAATTTGGCACTAGATGGCTGTGTTCTATCAGCATTTACTCATTACAGGGGATCCCGGCCCGCCTTAAATTGGCTAAAATGGCTTTTTCAGCGATGAGAAGACTGTGAAAGTTGAAAGTTGACCCTTGCTGCATTAGATCAGACCTGGATCAGGTACACAACCATGGGACAATAGGAACTCTGGCGTCGCCACTTCCGCACCGTGGGTTGTTTTTCTCCATCCTCAGAATTTGCCCGATGGTTGAAAGTCTGTCATAACAATAAAACTTATATCGTCCGGGGTCATCGGATGTCACGCCATATATAGTATTGTTTGCCTGTTTCCACTCCACTCAGCAGTGGGAAAATCGCCGAGATGCCAAAAGAGGAGGGAAAAAGGGGTTTGCCGTTCAAATTGGGTAGGACCCGGAGGAGATTTACATGGGGTCTCCACCGCGATTGACCGTTCCACCGCCGGCAGCCGAGGCTCGGGATGAGACCGCGAAGAACTACATAGTCGGCGGTGATTCCTCGCCCTTTTCTCCTTCTCTCTCCGTGGTGCTATTGCCGACTGCATTCACATTTTTTTTCGACATTCGTTCTTTTCAACCTGGTCAAGATGGGCGCCGTCACCAAGTTTGGGTTTGAGTACCAGACGGCCACAGTCAATGGCGTCAAGTACAACTATATTCACGCCGAGCCGGCTGGAAAGGCAGTGGGCACAATCTTCCTCATCCACGGATGGCCCGATATGTCACTGGGATGGCGTAACCAGATTCCCTACCTCCTGTCCAAGGGCCTCAGGGTCATCGCCCCGGACATGATGGGTTACGGAGGGACTGACGCGCCCGACGACGTCAACTTCTAGTATGTTTCTTGCTCCAGTCCCTTTGAGGAAAATCTTGCGAAGACTGACCAACTCGGCCAGCACATTCAAGCGCGCCTCAGACGACATTGCCGCCCTCGCCAGCCACCTCGGCCTGTCGCGCATCATCCTCGGCGGACACGACTGGGGCGCAGCGGTCGTCTACCGCGCAGCCCTCTGGCACCCAGAGCTGGTGTCGGCCTTCTTCGTCATCAGCACGCCCTACGCGCCCCCGCGGTTAGCCTACGTCGACCAGGCAATCGCGCTCCCCACGCTGCACTACCAGTTGCAGTTCCGCACCGACGCCGTCCAGGACTACATCGGCCTCGGCAGCGTCCAGAACGCCACCCGTGTGCGGCAGATCCTCAACACCATCTACGGCGTCAGGCTGCCCAGCGGCGCGTCGGCCTTCAACTCCAGTGGCAGGGGGTTTGATCTTGACCTGCTCGACGGCGTCACAGAGAACACGCCGCTGCTGAGCAAGGAGGAGCTCGACTTTTACGTGGACAACTACGCCGGCAGCGACCCTTTCAACAGAACGCTAGACTGGTATCGCACCGGAGAGCTCAACTGGAAGGACGAGCTGGCACTCTTGCCTTGCAACGCCACGGCATACACGGCTAAGTACGCACAGCCTGCGCTGTACATCGGCGGCTCGCTGGACTCGGCATTGCCTCCGATCTTGTCGACGGGGATGGAGACGTACTTTGACAGCTTGTCCAGGGGTGTAGTGAATGGAAGCCACTGGGCCATGTGGGAGAAGCCCGAGGACGTGAATGGTTACATCGGTAACTGGTTGAGCGGGTCGGTGTTGGGAAACCTGACTCTCGGCGTGAACGTCACGGTTGGGAGCGCTCTGGCTTTGCTGTGAGTGATGATTTGTGGGTGGATGGCCTTGGTTTTGAGTCGATTGGCAAAGGTAATGATGCGTATGACGATGAAAGTAAGCAAATAATAGAAGAATCATACCATTTACCAATTCCAATTGCAAAAAGCGCCTCTGTGAAGTACGAACGCGGTCAATCGCTTGAGCTGTTGGTTCGGAGTCACCGAAGCTGCAGCTGGTGGTGGGGTGGGCAATGTGCTATGACCTGGATAGAGCTGGAAGACCTTGAGTAGCCGCGCCGGGTGGCTTGAACCCCACCGGAGCCACTGACGCCGACCTCCGACTCCACTCAAAATTTCCAGCTCTCACTTCATCCCACCTCAGACAAGTTGAAGATCATATCGTTTGGGCCTCAATTCAGAGGATCTACCGTTGTCCCTTTGGAAAAATATACCTCATGACAATGGCTACCTCTAAGGGTCTCCCTCGCGACACGTTCGCCAAGCTCTCCCCTCACCCCTTCCTTCTCGCAAACCTCCAGCCTCCCGCACCCGCCAATGCAGCCAGAAGCAACGGCCGCGCACCCAATGAAGCTCGAATCCCCAACGTCAACATTTCCAGCTTGACACACGCGAACGGAAGCGCCGTGGTTCGTACGGGTGACACTACCGTCATCTGCGGCGTCCGTTCCGAGACCTTACTCGCCTCCGACATCCCCAACTTCCGCACCGCCGCGAACCTCGACGACGCAAAGCCCAGCTCGGAGCTAAAGGACTACGACTTGCTCGTCCCCAACATCGAGCTCGCCACCGGCTGCGCACCGCAGTTCCTCCCCGGCGTACCTCCCACCACACTCGCCCAGACCTTGAGCACGAGGGTCTACTCGCTGCTGCACTCCTCCAACCTAGTCGACCCGGAGAATCTGAGGATATGGCACACTCGCCCTGCCGAGAACGCCGAAGCGGAGGACGATGACGGCGACGACAAGATGAACGATGACGAGGAGAAGTCAGAGGGCGAAAAGGTCGTCATGGCGTATTGGGTTTTGTACATTGACATCTTCTTTATCTCTTTCGACGGCAACCCCTTCGACATTGCCTGGGCCGCTATCCTGGCCGCCCTGCGCGACACAACGATCCCCGTCGCACGATGGGATGCCGACCGCGAGATGGTCATCTGCTCCCGAGAGAGCCCCAAACCCCTGACGCTACACGGGTTCCCTATCGCCTGCACAGCTGGCGTCTTCACAGGAAAAGAGACGACGGACCGCCCCACTGACGGCAAGTTCTGGACTCTGGTCGACCCGGACAGATTGGAAGAGAGTTTGTGTGACGAAGAGGTGACGGCAGTGGTGGACCGAAGTAATGGAGAGACTAAGGTTCTGGCGATATCGAAGCACGGAGGAACGGTGCTCCAACCGCAGCTCATACGGGAGTTTGTGGGCGTTGCGGAGCAGAGATGGGAGCAGTTTTATAAGGCCATGGCATGAAGATAATGATACCCACCAAAAGGAAGAGAAGAATCCAAAAACGTTTGGAGAAAAGAGCTGTTTCCTCATATCCTCAGGTTATGCCCTGCCGTCCAGGGTGGCAAACGGCTTCCCTATCGTGAGCTTTGATGAACCACCGCCTTTCATCCACCAGCCCGCCTTTGGTGCGGCCAGGGTGAAGATGAAAGCGCATACCTACATGAGCCCATCAACTCCCATTATCTTTTCTAGGACGATCTTCTGAAGCTGCCAGGCCTCATCCTTCACATCACCTTCCACAATCAGCTTCACTGAAGGAGAAAAAAAGAAGATCACAACTTTCTGGAAATTTTTCTCCAGAAAACTCGAGCATCATCATCCAGCCATGGCAGACCTTCAGAATCGCCTTCAGGAGGCCTCGAAGGAGGAACTCTCCCAGGTCCTCGTCGCCGTCTGTGGCCATGCCACCACCCGCGACCACGTCGAGAGCGTCCTCGACTACCTCGACGACAAGAAGAAGACGGCCACCGAGGCCGCCACCAACCGCCGCACCCGTCGCCAGTCCACCCGCGCCTCGTCCGAGGCCTCTCAGGGCTCCAACCAGGCGGTCCCCAAGACGGTCAAGCGCACCATCAAGATGTGCAAGCTCTGCGAGAAGCCGTACATTGAGAAGGAGAACCTGAGCAAGTCGTGCTTCTCTCATCCCGGTAAGTTGGTTCAACCCAAAGATTCCCTGGTCTGCCCTGTTCTATTTGATATGAAGAAGAACATGCTTACGATCCTTCCAACGCGACAGGCCACTGGCTTCTCGAGTGCGAGAAGGATGACCACGTCTGGTTCGAGGACCTTGACAAGGCGACCGAGGAGTTCACGTCCAACCCGCACGCGCTGCGCATCATGAGCTGCTGCAACGCCGAGAAGGGTTTCAGCAAGGGTTGCGTCAATGGCAAGCATGTCGCCATGGTCGTCGAGGCCCAGTCCGAGGCTTCCAAGAGCGCGGAGGAGAGCTCTTCCGACAACTAACGGCCACGCGGCAACACGCTAATGAGACATGACTATGATATCACAAGAGCTGATCGACGCCGTTGCTTTCGGGGAGATAGGTTGGCTTGTTCTTGCCAGGTCTTAGCTTAGCTGTCTCGTGATGGTATGGTGCAGGAAGGATGACTACGAGAATCAGGAACAATTCATGACAGGTTTCGCTAGGAGCCAGAAAAATCCATCAGCAGGAATGGACGACGATCTGGTTCAGTTGCTTCGCTTCATAGAATCAACTTAGCAAAAAAAAAAAACAGGGCTAAATCGTCCCCCAAAAAAATCGAGCAAAGTCTAACCAGACACACAATGAGCGTGCCGCGGTGAAGATATGTATTCCACAATTCGAGCCACCTTTTCAGACGTTATTCCAAGGCAGTAGATACTAGGGAAATTCCTTCTACCGCCCGGCGCCGAGGAAGCCTAATGAAAGGCCCTCATGAACCGCGAATCTACTGAATGCGACTCGCGGCTTGGTTACCGAGCGGATGGTGAAGGAAGGGAAAAAAGAAGGAAGTCGCGCTTGCCCTCTGATGAAATTTTAGGCGAAGCGGTTACAGTGCCGCAAGACAGTGCCCGCAGTAATTCTCGCACATCTCAGCCTCCGTTTTCCCCACCATGGACCCCCATCGTCAATCTTCCGCCTTTTTCCACCATCAGCTCTCAACTTCTATGCAAATTTTCCTACGTCGCTGTCCCTCGACCTATTCCCTTCCTACACCATGGAATCGCTGGCCGAGCAGACGTGGGATGTCATACTCCACGGCACTGGCCTGCAGCAGTCGCTGCTAGCCTTGTAAGCTCTCTTCTTCCTGGCTTCTGTGTCCCAGCCTAGTCGTCGTCTTTCGGTATCGTTGTTTCTTGAGAAAGCCTCGATCTGACTGACGCAGTCTCGTCCGGCCGTGAAGAGCCCTCTCGCGGTCAGGAAAGCAAATTCTGCACCTCGACCCAAACGAATACTACGGCGGCCCCGAAGCCGCCTTCAGTCTGCAGGAAATTGAAGAGTGGGCTGCTGCGAACGCCGCCGCCGCCGCCGCCGACGATGCAGCCCGGTCCTCGCGCGTTTTCACGCCGGCGATCGTGAGCAAGCCAGAGGTAGCGACGGGTTCTGGACCTCCTCTCTCTTTCCCGAGAGCCTATTCCCTCGCCCTCGCGCCGCAAATCATACACACCCGCTCAGAGCTCGTGAAGCAGCTCGTGTCCTCGCGCGCGTTCCGACAGGTCGAGTTCCTCGCCGTCGGCTCCTTCTTCATCTACACTCCACCAGCCGCCAGCGGCGGGCCCGAGGATGAAAAACCCAGCATCGTGCCGATCCCCTCTACCCGCGAGGCCGTCTTCTCCACGACCGCGATCCCCGCAAGGGCGAAGCGGTCGCTGATGAAGTTTCTCAAGTTCGTCTTCGACTACGACTCGGATGAGAACCGGGCCGCGTGGGCTCCGCATGCCGACAAGCCTCTTTCGGAGTTTCTGTCATCTGACTTCAAGCTCGATGCCGCACTGCAGACCTACGTCGTCACACTGACCCTGAGTTTAGACGGCAAGGTCACAACCAAGGACGGCTTGGCAGCTATCCATAGGCACATATCCTCCATGGGCGCCTTCGGACCAGGCTTTGCCGCCGTGTATCCCAAATGGGGTGGCCTCTCCGAGATCGCACAAGTGGGTTGCCGCGCGTGTGCCGTAGGCGGCGCAGTCTACATGCTAGGCACGGGTGTAAAAGCCACGCGCCAGCTTGACGACGCCCAGGGAGACGGCGCCCGCTTCGAGGTCGACTTGACCAGCAACGTCACGGTGAAATCCAGGACGTTGATCCGCGGCGCGGAAGAAGTCGCGTCTGATAGCCAGCGCGTCAGCAGGTTGATTGCCATTGTCAACTCGCCGCTGTCGCCTCTGTTTGAGGCTGTCGTCGAAGGATCACCCACACCTGCTGTGGCAGTCATTGCATTCCCGGCCAACTCCATCCTGGACGTGGCATCATCATTCCCCATATACGTCTTTGCTCACTCGAGCGAGACTGGGGAGTGTCCAACCGGTCAGAGTAAGTCTACAGTCATTTCTCCTGCCTTCCTACCACAAGCCCTCCCTTGTACACATGATGATTTCAGAAAAAAAACTTATCTACATTGCCTGAGCTTTGCTTTGACGTAAACTTCTGTGGAACTGATTGTACACAACTCCTTTACACTTCGACCAGCAAATGTCTTGTTTGTTTTGTCACATGACTAACTTGGTCACTGTTTAGGCGTTCTCTACCTCGTCACTCCAAAGACATCCACCTCAACCGAAGCCTTGGAAAAGGCTTTGGCGTCTTTGCTTTCTGCCCTCGGCAACGGCGATGACCAACCACAGGCAATCTACAAGGTCACGTACGAACAGGCCGGAGCGGCTTCGTCAGTCTCCGCGGATGCATCAGACGTCCTTCCCAGCCTGCCGCTCGATCTCGCCTTTAGCGACACGGCTCTAGGGCCAGTAAAAGAAGCCTGGACGAAAGTCGTGGGCTCTGCAGCTGAGGACCCTGACATTGTGTACATGAAGTTTGAAGATCGGGAAGGCGTCGGCGATGAGGAGGATGTCTACGAGTAGTCTAACTTTTACCATGTGTGCACGTAGTAATGAACCTCGATGATTCCGCTGTCTGAAATCAAGTACTTTTTTCATTTTCAATATTGGCTAATGTCTGTGATGTCTAGCAAGTCTTTGGCCCATACGTGATCCCATCCCCTGAGATAGCAATTCTGAGTTCCCAAATTTTCCATCCGATCCACTGGTACCTTGGTCGCAGAAGATTCTAGGTGCCTCCCATCTTTGAGCAGAAACCGCTTGTTTCAACGACCTTTCGGGGAAAATCACCCGCATCCTCATCCGTAAAACAAATACGTCGCATCGCAAAGTTGAAAATCAAAGACGCAGAAAATGGAAAGAAGCCTCCCTTCCCGAACCAAATTTGTCAAAGCAAGCGAAATTCCCCCGTTTTTACTCCCAAACGATTTGCAGCATTCGACACCCATGCCGCGGAAAGAAATCGATCGTCAAATGCGCCTTTCAATCATTCCTCCTCACTGTTGTTGAAGTGCGCCGTCATATCCACTCCAATTCGAATCCGTCCGAAGGGTTGCAAGCCCGCGACATGTTGCTCAACCGCAATCGCATCCTTGGTCGCCAGTGAGAGAATATGGTAAAATGCCTGGGCCGCGACGATGTGGTTCTGCTTCGTGGGCTCAATGAGCTCCTCGAACTCGACCCATCGACGGCCCTTCTTTGGATCTCCCTCCTTGATCTGGCCCATCTTCTTGGCTTCCTCCTCGGTCCATTGCAGAAACTCCCCGCTTGCGGAGTCGAGCATCGATCGCATCCACTGAGAGTCGTCCCCTCCTTCCTCCTGAGCGTCGATCAGGATTCCGGCTGGATGAGGGCTCTCAGGTGCCAAGCCCTGCGAAAGAGATATGTCGAAGGGGATAGCGTCAAAGTCGCTCGTGTGCTGCGCATCATGGAGGGGCTCAAAAGGAAGCATGCTGCTTCCGCGAATGCTGGCCGACTTGCGACGACTACCGTGTTCATGCCGCTGAGCGCTGTGGCTGGCGACCGAAGAGCCTCTACCCGCCGAAGGGGTGTGGGCCCAGGGCATCATAGAGGACGACGGATTCTCATTCATTGGCTGGCCGGCCTCCATGCCCATCTCGGGGAGCGAATCGTCTCCGAATGCCATGTCGAATCCGGTGTTATCGTCCATCGAGCGGCCCTGCTGTGGTGTCTCGTTGACCCTGGGACGGACGTTTCGCTCCCTATGACCACCACTGCCCTCACCGAAGGCCTCATCTGCTCGTCTTCGACGACCTTTGGAGGAAGGTGTCTGGACGTTGAGCTCTCCTTCGGCGGGCGGGCCGTAAATGACATCGCGAAGACCGTCGCCGGCGAACATCTCGGCCAAGGGGAAATCAGCACCGTAGATACCCACGCCTCCAATGCCCATTCCCAAAGTAAAGAAGTAAGCATTCTTTTTTGCTTGGCTGGCATTGCTCTTGCGCTTCTTGATCGCCCTTTCTTCGTTTTGGAGGTAATCCTCCTGCCAGGATTTGAGAACTAAACGGGAAATTTGCGTGCCGTTGTCTAGCTTCAAAATGCGGCGACGCCTCTTGGAGGTGGCGGCTGCTTGATCACTCTGGACTCCGAGGGGAGGTTCCGGGGCGAGCGGTGCATCACTCAAGAGGGGAAGAGGATCGCTGCCGACTGGAATGGCGGCCAGGGCGTCGGTATTCAGGACATTGACAGCATCTTGGTCCTCGTCCACGACCTGATCTTGCTGAAGTGGGACGTCGGCCATATCCATGTCGATCCCTGCAAGCTCAGGTAACTCGAGCTCGTCTTCGTCCAGGATCACTGCGCCGTTTTCGTCAATGGCAAGCTCCACGCCACCAAAATTGTCGAAATCGTCCAGAGCTCCGAACGGGTTTACGTTCATGTCGAGTTCCATATCGTCCCTCGACCGAGGAAGGAGCGTCTTCTGCGCGGATCTTTGCGCGAAGGGGGAAGGCAAGCGGAAATCGGGGACTTCTGGCGACTGGGAGAAGTCGAGATGGAACGGCGAATTACCGTGGCCGCTGTCGTCCAAGAAGTCAACAGGATCGGGAAACGGACTGAGTTGCGACTGCGACTTGTTTGGCTTGCATCCTGACGAATGTTGACTTCTAGGAACGAAGCAGGGATTGCCGTCCTCGTCAATGGTGAAAAAGGGCATAATGCTAGTAGGAAAGAAGCCTGGGTCGTCGCCCAAAGTGATTTGCTCACGCCTGCGAATGTCAGCAAACGTATTGATTTGCATGGTGGTGCTCGGTGAAACAACCTCGCTCTTCCAGCCTTGGGATCAGTCTCGTTGTTGGCGATGAGTCTGAGAAAGGTCTTCATCGTCGTCTGGATCTTCTCTGTGTCGGTAAGCATGTATTTACACTGCGACGAGTAGACACGGGAGACGCCATAAAGAAGGTTGCTCTGCAAACGGAGGGAGATGGGCGCTCCCGGCTGAATGATCTTTTCACAGGCCTTCCGAATATCAACATCTTCGATAGCCCGACGCGACACTTTTTTTTGCGTGCCGCCGCCACGAGGACCAATGGTGGCAACGACCCTGAAGGCAGGAAGTAAGTATTGAGGCATCTTTGCCCAGGAGAGACTTTTACTTACCAGATTGTCGCGACGCCGAACTGGTGGCTGGTGAGGACTGCTCTGTAGTTAGATATTACGGTGGTACGGCCTGGGAAAGAAAGAACCAACTCTCGTGGCTGTAGAACATGGCGAATTCTACACAAGAGATCAACGCCGTCGAGGCGATTTTCGAGTTTTGAGACTAGACTTGGCGGAAAGCAGGAGGTTGGGCGTGTAATTTGTGGTGTTGAGGTAGAAGTAACTGGGTGAGAGTGGAAGAAACGAGAAGGAGCAACGGATAGCATTACAGGTGTGACGCGTGAATGAGGTAGGAAGGTGCCTTCCATGTTGAGGGTTCATTTCCTCGCGCTTGCCCAAATGTTCCTGCCATTCCTGGAGTTTCCAACTTCTGCACCTTGACCGATGTGCACCTGCCTTGTCTTACACAACAATGAAAGAGGTAAAGTAGGAATTAAAGTTCACATCTGAATGCATCACGAACCTCAGACTTACCACCGGTATTATCCCGGATGGTCTTTCCCGAACGTCCAACAGGTGCTCGCTCGATCACTATGGAGTTCACGTTTTCTATGAGGAAATTTCCGAATACTTTACTTTGTCATCACTTGAAACTTAGTACTGAGAATTAGGGCTGCTACTGTAATCGTTGTTTCAACTTCTGACAGTCTGTCCGCATCGTCAATGATTTCTTTTTACTTAAGCATCTTTGGAAGATAGCAATGGGCATGCCCGAGATGCTAAGAAGCGCATCAAAAAGATGAAATGATTCAGCTTAAAGCTCATTCGCTCTATAAGCGTTATTGTTGGCTATGCGATCCTGAGAAATTAATGGCATCAACAACTAGAAGAGTAAGATCAAGGATAAGGTGATCCAACTTCAGAATAATCAATTGAGGAGAGATGTTCGAAGCTGAAGAGAAACCTATAATACCTTGGGACTCAAGGAAGGCTCTTCTCTTCAGCACCGTAGAGGTCAGGCCTTTGAAGTTGCAGATTATGACTAGCTTCGCCCAGGATAATATCTCGCTTAGAAACTTGCAAGGAGTATCAACGAGCAAGATCAAAGATGAAGACGAGGTTCTTCTAGAAACTTATGTGAAGACTCCAATGGCTAGATTGGACCTACCAAGCTCCGTCATTATTTTGATCAGCATTCATCGATGCAGTGACGTTTGAACGTCCAATTTATTTACCTGGTCCTAAGTTTAGATGGAGTCCTCTTTCTAATGTCGCTTTAGGCGAGGCCTCCGTGGGAGCAATGGTTGAAGTCATAAATGAATAGCAAGATGACATAAGCATCGTACTCAGGCTTGTCGGATCTGATGTGCTAGACGGGCACAGACCCCTGCCCCAAGCAAAGCATACGCCGGAGGTCGGCAGGCGGATAATCCGCCGTTGCTGGGCCAGGGCCGGGGTGCCTTTTCGCATTGGAAAATCATCACCACGGACCAAGTGAAGTCGACCTTAGCAAGGCACTTTCTTTGTCTCTCAGCGGTAAAGGCACAACAGCACCTCGGCGGCCACCACACAGTCATTTTCCCATCTCCTTTATCTCTCTGCTTCCGATATACAGTGCGATTGTGTGTGTTTGCCTGCTTCGAAGAACGTCGAAGCTCCCGCCGTACCTTACCGCCGCCTTTGGGACAGCTAGGCCCTGTTACTCGACGAGGCAGTATCCTTTTAATACCGACGACGCGATGGCGCCCCTTATCCTTCACAATGTTCCCGACGAGGAGCTTTACATCGGCGACGACGGTATCAAACGACCCTACGCCATGGTTTTCCCACAGTACGTTTAAAGCCCAACTACACGCGACTTCAAGCTCAATGCCACGCGCAATGACATGCCGCTAACACGCGCTTCCCACTCTCAGACAAGAAGGCCTTCCCGGCGCCCGTAACCGCCGCGGTGTCGCAGAGACAGGCTCTTTTGGCAAATCGACACGACGCTCCCGTTCGCGGACGGGAACCCCCGCCGGCCGCCGCGAAAACCCGACAGTAGCAGCCGCCGACAAGATCTTTGGCGACTGGATCTCGTCCCAAGCCACAAACTCCAACTCCAACCTCGCTGCCTCGTCAACACCGGGAGGCGGCGCAACGAATCCTTCTTCGGCCGCGGGCGCGGGCGCCGCACCCCAGCGCAAGACCTCGGGCCTCTCACAGCCACCTCTCCTCGCATCCGCAGCCGACGACACACCCGCCGCCGCCGCCGAACCCCGCGTCACCCGCCATGTCCCTACCGAAATCGTCCTGCGCGGCTACCGCTCCCCATCGCAACAGTACGCCGCAATCTCCCATTATGAACAGCTCGCCGGCCTCATCTGCGAGGACTACCCCCGCGAACCACCCCTCGAGCAGCGCCGCTACAAGTCGGAGCTCCGTGATCCGGCCTTCACCCGCCGCAGGGGTCTTACTGTTGAGGAGCGCGCAAAAGTCAACCGCGCCGACGGCGGCGAGCACTGGATCAAGGTCACCTTCGAGTCCGCCGACGCTGCCGACGCCGCCGTCTACGCCAGCCCCCAGCGCGTGCTGGGCTACCTCGTCTACGCAGAGCCCTACCACGGCCTTCCACCCGCCCGCGACGAGCCCATCCCGGATGTCGACTCCCTCGTGCCCAGCCATGACGATCTCGGCCGGTCGCAGTCCGTTCCCGCCGGCAGCTTCGGTACTCACAGGACGCCGCGCAGCAAACACCGCACTGCGGCATCGAGCAAGCCCAGCGGCAACCCCTTCGCCCTCCCCAATACCCGCTCCATGAGCGACCTCTCCCCGCCCACGTCCCTCACGTCCTCCAACACCATCGAGACAGCCACATTCTCCAACGCGACAAACTCGTCCGCGACGGTCACAGCCGATCAGCAACCGACATTGCTGACCACCGCTACCGCCGAAGACAGCCTCTTCTGCCGGCGCATCCCCACCGCGCGCAAGGCTAGACTCCTCCCTGCCGAGCAGGCGTTGCTGCCGCAGCAAAGCTACACGCAGAGGCTCGTCAACATGGTGCCCTTTCTAAAGTGGTTCAGCGGCTCCATGATTGGCAACGAGGTGCCGCGCACCGACACCGGCGACTTTGACTGGAACCGCGCCAGCTTATACTGGAAGGTCATTTGCTGGCTGGACGCAACCTTTGGGCTCTTTGGTGGCGAGATTATGAGTGCCGACAAGGACGACTAAGAGGGAGAACCGGAGACGACGAAAGCAGGGGGAGAGGGGGCCACGATGAGAATTTGCATAAAGTGACTTGGGGTTTTACCGGACGGTGGCGAAGGACGGCGTTTGGAAAAGGGAAAGGCAGGCAAAAAGAAAAGTTTCATGTTGTATACGAAATACCACGCGCATAACTCCAGTACCTTGCTTTATTTTCCGTAGACTGGCGAAAGCAGAAGCAGTCGTATTGGTCAGGGGACCAATATCGAAAGCCAACAATTGTCGTTCGAGACGCGGAGGCTTCAAAAGGAACGAAGAATCGATATCAATCACAGGATGTAGATAGCATGATCTCCTGTACAGAACGAATTGTTAAAACAAGACCAAACATGTATCTATGCATAGCGCCAAAGGAAGGAGGAGAAGGGGGGGCGTCCCCCCTCAATCCATCCATCAGGTAGTAGTAGAACAACGCCTCTAAATGGGTATAACAAGAATAATCATGACTTTCGTCGCCACCATCAAAACCGAGACAGAAAAAAACACCCAAACGAAAAAAAAAAGGGTTCTACGCGTCCTCTTCGTTTACACTCCACCGCCTCCCCGGTCGTCCCCTCTCCTCCGACCCATTTGCAATGTCCGCCGCGTCTCCCTCAGCTTCCTCCACGACGGCGGCTCCTCCTCCTCCTTCCCCTCCTCCTACAAATGCCGCCGCACCATCTTCTTGTTCTTCTTCTGTGATAGGACTCTTGTCGTCAGCCGGCTCGTCGCCCCAATTCGCCTGCTCGTTCGGAGTCTCAACCTCGCCCTCCTCCTCCTCCTTGAGCACATCATGCCGCCTCTCCTCCTCTTCGGCGCTCTTATCTTCCTCGCCCCTCGACTCCTCACTCAACCCGACCCCCAGACTATCAAACGTGACGTCGGTAGCGTGCCGCCGAATAGGCTGGGGCGAAAACGGCCTCACGCCCCGGGGCCGGTTGAAATTCGTCTCGGAAAAGATACTATCGCCATCATTGTCGTCCCCGCCAAAACCAGGCGACGCCCCCGCGGCCGCCGCAAGACTCTGGTACCGATCCGGGTCGCTCAGGAGACTATCGCCCCGCGCGTGGCCCCCCCGCCTCGTCATATCCGACGCCGCGTCCGCGAGGATGCTCTTGGGCGGGAGGATGCTAAACAGCTTCGCCGTCTCGGCCGATCCGCCACCGGCACCGGCACCACCGTTACCGCCGCCGCCGCCGCCGCCAATGATGCTACCGAGCCCCGAATGGTCCCCGACCTCGTCGCTCGCGAAAAGATCCGCCCCCTTTTCCAACAGCTCGTCCAGCCCGCCGCCGCTCCACCCTTTGCGCGCCAGCGACTCGAAAATGTCCACCTCGGCGCGGACGAGACTACACGACGTCTCGAGGATCCGCCCGCTGGTGTCCTGGCTCTCCCGCAGCAGCGTCCGGGCGTGCTCCCCGTGCAGCGACGTCAGCCCGTCCAGCTTGGTCGTCAGGTCCACCAGGTGCGCCCTGAATTTGCCAACGTCCCGCCTGCGCTGCTTGTGCAGCTTCAGCCCTTCCTTCTCCAGCTTCCTGATCTCGGCGTTGCGGGCCTTCACCTCGCGCACGTAGGCCTCCTCCTCGTCGTCGACGCGCTGCCGCCATTTATCGAGCTCGTGGAGAAGGGGCACCTCAAAGTCGCGGTAGACCGTCTCGGAGAGGATCTGCTGGTGGTTCGCGACAAGGTGGTGGACGCCCGAGGCGGACATGAGCAGGTCGGCGGTGCAGGAGCCCTTTGGCCCGCCGGCGGTGAAGCTGGCGGAGAGAAGGCCGCCGCCGCCGCCGCCCGAGAGGCCGTTTACGCCGCCCGAGAGGGACTCGGCGCGGGCTTCTTTTAGCCTTGCGCAGGACTCGAGGGCGGAGCCAAAGGCGGAGGCGGCGGTGGAGAGGGAGGCGAGGGCGATGCGGTAGGCCTTTGCGGTCTGGATGAGGTCGGTGTAGGCCGTCTGGGAGGACTCGAGGTCGGATTTGGTGAGGACGGCGTGGACGGGCTGCGGGGGCGGCGGGAGGGGCAGGTGGTAGGAGGAGAGGGGGTTCGCGGTCGAGGCGAGGGAGTAGACTGGCGACGCGGGGACGGGCGGGAGTTGTGAGGGCGTCGGGGTAATGGGGCGGGAGTCGCCCGGTGGACCTTGTGTCGCCATCGCCGGGTATGGAGACTCTCTTCTCTCTTTTGCTGTCTCGGTGCGATTTCTTTGCTTTGTTTGTTGAATGATGGCAACGCTGAGGGGAGTACCTCGGGAAGGGGAGGAAGACCTCGGGGCTTCGGGGTTGCTATGTGCCGGAGGGGGGGCGGGAGTACGTGCGACGTCAAGTTGCGGGCTTTGTTTTGTTTACGGTGATGTGTGCAACGCCGGTCCGGACGGTGACATGCTCGGAGAACCCCAAGAAGGACAGGAATAAGAAATGTGAAGTTGCACTGAGAAGCTTCCCACCGGAACGATGAAGGAAAAAAGAGTGAAGAAGGGGGAAAGAACCTGTGGTGTGGTTGGAGATATTTTTTGGAGAAACCAAGACGCCGCCGCCGCTGCTGCTACTGCTTGCTGCTGATGCAGATGCAACCCAGCTGCAGCTACCAGGCAAGGTAAACACATTGGGAGGGTTCCGGCTGGCTCGAGATTGGGCATCTGGCTGGCGGCCTTGCCATCCATGGGGCCCATGGCGCTGGGAGACCTTGTGATTCGGGGAGACGGGTGGGGGGGAGAGGGGCCCGCAGGTGACCCTGGAAGCTGCACTGCTCTGCGGCAGGCCGCAGGCGGGAGTAAAGTCCAGTTGCTGCAGTGAAAGTGAGATAAGACGGAAAACCCTTGGAGGAGACACGCTAGCGCCACCAAACGGCGGGCTGACGAGCTTTCGTTAGCTTAGTCTTCCCTAGCTAGGTAAGCTGCGTGTGTGTGTATTTGTGTGTGGCAAGGAGACCCTCTCACTAGGTTGCTTAAGAGAGACATTGTCCATGAATATACGCAAGTGTGTTCTCACTCTCATCTCTCATAAACGGGTCTCCGGGGCGATCTGAAACGGAAACGCTTTCGACCAGGTCATCACAACCGCATTACATTGGTTTCTCTCACAGGACCCGCATAGGATGAGAATCCGATAGAATTTCGTCTAATTGTTGGCATATTGAGTGTCCGCTTTTGGTATTTGGGTGACGTATCATGTTGTTCATCATCACCATGACTGAGAGTCTATATCGAGCTTGTTCATGGATGGATAACCTAGTTCTTGAGCTCCATCTTCCCTCCCGTTGCCTCGCACTCTTTCCCCCTCACGTGAGAAAACCTCTTCCATGATCCATTGTACCTCACTTCTTAGTAGGCGGCAGTCTCTCCAACAAGAAGGCCTCGACCTCGTCCAACTCCTCAGGGCAAGCAGCGTGACCCATACCCCTGTAAGTGATGATTAGTATTTTCCTCTAGACATGAGCCAGCCCTGGTCCTCCAAAGAAAGAAGTACATTACTCCATTGAGGAGGGGGGGGGGAAGAGAGACGAGGGAAAAGAAGAACTCACGGGTAAAGCGTCCTCGCAACCTTGTACCCAAGCTTCTTCAACGCGTCCGCACTCAACGCGTTCAACTCAGGCCGCACAAGCGGATCCGCGTCCCCGTGGCCCAACCACACGGGCGTGTCCTGGTTCACCTTCTCCTCGGGAACCAACCCCGCAAACTTGTTGCTCAGCAGCAGCCAGCACGACAGTCCCACGATGCCGCCAATCCTGTGCTTGCCCGTCAGGCCGGAAAAGATGGCCATGGCGCCGCCCTGGCTGAAACCGCCGAGGACCACGCGCTCGGCGGGGATGCCGGCGTCCACCTCAGCCTGGATGAGCTGCTGGAAGTACTCTGACGAGGCGAGGATCCCTCGCTCGTCTTCGGACTCGCGGAGGGCCTCGACTGTGCCGTCGAGGACTTTCTGCGGGGGAGATTGGGTGGTTAGCTCGGGTGATGATGAGGACGGTGGCGATGATGATGCTTGTGCCTCTTGTTGGCGGTGGCGGTCGAAGATTGTACCGCGACTTACTATGTCGAACCAACCTGGCATGCGCATGCCCCAATTCTGTACATTGTATTAGCGAGGAACAAGACAAAAGGTCCCGGGAGTAAATGTGTGTCCGAATGGGGGGATGAGGTGGTAACTTACACAGGTAATGGGGATCTGAGGCGCATTGGGCAGGATGAACTTGACCTCGTCGAGCCTCTGCCTCCGGCGCCAATTCTCGACAGCGCTCGCCCAGCCGTGGCCCGTGTCGCCGAGGCCGTGGGCGAAGATGACGGTCGCCGTGTGCTTGCCCGCGGCCGGGAACACGAGCGGGGCCGTCCGGGCGACAGAGGACGACATGGCTTCGTAGGCGGTGGGGGGTGAGAGGTCGGGAGTTGCTGGGACAGCTGCGAGAGCAGGGTAATGCTGAGGTGGCAGGGGGTGGAGCAGGTCTGGCTCAGAAAGCGGATCCTGCTGCTGTTGGAGCTCGAGGTGTTGCTGGTGTTGTTGTTGGGGGGTCGCGGCGGCGGTGAAGGATGCGAGGAGGGTGAGGAGGAGAGATGCGGTTACTTGCGAGGCGAGCATCTGTAATGTGCCAGGTCAAGGGGACAGAGATGCGGCGAAAGCTCGGGCGACGGGGTGCCGAATGAAGGGTGTTTTTTTTTTTTTTTTCCCTTTGCCCTTCGTGCCTGCGTCCGCTCCGATGGCATCTGCGGGGCGCTGATCCGGGCTCGGCACCTTTTTCCAGGTCTTGTTGCTCCCAGCTTGCACTGCCTAGGTACTAAGGTAAGTAGGTGGGTGGGCACGAAGACGTATGAGTCTCGAGAAACGTTTTATACTTATATTGGTAGGCTAGGTACTTGGACTACTTAAGAATAATTGCACATGGCGAATCTCCATGCCTTACTCCCGTTCGTTGCCGGAGATGATTGATCAGTACACCTTGCAGAATGCACCCGTCGACCTCGCCGACGAGCAGGGGAAGCTCGAAGCTTACCGGAAGCTTGGACTGGAATGCGTCAGGCCACCGATGGGTAGGCCCGAGGCCGTGCCCCTTGCCTGCGTACGTAAAACTCCCTAATCCGTATTTCCGTCCGGGCAACACCTCATGAACCCTCAATTCCTCGGCGCATCTTGGTAATCAACCGTCCACTAAACTACACCGGCCCTCGCTCCCCGCCCGTCCGCTAAGACAAACTCAGTGGACCCGGCCGCGCGCGACGAAAACCACCACACCCGCCATCCGGCCCCTCCACCCCCGTGCCGTGGTCCTCATCCGGGGCTTTCGGATAGCGCCCACCAACATCCGGAAGCCTTATATACGCATGCCCCTGTGCATCATCAACCTCACATCGCCGTATCGGCCATCTCATCATTGCCCAATATGCCTCGTCTAAACCCTCTGTTCCTCCTATCCCTGATAATCGCCTTCACAGCCTACATGCTCTCACCGACCCTCCGCGCCTTCCTCACACAAGTCACGACAACCCTCACAAAGTCCACCTCATCTCACCCTCCAGACTCACCAAAAATGAAGAAACCCCGGATGCCCGTCTACTTCTTCTCCCATGGCGGCGTAAGCACATTTCGTCTCCTCACAAAACTTACCTCAACAGAGAAACTAACACCACTACCCCCTGGGCCAACCAACAGCCAGACGTAATGTACAACAAAGCCCATCCAGTCTACCCAACCTTGGAACACATCGGCGCAGAAATAACAGCCCTCAAACCCTCAGCCATACTCGTCTTCTCAGCCCACTGGCAGTCCCGCTCCCAAACCTCCATCAACGTAAACTCCTCCCCCGGCCCCTCCCCCCTAATCTACGACTTCTCCGGCTTCCCCCTCCACTACTACTCAGCAACCTACCCAAACACCGGCTCTCCCGCCCTCGCATCCCGCGTCTGCGACCTCCTCTCTGCCTCCTACGGCCAAAACGTAACCTGCATCCCCACCATCGACCGCGGCCTAGACCATGGCGTCTGGGCAGGCTTCCACGTCGCCTTCAACCCCTCCTCAAACCCCCTCAACATTCCCCTCGTCCAAGTCTCCCTATTCCGCTCAGAGGATCCCGACGCCCACTACCGTCTCGGCGCCGCCCTCTCTGCCCTCCGCGACGAAGGCGTCGTCATCATCGGCGCAGGCATGTCCGTCCACAACCTCTACCACATGAGCAGCGATCCGCAGCCCATGCCCTATACCGTCAGCTTCGACAATGCGCTAAAGGAGGCGGTAGAGACGGCCAACGTCAGCGAGAGGCAGGAGAAGATGGCCGAGGTTTGCAGACGGCCCGATGCCAAGCAGGCTCATCCGTACATGGATCACCTCATGCCTGTTCACGTGGCTGCTGGTGCTGCGGGAGAGGACCGCGGGAAGCAGCTGTGGACCATGAAGGAAGGCAGTTTCGCGTGGGCTCAGTACCGTTTCGGGACGGTCCCGAAATCCGTGACATGAACCAGATCGCAAGCGCCCTTGTAGTCGTAAGAAAACCATGTGTTAACATTGAATTGTGTAATAACGTATCTATGCTACCCAGACGATCCATTGCCACGTCTCCATATCATCTCATCTCGAATGATTCGGGCGTACAAAATTAAGTATGCGTGCGTCATCTATTAGGGAGCCGGGGCCTTCTCGAACAATCATGTCTACCCATCCTTTTGTTATTATCTGCCTGCCCACGAGTCATCGCTGATCATAAAAGAGGCTGTCCACAACCTTGCATTAAGCGATCTGCTGAACCAAATACATCTGCATTATCAAGGGTTGACTGTGCCTCCTCACAAGAACGCTCTTGACTCGCCAGGAAGTGGGGGGTGACGTCGGCTGCTGAGAAAGTTTTCCACCAAATGATGACTACCAGCCGCCTCAGCCTTCCAATCGTCAATGCTCGCGATATCGGACCTTTCGCCATCGTGCGAGTTGCTGTAGTCTAGCAGCCGACGGACGGAGCCTCGCCTTTCCCTTGGAGAACCGTTCTTGGATTGTTCACTGGCTAGCATGGGGCCGAATTGTCTCTCGACAGCCATTGTCAGTCCTGGGCTGGACGCACATGGTTGATGTCCTTTTTGTAATCCGGCGCGTCTTACTAGTTTGACCGGAGATCGACTTTTCACTTGAAGAGGGACTTCAGCAGTTTGGGCCTTTGATATGACGTCCAAGCTGCGCGCCTTGAAAGCCTTTCTATCTGTCGACTTGACAGGTAAGTTGCTATGAGAAGGACGTGGCTGCATCAGCGGCATCGAAGGGATTGTCCTCAAAGAGCTCCTGAGTGGAATTGGTGGAGGACCGTAAATACCACGAACGCGTCCAGTCATACGTCCGTCCGACATAGGGATCATGTTCTCGTCTCTGATAGGCGGTGAGAACTTTGGGTCGTCTGTGCCGAGCTCGACGCGGCTGGCAGACGAGGTTTGTCGTGGATTGTGGCTTGTGACTCTCAGAGGCGTTTGCAGTTTGGCATTTCCTGTGCCTGTCGCTCTGTATAGAGTTGGAGACTCTGGCTCTTCAATCTCTGCGCGCTCACGCACATGACCCAAGCTCTTGGGCATGCTTGGCTTTGCGTACCGAACTTCTGTCAAATGCCGTGTCCCGGCATTGGCCAACTTGGCATCGGTATTGGCCGCATTCGCGGAAAGCCAAGTCTTCCACTCCACAGAGCTTGCGTTTGAGACCGTCCGACATTCCGGCATCGTCGGTGTATAAGTCTGAAGCCCAACCGGTACATAACGCTGTTGGTGAGCACCAGCCCCAGTGGTGACATCCGAGCTGCGCTCCTCCAAAGTAGCTTTCGAGTTGTCGTACGCAAAGGGTGTCATACAGGGGTCAGTATCAGCTGCTTTGTGATTGGGGTGTCGAGGCGGCAGCCTTGGCACTGGTTGTTCCCCAAAGACCTGTGGTATCCCTCGTGGAGAAAGGAGGTCGTCAGAGTACACACTTTCAGAGTAGGCAAGGCGAGGATCTTCCTTAGAGAGACTAGGCCGACGCCTTGTGGGGATCAGCTCCAGGTTTAGCATCGAGACAGATGGTGACAGTAGCTGAGCTGGAGCTTGTGACTCTAACTTGACCTTTTCTTGTAGGACCTTGCGGTATGGACTCGTTGTTCGGAAGAGATGACAAGTCGGGCTGCCAAAGAAGGCAGAACTGCGAGTTGACAAGGCTTTCGGGGGGTTCGTGACGTTACCGCCGTGCATCTTATACGGCTTCGAGGGCGAGTGGTTCTGCCCGTCACCAGCCACAAGCCTTGGATAGGCGTTGTGAGATCCGATGGTAGTCTCAGAAGCAGAGCGCTGGCGATGATGCACCGTACTGCTAGATGACGACGCGGCTTCATCTTTTCCCGATTCAGGGGCATTGGTATCGACTGGTGCTTGCGATGTTTGTTCCAATGGACTGTCACGGAAAACGTCGTCCTCTTGCAAGACACATCTTATAGTTGGCGGGTCTTGGTCCCCAGCTTCGTCAACCTCCTGGTCGCCGAGGGACTTTGGCAACTCGACTGAGCCGTGCCCTTTGAGACCAATACTCCTGGCGCTACCATTTCGAAGCTTCTCACCTCGTTGATCCTTCTGCTTGTAGTCATGCAATCGCTTCATGAGGGCGGAGTAGACTCTGGCACTATCGACGGATGGACCAGGGCGGACGAGTCCATCCGAGTGTGGTGAAGATTGTGGTTCGAACTCGAATGGATTGCCATCGCCCATGTTTGGTCGTTGGAAAGAAGAAGAGGCCTGATGTGGTCCAATTTCTTTGATGATAGACAGCCGTTGCCGTTCCCGCTCGCCGCCCCAAGTACTTTGGCTATTGAGGGTAAGGGTGCCTGAGCTCGTCCAACTGGTCACGCGAGACTTCTCATCCGATGCTTTTCTTTCACTCCCTATGCTCTCTATACTTCCTTGACGCGAGCGGAGCTTTTGGGTCGAAGAGGCATTGTGAAGAGACGGAACTCGCGAAGGTACTTGCGAAATTGAACACTCGTCCAGCAAGATGGGTTCCACAATGTCCATGTAGGCATCATCCTGCTCATTGTCGACGCCAATTAGATCTTGGACTGCAAGTGAAGTTATTGGCTCTGGTTCGGTAGCTACCACTACCGAATCATCCTTCTTGCTCCTTCGGAACATTTCCTTGAGCTTATTCTTGAGGCCGTTTGAAACTTTTCGAGCTTTGTTTCGTAGGGAAGCGTCTTTGCGGACAGCCAAGCCGTTTTCAGGACCAACAGAATTGACATCGGCGCTAAAGTCTCTCATAGATCGACGTAGACTCAAAGACGCCTGGCCCTTCTTCGCTTTTGATAATAGTGTCGACGATTGCCGTTTCAAATGCCGTTGCTCCTCAATGTCTTTGCGGAAACTGTCCTCAGCGTCCTGGACTGCCAGATCGATCTGCTGTCGGCTGCCAGTTCGAGCCGAGTCCATGGCGCCCCGGACTTTGAGAAAGCTCGTTGATTTTGGGGCTCTCAGCCCGAGTGTCTTCTTCGATGGCGACTTAGCCTCTTTGGTGTCTTGTAATGACTGTGGCTGCAACGCAGGCTGTACATTCTCCTGCTCCGGGGGCTCGCTGAGATATGTGGTACTTGTTCGGCGCAGCCCTGTCGGTTTCAAGGGGGCGAACATTGAGCGTGACTTTCGAAGTCTTCTGTAAGATGCCGGTGCAGGTGCGCATTCGTCCGGGGACCCGAATGACTCACTGGGGGGCAAGGAATCGATGTAGTTGGTTGTGTAAGTGCTCACAAATGGACGCTCAGCATTGCGGGAAGCTCGGCTGGCCGGCTGGTTCACAACATCTATAAGGACACTGCGGCGTCGAATAGTCCCCATATCAGAAGAGTTATCATTGCTTTGGCTTTGCGGGCGCTTGGCTCGGGACCCATGATTCACGAAACGAAGACTTTGCTGAAGGCGTAGGCCTCCGTCATTGGAGCCAAGCTGATCAAGCTCGCTTTTAGTCTGGCTAGGATCTTTGGGATTCTCTGGCCAGGTTTCCATGTTGAAGGACCGTTGGTTTTGTCGTGAAGTACCGAATTCCATTGCCAAATCGGCATTGCGGTTCGCACGGCAGAAAGACAGGGTGGCAGCGATACGAGCGTCTCTCTCGGCAGTGACTGGGTCAATGTGCTCTAATCGTTGAACAGCCGAGCGAACGGAAGCCGTAGACCTGCTTCGAGTCAGAGTCGACTTCGACTGGGTACTGTTGTGTCGCCGCATAGGATGAACGTGCATGTATTAGGAGGAGGGCCTAGGCGGAGGAGGGACGCCCGGTCTCGCGGCGGCTTAGGGATAAAGGGAATTAGAGAGATTCAAGTGAAGCTGCTGTTTGTTGGTCGACGTGCGGAACTCGGCCTGAGGCTAACCAAAAGCAAGCTGAGAGAGTATGAAGAAGTATCGTCGAGAGTGTCAAATGATGAGCCGTAATGTTGGAATGGAGTATGTGGAGGAGGGACGTCGTCCCACGAGCAGGGCCACGAACAGCCAGCAGTCAGGCCGACGACGAGCTCCATGACTGCTCCTTCTCCGGTGCTGAGTGAACTTTGAAGAGGTAATTTGGGTAAGCACGTCCTGAACAGACGGGAAGCAGGAGAGCAGCTGACTGATCCCTTCCCTGGGCCTTGGGAAGATAGGTGTGAGGTGGTGTCGGCAAGAGCAAGCCGTTGTGTCATTCCTACCGTGGAGGGACCAAATAACATTCCAGCGAACGCAAGGCACAGAAAGAGAGGCAGGCGAGCCAAGATTGGCAAAGTAGCTCCGGATCCAGGACTAAGCTGTCAGAATGCATTGTCTCCATCATAGATTGACTCAGATGACGGAAACTAGTGATGGTGACTATTCCTTGTGGACATTATCGCATTGTGTACAGAACCTCTCATCAGCCACATTTCAACTCGACAACATCTTCACAACCGCATGATTGGCTTACTCATAAACGCCTACAAACTTTTGACCGGCTCAGGTGTGCCCAATCTTACTGGGCACGGTCGGAGGGCCGCAAGGGATAAGAAACTTTTTCATCACGCTGCTTCCATCACCCATTATGCGTAAGGTAGCTAGAACAAATATTACTTTAGAATAAGGAAACTTATTGGTGGTGCTATGAGATCTGTATGTAGCTATGAAAAGCGATGCATCCATCCTGACCCATCCCGCAATAACCCTATGCGTACACCGTCATGGACCCAACAGAAAAAGAAAATTCAAGACCAGGCTAGCGATCTACCGCAGCGCTTACAAAGATGTCTCCCTGAGGAACTCCTTCAGCTCCTCGTCGACCAAGTTGTGGATCTTCTTAGCAAGCTTCTCGGCCTTGGTACCGACGTTCTTGGCACCCTTAACAACCTTGCCAGAGAGAACCTCGAAATCCTCCTCGATGGCCTTCTCCAGGTCATCAATGGTGGACTCCTGAGACTCCTGCTTGACAGTGTAGCCGCCAGCGTTGACAATGGCAGTGTAGTTGTTGCAGCCACCGCCGTTCCAGGCGAGAACGTTGGGGGTATCGCGGGGAATGTCGCTGAGGGCACCGACGGTACCGACAGCGATAAGAGCCTCCTTGAGCTTCTTGGGGGTGATGGCAGCAACAGAGTACTCGGAGTCAGAGGCGGGCTGGAGGGAGAGATAGTAGGCCAGAAGACCGCAGATGTGGGGGGAGGCCATCGAGGTACCGGAGATGGTGTTGACGGCGTACTTGCTGCCAATCCAGGTGGACTTGATGTTGGTGCCAGGAGCGAAGATGTCAGTGCACTTGCCATAGTTGGAGAAGTAAGAGCGGCGGTCGCCGAGCTCAGTAGCACCAACAGTGACGGCCTTCTCGGCAGCAGCGGGAGAGTAGTTGCAGGCATCAGCATTGTCGTTGCCAGCGGCGACAGCAAAGTGGATACCAGCTTCGACAGCAGCGTTCACAACGGCGTCAAGAGCCTGGGTCTTGCCACCACCAAGAGACATGTTGGCGACGGAGCCCTTGAAGCCCTTACGCTTACCATCCTTGGCGGCCTGAACCTGGCCAGTGTGGGAGGTAGCGGCCCACTCGACACCCTTGACGACGTCAGACATGGTGCCGGAGCCGTTGGAGCGGAGAACCTTGACGGCGTAGACATTGGCCTTCTTGGCGACACCGTACTTCTTGCCGGCAATGGTACCGGAGCAGTGGGTGCCGTGACCGTTGCCATCAGCGTCCTGGTCACCAGAGGGAATGGTCTTTCCCCACTTGGCGCGGCCCTCGAAGTCGACGTGGTCGACGTTGGTGCCGGTGTCAATCACGTAGGCATCAACACCTTCGCCGGCATCCTCAGCGTAGAGGTATTTGTCGTATGTGCCGAAGCCCAGAGACTTGCGGTGGGAGACACGAGCTAAACCCCAGGGGGCCAGCTTCTCGAGCTCGCCGTCGCACGTATCCTCAACCTTGGACTTGATGGGAACCTGAGTGTGGACGATGGAGTCGACCTCGATGAACTCAACCTGTTAGATTTCATGTTAGCACGTGTCTAGAGGAAGTGATGTAGAAACCAAAAGCTTCCGAACAGATTACGGAAGCCCGAACCCGTAAGGTTCAAAGAGCCAAGACAGCGTGTGCCATGGTCTGGAGCGGATTGTGGGTCTACGGGGTTTCGGTGCATCTCGGGTCTGGGAGGAGTCAGGGTCGGACTTACGTCAGGGTGCCTCCGGACCTTCTCGATGGTGGCATCATCGAAGTGACCGGCGTAGCCCAAGAAATCCTTGCCAATCTTGTATGTGTGCTTCAAGCCATGGAAGACATCATCAACCAGGGGCTCTTGGCCGCGCTTGCGCAGCTCGAGACGCTCGTCCTGAGCAGAGGAATGAATGTTCTGGACCCAGTTGTGGTGGTCCGAGGCGCCGGAGTCCGAGACGTGCTTCTTGAACTTGACGATGTACGAGTTCGGCACAGCCTCAGCGTTGGTGGAAGAGAGAATGGGCGCGGCGCCGTCGTGGACAGTCTCAATGGAGAGTGAGGGGGTGGCGCTGGCAACAGCCGCCAGGCCGGCCACAGCACCGATGAAGCCTCTCATGATGGGCGGTGTTGTGGTGAGTAGAGTCTACCGGAGACACTGGTTGGGATAACAGAGAAGGAAATTGAAACTGCGAGAGACGCCAAGGACAGGCGAATAGTCGATAATATGGGAAGATGGGTGGTCGATGAAGGAGGGGGACAGATGGGAGACGGATGGAGTGGGAAGATAGACACTGGAGCTGTCGGAGAGCGGGAGCGGGTAGATATAAAGGGAAGGCAGCGACAGCGGTTGCGTGCGCACAGCTCCAGGTGAGGTATCGGCCTTAGGATGCTTGCGCCGCCCCAGTGTTGCCAGTGTGTGACGCAGCCAACCAAGATAAGAGCTGGAGGGTGGCTGACGGGACCGAAACCGGCTTAGCGCAATGGCGACAGAGCCAATGGAATGACTCGATAGGGTTTCCTCGGCAATGCGATAAGAGAGGGTCACGTTTGGGGTTTCCCTGGGACAGTCCCCGCCTACGGGCAGCAGGTACGTACCGAGTACCTTACCACTTTACCCCGAACTTGTTCGATACGAAGGGCTGCTTCACAGAGGACGGGGGATGGGATTGTGCAGATGGGCGATAGCAGATGACCTGCCAAGGTACTTACGCTTCTCCTCTTTCTTTCCGGCGGCACACTGCATCAGCCAGGTACACAACCAATCCGAAGTCCGTCTGTTGAGAAGCTTCGCCCAAGCTTCCCACCGTCGACAATGTGCCTGCTATGCCCATGCTGCTTTTTATCGGTTTCCAGCGTTTATGCTCGTCCGAATTCTGGACACCCTTTCTCCTGTATGTCAAAAATGTCGGATTCTCTTGTTGCAACTGATTTGGGGGAACACCGCTACGGATGACCGATCAGCGGCAGGCACCTTGAGAGCCAGAGTCAGAGCTCTGAAGGCGACGTCATTCCTTGAGGGTACCTTAGCTGCCCGAGTCCTAACAGCCAAGACCGATACGGGGACAATCAGTCACAGCGGAGCATGGGCGAGCCATGTATCCGTACTCCGTGATTCGCCTTATCCAACAGTCTCGGAGTCTTTCTCAAGACCCATGGCTCACAATCCATGGCTACGAGGTTGCTTTCTCATTTCCAAGGAACCTTCCTCCGGATACGGCTGGCAGCTTTCAATCGGCCGTCCCAAGCATCCCCGAAGCAACGGACGACCAAGCCAGCGCACGCCGCAACGCCAACACCAGGCACCGAATGGGCAGCACTGCCTACCAACCAGTCGCAGCTTGGGACGCCAGCTCCCTGGTCACGAGCATGTCGCATATATGTACCACGCTATCAGCATTCCTTGACATTCTTCATCCACTTCCACAATGTACTACCTTACCTAGTCCACAACCAAGCTCCCCCTCCCAACCCACCAAAGCACACCCACACAGTCCGCATATCCCGCATAACGCTGCATGCGATAACGCGTAATGGACGATTCACGGAGCGGAGGGCCAGGCAGATCTATCCGTAGGACCCTGAGGCTTGACAAGTGTGAAGCGCTGCCATCCCGTCTTATCTCGACATTCGAAGCTCTCGTCGTTTCGTTGAGCTCTCCCGTTGACCATTTAGAGGAAAAGATGTTACATTTGGACATGTTGCTGGTAGTCTATGCATTGTCGTGTTTGTCCGCATCTGCCTGCCTGGCCTCGGGATGCAGGACGGCGCCTCGGTTCCTACTAGCCTGCTGGGCTGCTGGCTGCTACATCGAGTAAGGAACCTGCTCAACAATGATGCGATTAACTGTAATAAGGTGCCCGGCGCAGCAGGGTCTTTGTGTGGATAGGACCTACCCGGGATTGAATCCAAGGCGAAGAGGGCACCAGGTTCTGGAGCCACTACGTGGTTGCTTTGTTGGTCTCATCACTGCCCCCAGGACCCAAGGTGATGCTGACGGGTGATTGTCGCTTAAGTGGTTCTCAATGCTTGAGCTATCCCGCAAGGTACCTTCGTGCCCTGCCACCTACTGCTCAAGGGCAAGCTCCAAGTGGAAGCGGTTCAAGAGCTGTCTGAATGGGACATGGAGGCGGGGAGACGAGCCCAGCACCAACGCTACGCTGGTCCGAGCTAGGCCAGACGCCTGACCCACGGGTCAGATGAGAGCGTCCCCGTGTGGTGCCTGGCACGTGCCTCTACCCGTTCCCCTGTCTTCCCGTCATCGGGAGGCAGTCTGGCCGCCTGGCGTTGGAGCTGGAGACGGCAAGCCAGACAGACGCGGCAGACATGTCAGAAGTGCCAGACATGCCAGCCGCAATTTGGTACGGAAAGCCTCACACTCGAACGACTCATCCAGGTTCCCCAAGCATGGGGCGAAAACGGCGGCGGCCAAAGTGGCTTGCGTGCGTTGCTGGCGCGGGTCAGCAGAGCGGAAACATTCGTCCGAATACTGACAATTGCCTTTTGTTTTAGTTAGCCAACCGCCTATCGGCTCAGGAACTTCTCTGTGGGTGCTGCGTATAAAGGAAACGCCACCAGCTTGCGCCTGTCAATGCGAGAGCTACATCTCAGCACACCATCTTGATCCGTTCGGAAAGGCAATTGGGCCATTCGCGCCAATTTGATAGGGATGTATGCGGTACGCGTGTCATTGTCCATAGACACCATAGCGAGGCTCGACAACCACTAGATGAGCATGTCGGTAAGCATCGCCGCGTTGTAAAGATATCTCGCCGAATACTCTCACAATCAAGCTCGGCCATGTGTCGGTGTCGAGGAGTTGGGGGAGACGAAGACTGAAACCACCCATGCCGCCTGAGCTTCCTCCCAGATGCAGCAGTGCTCCGAAAGGATGACCAGCGCCTGAGCCGATGATCGCCCAAGCAAACCCCGGTCAACGGAGTCATGACACGGGGGCAGTTGACCGACTCTCTCTCTCTTGGCTACTACTGCAGTGTCATAGCAATCTAGCATCGAAAGCTGGCCACTGACTCAAAGAGCTAGAAAGACTGATAGGCCGCCGTCGACTGATTCGTGTTTCTAGGCCTTTGGGTCCTTTCTAGCTTTTGCTGGTGGGTTTCATGCATCAATGAGGGTGTTCTCTTCAACCCTCCAGCTGGCTTCAGAGATTATGCAGATGTGAGTACATGTACGGATATGTACAGCCAACTATTCTTCGCCATCCCAGGCAAACAAGACAACTCGCGTCAGCTTTGTACTCGGGGCCCGAGCCGCCGACCAACGGGCAGGACCCCCACATCAACTTAGGTAGTACTTACTGTGTATGCCTCAGCACCTATCGAAGAGCGTGCTCGTGCTCAAATGGGATGAAGCAACACTGTTTCACGGGGTCCACTCAGGTTATCCCTTGTCCACTGTCAGTGTTAGCCGCGGAAGCTATCCGTATCTCTGCCTGCACATCTCAGTTTGGCCGCGATAAGCCAGGGTTTATCTGCACTAAGGCGTACCTTGGGTTGTTTCTGGAGCTCAGCTAAGCTCTGGCTCGTCACCGCCTGGCTCGCATTCTGGAACATGTCACTGCAGATACCCGTGACGACAGACGTACTTCTCTGGGTAAGGTCAAAAGAGGCTCTTGGGCGGGTAGATAAATGAGTGTTCGATTAGAGTTGTTGACGTGGATAAGGTATACCATAATATACCTTACTTTGCATCTGAAGTTGATAGCGTCAAAGCAGCCCTCACTGTGTGCTCCATATCCTAACCACGCAGTGTGAGCTATTTCCATGAATAGCATGCTCGGGGATGAGGCGTGTCACCATCGTCCCTGCGCATGGTCTGCTTCTGCTCCAGCGGAGCAGCTCGCTGGGCGGCATCCTTTAGCGGTGTCGGGTCCGCCCACGATGACCGAGTGCTACAGCACCGCCACCATTACCACCCCACTCCTTCCTGACGCGGGTGGCACGTAAGACGTTCCTTCTTTCTTGTGCGTGACAAGGCGGCCACTGAGAGCGGTGCAAGCCACAATTCACTGCTCAAGGCTGACACTCACCAGCATCAGCTCCGTCTCCGTCTTTGCGATAACGCGTAATTACTGCAGTGGGAATTTGAAGCTCTTTGAGGCTATTCCACCTTTTTTCTGCCGAGATACTGAGAATTGCGGCTTCTTCTATACCCTGAATTTACACTATTCTTCCACCTCCAACCTCCACCCTTACCTCCACCCTCACCTCCACTATACTCCTCGAACCCCCCCGCCGCCCAGTACCTCAGCTGCGAGCTGCCGTTCCATCCCACGCCGCATCCCATTTTCGATGCCGACTAGTTTGGATCGTTGCCTGGACCCTCGATGGGTGCTGGGATTGAAAGTTTTGGAATGAAGGAACTGCTGCATTAGCAGAATACGAAACATGTCGACCCTCCAAGTATCGAGGCGTTATCGCTCGTCGACTTCGGCGTCGTCTAGATCATCCAGCGCGGCCAACTCGAAAGCTCTCGAAATCTTGCGTAGTCTCCTCGACACCCTCGCTTCCAGCACGCAACGGCGGACCAACGATGGATACCCCGAGTTTCCCGTGCTCATTAAGAGCCTGCGCCAAATACGACAGCACATTGCCGCGACCGAACCCCCGAGCCCGCCCCAAGACGACTTTAGGCACCTACATGGGTTTAACAGGCTCCTCGACGTGCTGAGATCCTACTCGGGCTTTTACAACCCCCAGCGTCGAACCAAAGAAGAGAAAGAGGGTTTATTCGGGCTGCTCGAGGCTGTCTTGGACGTCTTCGCCGCTGCCTTTTTGGACCATCCAGGAAACAAGCGCTACTTTCGCCACCGGGTGGAAGGCGGCGGATGGGAGGCTCTCGAGCAGACCATTGCCAGTGTTGGCCTTGGCGGAAGCGACTCTGATCTGTGGACGAACTGTCAGATGTTTGGGAAGTTGTTGGCATTCTCGCTTGGGGACAGGACTATGGATGCCATTTGTCAGTCGGTTGCGACAAGTCCAGAGTTGAAGGCCGAGGATGCCAAGACGACCAATTCACAAGAGCCTCCCGAGGATGATGCTCAACAACAAAACCCGTCGTCAGTTCCAGAACGAAAGGAAATCGGCCAGGAGGTGCGCGATGCCATGCAGAAGCGGGCCGTCTTCCGGAACCCGGAGATTTTGCGTGCTGTCGTAGGCTTCTGGGAGTCTATCCCACGAGCGCAGGACATGCCGGCCAACGCCTGCTCAATGGCCGTCTTGGAGATCATGTCAAGCGCGGTTTCCGTCTCAATGTTCAACCTTGCAGCTCTCCATGCCACTGGAGTGTTATCGCGCTTCCTTCGCGTGCTGTTCAGCCCCGTTGCCAAACTCGACCAAGCAGAGAAGGATAGGCTCCTCATCATGTGCAAGAAGCTCATGTACCTGGGCTTCAACCAACCCGCAGACACACAGTTCTTACTAGCGAGCGCCTTGCCGGAAGCATCCGAGTTCTGCCTGGAGATGACTTCGACGTACAGCGGCCCGCCATTCTTCCAATTCGACCTCTCCTTGCATGGCCATTCGTCCATCGAACTACCCACCCTCGGCCGGTCGTTCCCTCCCAGCTCGTCGCCAGGCTACACCTTTACGGCTTGGCTCCGCGTGGATCGGTTTGATCCCAACTCACATACAACCCTCTTTGGCGTCTTCGATGCTAGTCAGACATGCTTTCTCCTGATGTATCTTGAGCGAGATACGCGAAACTTCATCCTCCAGACCTCGGTTACTTCCAGCCGGCCTAGTGTGAGGTTCAAGGGGATGTCATTCAAAGACAAGAAATGGTACCATATTGCCCTTGTTCACCGACGACCCAAAACGATGACTGCTAGCAAGGCCTCTCTTTACGTCAATGGCGAGTTTGTGGAGCAGATCAAGTGTGCATACCCCTCATCGCCACCTCTTGCGAACGGGAGCACCGAAAGCTTTGCATCCTTTGCCTCAACTAATGCAAAACAACACCCTGTCCAAGCCTTCCTGGGCACTCCAAGGGATCTTTCCAGCCAACTTGGTTCTGGACTAGTCTTTTCCAAGTGGTCTTTGGCCTCTGCCCATCTATTCGAAGATGCGCTGAGCGATGATTTCCTGGCCGTTCACTACGGCCTCTCCCCCAAATACCAGGGCAACTTCCAGGACAGCCTGGGCGGGTTCCAGACCTATGAAGCCTCGGCGAGCCTGGGCCTAAGGAACGAGGTTTTCCATCCAGGTAGGGATGAGAGCTCAGATATCTTGAGAGCAATCAGAGACAAGGCCGGTACCCTCCTCCCGGAAAACAAAATTCTCCTCAGCATACTCCCAGCAGGTGTCTTCAGAGAGGACGGCGTTTATCAAGACACTCAGCTTTATCGCGCATTGCCTCGGCCCGCAGCAACAAATCTCATCCAAATGACCCATAGAAGTGGCTCAGCCATTGCTATCAATGCTGCGCTGCCTTGCCTCCTGGATGCATTGGCACGTTCTCAAGGAGTGGCCGTCCTGACTGGCAACCCGGTGGTAGTGATGCCCTCCTACTTCGATGACAACTTCTGGCGTCTTGCCGGATTCACCCCCTTAGCTCTGAAGATTGTTGAAAGGGCAACTTCAGTGGAAGAAACGGTTAGAGCAGTAGAGATGACATTTCTATGCATCAGAAAGAGCTGGAGAAACAGTGAGGCCATGGAGCGTGATAATGGCTACGCTATCCTCGGCATGCTACTCAGAGCCAAACTGGGCTATACTGTCAACCTGGGTGCTGATAGCGCCAACCTACGCTTACCAATTTCAAGCGAAGAGAGGGACAGGTTGAGCTTTCAGCTTCTGAGCCTTGTTCTCGAATTCGTGGGCTACAACCATGCTGAACCGTTGGAATCCTTCATTGTGAATCCTCTGGCGTACCGCATCCTGCTCATCGACTTTGACACTTGGAGACGATCAGCTGCCATCACCCAGGAGTTATACTACAAGCAATTTGTGACGTTCTCTGTGAAGAGCAAGTATCACCAATTTAATAGCAGGAGGTTAATGCGCATGAGTGGGTCAATTCTGAAGACAAAGTCATTGGCAATACTGACAAGTAAAGGAATTGTCAAACGGCTGCTTGATGCAATGAAAGCAGAGTCGATCTCAGAGGAGGTGCAACCACACTTCATGGCCGCCTTGGAACAGCTTGTGAAATGCAACTATACAGCAGAAGTGCATAGGTCACTTGCTTTATTTATCACATATGCTTTCCACTCACCAACGGCCTCTCTGGTAAGGTCTCCGAGACCGATGTCTGCAACTGCCCGAACTCCCACCTCTGGGTATGCCAGACGAGCAACTTTCGATTCCAACAGCTCGTCGAATCCGTCCCCCTCCCGGTTCCTAACGAAGAAACAACTTGGTGCCAAGATTCTGGGAATGTACTCGAACCTACTCTGTGAAAAGGGCAACCTGGCCAATATCCGCAAGTTTGCAAGGACAGTGACGAACAAGGTGAGACCACCATTTGGAGAAAACCAATTATTTTTATTGAGTATGGACCAGTGGCTGCTATATCTCTTGGCCAACGACGACCCCGAAACAGTGGTATATGGCAGCAAGATTCTCGCAAGACTTCTTATCACTCACGGCTCCACATATACAGCCAAGTTTTCCGGTAAGACTGGTGGTTTCACCATCATGGCTCATCGACTCAAACGCTGGTGGTACATTCCATCACTGTGGCCAATCTGCTTCAGTATCTTATTCGGACTCGACGTGGCCAATGTCGACTTGGAGCGCAATTTTGAGTTTTCCAACTTGCTTGAAACATTTGGAAGAGCTCGCGTTCTCTACCCTGAATGTCTTCAAGTCGTGACTTCAATGCTGCAACATGGCTTGAAGGACATCATGAAGCATCAGGAGGACCCAAACTCTCCGCAAAAGTCGCAACACCTACAAGCAAGCGGGTTCGAAGGCCTAGAAACCCGGCCACGAGCCAAGTCTATGGAGACTAGGGGGCTGGATGCAAGAAGTGAGTAGCTGCCATCTTGTACGGGAAGAATGACACTGACAGTGACTACAGTGGCAGAAAATGGCCCGCGCGACGGCGAGCGTATATCAAATCACGCGCCTATGCTGCTGACAGTCATCCGATTCCTGTCAGACCTGCACTCCCGCTCCTCTGACTTCAAGGACTTCGCGTTGACGTCCGAGTACGTGAGGTATCTCTTGTGGGCATGTTATCCTATCATCGTTAGCACCGATGCCGTCACGCCAGATACTGAGCTCAACTCTCGAGACTCAGCTCTGACGTTCGAGGGCGGGGATGTGATGATTCGCCCGCTTGCCGGTTCTCAACCTGGCCCCATCGTACGGACAACCAGCACAGATGCAGTTGCTGCGATGGCAGGCAACCCCCGTGGAACTCCTCTACGGAAAGCGTCCGGTTTTGTTCTGCTCACCAGTCAAACATCCTCCCAGGCCCCGAGTCCGGTTCGCTTTGCACCGGTCATGTCGCCGAAGAAAAAGGTCGCCTCGCAACAGTCAAGCAGTGCTACACTCGAGAGCATGGTAGATCTAGTCATCAGTGTCTTCATAGACCAAGTCTTCTCGCGAAAGGAATTTCCTGGCTTTGGACTCTTCCTCAAGATCCCGCCAGGGTTCCAAGAGCACCAAGCCTACTTCGAGTCCTTCGTCCTTAGGAAGACACTTCAACAACTTGGAAGCCATGTCCAAGCGAACCAGAAGGTTCTTAGCGAGCCAAAGGTTCTTACCAATATGGGCAGACTTGTGGCACACGTTACAGATACCATCTTTGAGGGCTGGTTTATTAACGGTACTGAGCCCATGCTGGAGTTCGCTGGAATGGTACTAGAGTACCTTCAACGGCCCGAGATTTCGACGATGAAAAGTGTTCGCTTGTGCAGTCAAGCAGTCGGAACTATCCGCCAATCATTCCTGAAGCTCCTTCTCTTGCGGTTTTCCGAACTGGACGATCCAGACACACCTGACGCCAGCGCAAAGGATTTCATGAGCAACATCCTCTACTGGCAAGCCCCGATTCTAGGCTGCCTTGCAAATGAGGAGGAGTACATGAAGCTTTTCTGGTATCAGTTGTACTCAAAGCTGGTTGATTCTCGAACATCCATCAGGTCTGCTGCAGCTACAATCATGCGTATCATGCTTGTCCAGAAACCCCACGAGTCTAAGATACTTTTCAGACAATGCGTGGCGACAGACCAGCAGCACTTGACAAAGGACTTCGTTGTTAAGCTCACCGAAATCGATGACGAGGCTTTCATTGAATGGGTGGATCAGCACCGCGCATCGCTTGATGCATTCTTTTTTGGTGGCATATCAAAGATCTGGGAAGAGTTTGTCGTTATCGAAAACCAGCGAACAGTTGATTCGGCTAAGTTCCGATTGGCGAAGCGCAGAGATCGACTGAAAGCATGGCAGACGGAGGCACTGACTGTGGATAACATCCTCCTTCGGCATGACATGGCAAACGGAGCTTGGATGAAGAGCATCTTCACTAGTGAGCACTTCAAGCATCAGCGTCTGACACAAGACCAGCAGGATGATATGGCATTCTTGGCTGCGGCATTTGTCAAGATGGATAATGATTTGCGACGACCGGGCGCTGTATTCAGCGAACAGGCTCAGCTTAAGTGGAAACTTGATCGAACAGAAGGGCGTAATCGTATGCGCCTGAGGCTTCTGCCAGACTACTCCAAGAAGCATACCGACTACCAGCCGAAGAGGAGAGCGGGAGAAGTCACGACCCCTTCTGCCCTCAAGGTCAACACTACCATGGCCCCTGCTCAGATCGCCCCGTCACCCATCAAATCAGCTACACCAGCATCATCTCGCGTGCAAGCCATTTCGAGTCTCGATGGCGCTGAAAACCCCGATACACTGCCGGATGCTGACCAGGACGAGGAGACAAATAAGTCTGGCGTAGGTGCCGAAGAAGATTTTGAGCTTGTGGACGATCCAAACGATGCCAACGAAGGCGATGACGGCTTCGAGGACAAGAACCGCAAGGTTATGAGACGGCTCGAGCAAGGTGATCAAGTCCAAGCCGTGTACAACATCTCCCGCATCGTCGGTCTCGAGGGATGCGAGGGTATTCTCATCATCGGCAAAGATGCTTTATATATCATGGACAACGTGTTTCAGTGTGCCTCTGGCGAGATTGTGAACGCCTGGCAAGCTCCCCTGGAGGAGCGAGACCCTTTCTCGGAGATCATTACAGATGCCAAGACGACCGAGCAACGCCAGAGCTCAAGTCGGAGCGAACAGGAGTCACGCAGCTGGAGATGGCACGACGTGATCAGTATCTCTAAGAGAAGATTCTTGTTTCGAGACGTCGCAATCGAGGTCTTCTTCACAGATGGACGCAGCTACTTACTGACGTCCATCAACCCGACCCTGAGGGACGAGGTTTTTGGCAAGCTGATGAACAAGGCTCCGCATACAAACTCCGCTAGTTCGCTTCCCAATCCTGAGGATGCCTGGCGTCTTGAGGCGCTAAAGGTCTCCGAGGAAACGCCTCAAGGTTTCGGCTCGAAATTTGGAAGCATATTCAACTCTACGCCCTGGAATCCCGCCATGAAGAAGTGGCAGAAGGGTGAAATGTCCAACTTCCACTACCTGATGCTGGTCAACACAATGGCGGGCCGGACGTTCAACGACTTGACTCAGTACCCCGTCTTCCCTTGGGTCCTGGCAGATTATACAAGCGAGGAGCTCAATTTGAGTGACCCAGCAACTTTCAGAGACCTCTCCAAGCCAATGGGTGCTCAGACGGCCGGTCGTGTTTCTGGCTTCAGGGAGTCCTACGACGCTCTGGCCGAGATCGGTGAAACTCCTTTCCACTACGGCACCCATTATTCGTCCGCCATGATTGTATCATCATACCTCATTCGCCTTCCACCCTTCGTCCAGTCCTACATTCTCCTTCAAGGCGGATCATTCGACCACGCCGACCGGTTGTTCCAGTCCATTCCCCATGCATGGAAGTCTGCCTCTTGCGATAACAAGGCCGATGTTAGAGAGTTGATTCCGGAATTCTTCTGCCTTCCAGAGTTCCTGACCAACATCAATCAGTACAACTTTGGCAACCGCGAAAGTACAGGAACCAAGGTCAATAACGTTGTCCTGCCTCCCTGGGCCAAGGGCGACCCCAAAATATTCATTGCCAAGCATCGCGAAGCACTTGAAAGCCCTTACGTCAGCCAGCACCTCCACAATTGGATTGACCTCGTATTTGGGTACAAGCAGAGAGGGGATGCGGCTGTAGACAATCTGAACGTTTTCCATCATCTCTCGTACCGAGGAGCAACGGATTTGGACAACATTAGCGATCCTCAGGAGAGACGGATCACTGCTGGCGTCATCCACAACTTTGGTCAAACTCCCCACCAAGTGTTCACTCGGTCTCATCCCGGCCGCGAGTACTTCTCTTGTCCAATACGGCGATTGGATACCTCGGTTTATGCTCTCACCAGACTATCCCACCCGTTACTCGGTATGCTCGATCCCACCAAAGATTGTTTCAAGCTAATGAAAACCCCAGAATCCCGCGAAAGAGTAGCGTCTTTGATTTACTCGCCAAAGATCGATCGTCTCATCTGCGCTTCGCCTTTCCGCCTGAATGTTGCTCCTTACGACAAGTTCCTCGAATGGGGGTACGCTGACAACAGTGTCCGCTTCTTCTTCAGCGACAACCGGAAGGTAAGACAGCCTAATAAAACGTTTGACGGAAGAATTACTAAGAATCAAAAGCCCGCGGGACTGTTTGAGAATCTTCACATTGGACAGTTGTCTTGCGCTACATTTGCAGACTCCAAGACACTTATCACGGCAGGGGAGGACTGCGTTATTTCGGTGTACGCGGTGCAGACTGCACCTGGAAAAGTAGTTGACCTCCTTCCCCGGTCGTCGCTTTTTGGCCATCGGGCTCCTGTGACAAGCATAGCTGTATCCAAGTCCTTCAGCACATTTGTGTCAGCGTCGACAGATGGCCAGGCCTTCCTCTGGGATATTAACCGTCTAGAGTTCATCCGCAAGTTGCCTCTCTCACGGCCCGTCGAATGTGCCCGCATCAACGACGTCTCTGGTGAAATCATGCTCGGGTCCGGCCCTAACGTCATCCTGTACACTATCAACGGTACAGTCCTCGTCGACCAGAACGTGTGCGCAGAACCCGATGACTATGTTCACTCTTGCGCCTTCTACGAAAGTGCCGGCGACGAGTGGCTTGAGATTTGCCTAATTTTCACCGGCCACAAGAGAGGCCGTGTGAATGTATGGAAGAAATGCGTCAAGAACGGTAAGTGGGTGTTGGAGCTGCTCCGCCGCTTGGATCATACCGATCCACGGTCAGAGGTGGGAGCCAATCATGACGCCAGTATTACTTGCATTACACCGATGCCGCAATGCGTCTATACTGGAGACGATGATGGGCGTGTGGTAAGTTTTCAGAACCCGCCGCGCAAAAGAAGCACACTGTCTAATGATGTTGCGTAGTACGAGTGGAATCTTGTCCAGCGGGACAGATAAAGCCTGGCCGTGGCCGGCATCAAAAGTTACGGGAAGGGCGGCAATCGCATCCGATCAAGGTTACCAGGGGGAATAGCGGCTTTCTACCAGGCTATCATAGAATTGGCGTCTTCTCTCTTGGTCAATTGACAATGCCGCATTTGAACGCTTGAGTGGACCACAAGTGGATTGGTAACTTCGCGTGACTGGTAGTGTACAGCATAAGCCTCAAAGCAGATAATCCCCTGTGGAAGTCAACCCACGAGCTGCAGCTCCGGTTCAGCAGCTCGCCCAGAGCCACTATCTCTGTTTGCTGTCTAGAGCCCGAACGCCATCATATTTACAAAGCTTCTTTTCTCGCCGCATCTTTCAATTTTTCTGATTCGACTCTTGCGATTATCATTCGTCGTCGTAGCCTGTCAGCTGCTTCCTGGGTCCTGCGGGGACTGTGTATCCAGGGTCATGAGCTTCCGTTTCGCTTCACGTATTTTTGTGATGATTTGACATTCGACTCACCAGGGTATGTGACGGGGATGGGCGGTGCGTTGTAGTCGCCAATGAAGTTTCTGAAGGGAGGGACAACGGCCAGCTGGATGGGGCCGAGGGCGCCGAGGACGACGGACCAGAAGTAGGCGGGCTTCTCGCGGGATGCCCAGCGGCAGTAACGAATGGGCCCGGCCCAGAATCGGGGAGTTGCGGCGGAGGACATTGTGGTGTACTGTCGCGGGGACAATTAGCGACCGTTTTCTTAAAGGGAAAGCGATTGCTGGACGTACGTACTCAATCGACCGTGTGGTGTGCCGTCCAATGATTGTTGCTATCGCTGGCGGACGTCTTTCCTCGATGCCGAAGCTCAGAATGGAGTCGCGAGAGCCGGGGCCGGCAAGGGTCGGATAAATCTCGTCGGAATAACCTGCGCTGGCCCACTGACTGAACGGCGGGCACCCCTGCCAAAAATCTCCGGGTGAGTACGTGTACGGATACCTACATGTAAGCATCTGAGGTAGACGGGAAGCTCAAACCTCCCACTCACCTGCCGGGGATTCTCCGGCCGCTAGCTTGGCAACGGCTACGTATCCCCAAGCTTCAAGACACATGCACCGGATCCCAAAAGTGCAAGTCAAGCTCTCCCGCGCAGCCAGCTACGCAACGCACCCCAGCTGTGCGCCCAACTTTCTCTTTTTTCTTGAACCTCCCAATCCACCAACCCCTCCTCCCACGCGAAGGTCTTATTTCTTCAAATTTCTGGCTTTTACCGACCTATTGACTTTCGCCAATCATGCGGTCTCTTCTTTCGCTTTGTCTGCTGTTCCTGGCTGCCGCTGTGCATGCTGTTAGCGTCACTGGCGGCCGGCTTCTGGCGATCCTCGACGATGTTGCTGAGAAGGAGGGATACTCCAAGTTCCTCGGAGATTTGGAAAGTACGTAGGGAGCTGTTTCGGGATCATCTGGAAGCTTGGGGAGAATGGCAATGGCATGGCGAGAATGCGATTAGCTGACAAACTGATCGATTAGGCCGGGGATTCAGCATCTCATACGAGACGCCCAAGAGCGAGTCTCTGCAGCTCTTCAAGCTCGGCGAGCGTGTATACGACCACGTTCTGCTCTTCCCCTCCAAGAGCAAGGGTATGCGACGCAATTGCAATTCCAGATCTATCGAGTCTATGCTTACAAGGCATCGGCAGGCCTCGGTCCCAACCTGACCCCCAACATCCTCCTCCAGTTCATCAATGCTAAGGGCAACGTCCTCCTTTCCCTGTCCTCCGCCGCGACCGTCCCGACCTCCATCGTCAGCCTCCTGGCCGAGCTCGACATCGCCCTACCCGCCGACCGCACCGGCCTTGTCGTCGACCACTTCAACTACGACACCGTCAGCGCCTCCGAGAAGCATGACGTCCTCGCCATCCCCGCCCCCAAGTCGTCGCGCGCCACCGTCAAGAACTTCTTCCACGAGGAAGGCGAGGTGATTGCCTTCCCGAACGGCGTCGGCCACGTCCTCGGCGCCGGCCAGCTCCTCACCCCGATCCTGCGCGCCCCCAAGACGGCTTACAGCTACAACCCCAAGGAGCAGGCCGAGGTTGTCGACGCCAGCGACCTGTTTGCTGCCGGCGAGCAGCTCGGTCTCGTTTCGGCTTTCCAGGCGCGCAACAGCGCCCGCTTTACCCTTGTTGGATCTGCCGAGTTGCTGAGCGACAAGTGGTTCGACGCTAAGATCAAACCTGCGGCTGCGGGTAAGGAGACTAAGACCTGGAACCGCGAGTTCGCCAAGAGGGTTGCCGGCTGGACCTTCCATGAGACTGGCGTCATTCGGGTCAACAACATTGAGCACTTCCTCAACGAGGCTGCTAACGAGACAAACCCCGAACTCTACCGCATCAAGAACGAAGTAGTAAGTTGTCTCGGTAAAGTAGATGCTGAGAGAGTCTGGAAGTACTAACCTCTGACCAGACCTACTCCATTTCCCTCTCCGAGTACTCCTGGGACAAGTGGACCCCCTTCACCGTCCCCAGCGGCGACGAACTTCAGCTCGAGTTCAGCATGCTGTCACCCTTCCACCGCATCCCCCTTACCTCCAAGGCCAGCACCGCCGACGCCGCCACCTACACCACCTCCTTCATCCTGCCCGACCAGCATGGCATCTTCAACTTCAAGATCAACTACAAGCGCCCCTTCTTCACCAACGTCGAGGAGAAGAACACCGTTTCCGTCCGCCACATGGCTCACGACGAGTGGCCTCGCTCGTACGTCATCTCGGGCGCCTGGCCTTGGTTGTCTGGCATTTTTGCCACCGTCACCGGCTTTGTGCTATTTTCGGCCGTGTGGATGTACAGCGCGCCTACTAGCTCTGCTACTACAACCAAGAAGACGCAGTAAATGACTTGAGTTGTTGGGACTTTTTTCAGTGAAGGAAGCGTGGATATGCAAATAACGCAGATACAGACAAGGAAGTGGGCAAGGGAGACTGCAATAAGTCACGGAACTCGGCAAAGAGAAAGCGAACACAAAATGAGATCTGGATTATTCTCGGCCATCTGGTCTGGAGCGTGTAACTGTAGTGTACATCTGGCTGTAGGATGCCCCCTGACGTGAAGGGGGCCAAAAGCTTAGGTTTCCAATGATTTTTACGTTTAGAGTGCTTTACTATGATTGAATTGTTCACCTCTCTCATCTCTGTGGCACGTTCTGTTCTGTAATCTGATACAACATGAATAGATGCTTCACACCAGTGTACCGCCAGGATATTGACCATCTGGAATGCATTAATTACTCTGTTGATATGTGGGTTTAGTATAGATGTTAACATTTCGTCTTGTCAAAGCTCACAATGCAGGTGAGATGCAGAGAGGTCTATGGCTCTGCATCATCGTTGCTGTTGCCTCTCTAATCTTCCACGTTTGTGCATTCATTTACCTCTCTCTTGTCATCTGCGTCACTGCTGAACATGTTCACCCTCGACGCTTTTCATACATCTTATCTTCCAGGTTGACAAAAGTCCTTACTCAAAGTGACCCCAGAGCACATACCCTTATTCCGGCACTATTCAAAATTGCAATACGCTAATGACAGCCTACCTAGTCAAACCTAGACAGCGTGGGAAATATACTCTAATGATCAAAACAAGGATTCAATTTAACATGGAAACTAACTTCCAGTGTCGTCTCCAATTCTCAGCATAACAGCAACAAAGAAGTGACGTGCACAATGTAAGAGAAGAAAAACGATAGGCAGAAGCAAATAAAACTTCCTGGTCTTCGTGTCGATCATTTGAAGAAGTTATCGGAAACGGAAAAAAGAAAGCAAAAAAAAAAAAAAAAAAAAGAATACTATCTATCCCCTTTGCTGGAGTCTGGCGAGGATCGAACCCCCGGCGAACCGGGCGGAACATCCCACCAGGCTCACGAGACAAGAGGGGACAACCCCGGGAAGCTGCACGCGCAACCACTCGACCAGCTGCACCGCAGCTGGGGGAGTGGCTTGCACGCTGCAGGCCCCAGGGTTGAGAGAATCAGCGAGTTGAGCGGCCTAAGTAGTATCTGGACATTGTTGACCATTTCGAGGCTGGGGCTGAGGATGAACCTGGATGGTGAGTGGTGAGCCTGTATGTCCGGAGGATGGCTGGGTCATTTTCCACATGTGCGTTGTGCAATCGAGGGCATCAGAAAGGTTATTATTCTTAGGTAAGATGTGGCAATGGATGCGGTTGCTCTTCTTGAGAATGAACATTATGGAACAGGAATTGGAAATAGAGATTCAGCCAAAGGATCGTGCAGTTGACCGCCAAAGGCTACTGGAGCGAAGGGATAGCCCACGTAGGGAGTGTGATGAAACGGAGGGATCATAGTCGACTATAACATGATTCCGTCCAAGACCGCCGTTTCATGAGGAAATTTGCGACTACCCTTAGGTTGAACTTGGTACTACAACACGCTTCATCCTGCCCCTTGAAATACAGCAAAAGCTCAACGCGCAGCTGCTACCACTGCTTGCGAGACTGTTCTGCCAGTGAAATATGACCGTTTCCACCTCTCGCCCGAGAGTCTTGCTTCATTTGCCGACGCAGTTCCTTGTTGTATGCCGGCGTCTTCATGTACTCGGACTTTGGGCGCGCCGTCCAGCCCTTGCCGTCGTCGATGTAGCCCCACTGGAAGGGGTCGCCGTTTTTGCTGCTGCTGGACCCCATGTTGTATTTTGCTTGCTTGTTTGAGATATGTGAAGTCTGTGGTGATGTTATGGTACGTTCTGTGGTGAGGTCTTTGGGTGTGATGTTCGAATTGTCTAGAATAAATGCGTCAGTCATGATACCTTTGGTCAACTCCCGGTTGCACTTACATCAAATAGGTATGTTCGCCTTAAATAGCATGAACTTGTTGTTTTATTAAAGAGAAAGCAGTAATGAAATGGAAAATTGTCTATTTATCTTTCTGAGAATGATAGCATGAATAGGCCTGACCGCAGCCAAAAGTGGACATTATGATCCGGAGGCTTTGCCCATCAGTCCTGGGTTGACGTCAGCCATCATCCGTGGCCGTTACTAAGGTAAGGTAGTTAGATGGGCATCTAGCAATGTCGATCTTTGGGGGTGTAACTGGCTGAGAGCTGGTTCCTTCACTTGCCGTATCGGGAAGTAAAAATGGCCAAGACAAGCAAGTTGCCCCTTTCATTGGTCGGAACATCCTCCGGGCTCCTACACCACACAATTCTAGCACGAGGCACCGCATAATATTACACCCAGGGCATCCGTGAGATCCGCAATTTGGTTGACTGACCAAGGAGGGCCCCGAGGGGGAGTCTTCTATTTACTTTGCACAAAGGATGTGGGAGGTTCTGCCTTGTCTTTTAATAGGTAGGTTCCTCGAGTGACTCTATCCCAATTAATTCCGCTCATAATGCCACCCTGGCTAGTTCTCATCGAAGAGACTCGCACAATTTACCTCTGAAACCCGTGTTATCGAGCGCTCCGAAAGGTTCCGAAGCGCGTTCAAAAAATAGAAGAAGTGGTAGGAAAAGATTTCACCCGCCCGCTGTCCGCGGCTGGCCAGTGGCCTCCCACCTCAGCAAGAGACGATCATGTCTAAACACAACAACGCTCATAGCAGGCAAGACCGTAGGAAGCGAATGGCGTGTGGTCACTGGCTCAGCGAGACGCAGAAATATGCAGACTTTTAATTTTTCGCTGCGGACAGTTGGCTTTCAGGGTTCAATTCTTAGGCCGGTGAATGGAAAACGACGAGTCGGAATGGTTGGTAGTCCCATTCAACCACCGAGTCAGGGAATCCAACGAATCCACCTGGTCCACCTCTCTGACCCATCTAAGCCGGAGGAAAAAATTCTGACCTGCGGCGCCAACCTCGCACTTCCACCTCATGCACAGCCTATACAGCCTATATAATCCCACTTGATCCTTCTTCACCGATCCACCCGCAGGCTTTACTTAACTGTGATACATAATACCAAAACTGTGTAAACAACAGTTGCCGAGGATACCAGATCTGGAGGCAGGGAATAGTTAAAGATATCTAAGTAAAATCTGCTCTCCATCCATACTGGAAAAAAGGAAATGTCTATTAGCTCGTGCTGTTATCTATATGTACTGAGTGTTACTGGCTAGTGCAGGACAGTTATGTTGCGATGCTGGAACGTGTGTGGCAAATGCGTGCCGGCTTGCCGTCTCTTAGACGATGGACAACGAATGCCAACTCCCTTTTGATCTCTGGCAAGTCATTTCAACCATGGATGGTTTCGGTAGATTAGTCCTCATGACATATTTGCGAGTCATTGAGTCGTGGTCCACGTCTAGGATCACTTTTTGAAGAGATCCACTGCTGCTTTAAATATCTTTCCTTTGTTCCCGAAATGCTCGGGTCGACCAGCAATATAATAAACATTTTGACCCAGAAAGCTTCCTTTATGAACCCCATGCTGGCATAACGATCGTGCCGAGTACCCGTCTGAGTTGTGCAACACCGTTGCGTTCAATGTTGGGTCTGGATCTAAGTTGATTCTGCAGTAAGTGAAATCAATACTTAAACCTTTACAATCTCTGCATTTCACAGCTTTTGAAAACCTGCCAGCCATAATCTCTACAACATTTAATATTTTAGTCTCGTCATTGAGAACAACAAGACAACTATCACAATGCAGTTCGCCGCAATCAATATTGTGGCTTTGCTTGTCGCTTTTGCAAGCGCCCAGCTCAAGGGCTTTGGGGGTAGGATTTACATCAATTTACAAGATAAACATCAATTCATTTATTCTAATGCTGTCTAGGTGAATGCCATAAGAATATTGATTGCTGCCCGTGCGATACGGGTACCGGGGCATCACTTTACTGCCAACGTAAGCAAAGCTCACTAGAATCAAATTGTCACGGAAACGCTGACTGGGATGGAAAGGGGATACTACGTCAACGACGGGGTACCGTTGTAGCTATTTCGGAAACCCGTGGCCCTGGTGCAAGGCGAACATTGGAAAGTGTGGCGACTGGCAACATTTGGATTAAATCGGTGCAATGGAATGGTTGTGGCCGGAAAGAAAACTTTATAGCCTGATCAAATTAACCGGATCGATGTTACAATCTGATGTTGGTCGGGAGCGTTAAGCGTAAACTTATCATCAACTCTCGAACGGCATTTCCTTGTTTGTGGCCTTATAGTTGACAAGCAGCTGATCAGAACGCTTGAAATTACTACTTCTGATGGCAGATGAAGAGATCAGATCGCAGCTTCTGCAGGCAAGAATGAGAAAGTACAATGGTTACACCAAAGAGTCATTGGGATTATCGTCGTTCTGCTTATCATATTACGAGACCTCATACAACTAGAGCACCGCTATCCGTCGCTGCTACAGTCCCCGTCACGTTGCGGTCCTTCACGAGCCAAATGTATGCCTCGGCAACGTCTTCAACCATACCAAATCGACCCGTTGGCACCTTCTCTTCCATTGCTTTGACCATGGATTTCTTGTCTTCCTCCTCCATGCCGTCCCATAGTTCAGTATCAACGAAGCCAGGAGCAACGACATTAACCCTGATGGGCTTCAGCTCCACCGCAAGCTGCTTGACTACTCCCTGCAGCCCACCAGCAAGGTAAGATATCACGGACCAGCCAGGCGTCGACTTCTGCGCCGCACTGCCGCTGGTGATGGTGAAGGATGATTCGTTGCTCTTTGGCAGGTACCTTTCCGCAACTTTTGCCAGCATCAATGGCGCGACGAAGCGCATTTGGCAGGCGGCAAGAATTTTGTCTGGTGTGACGTCTTGCAGCATCATCAAGGAAGGCGTGTTCGCCGCTGTGAAGACGATGTGGTCGATGGGGCCGGCTTGCCTGAAGACGGCTTCGATATTGGCTTCGGCATCTGGCCCGGAGAGATCAGCCGTGAAGCTTTGGATTTTTTGCTTCGTCGGAGTGTGGATGGCATTTTGGAGATGTGTGACTGCGGCAGAGAGCTTGGTTGTTGAGGAAGATGAAATCGTCACGTTTGCACCGCTGGCAATAGAGGCTTCTGCGACGCCTAGACCGATGCCCGACGAGCCGCCGATAACAAGAACATGCTTGCCTGCAAGTTTGTTGTATTTGGTAGTCATTGTTGCGGTTAGGTCTTTGTATCAATGAGTTTCTGTGGCGATTAAAAATTCGAGCTTCAAAAGTCGAAATTGCAGCTTGGATGGCAGTGTGAATGATTACCGTTGATACTTTCGGACTCACATTGGTATTTATCTATTTCCTATGCTCTTCAACATAATGCATAATGCAGTGATGATCCGCATATGTTGAGCTTCTGCATTTACTCCAATCGTCATTAACCCCGCGTAAACCCCGAATCTCTAGTTTTATCACAAGTCTGAAGCGGTCACATCGTCCGATGGTGTTAAAACCTAGCCTAGTTTTTGTCAACTGTTGTGGATCACGAATAAGCACTGTGCCTCATAACGGACTTAAGAGGCCGGCACGGGTTCCAAGTCCGGCATGCGAAGCCCGAGTGACTACATACATCGAAGCTGTCCATGATCACGGCGCCACACCGGCTTCGGGAAAGCTCCACTTAACTCCGCCATTCATCACCTCTATCAAACTTTCGACATGTTTGAATTTTGGAAAAAAAACCCTACTTCGACTACTATCTAGCAAGTCCCACATTATGTTTAGCAGAGGTACCGTTGGCGGACATATAGTTTCATTGTATATCACCAACGACCCAATCCTTGATATCCTTGAATATGACCTTGTCACTGCGTTCAACGCACACATCTCGTTGAACATGTATACCATTTTCGGAGTTTACCCTGTTTTCATTCTTCACGGCGCCATTGCTCTTCACGTATAGGCCGTCACTCAGACCCTGCAGGCTGTCGCTGTCTTTAAAGCGCTCAGACGATCCGTCAAAGTCGTCATTTTCTTCCGATCGCTTCATACGACCGCCACCCCGGTCGGAAATCTTGCCAACGGTGACGAGAGTGTTGAATTCATTCAAGGCTGAGAGCTTCCTCTGTGAGTTTGGCCCTTTCATCCTGGCTGAGCGAGAGCCATACTGATCCCCCGAATTAGCGACGCTAAAACCTCCACCAAACCAACGGCGGAAAATTGGTGCTCATGGTGGGAGACATGCACCAATTATGGCTAGGCAGGTCTTAAAACCGTGGGCGGCGGGTAGGATAATGACCGTTTGACTGATATTGTCGCCCGTGGTTCTGGGCCGGGGCGATAGATGGCAAACAAAATGAGACGTCTGACGGATGCGAGCACAACGCTTGATGAACAAATCAAGTGAGTCATTAATGATCAGTTCGTAGCTTCAGCATGAAGGCCGACTTGACTTACCTGCCTCCTCCTAGGAGAAAGACGTAGCTCATAGCAAACTTCTTGTCCCTTGCCATCTGGAGTGCCAAGACTCCGCGAACGGGAAGCAGGATTGTCAGCAAATCAGAAACGAATTTCGGAGCCGTGATTCCAATGAAGAAATTGCTCGAATTGATACCTGTTCCAGGAATGCTTCGATCCCAAAAGCGAGGAGTCGGTTTACAAGAGTGAACTGTAAGATTTTCATGGCGTCAATATAACTAAGATTCGCCCCATAAACGCTTCAAGAAGAGATTGACTTACTGCTAACCATGATGACAGCAATGCCCCACCCATCGAGCATGGTAACAAGGGTCCAAATCCTATTCAGAAGCATTTTGGACGCTGAGAAGATTCTGTAGAACATCTCGAGAACTGCCATCTTCAACAGCGGGCTTGCAACAGCATATCGGATCTCCAAGAAAAGCATACAGTGTGAAGTTCCCAGTCAATTTTCACGGACTCCGGGCATTGTGGTTTGAATACTACATATGCTCATTGCTCAAAATTCTGCCGAGCAGCCACAGATAACGCACCTTCAAAAGTGCTGAATCACCAACAAGATAGGATGTCACTATTTGAGTCACGTCTGTCCCAAGGTCACACTCCACTGTTGAAAGGCTTTGCTAGTATAGCAAGATGCCAGCGGAGAAGGCCCCGGAAGAAGAGGCCATCTAAAAACTACATAGGTTGACTTACAAACGCCTTCCATAATCAGCATAATGTGATTAGCAACCTAGAGTATTTGTCCGTCGGAAATGAAAGGCGCCTTGGAATATGAATATTCTCACCAATGATACGATGGCAACATATTCGTCAAGGGTCCATGACGATTTGGCGACAGCTCAGGGCGCTCCAAACACGTGGAAATCTGGCTCCATTGATGACGGTGTTGCTGGGCATTTTCGAATGGGGCCCACTGCCAAGAACTGACGGGCCATCCCCCGAGGTCATCGTCAGTGAACTCCGGCAGCGCCAACCTAGACGTGGACTTGGGAGTTTTCTGGTCTGGGCTTCGACATTTTCAGTATTATTCGTGGAGATTTCTTGTCGCCCAAGACCTGTACCACTTTCATGGTATTAGGCGTCGTTATTGTAGAGCTTCAGCTAGGGTTATTGGCTGAGTCGCAGAGTCAAGTAGGAGTCCAAGGTAAGGTACTTTACATGAAAAGAACTTGATTATGCTTCATAGGGGCGACTATGTAGACAACTGAGATGATGGTTTGCTCGTGCAGATTTCGCTCCTGTTCCATTGCTATTATCCCTCCGATTTGCGCGGGCACTCATCCCGGGAACCCGTCGGGACAAGGATTTGTTTGCAGGCATCCGCAAGTACGTACCTCCCGGCCGGATACCCGTCAACTCGGATATCCACTTCCCCGACGGCGGCGACCGGCTTCGGGCCGGGCTTTTGCAATTGGGGAATGGATAATGACATCATCTTCCTTCAGTATATCTCATGGGTCCGACGCTTCTGCAGCATCATTCACAGAGTGGCTTCCTTTTCAAACAACCGTCACAACCGTTTTCATCTGGGTATTACTGTCAAGGGAAAAAAAAAGTGTCACTCTCAAATTGTAAGTAGGCCATCCCTGAAATAGTATCGAAGAGTCAAATAGTCAGGTCGGCTGGAGGGTGCGCAGTCCATCTATTTCTATAAACTGAATTGTAAATTGCATCAGTCGACCCCGCGAGACTATCATAGTGCTATACGACTACAAATTGAAGAGTGCCGAGGAAAAGTCGGTCGTCAGCGTCGAAGTGACCCACCCACCCAACGAGACCACTCCACAACGCCACGCGGGGGCTACGGTTTTAGCGCATATAGTCGAGGAACGAAGAGTCAGTGGCATGAATGGGAACCCGCTAAAGGTGTATGAGGTGAGATTAAGCTTCATGGAGTCGCCCGGCTGCCATCCCACAGTCAGAGAAAACAGCAGTGAAAGTCGTGCAGGGCTGATTACTGTCTTCATTTTGAATACTGAGGTTTTTTAATCAGGCTACAAAGGACTTAATATGGAAGACGATGGGTTTTGAACAGCGGTACTACTAAAACACATTTGGCTTCCAAGAATCCAGGCGCACGGTTCACTGGATGCTTCATGGAAATGTTGTGCGTGGTCATTATTACACTATGGTGATCATGGAAACGTCGATGCTCGTAGGAATACTATACAAACTCTGTGCCTCTTCTCAACAGTACAATAACTAGACCTCAAACAGCCCAGTAAATCTCAACTTTGACGCTCTCCACGTAATTGGCCCAGCCACCGAACCTCGCCTTGGCCCATACCGTGACCACGTCTCCCAGCTTGAGGTTGCGAACGAATTTTCCAGTCGCAGTGCCCTTGCCCCGACCTATGTCAGCCAGTCGGTCGGCATCGGGGGACTCTGGATGAACGTCATCTGTCCAAGACCAGACTACCTCGTGGTCCATGAAATCCCTGTTCGCAGTTTTGTTGGTCTGTATCTTGAGGTTCTCCAGCGGTTGGAGGCCGTGGGTATAGGCGATCTTTCCATCAGAAGTTGTTTCGACCGGCGGATATATCGACTGGAGTCCGCAGGTGCAGAGATTCGTTTCGTTGGTGAAGGGGGCCTCCTCGGACCCTGTATCCGAGCTCGCTTCTGCCGTCTTGCAAGATCCATCACCTGTCTCATTAGTACCAGAACATACTCCCATGAGCAGAAGGTCAGCTTACAGGTGCGCTCCTTGTCAAACTTCTCTAAACCAGCCTCAAACCAAGACCAGGATCCTCGATAGGAACCACGATCGCCGTGTCCACCGCCCCAGCCCTGATCCTTGCTCCGCAGCTTGAAGACGATCTTTCGGACCGGGTGGGTCAGAGTGGGCGGCGCCTTCATGGACCCTGTGAAGTATTCTCTCGGGGCCTCGGAGGCCATTTCGGTGGGGCTCGCCGTGGGTTCGAGCAGCGTTAGGTTGCGGAGAGGCTCCGTAACTGGTGATCCATCACCCGACTTGGGCGGGAGAGGAGCAGTCTTGAACGCCGGGCCGACAGTCTTGAAGTCGAGGAATCCGATAGGTGGACACCTCAGGATGAACTTGTTCTCGTCTCTGCTAGTGCCGACGACGCGAAGAGCATCGCGGAGGGGTGTGACTGCATGGTAGATGCTGGCTTCGGAGTGCGGCCAGTATTCGGCTTGGTCAATGATGAGGTCCAGGAGCTCGGGCGGGAAGTTGAAGGCCTTCTCGACCATGACCCGAACGACTATGACATCGACGTGCGAGGGCTTGTAGTTCCCGGGCTCCTGCGCGGCCGGTCCCGAGTGGTCATCTTGGGTATCTGACTGCATGATCCCAATGGCTTTAGCGAGAATAGCACCTGCTGCTATTGTTGCGAAGGTTCCGGCGTGTTGTTGGAATGAGGAGAAGAAAGACATGAATGCGCGGAGGAAATCTTTTGGGAAGATGATGAGGGGTAACTTGTGTAGGCTCCGTTTTCGTAGGGATCTCGTGGTAGTGTTACGTGTGGAGGCGACGTCAGCTAAGGCAATCGTCTGGCTACTTCAAAGGTTCATTTCGGGGCCGGTGCACCGGAGGCCTACGGACCAGCATGCTTAAATTGACGTCAGTGGGTAGGTGGATCACTGATGGTGGGGTTGCGAAATGTCACTGATGCGACCCCTGCTGCGGTGATAAGCGATCGCATCCATTATCGTCACGTGAAATTACACCATCGCTAGCCAGTGACGAAAGACAATGGGCCGTCGCCTGAAGAGCTCCAGCTTACAAACCGAAGGCCGATGTCGTCGATATTTCCGTTCAAAATGCCCAGAGTGATAGCCTTGGGCTCTTCATAGCTTCAATTGCCAAGTTTCCGCCATGAAGTGCCAAAGAATCGTCTCGCTGGCCCTTCGCCAGGCCCGCGCACCAACTTCGCACGCCCAAGCTCTCTCCGTTTTTCAGAGCTCCAATGTCGCGGCGGCCGCTCCGCTTGGCAACCGACAATGCGCCCACCACTTCCACTCCAAGTCGGCTCGGAAGGCCTCGAACAGTCCCGGCGATGCGTCGAACCCGGCAATGGCATTCCCATGCCTTGATGCTTTGGAGAACCGATCCGCGAGCCTCGAGGCAAGGTACGAATCGAGTGGTCCCGAGCCCTCTTACACCGCTGGCGCGACGGAAATATACCGCTGCAAGGACCCTCTCCTGCTCGACTGGGGCGGTGTTATTCCTGAATTCGATATCGCATATGAGTCTTGGGGCAAGATGAACGCCGACAAGTCGAACGTCATTCTTTTGCATACCGGTCTCTCAGCGTCGTCTCACGCGCATTCGACCGACAGCAACCCGAAGCCCGGTTGGTGGGAGAAGTTCATTGGACCGGGGCTGGCTTTGGACACCGATAAATACCACGTTATTTGCACGAACGTAATAGGAGGCTGCTACGGGTCAACGGGACCGAGTAGTATCGACCCCGCAGACGGACAACGATATGCGACAAGGTTCCCAATTTTGACCATGGAGGATATGGTGCGCGCGCAGTTCCGCCTCCTGGACGGACTCGGTGTGGACAAGCTCTACGCCAGCGTCGGCTCAAGCATGGGCGGAATGCAATCGCTAGGCGCAGGAGTTCTTTTCCCGGACCGCGTTGGTAGGATCGTCTCCATCAGCGGGTGCGCCAGAAGCCACCCCTACAGCATTGCGATGCGCCACACGCAGCGGCAGGTCCTGATGATGGACCCGAATTGGAACAGAGGCTTCTACTACGGCAGAGTTCCGCCGCACGCCGGGATGAAGCTCGCGCGGGAGATCGCGACCGTCACCTACCGATCGGGACCGGAATGGGAACAGAGATTCGGCAGACGGAGGGCGGACCCGAGCAAGCCGCCCGCGCTGTGCCCCGATTTCTTGATTGAAACGTACCTAGACCACGCGGGTGAGAAGTTTTGCCTTACGTACGATCCTAACAGTTTGCTCTATGTCAGCAAGGCGATGGACCTTTTCGACCTCGGCAGGGAGAACCAGGTCGCCGCCAACGCGAGAAGAGCAGAGCGCCAGAGGCTCCTGCAGTCTGGGGAGTCGCCCGCGCGCAATGATGCAGCTTGCAGTCTCACACTGCCCGAGACCCCCTACGTGGAGCAGCCGGAATCCAACGCCGGCGCGGCGGCCGATCAGCCCGTCGAAGTCTCCTCCAGACCCCCGGAAGATCTCATCGCGGGCCTCGCGCCCCTGAGAGACACTCCGGCTCTCGTGATCGGTGTGGCGAGTGACATCCTCTTCCCCGCCTGGCAGCAGAGGGAAGTGGCTGAGGCCTTGAAGCTTGCTGGCAACAGGAATGTTGCGCACTATGAGCTGAGTGAGGAGATGAGTTTCTTTGGGCACGACACGTTCTTGTTGGATCTTAAAAATATTGGTGGAAATCTGAAGAACTTCCTAGGTTGAAAATGTATTGATGGGAGCGGCAAAATGTAAAAAGTGTTGGAGTTCAGGAAAATACTGCATGAAATAGGTCTTTTTTGGGGATGCCGCGTGTACCACTTGCATAGCCATGTACATCAATTAGGCAGGAAAAGCATTGATGATGTTGCCAATTTCTCAATCAGGTCCTCTGCATATGAAAAGCCTTTATTAAGTCAATTCTAGTGTCTAGTTCAATTTTTATTGTCATTTCAGAAAGTTCGGGAACTATGATAGATTTGGTCAGCAGCAAGACCCCTGGCCACGGTTCGGGGCCTTCCTTAAGGGCCAAACCGTTCCAATGGTGTGACGTCAATCGCTTCACCTACCTAGCTCACCTACATCAAATCAACCCCATACTCACCACAAGCTTGACAAGTCACGTTTATACGCTCTGTTCAGAGAGATGAGAGTAGCCGCGCTCGTCGTTCGACAAAAACCCCATCGTGTCAACAACAGACCAAAGTTTAGCGACTTTCGATCAGCCTTCATTCGACCAAGCCTCTCAAATAGGCATCCAATTCGCGCCGTCAGAAGCATGTCGACAGTGACACTTGAGAAAAGCGGCATCCAGGTCAAGCTACCCGATGGCTTGTCAGAGGACCAACTGCTAGGTTTCCGACCTTTCAACGTTTGAAGCTATTCCAGTCTCCGACCACGAAACAAGCCCGAAGAAGACTGACTGTCCAGCTAGGATTGGGTCAAGAGCCTCGGCAACACCCTGAGCCTACAAGCCAAGAACAAGGATCACCCATTCCATCAGGACCCCTACCATCTACGCGGTATCACAGTCCAGGCGTTCGACATCTTCGGCTCTGGCCGAGTCGGTTTCCTCAAGGTCTCAGCCGACGTCAAGAATGGAGCAGGAGAAGGGCTGCCTGCTAGCGTGTTCCTCCGCGGGCCCAGCGTCGGCATGCTGGTGATGCTCATCCCCGATGACGCACCGCCCGATAGCGACGAGCGCTACGTCGTCTTGACGGTGCAGCCCCGCGTGCCTGTCGGCAGCCTTTCATTCGTCGAGTTACCCGCTGGAATGGTTGACGACAGCGGCAGCTTCGCCGGCGCGGCGGCAAAGGAGATCCAGGAGGAGCTCGGCTTGGAAATTCACGAGTCGAAGCTGACGTGCTTGAGCGAGCTAGCCGGCGCGGGCAGATCAGCGGGAAATGAAGCCGAAGAGGGTCTGGCAGAGGCAATGTACCCTTCTGCGGGTGGATGTGACGAGTTTGTGACGCTATATAGCCACGACAAGAGGATCCCCCGCAGGCAGTTGAAGGATTGGAGCGGCAAGCTGACTGGCTTGCGGGATCACGGGGAGAAGATCACGCTGAAGCTCGTGCCCATGAAAGATCTGTGGCGGGAGGGCGCGCGGGATTCAAAGTGTCTCGCAGCGCTGGCTCTGTGGGAGGGACTCCGGCGCGAGGGCATGATATGACTGGGGCAGCACGTTATGGAGGTGAGACGCAGGCATGCGGCATCATTATAGCTTGAATTTCTTTGCTAGTTCGATGCCTTCGGCAATCGTTCCCACGCGGGCGTCGATGGCGTAGCCCTCCTTCTCGAGACGGACGCACTCTGCCCAGAAGTTGGTCAGCGGCACGGTGAAGACCTCGATGAATTCTCCCTCTTCCAGCTCGGCCTTGGGGTTTTGGTTCTCGGGAAGGGAGGTGTCAATGGTGACGTGGATCATGCGTAGGTTCGTGTTGCAGAAACCAGGATCTGAAAGTTCCGATATTAGCTACGCTATTCGAGAGGCTCATACACTTGGTTAATATACCATTGAACATAATTGGCGTAGTCTCGGACACCTTGCCAACATAACCAGTCTCCTCCTTGAGCTCGCGCACGGCGGCCTGCTCGGCCGTCTCGCCCTCGTCGACGAGTCCCGCGGGGACCTCGATGGTGATCTTGTCAATGGGCGGGCGGTACTGCTTCTGTAGGATGATCTCGGGGCCGGTGGGCTTCTCGAGGATGGCGACGATGCCAACACCGTCGATCTCGCCGTTCTTGGGCCGGGTGCGGCGTTCGGCGGATTCCCAGGTGCGGGCGCTACCATTCTGGTCGTCGTAGTTAATCTTGACGAGCTTGATCCAGCGGGCCTCGCCCTCGCCCTGCAGAATACGGGTCAGCTTTCAGTGCTGTAGGCACCGGTGAAAGGTTGTCAAGCTTACCAGAGGGCCGGTGGCGGTCACTTTGGCGGACATTGTAGACGTTGTGATGATGCTTGGCCGCGAGTTGGAGGAGTGTCTTTGGAGCTTCAGCGGCATGGCGGGGTAGCTTCTGTCACTGGCCAGTGCTTTCGACCCCGCGGTGTGTCACCTCTCTTAGTCATCACTTAGGTGCCACCTAAAGGCAAGGTGCCTTACCTGCGGAACGCTTTCCATGGGCCCTGATGGCAACCTGATGTTTTAGCCCAACGTGAAGGCATGCTCCTCCAAACTAAACAGGCACACAGGGAAAGCTAGCCGATCGGTGGCTACATAGGTATTGTACACTCATACTTGCCGGACTACCTTACTCACAGTAGCGGCGCAAAGTCACTTTAGGTTGTTGCAGGCAATTTGGGCTGTTCTAAGTTGACTACTAAGCCTTACAGCACGGGTTCCAAAGCGTCCAACGAATTTAAAGGACACTCCTGCCATTCCCCGAGACGTTTTGTCTCCACAAATAAGTTGAACGCGAGCGAACTCGGTCCGAGAAAGCTATCCAAGGTAGTATGGTATTTCGAGGTTCCTGGACGTGTCACCACGCAAGTCGTTATCAAGCTTTTTTGACGGTCCAGAATCTGTCTGGAGATGTCCAAGGGACCCTTGTCCGAAATGGGCCCCCCAAAGTCCATTGGGATGATCGCGGTTCCGGGCTTAGACGAACCTCTCCCACAGATCGTCGAATATCCCTCAGAAATGAGGTTATTCATCTGGGATGAAGAAGCAACAATGGCGCGAGATGCCAAGGCCACCTTTTGCTAGATTTTGACACCAGCCCAGATAAGGCACGGCCGTCGTCATGGTCAACGAAGAAGCTTGCGTCTTCGGGCTCCTTTTGTGCCGACGAGGATAAGACCGGGGAGGCCACGACTAACTGCTTACGCCACGGTACGGATTACCAACCGGTCGTATTCAGCCCAACGACGACTAGCGCCAACACCAAACATGCGACAGCCGTAAAACCAGCCGGTGGGCACTATTGCAACGGGGGCCATAACGGCGATAACGTGCTATCGCAGAGCTCTTTCGTGTCATGTTGGAAGGGATTCTCTGCGGTGTCCAACTGGCCGTCTGACTCGCATTGGTCGCTGGCCCAGGTTGCTCACAAGGACTGGCCCGCTCAGGCGGTCCACAGCCATGGTCCGATTCCTCCGTATTACAGTTGAGGGCCAGTGACTGGTTGGCGACGCGATCGACCTTCCTCTACGGGAAGGATTGCCGCTACACCACACCTGGCACCGCGCCTGGTCATGTTAGAGGCTCTGACTTCGTTGTAGATATTTACTCCTCAAAATCTTTGAGACGTCCAACTTTTCCTTTTGTCCGTTCGTGATTCTCTTCTTGTCACTCTCTGGGTCGTCACGAACGACAATCGTTACAAGATGGCGCCTACCAAAACAGTTGACGACCGCAACGGCGACATCGAAGGCAGACCCGAGGAGGAGACGCCGTTGTTGTCCCACGACTTGCCATCCACAGTCGCTCCGAGCAAGAGTTACCAACTCAGAGTCATTGTTCTGGCAGTGACCTTCATTCTTATAGTGGAAGTTGGCGCCTGGCTTCAGGTCCCGCCTGCATATCAGCTCATGGAGAAAATCATCTGCCACCAACGCTACCCCGACCATATCATCTCGTCCGAGGACGACGACATATGCAAGGGCCCGGATGTACAGGGTGATCTGGCCATGATCAGAGGCTGGCAGAACTCGTTTGACTGCGTTCCGCGTACGTCTCGCTCTTCAATCCCGACTGTCGCTTCGGTCTAATTACGTCTGCAGCACTGCTCACCGCGATCCCCTACGGAGTTGTCGCGGATAAGTATGGCCGCCGGCCAGTCTTGTCCCTGGCCATGTTAGGTATCACACTGGAGCTTCTCTGGATGCTGCTACCGCGTGAGTATCGAATCGACCCCTTTCATGCCAAAGATATTGGCTAAGTGACGACAGTTCTATGGCCCGACGTCCTCCCTCTCTGGACAATGTGGTTCGGGGCAGCCTTCCAATTCATAGGTGGAGGCGCAGGCATGATTCAGGCCATGACTTGGACCATGATATCTGACGTAGTCCCCGTTTCCAACCTGTAAGGACTGTGCACTACCGATATCGTTTGCCCAATGGCTCACGTTTGATAGGACGGCGGTTTACTACAGAATCGGTGCCATCGCGCTCGTAGGAGAACTTGTAGTCGCGCCACTCAGCGCCTACCTCTTGAGCAAAAATCCCTGGCTGCCACTCACCGTCGGCATGGCCCTCTTGATCATTGGCACTTTCCTACCTCCCTTCATCCCGGAGACGCTGGACCTCCGCCGCGCCGCCGACCAAGAGGTCGAGCAGACGCTCCAGCGGTCCGAAGAAGACGCGAGGGACAAGCGCACGCTCAGGGAGCAGATTGTCTTCGCCGTGAAGAACGACATGGGTCACGTGTACAACTTTTTGATCAGGTCCAAGAGCGTGATTTACCTCGTGGCGGGTTTCAATCTCACAGTCATTGTCAAGTTTGTCAAGGTAGACATCATGTCGCAGTACGTGCACAACTTGTTGGGATGGTCTTGGGCGAAGGTGAGTATATTGAAATCGCCGTCTCATGTTGTCATCTCATGTTGTAAACCACGTGGGCTTCGTAGCTGACAATTCTTTGTAACACGGCAGGCAACACTCCTGGGAACCGTCTCAACGGTCACAAACATAGTCATGCTGCTTGTTGTTCTCCCCGCACTGAGCTGGCTGATCACCAAGCGGACGGGCGTTCATCCTTTGGTCCGCGACCTCTGGCTCACCCGAATGAGCGGCATCCTTCTGGCCATCGGCTGCTTCATGGTCGCCATTGCATTCGCGCCTTGGTTCTTGATTACCGGTACGTCTCTTCCCCCCCTCTCGACATCGGGCTGGCCCTCGACCTCAAACACACTGATTGCTGACGTTTTACGAAGCCCTCGTCGTCTTCTCAATGGGCACGGTTTACACAAACATTTGTCGAGCAATCCTCAACGCCGTCGTCGAGCCGCACACCATTGGTACTCTGAACACGGCCATCGCCTGGGTAGAGCAAGTGAGCTTGCTCGTCTCGGCCCCGGTAATCTCGGCCTTGTTGAAAGCCGGCAACTCGGCAGGTGGCCTATGGCTCGGTTTGCCGTATATGGCGGCGACTCTCATGGCTATCGGCGGTACCGCAATCGCTTTTATGTATCGTTTGCCCAGAGACAGGATCCGCTAGATATGGACTCTGTTCGTTTCTGGGAGGGATAAACACGATTTCTCGGAATGCATACCCATCAGAATATAGAAAGATGTACAGACTACACACGGCTCTTCTCAATTTCAATTTCGAAGACAAATCGAAGAACAAAGTTCTCAACTTTTGAAAAGTTGCTACGTGCAAGCTTTGGCCAGGGATATTTTTCCACATTTAGGATTGCTCCTGGTGGAGCGGGGCCAAAGCTGATGTCTTAGTCTCACTGGGCTTTCAGCGCCACCTGAGGTAGAAAGTTTCAAAGCCAGGATGTGTCTTTCCAGTTGTGACGACTTGGAGGTAGCATTGGCGGGCGAGATCATTGATCCTTCGCCCAATGAACACTTGCTGACCATTCCAGGTTGCATACCCGTATTCCCGGCCTTAACCCGCGCCGTCTGCTAAGGTACCTTACCGCCATAAGGTACCCAAGGGCTCATCTGATAACGATAAGAGCTCCAAACACCCCGAGCAGGACGCTGAGGGATAGCGGGGGTGGGGTCGCCGCATGATGTAACAGTGAAGCGAGCCAACGACTTTTTTGTGAGTAGCCGGCGAGGCAAACAGTTGCCTCCTGACACTCATCCACAAATTTCAACTGCTTTGTGTTACTCTCTAGGTACCCTCGCATTTGTAGGCACCAGTATACAGACTTTGTTGATAATACGACACGCACTTCACAAGCTCTCTGCCATCCTTCACTCCTATTCCGAGCGCAAGGGAGACGGCAACACACACCGCGCTGCCAGACTTTTTCCCATCCCCGCCCACCAACCCCGCCAACCTGCCCATCATAGGCCGCCGACGCCGCGACAAGCACCCCAAGGGCCGGCCCAACTCGAACCGGCCGCGCAAGAAGATGGGTAACGAGGAGTCCACGATGCTGGACGACAGCGTCCAGCCCAAGACGCTCGAGTCGCGCTCACTGGATGCCCTTGCCGACTACATAAAGTCCGGCGACGTCAAGAAGATTGCCGTCATGACTGGCGCCGGCATCTCCACTGCCGCTGGCAGTATGTCTCCCTCGACGATGCTTTGATCTCTAGATAAGGAGAAACCTAGAACGTGTCTAACAAACCCTCTCCCAGTTCCCGACTTCAGATCCCCCGGCACCGGCCTCTATGCCAACCTCGCCCGTCTCAACCTTCCCTACGCCGAAGCCGTCTTCGACATCTCCTACTTCCGCAAGCACCCCGAGCCCTTCTACTATCTCGCTAAGGAGCTCTACCCGGGCAAATTCTACCCGACAGTATCCCACGCCTTCATCGCCTTGCTCGCCAAGAAGGGCCTTTTGCAGATGAACTTTACCCAGAACATCGACTGCCTCGAGAGGCGCGCCGGCGTGCCCGACGACAAGATTATCGAGGCGCACGGGAGCTTCGCCACCCAGCGCTGCATTGAGTGCGGTGACGTCTTCCCCGCCGATCGGATGGAGAAGCACGTCCAAGACGAACATGTCCCCAAGTGCGATTCCTGCGGCGGGCTCGTGAAGCCGGACATCGTCTTCTTTGGGGAGGCGCTACCGGAGGCGTTCCGTAATAACACTCACCTACCCGCCATGGCCGACCTCATCATCGTCATGGGTACGAGTCTGTCGGTGTACCCTTTTGCCGGCCTGGCCGAGGCTTCCCGGTCTGGTGTCCCCCGGTTGTTGCTCAACAGGGAACGGGTGGGCCAGATGGGTCGCAGGGCTGATGACGTTGTCGAGTTGGGGACTTGCGATGCTGGAGTACGCAAGCTTGCTACTCTGCTTGGTTGGGGTGATGAGCTGGAGGCCCTTTGGCGCGGTATTGTGGGTGAAAAGGAGGCTGAGAGGCAGCTTGCATCGGCCGCCGGCGAAGGCGCGGACGATTTGGAGGAGGAGATCCGCAGAGTCACCGAGGGCGTCGACATCGCGCTCAAGCTCGATGACAATGAGGAAGAGGATGCTGCTGCGGAGCCTACCAAGGACTCTGAGGAAGTCGGTTCCCCTCTACGGCAAGACGGCGGGAGCGACACCGAGGACGCGCAGAATAGCATCCCCAAGGGCGTCGTCCAGAGGATGTCCAAGGCGATCCAGGGCCAGGAAGAGATTGGCACGGATATCAAGGATGATCGTGGCCGTGAGGGGAGAACGATCAATGGATCCGAGGGCGCACCGCAGGACGCCAAGGACTTCCGGGTTGAGGCCAAGAGGAAGATTCAGCTTGCGGCGCAGGGGGCCGCCACCCCTCTCGACGAGGTTGCAGTCATCTTTGACTCAACTGCGCCTGTGGCTAAGATGAAGCACGAGGACCCGAAAAGTGCTGATTTGCTGAGTGGAGTGTCTCGGTATGAGGAGACTTCCGCGCCTCCTGCCAGTATCGAGAAGGAGTCGTCCAGTGGCCAGGCTCAGCCTACCCCCGCTTCCACAACGGCCCAAGAAGCCTCGAAAACTGTGGAGAAAGTGAAAGAAGATGCGCCTTCATCGGGGGACGCAAAGTTTTGATTATTTTTACCAACGATACCTACTCTGACTTTCCCCTGGAAGTTGCGACTCACTCACACTTTTCACGTCAAAAATAGAGTCTTCATCTCTCGCCTATACCCACATTGCGTTAACTACATATGACGTTCCTTACATCTACAAGATACTTGTATTTTTATAACACATGGCAACTTTGACCTGCTCATCCTTATCTATGACAACATCCATACACTTTGCACATTCTGATATGGGTCTGCGTACCCTTGGAATAAGACTCAATATTCAACGATCTGTTCTTATGCTATGTCGTAAAAATGCTTAAATGCGCATCGTTGATGTTTTGAGAAACATCCTTGCTGCCATGTTACTATTTGCGCTCCCTAAATACAGAGAAAACCCTTTAGTCGGATAATCGTAGGTAGAGTAATTAAATTTAACAAGATGTGCGGTTTTTTCCATCTAGCGTTTCAACACCAACTGTTAAGGTACAACAATCTCTCGTATTGCAGAACTAGGTTTCTTACAGGCAGCAGAACAAAAAAATGGATAGAAAAGAAAAGAAAAGGCAGGGAAACATGAAAATAAAAAGGGGAATCGAAGAAAAGGTCAAGCAATTGGTTGAGTGTGGCACTTCGAGCACGACCAGGTTCACCTCAGTGGCTTCTCCCACTTACACCGCTCGGTCACGGCCACCTCCCACTATTGCTTGAAGACAAGAGGGAAGGAGAAGAGACCTAGTTACCTCAATTCAGCTTCCCAGGTAGTATTGACGACGTCGAGAAGACCTTCACGTGGAAAAGTCGAGCACCATTCGGAATACACAATAGTCCAATCTACTCGCTGCTCAAAGCTCAACTACTTCCCCATCGATGATGTTCCGTGCATTGATTGCTACCGAAGAAACAGCTCCATCCCGATGGTAAAACCATCGTAACCTCTTCTCATCGTCTAGGCCGAGACGCTTTCCACCTGATATCAAGCCATCCTTGATTTCTACTTACACGTTGAGATTCATTGAGGACGTAAACGCAGCGAAAGCGACTTGAAGCTAACTTTCCTCCCTCGGACACGTAGCCTCATCCCATTGAGACCTCCAGCATGTGAAGAAACCCGGCGGGCATCTCAGAGTATGCCTCTTCGGAGAGAGCGCCATGCACCGTCGATGCTGGTGCTCGAACTGGAAGTGCCCGCGCCCGCTATCGTAGTCGAGGCACATGTCTTGCATGAACCGGACGATGGGCACCGATCGGCAGCCGTGGTTGCCGTTGACGCTGGCCCTGCCGCCGTTGAGGTAGAACCAGGAGTCGGTCCTCTCGCACGATTTCGGGTCCCAGGATGTGCATCTTGTGTGTACGACCAGGTAGTCGGCGATGCAGCTGGTTGCGATGGCTGCTACGAGGGCAGCTAGATCGACACGCATTTTGGTTCTTTCTTTTTCTTTTTTTCTTGCTTTTTCTTTTACTCGGTGCTTGAGGGTCACTTTCTCTTCTGCTGTACTGGCACGGTCTGTCAGATTCCAACGTTGAATCTCCCAGTTGTTTAGTTATTGTCTTACCAGGTGAATTCAATATGTACGCATGTTTCAAGGTAAACGAGTCTGTGGTCTTTTGAAGATGGAAAGTCTGAGGAGAGGCCCCTTTGCTTTGAAAAAGTTCCACTACGGCACGTTGTGTTTGAAATGTCCTGAGAACCGTTTAGGATTGCTATTGAGTCCTAGAGTACCTTTTTGGCCCCGTCAATGTTCCATTTCACTCTTTGTGCAACGCATACACTTCGCTCGTTGTGGTACCTTGGTAGGTTGCGGCGGCGTCACTCATGCTGACGGTTGGTCGTGAAAAGTCTTGATTTAGAACTGCACGCTTTGAAGAGACTGTAATGAGCTAGTCTCTTATTATATAAGTTTGCTACGTCAGAATCATGGATACCATTCTCGATCTTTGGCTAACAGCAGCACGCAAGGGGCCAATGGCAGCCAAAGCATATCTCTGAGCGACTGTTAAAACAAACCCTTCGCAAAGTACTTTAAAGCTTGGTTGAGTAAGTAGTCTCATAAGCAATGATTGTCTATGCAACGATGATGTGTTTCTAAGCTATCTAATTTCACAACAAACAATGAATAGAAGCCATAAATGAAAATTGACTGATGACGTAGTTGAAGTGAAACAAGCTGTCTAGTTGATTAAGGTTCAGCACCATGTTGCACCTCATGATCTAGTCCACCGCGTCTTGCGTGACTCCATCATCGGAAAGTAGAAACTTTCTCTATCACGCGCGAGAGTAGTATCCATCCACCAACATCATTCTCCTGGAGAAGAACCCTCGCAGCCAGGAAATCAGTCAAGGCAGCGAAGGGAATCGTCAATATGACTCTCGCCCTGCTCAGAGCCAAAGCTTTTTCCTCTACCGTCTTCTCATCGCTGTATGGCCACTCGTGGCCCGAAGAAGGCGGCTTCACGTCCTTCGAGCTCAGGCCGCTGGCAATTTGGTCGCTTTAAACCTTGAGCCACTTGACGAGCGGCAAGAGGGCCGCAATATGCTGGTGCACCTTGCGACCTACCAGATGTCCCAGATGGACATATGCATGGCCACCTGCCACTGCTCGATCCTTGACCACCACGCGCTCCACGCGCTGCTCTTCGATGGCGACGAAGGCCTTCGTCAGGCTGGGCAGCTTCCAGACGCCGGCGCCGGCGGTAGCGGATTTCCCCCGGCCGACGAGATTCTATTCCTGAAGGACGTTCACCAGCAAGACGCAAGACCCAATGCAGCTGTTGCGGGATATTTCCATGATCAAGGCAGGGTAACGTCGAAGGATCTACAAAGATCTCATTCTCGAGGTGTAGCCTCTTTAGACTTTGCCACGTATTTGAACATATTCCGAACCCACAAAGCCGAGATATCAATCCCAGTCAATACAAGCCCTACAGGCAGTGATCCATTATACCAGAGACTCAGTAGACCATTTATACTTCTTGAGACGGTATCAGCAGCCAGTCAAGTAGAAGGGAAATTACGTCGAGGAGTCTCAAGAGATCTCAAGATGACACCAGCGAAGCTCCGTGCATTAAAGAGCAGAAGCCTTCAGACAGCAAGATTCAAACTCTCATCCTTCTAATCAATAATTCCGCAGGTTGACCTTGACGGGGAATCCATCTGCCGGGTGTGCTCCACCCCCGCCCTTGACTGCTTGATACGCCCTATTGCCGTTGACACTTCGAATACCGGATTTTGGATGAAGCTTGTCCCAGTCTTCGTACGCAGGCATGATGACGAACTCCCTCACGGTCATGGCCAACGCAACTTTTAACTCGATCATCGCAAGCGTCTGTCCGATGCAGTTGCGCGGACCCCACTCAAACGGCCGCCAGGCGCCTTTAGGGGGATACAACGGGTCTTCCGGGCCAACGAGCCAACGCTCGGGGATGCACGCGCCAGGATCTTTCCAGTATCTTGGGTTGTGATGTATCGCCAGGCTAAGAGTCCAGATGTTGCAGCCTTTGGTGGGGTGTACACGACCGTCTCCGTCGGTGATCTGAACGTCCGAACGTCCTTGACGCATCGCACCAGCGGGAGGAAAGATGCGAAGCACCTCTTTGATAAAGGCCGAAGTGTAGGGTATCTTGTTGAGGAGCTGCGGATCTTCGTGGATCCTACTCTGCGCCTGTGATGGGTCGTTACCGAAGACCTCGTCATGCTCTGATATGACACGCGCTACGATTTCCGGATTCTGAGACAGGAGATTGTAGCAATAGAGGAGGGTGCTGCTAGTCGTATCATGGCCTGCAAACAGGAAAAGCCGTACTTGAGGTATAATGATTTTTTTGATCGTCTGCTTCCTATCGACGCTATCCCTCTCGCTCAAGTCTTTATCGCCCAAGTCTTTGATGTATTCGTCGATGAATAGTGAAGCTATCGACTTCGAACGTTGTGTGTCGATTGGGTTTGTAAAGTTTTCAGAACGCTCGGCAAGTCTCTTGTCGATTTCTATAGAGATGTATTGGTCCAGTTCCTTCCCGTTGTGCCACAGAACGAGTGGACGGATCGTGAGGTACCTTTCTAATGGATTCAGCGGCTCGCGAAAAGACGTCCATTCGATTTGCTTACGGAGAGCTCCTGCTAAGGGGTGATCTTGTAACTGATGATGAAATCGGCTATCCCTACCCGCGATCATGTGTAAGCAACTTTCCAGAGATCATCGACTATGGTGAGAGGCCGCTACACTTACAGTACAACTGACCCGATGATATCAAAGGTCAACCTCAATGTTAGGTCCTCAAGTAATAACAACTCGCTCTTCTCGACCGCGCATTTTGCCAGAAGTTTCTTCCGGAAAATGGCCACTTCATCTGCAATAGCAGGCGCCAAACCCATCATATACCCGGCACTAAACCCCGGGTTGAACAGACGTCGCCAATGCTTCCACTCGTCTCCTTTCATTGTCAACAAGCTCCTTCCACCAGTTATCCTCTCGATGGGGTCGATGATGTCGATCCCTTTACCGAGAGCCAAGCTATCGAGCTGCGACGCTGCGTCGGCGTCTGCGAGAACCATCACAGTGCCACTGAAAGGCCAGAGACTCAGATAGAAAATACCGCTTGGGTAGTCTTCTGATATCTTCCACATGATGTTGTGGACAATGCTGTCTAGTGGCAAGGTTCCCATGATCCTTTTAATCAGTGGAAAGTGCCCGCCTAGGAAGGAATAGTCGGGTATTGGCTACAACGATTGTTAACACGGATCATCTGCGATCGAAACTATCTCCGCACCAATTCTGCTCCCTGCATTCGCCATATCGTCTGACGTGCGGCGTAAAACTTTGCAAGGAAGTAGAGTAGCGCCGCGAAGCATGAGGAAATTGTCATGGACCAGAGTCCTCCAACCATTGATAATGTTGACATAATGCTGTCGAATTATCGTCGACGTACTAAGAACTGAGTCACTCTTTAAGGAAGAGTCTTTCAATTCCAACCAAGTCTATGCGGATGAATTTGAAAATCGCAGAGGTTGGGCTGCACCGCTGCCTTGCTAGGTTGCTAGGAACATAAGGTGAGAAATCAAAAAGTTGTTGTCAGCAGAACGCCCATTTGGGGAAAGCGTCATCACAGGTAGCAGTTTAAGAAGCAACGTTTACTATTGAAAACCGCGTTTTCACCTAATCAGCCCTGCAGGCTGCCGTAAACGTCCCTGTGCCCCCCACAGCCGAAGTGAATATTATTCTTTTCCATCTTGCGATGCAGATAACGAGGTGTGCGTCTTATTCAATTTTGATAAATATATGTCCGACTCTTTCTTTTGTACCAATACTTTGCTTCACTCCCGCACCAAGCCATCAGTTAGTGTCGGATTGGAAGCCTAATTCGACCTCGAGTCAGCGCCAGCGCAGGGACCATCTGAGGGTCTCTATATCAGCGTTTGACCGGCGATCAGACTAACGGTTAAAACTTCTTTTTTCTATTTCATATAGAAATTAATATAAAAATAATTAACCCTTTATCATTATAATTCGATTAAATAAATCACTTTATAATTACGTAAACTAATATTAATTAATGATTTAACTATTATCGTAGATTAATAAAGCTATTATAAAAATAAAAAAAGCGACTTTTTAATACCGTATAAAATAAAAGAATCGCATTATTTTAATTTTTTATAAAAATCAAAAAAAAACGACTTTTTAACGTCGTATAGAATAAAAGATTTCCGATTTTTTAAACTTTTATTAAAAAAGAGGTATTTATTATATTAATAACGCCTTTAAATAGTTTATTAACAGAACCGGTTAAATTAACCGCCGACTATTAAAAAAATCCTTTTTTTTTATACTTTTTTTAATTTTAAAAAACCTTTTTTTTTTTACTTTTTTTTTTATTTATTTTTTATAATAAATACGTAAATCTATTTATTTTATATTTATATTAATTACGACCGGATTATATAATATTTATATTTATTTTATAACTTATAAAAATAAGCTTTTATTATATAACGATTAAATTAAAAAAAAAATCGAAAATATAAAATAAACTTTATAAAATCTTATTTAATTTAATTTCTTTTTTAATTTTTTTATTAACTTTTTAAATAAACAAATAAAATATTACCTTAACGACGATTTATAAATAAAAAATAAAATTATTATAAGATTTTTAAGTTTAATTAGCTTATTATAAGTATTTACTATATAAAAGTAATAAATATCTTTATAATTTAATAACAGGCGTTAAAAAAAAAGGCTAAGATTAAAATAATCTTAAAAAAAAAAAGATTAAAAACGGATTTAAAACGGTCTTTTTATACTTTTTAAAAAGAAATAGATTATTAAATAATAATAATTCGCTTAATAAATATATACGCCTCCTAGGTATTTATTTAAAAAGAAATGTACGTATTTAAAACGTTATTAAATTAATTATAATCTACCTTAATAAAATATAATAAAACCGCTTAAATTAAATAAAAAAAGTTTATAATAATTAAAAACGGTATTAAAAGCCTATTTATAAAATAAAAAATAAATATAAAAAATATTATAAAATAAACTTAAGGCGCGGGAATTAATTTAATTTTTAATAATAAGTTAAGCGACGATAAAAGGCTACCGCCGCTATTTTTAAATAAATTAAATTTTAATATATTAAAAGTTAATATAACGATCGTTTTAAATTTTAATATAAACTATAATACGATTTTAAATAAGTTAAGCTAGGCGTAAATAAAAATACTTATCTTAAATTAATAAATTATTATTAATATTTAGGCGTATTAAAGAAAATAATTATATAATAATATAAACGATTTTAATAGCGATTAAATTAATACGGCGCTACTATTTATAATTAAAATATATCGTAAATAAAACCTAGCCGAGCAAACCTTATTTTATTATATAATCGATAATTTAAATTATTAACTTAATAATTAATTTAAATTCGCAAATAAACGGATTATTAAAAAATTTAACGGATTTATTTATAATAATAAAGTCCTATTAAATTAAATATTAGCGAAGTAGCCTTATAAAACTTTTATAATAACGGTTTAAATAACTAATTTTTTAATTTAATTTAAAACGTAAGTTAATCGGGTAGTTAATCGATTCGAATAATTTACTTAGTAGATTAAAAAGCTTAAATTCTTATTTAAAATTATAAACGGAACTATTTCGGTTTTAAAATTTATATTAATTAAAAAGAAATTATTAAAAATAAAGTTATTATTATTTTTATAAACTTTTATTACGGCTAACGGATTATTAATAAAAATAAAGCTATTTAGCCTTATTTAATTAAATATAAATATTAAATTATAATTAATTAATTACGATTAACGTAATTTTAATCCTTTTTTTTAAATAAGCTATAAAAATTTAAATTTAAAAACGGTTAACGTACGGTAACTAACCGATTTATATAAAATCTTCTTTAAAAAAAGGAAGTACTTAGGGGGAAAATACGAGGTTTTATAAAAGACTTTAACTATATTCTATATTAATTATAAAAAAACTAAGATTTAAAACTATTAATATTATTTAATAATTATTATCGTTTTTATTAAAAAAGTTAAAGAATATTATTATTAAATCGTATATATAATAATCGATTAAAACGATTTTATTACGATTATTAATACCTTTCGAAGCCGTTTTAAAACTAATAATTAAAAAAAAGGGTTTTTTATTAAACTTAAAACCTTATTATTCGGATTAATAATAAAAGAAATAAAAGGTAAATTAAAGATAAAGATCTTTAAAAAGCTTATTTTATAAGTCGATAAAATTAATAAAACCTTATTAATAAAAAGAACCGACGAATAAAAAGTCGATTATTTATTAACTATAGTTTAATAAATTAATAAAATAAGATTTACTTTATAAAATTAATTTAATAATTATAAAGCGCTCTACGTTTAATTTAAAACCGGGTTTAATATCGAAATTAAAATATTTAAATAATAATAGTTTTAAATTAATAAAAAACCGTATTAATAATATTAAATTAACCGTATTTATAATAATAAAAAAAGAAAAGCTAAATACAATGCCCAATCGCAGGGTTAAAATAAAAAAATAGCTCTAAATAACCCTTAAAAACCTTTTATAATAAGGTTCCGTAGACTTTAAAAATACTATGTATATTAAAAAAAAGGCTATTAATCTAATAATTATTTAAAAAAAGAAAAAACCGAAATATATAAGCGATATAAAAAGGCGAAAGGAACCGCCGGTAAAACTAATTTAATTAAATATAATTAGTTCCTTATCGATTATAAAAGTAAATTATTTAAAATTATAAACTTTATTATAAGGTTTAAAAATATAAAAAATTTAACCGCTTACTTAATTAATAATAATAAAGATTTAAACGTTTTAAATAAAACTTAATAGCTTTATTTTATTTTATTAATAATTAACTATTTAATATTTAATAAAAAATAAGCCATAGAAGCTCTAAACGAATAAGCTTTTTTTTATAACTAGTTATAATTAGTTAATAAAGAGATTACCTAACCTCAAAACTCTTTAATTTAATCCGGGGTGAAAACTTTTTATTTTTAACTTTAAATAAGTAAAAAAAAAAGTAATTTTAAAAAAAAGATAAGTTTAATAGTAACGTTAAGACCTTTTTTATATAATTTAATTCATTAAATAAAAAGGATCGCGTAGACTTATTTTATTAATAATCGATATAGATTAAAAACCTTTTAAAAAATTATTTTAAATATAAAAGTTTTAAAATAGTTAATAAAAAGAGAAGGGTAGTTCTAAGTTTTAAAAAAGATTTATTTAACTAAATTTAATATCGCTAAGGCCGGTATTATTAAAATTATGTTTAGATTTAATAAATAAATCGTTAGGATCGGAATAGTTAATATTTAAACCTAATTCGGCACTATAATTTTTTATATATTACTTATTAATATGCCTTTTTTTTATATTTAATAAATATAGATCGCTTTAATATTATATTTAAAAACTTTATAAATAAAATTATTAACGGTAAGGCGTTTAAAATTATTAAATAATAATAAAGCTATATTTTTATAAAGCTTAAGACCGGTATTTTATCAATTTATTATTTTATAAAAACCGAACTACGGCGCTTTTATTAAAAGTTTAATTACTTATTAATTTAAAAGCTTTATACCTTATTTAAATAATTAAATAACGATATTAAAATTACGGTAATAAAATATTTAATTAAGTTTTATTATTAATATTAAATAAATATATAAAACCCGTGGCGATTTAAATTTAAAATTTATAATAAGCTTAATTTTAATTAAAAAATAATAATAAATATTTTCTATTTAAATAGCCGGTTAGTTTTTTATATAATTAATTTAATTATTTTTTTTAAATAAAGTAATTCTTTATTAATTTTTAAATAAAAACGGTTTAAGTAATATTAAAAGCGTAATAAATCGATACGTATTAAGGCTTATTTAATAATATATAAATTAATACCGGAATTAATTTTAAATTTATTAAATTTAGAAAAGAATATTAAATTATATAAAATTAAATTAAAAATAGTATTAGTTAAGGCTTATTATAATATCGATAAGATTAAATAAACTTATTAATAATTAAAAAGAGCGTTTAAAATTATTAAAAATAAAAGCCTAGATTTTATAAATAACGATTATTTATAAATAATATTAAAATATTATAACGATATTACCGGAATATAAAGTTTAATTTTAATATTTTTAATATTCGGATCGTATTTTAAAATTATTATTTTATTATTATCGTTACTCGATATTATTTAAAAAATATAAACGATTAAAAAAGTAATACGAATTTTATAAGATTTAAAAATAAAAAAGTAAGTTAATAAAGCCTTAGCGGTATATAATAAGCCCGATATATTATAAAATCTCGATATTTTATTAA